TTGCACATCTCTTAACTGTAACCTGTCATTGGTTACTCAAGTTTCAAGATTATAACTTTACGCAGCTGACCTCTAAAGCTTTAATCAGTTGCTCAAAATTCAAGCATAATCTCCAGTATTGGGTGAGCTGAGAGAAGAGAAGAGAGACGTTACCTATCCGTTGTGATATCGGAGAATTTACGAGGGCTCCAAGACATTAGCAAGTTCCCAACACAGAGCAAACTACCTTCGTATCTAACCCCATTTACCGTGAAGCTCGTCTCATCAAATCTGAAAAATGAAAGACAAACCCACCACTAATCGATTCATACAGAGCTAATACTCCAAGCCAATTTCTGAAGAACTATAAATAGGAGCATGGAATTTGATAATATGATTACTCCTGAAATCGAAGCTGATCCTCAGGAACATTATCGATGAGATTAATCTGATCGTAGAGAGAGAAAGCACGTCTCAACGATGGCAAAACAAGATTGGGCTGCTTAGGAACTTCCTTTCTCATGCTTCGAATCAACTTCGGCAACGTCGTCATTGCTTTCTGTCTCACCGTCATCTCCGCCGTCTCCTATCTCTCCGTTCTCCCAATTACTCTACTACGAAACTCTAACGAAACCGGTTTATTGGTTTAGAACATGTACCATCATTGGTTATTGATTCCCATGGGTAAACCCACTGGTCTACCCTAATTCACTCCAGCAATTCTGGTATTGACTAAATTTGGCAATTTCTTAGAATATTATTAGAACTCACAAAATAACAGAACAAGTCTTAGGAAATTTAAACCCTTAAAAAAAATGGTTCTTAGACAATCATCATAAAAATCAATAGTTTCATATTCCAATGAAAGAGGTTTCTTAACTTACTACAATAGAAACGTAAAAGCCAAACGATCAGGACCAGTTTACTTTGAGAATTGGAGCGACAATGAGTTTTACTCTATTTGACGTCAGAAAGGAATTAAAGATCTACATATACTACAATATAGATTTTACTTTGGTGTTAAAATGTAATATAGTATATAATGTAGGGTTTCTGGTGTAATTACAGTAGCTTTACCTCGGATTGCTTGTTGTCGTTTTTGTCTTTGATCCATTGTTTGAGCAAGCGATAAGTTTTGTTGACAAAAGAAAAAAGAAGAAAGGTACAAGTTTTATCATTAACTGCTTGTGTCGTCTTTGACTTTGATATAATGTTTAAGAAAGCCGCAACTAGACACTTGTCAGATAGGGATCCATCTTTTTAGCTATTATAGGATCAAGTTGTGACAAAATAGATTGTGGTGCGCTAATAAACAATTTGTCAGCAATAAGAACAACAAAAGACGATGACAATCATAATGATTCATTTTTAAATTGTTTGTACGTAACTTAATAAAAGAATGAATCCCAATAAAAGAAGTCAGTAGAATGATAATAAAAAAATATCCCATGAAGAATATTTTCCCGAAAGATATAAATTTTATTTCCTTACGAAAAATGTTTATACCTAGCTACAATTCTACAAACATATGATTGAAATTCTAAGTAAATTACATACTTAGCCATAAGGGTCTTAAAATCAATAAAATGACGATGGATTATCTATTCCCTGCAAAACACCGAAACGACTATATGGAGAATCAAACGAACAACGGTTTTTCTCCTCTTCTATCTTCGATTGATTCGCCGTCATGAAAGAAACAAAAAAGCCAGCCGATTCTTCAAAACCCTCTTGCCCATGCAGAGTCTTATTCCCCTCCGCACATGACTTGTCGCGTGACATCTCCTTCGCATCCTTTTCTCTAGTCTCACCAATCGATCTCTTAAGGAACCGCTTAAACCATTTGACCGAGTCTTTTGGATAACGTTTAAGACCGTTGATAAAATCAACATAGTAAAGACCAAATCTCGCAGTGTATCCATGTTCCCATTCAAAGTTGTCCATCAATGACCATGCATAATATCCTCTTACGTCACACCCATCTTCCCTATAACCATGTTATAACATTTATCAATAAAAACAAAAAAAAACGATCGATAACGTATATATAAATATATAGTGAGAAGATCAAGAACTAACACTATGGCTTTGTGAAGCTGTTGGAAATGTGTGTCATGGTACTCAATCCTAAATGTGTCCTTCAGAATCTCTTCTCTTGATTTTGTACCATCGTCGTGATCATTGATTCCTGCAATTTATTTCATTATAAGTTATATATGTAGTTGCATCTAAAAACTAACCCAAAGAAACTATGAAAAAAAATCATGTTTTAATTCAATTTATATAGATATATAGTGATGCCAACCTCGAAACTCAGTGCCACGAATTATATTTACGTTTTGGTAAAGAAAGAGAAAAATATTATGTACTAAAATCCAGAACCTCCTAGTTAGTAGATAAAAATAATAACATTTACAGGAATTTCTAGTTAACAGGAAAAAAAATGTTTCCTAACCATTTTCTTTAATGTAGACCGGCATGTTATTGTATCTATCTTTGATATAGTTTAGAACTTTTCGCAAGCCTTCCGGGTGTGACAATATTATGCCCCTTTCGTCCTGAAGAAAAAAAAAATTATCATTAATAACTATGAATTTAGAAATTAATAGTTATGAAGAAGAAGTAAGCACGTACCCCAAGTCCGATTAAGTGGCCACTGTGGTTAGTAACTGTTTCAGAGAAATGTCATAAACCTTGTTTAGTTTACCATCTAAGCTATAAACTTTATTTGATATGGATCAATATATCTTTAGTAATTAAGTAACATCATTCTTACGTACGTTTCCATTCAACCTGATGATCAGTCTTGAACCGAGGCTTTGCAGGGTCGAGGTGAGGAATATGAGTGGCAAAGCGTGCTGTATAGTAATTTACTCCAACAAAATCTGATGAATTTTTCAACATATTTGATTGTTTCGCCGTAAAAGAAGGTAATTTATTTCCAGCGTATTTTTTCACAATCTCTGGATAATCTCCATGAATCACTGGATCAAGATGCCTATATACAAAAAGGATAAAATTTAAGATTATTAGATATCAATGATTAAAATATAAGCAAAATTGTTATGATTAGATAACTTACCATCCAATTTCAAAAGCAAGAGCTCGTTCAGCTGCTTCTATATCATCAATAGAGCCAGAATGGTAAGGCTCGAACCATCTTGGTGACAAAACTATCCCAATCTGACCATCATGCGAAGTTTTTGGACATTTTCGGAATTCTTCTACAGCAGCGGCATGAGCAAGAAGAACGTTATGCGAGACAATGTAAGGCTCAGTACTCGAGTCGCCGGCCTGACACTTTTCGTTTACCCATTTCGAGCATCGTCCAGCCGCCTTGTTACCTTGGTCGTAACCCGCAATAGTCATAATGTATGGTTCATTGATTGTTGTCCACATCTTCACTCTATCTCCAAACTCTTGGAAACATATTCTTGCGAAATCTCGAAAATCTTCTCTGTTTTTTTTTTATTAAAAATAAATGATATAAAAAAAGACTAAATCAATCGTGTCTATAGTAACAAAAAATGGTGTGTTTTGAAATATGAGTATATTTTAATAGGGCTTACACAATTTTAGGGCTTAAAAAGCCTCCATATTCGTCCTCCAAAGATTGTGGATGGTCCCAATGATAGAGTGTCATTGAAGGTTGTATGTCTGCATGTTTATCAGACCATACGATTTATTTTTATTATTTCAATCTATTTTAATTCAGTAGAGAATTTTAACTTCACTGGTAAATTAACGATCTTACCATTGGCAAGAAGTTCGTCAATGAGATCGTTATAGAATTGTACACCTTCTTTGTTTACTCCATCCTTTAGCTTTCCACCTGTAGATAATTGAACATAAATGACTCGTATAAAAAGACAAAAGAAGGTAACTCGTACTCAACCGAAAATAAAAATGGTTAACTCGTATAAATGATTGTTAGTATAAGGAAACGTATAATTATCAAGTATCAACCAAACAAACTTGAAAAAGTATAACTATCAACCAAACAAAACTTACTGGGAATAAGTCTGGCCCACGAGATTGAAAATCTGAAAGCGTCCATGTTTAGCTCCTTCATCAATTTAATGTCATCCTGATTTGTTTTGTTTGTTTGTTTGTCATATAAAAACAATATTAATATCAAAACAAAAACGATAACTATATACGGAGTCTAAGTACACCGTACCAGCTTTCTAAGAAATTATACTGACTTATCTGAAAATATTGTCTTATTTTGACCTGATAAATTGTTATTTTATTTGATTAACATAATATATATTATATATGATTGTTTGATATCTTTGTAAATAACAGGATTGATTATTAAATATTAACATATTAATACCTAGACGTTTAAAAAGTACAAAAGGGCTGATTGTAGAATGTAGACAGTACCTTATAACGGTGATAAAAATCAATTGCTACATCTGCATTATGCATTTTGGTCCTTTCTGCAGTCAAAGATTTATGAATAATCATTAGTCTTTAGCTTTTTGTCACAATTTGACAAAAAAAATATATATCAATATGCTCTTGTTATACGAGTGTTAATCAATTTAACAAATATATATATATATATATATATATGTTGGAGTGCTACTAAAATTAGGTCCGGAATTTATTGTTTTCGGACAAACCTGGGTAAGTGCGGCTGAAGTGGTCCCATATTGCTGGAGACTTCCCACCTTCATCTGTTGCTCCTTCGTACTGCATATAGATGAATCCAAAAAAAAAGCACACTTTATTTCATCGAAAAGCTATTTTTTTTTCTTTCTAAGCAAATATAGTCTGTAATTTGTAACAAAGTAATATAATTTAAAAAGAATGAAACTTAACTAGATAACTCGGAACAATTAAGTAGATAACTAGAACGACTTATCTTTTATGTTTTCATTAAAATTATAGAATATGATGGAGGATAAATTATGTGCTTCGTAATTAAAATCATGTAATTTGTAAAGCAGAGTTCTGCTACTACTTTATTATGAATCAGTTTTTGTGACAGAGACAAAAAGACAACATTTAAGAAAAAAATGACAAAAACAGAACATTATAATATGCTGACATCAGCAGATTAAATAGTTGATTTTCCTCGTACTTAATAAATTTGAATATCGAACAGCCCGTTTCTATTTTCAAATCCATCTGGGCAGATGTTTACGAATTACGATTAAACCAAACAAAAGGAGCGCATGTTTCAGTTTCGTTAACAAGAAATAATAATTAAATATCAGATTCAATCAAATTAATAGAAAACCTCATAACAAAAAACAAATGGCAAGAAGATCACAAAAAACCTTTTCACATCATATTTTCAATGTAAAACAACAAATTGAATAACGTTGTAAGTATTTATTTTAATTTTATTATAAGTGTATTATGATCGGTAATATAGCAAAAAAAAAAGGTAAAAAAAAACAAATGTAGAAATGAAAGATGTCATTAAGCGACAAATGGTTACGTTAACTGCGAAAATACATATATTTTCAGAATTTTGTTTATCATTAAAATGATTGAATAACAGAATGATTTGATGGAAGTTGTGATTTGGTATAAATATATGGTTGATAGAATCACAGTGATTTCACCATTTGACGACAGTTTACGAATCAAAATCATAAAGATCACCTGATACGCAGAGGCAGCCGTTCCAAAAATGAAACCATCAGGAAAACTATGTCGATCTAAGACTTGAGAATTAATTGTCTTTGAAAACAATGAGATGATCGAAAGGATGATGAAGAAACGAGATCCCCTAGCCATTTTTTTCTCTATTTCTCTCTCCCTATTTTTGCTTTGTTTGATCTTCTGAGATTTTAAAGTGATATATTGAAGAGAGATTTACGCTATATTCTCTTCCTTATATAGAGTTTATTTCCTGGTCCTGTAATAGACGTCATCTACGTGGAAATGTTTGGACATATAAATCATATATAGATAGACAGAGAGCTGATAGTATATTTTAATACCCGAATATTTATTTCCGATTTAAGACTATTTTGCATAATTGGTCACTATATTCCATTTTGGGTTCTTAGTTTTTACTATTTTTGGTACTACCAACTGAATTTCAGGAACATTTTTTGTCCATCGTCATCTCTGAATGTGCCCGTGATCACTGCTCACATTCACCATTGTCTTTTCTGAAGTTTTTTCATAATTACTTTTCAGATTCAGTACAGGCCTATATATATGTATGTGTGTGTGTGTAAACTAATGCTGGTATTGAATGTGGTCAAAATCGTGGCTACGTTCACTGCTAACGCATCCTGTGAAGACTGCATGTACTTCGAGGTACGGTTACATTTTCACGTGTAATGCTCCACACACCTTCACGCGCTTGCAAGATTTTTGTTTAACGTAAGGATTTTCACCAATTTCGATTTTTTACAATTTTGTCTTTGTGCCAAGTCGTCGTGTTAATCTTATCTTGTAAATTGATATTCTAATTTTAATGGATGTAAAATAATATTTTCATGAGTTGTCTAGAGAATTATGGGACAAGAAAAGTTATAACGTTCCAACAAAGAAGGAAAAAAAAACAGATATGAGCAATAGTCCTTATCACATTTCCAATAGAAAGAGATGAGAACAATTAACTGGCAGTGACATGTAATGCTTTTTAGGAGATTTTATATTTGTATAGGAGCAGCTAAATTTCCAACATAAGGAGATGGGCTTATTTTTTTTTGCTTTTCTTATTCCTTTTCTACTCATTCCTAAATTATCATTGTATTTCTTCAAAATCATAATTTCCAAAATTGAAGGAGTAAATTAGATATTTACAGCTGTTATACGTTTAATAATAGTTAAATTATATTTAAGTTTTAGGAATGAAGGTTAAAAAGGTCTATGTGATATAAAATTTATGACTTTTGAGATGCATGGAATTCTTTGACAAAAAAAGAGATGCATGAAACTAAAACAAAGTCTAATAACAAAAAACAGACGCATCAAACATCCAAACCAGAGTCTAACAACAAAAGCGAAAGAAATAATGAAGGAACCAAATAATTTAAAACACAGGAAAACATCCTGATAAGAAATGTCTCTTATCCAAAAAAAAACAAAAATCTTGACATTTGTAGAAAAAAGAATCATAGTAAACTACTACAATTTGACAGAAATCTGTTTTTTCACGAAACGTTAAGTTAATTATGTTTTTCACGAAACTTAATTTCCCTATGAAAAGATAATTCCTATCCAAGGAAGCAAAAAAGTCTTTAACATTTTATGACATGACCGGTTATCAATAACGAGATGAGAACAACTACTATAAATTGACCAGGATGTTTGTAATGTCTTACTTAAATTCTTTTGTCAACACGGATGTTTTAGCTATAATAATAGTAAATTGCATATGTTGACAAATTATACGTAATAAATTGCATGTAAAGGGTACAAATAAATCATAGCTGAAGCATAAGTCCAGCAAGCAACAAGAGGAATCACAAAGGCACAAAACAAATTAACAATCAAACCTAATTAATTTTACATTCTAGAAATTTTTATTTTATAATTTTAACCATTATTAACCAATTTCTGGGCGTAATTGCTTTTTTTTGACGTTGTTCAGAAAAGTTTCCTTATTTCTTTAACAGAATGCATAAATCCTTATTAAGGATGAACAAATTTCCCTCCATATATAACGGACTCTCCACTCTCCCATTTTCATATGTTATTACGTATCAATGACTCATACATTTTTAACTTAATGTAGAATCTTAAAGCATAAGATTCATAACCAATCGAACTAAATAAATATATCGTTACAGTCACAGCTGTGTAATAAAAACTTTTGTTGACCAATTTGGCCGCGGTTTAATCTCAGACTTGGTTTAGTCTTCGGTTTACGGCTTGGAGCTGGTTGAAGAGTGATTAATGCTGTGCGTTTTAGTGGAAGCTGATGCTGATGCTCTTCAATGTGGGCTTCGAGTTTTTGGTTGAACCCGGCCCATTGTCGATCAGGGTGTTAATTATTTATAAACAGATTAACAAATCTCCCACGTAAAAACAGAGCATTGAGAGCAAAGCATTCTTCAAGTTGTCTTCTTCTTTCTTCAAGGTTTGTAATCGAACCATCATCCATGATAGTGGATTGCGAGGAGAGTTACAAGTTTTTCTCCAATATTAAATTTTAGTAACGTCTAAACAACGCTACATCTTTTTTTTTACGATGATAAAGCTATAATTTTTTTGTTTTCTGTACATGGAAAAAGAAACAGTAGGTATCATACATAGACAACAAATAAGCAGAGGCTCATGATTTAGATTTACTAAATAACAGGCACCTGCTGCTTCGTTTGTATACTAACGAACGCCCAGAATTAGTAATGTTCTCCAGTATCAAATTGAGTAACATCCAAACAAAGCCACCTCTTATTCTAAGATATGTTTTTTTTTTTTCTGTACATCGAAAAGAAATAACGGTACGTGTTATATATATAGGCAATTAATAGTAGAACAAATTAACCAGTGACCATGCATGATTAGTTGTTAAATAACAGCTACTTGCTGCTTCGTCCCATAATACTCTCCCTTCAACAAACTCCTAAACCACTTAGCTGATTTCTTGAGATATCTCTTACGTCGTCCATCTTCAAAGTCCACAAACACTAGCCCGAACCGGACCGTGTATCCTTCCGCCCATTCGAAATTATCCATCAACGACCAAGCGAAATATCCTTTCACATTCACCCCCATCCTACAATTCCATTTTATATTACAAAAATCAATATCGTTTTCTTTTTATGGTAATATGGTCCTCATTAGTGATAAAATTATATAACATGGAAACGCAAACGCAAAACAAGCAATAAAAACTATTATGTTTATAGATGTGATCAGAAAAGGAGAGCTTACGAGATTGCATCGTGAACCATCTTAAGGTGTTGTGCGTAGTAGTCAATCCTCAAGTCGTCACTGAGAATGATTTCTCCTATATTAGCTTCATCCACTCCTACATGATTTTAAGAAAGAGAGATGACAACATAGTAATATTGGTTATAAAAATTGAGTTAACGATTGATTTTACAGATGATAAGGTTTACCGTTTTCTGTGACGTACAAGACGGGATCATTGAACTTGAATTTTGCATGTAGTAGAAGATCACGAATACCCTTGGGGTATATCAAAAGCCAATCCGACCCAGCCTGAATTGAATCATAGATTATATAGAAATTACATTTGTTCGAATAAACAACTTTTTTTCTATAAACAATTCACTTATTTTTTTTTTCAGTGTCACACTTTTAATACCACTAAAAAACATGTAAATTTCCCATCTAAATAACATTCTATGCTATCTAATCATAAAACAGTATCAATATTTTTGGATTATTAGGTTAGACTATCATTGAATTCTTGATAGGATTGAGAGATTTATTTAGTTCTAAACTATTAAAGCTAAAATAAAAACGGAATAGAAAAATCGCACCGTTGGACCGAGAGGCACTCCATTTCGATCACCTAATACAATATACAAAAAAAAAAACATTATATGAGGATGTAGAGAAGTCAATCTAATTCTAAAGGTAAAAGAAGAGCATATGGTTCACGGACCTACGACGCTGACACAAGAATCGGTGGACATGGTGATGTTTTCAGTTGCACACGGCACGTCTTTAACGTAGAAAGATGAGTAATAATTAATGCCTATGAAATCGAATGATCCTTTGAGCATTGAAGACTCTTCTGGTGTGAATGTAGGAAGACGACCGTCTTTGACATGGCTGACCATTTCTATTGGGTATCTACCATAGACGATTGGCTCCAAGAAGTAACCAAAGGTAAACGCCGTGGCTCGAGCAGCGGCTAATTGGTCAGCATATGAATCTGAGTAAGGGTAGTGCCATTGTGTGTTTAAGGCAATACCAATTTCGCCTTTTTGAGTAGCCTATGCACACAATATTAGGAGAAAAATCTAGTTAAAATTTACAAACGTCAAACTTTTTTGAGGACTTAGTGACAGAAATAATACTTTTACTTCGGCAGCCGATTTCAAGTAGAGCATTGGAAAAACAGAGTAAAACAGAGCAGCGGTGAAACAGAGCAAAACAGAGCAGCGGCGAAACAGAGCAAAACAGAGCACCACGAAAACAGAGTAAAACAGAGCACCGCGAAAACAGAGTAAAACAGAGCATCACCATTTTGAAAATAATACACTAAATGTAAAACAAACAAACAATTGATGCCTAGTGAAGAAATAAGGCAAACATACCTGGTACTTTTCTCTGTAGACTTTGACGGCGGCTCCATGAGCTAGGAGGAAGTTATGGCCAACGATATAAGGCTCGGTGGCTCCATCACCGCCGGTGCAATCAGGTTTAGTAAAATTGGAACATCTTCCAGGTGCCTTTTCACCTGTTATATAACCTTCATGAACCACTGTAAATGGCTCGTTTATCGTCGTCCAATGTTTCACTCTATCTCCAAACTTCTGGAAACAGAGTTCCGCATAGTCCCTAAAATCATTCCTGTTTCGTTCCCAAAAGATCAACAAACAAAATGAACCATTTTTGTTTTTTTTTTTTGCGATGACGAAATCTGACTTACTGTTTAGAGATGTTAGATGAAGGACTTACACAATCTCTGCTCCGAGGAATCCACCGTAAGCATGTTCGAGTGCCTCTGGTAAGTCCCAGTGGAAGATTGTGACAAATGGCTTCACTCCTAAGACATTTACAACGTTTACAAACAAAAAAAGAAAATGAAATGTTACGGTATTGAAGAATCTTGAAAAAATTTCAAGGGTTCTGGCAAGATCCTAAACATCACTGAATATGTTTTAAAAGCAAAAGTCGTCTAATGTCACCAATGACTGAGAAACAGAGAATCATTACCTTTGGACAGAAGTTGATTAATTACGTTGTTGTAATAGTCAATTCCTGCCTGGTTGATACCTCCCTTTAGATCCCCACCTAATAAACAAAAAGAATGATATATTACTAATTCACTAAAGCATATTAAAACTCTTTAAAAATAAAGATCTTATCGGATCTATATCTTACGAGGCAAAATCCGTGACCAGGAGATCGAGAATCGGTAAGCATTGAAGCCAAGTTGATGCAGCAAATCCACATCTTCCTGGTTTTCCAAGAAGTTTTCATGAATAAAAAAAGATGTATTGTTGGATGTATAATTGACTTTTTTATTGGGTGAAGAAAGCAATACCTTGTACAGGTGGTAAGAATCATCAGCAATGGTACCATTACTACCATCCATAATCTTCTCTGAAAAAATAATTAATATATTTATTTAATAATTTAATTTCAAGGAAAAAAAAAGGATTAAGAAGGTTCATCATCATCAACAACCCATTTTTGCTATGAACACAAGATAAAAACCAGATTCATATATAAGAAACCCAATTCCAGTAAGAAAAAAAAAAGAAACCACAGATCAAGATAATTGAGTCTTGAATGTTTAAAAAAATCTAAAGCATTAGGGTTTCTTTCTAATTAGGAACTAGGAAGAAGAACCTGGGAAATTTTCAGAGAAGGTGTCCCAGATACTCGGTCCTCTACCATCTTCATGAGCAGCACCTTCGCACTGCAAAGTTGAAAAATTTTTTTAGCAAAGAATAAAATAAAACAAAATGTATGGAAAATATAGTAAGAACTAAACCTGATATGCAGAAGTAGCAGATCCAAAAATGAAATCTTTTGGGAAATCATTTCTTTTTAATTTAGGTCTTGAGGAGTGGTTCTTGGCGGAAACTCCAATGTAAGCCGAAGTAATGAGCAACAGTAAAAACAGACATTTACTTCTCATTTTTCCTGTAAAAATCAAATTTTTTGATGAGAATTTTGGCTGTGTAAAACTTTACTATAAATTTCCCCTTTTGTATCTATAAATAGAGAGTTGTTGAGCAGAGAGACAGAACATTTTTTACTAATTATTTCTATTTTAATACGATTGTCCACTGGTCTTTAAAAACCTTATCCAACAAACCTTGTAGAAAAACAGACAAAAATATGTTAATTAATCAATAGCTGAGTCATCACAGAAAGAAAATTATTCTAAAGCTAAGACGTGATATTTGAGAAGACACTGCTAACAACGCCTTTCAAAAATAATCTCGTGATAACGATATTAATTTCTTCGTACCATAAAAAACGATAACAATTTCTAATATTTCTAGAAATAATACCTTTTTCTTGATAAAAAGAAATGATAATACTTCAGAGCAATGTTTTGATTTTGGTAATCTCTAATGAAATATATATATATATATATATATATATAGATTTTGTTTTTGTTCTCAAATACGTGATGTATATATATGTGATGTTTTGAGATTTTGTTTTTGTTCTCAAATAAGTGATGTCTAATACTCAATTAAAATGATTTTTTATTGTTTTGATCATTTATATTTTGCAGTTTGTTTTATCATTGGTTGAATTATGTTTAAATGAATATTAAGTAATGTTTTTAGTATAGGAAAACAAAAATTAAATAAATTTTAAACTCTATGCAAAAACTTTAAATAGTACTTATAAAAAAGGGAGTATCTTAATCAAAAGCTGAGTCATCCTAAACCTAAGCCGTGAGAGTTGAGAAGACATTCATTGCTAACAATGCCTTTGGAAAATAAGATTGTGATAATGATAATAATTTTCTTCTAACCAAAGAAAAAAGAAAACGTGACAGTTTCAAATATTTCTAGAAATTATAATACACCAGTGCATTGTTCTGTTTTTCTATGCGTTGATTTTGGTTTTAGTCTTGAATATTCGTATATAAATTCGCTTCGTAGAGGGTTTTGTTTGCGTAAAGTGGGTGGGCACTCCACAATTATTTAGGTCTATGTCAGAAAAAATTGATAAAATCCAACGTGTGGATAATTAAAAAATAATAATAATACAATAGAACATGCTTATCCTTTCTGAAGTTGATTGTCAAAGGTAGAGTATATATATAACTGAAATTAAAATAAAAATCCTCTATATTTTATTTTTTATATTAGCAACTTAAATAAATACTATAGATGATTTTAACTTTTGAGAAAACCAACTTAAAAAAATACAGTAAGCTTAGTCAAAAGTTACAAACCTGAGATGTGCCGAGATTGTTGCTGTCCTTGCAATCATCCAATTTCAAATAAATAAATTGATGAGCAACCTCTCAAACAATGTTTACAACACATTACAAGAAACAAAAGTGGAAAGTCAATGAATTGAAAGGCTTTATGGTCACAATCAATTCATGTTCATTGTTATCCAAATTACTCTTTCTTTTTGTTTTTTGACAAACCATAATCAGCTGACTTTCAATCGATTATCCTTCGTAGAAATCACCGTTCCGTTGTCGAAGAATTGGACTCCTTATTTGACCAGACTATCTTTTCTTCTTTTTCTCTTTGGATTTTGATCAATTCTACATTTGAATAACCGATGTATCACAATCGGTTTTGTTTTATGTTTAATTTGGAAACCTAGCTTTTTTGTGGTTCCTTTGATTGTAACTTACTAAGGTTTGGTTGAAAACCGCAATGTTTTGCGATGCCAAGAACAGAGCGGCCACAAGAGGAAGATTAAACCTAGTAGCAGATTATCCCAAGTGAGAATCTCTTCGTTTGAAGAAAGACTTTGAATCATCATAGATTATCTGATTCTGAGCAACGACGATGGAGTCCTCACTACTTTTGCTTGGCTCATCACTCCCTTGGATTAAACACGTGGAACATGAACATAACAGAATTTTTTTTCAAAAAGGTTCGATCACGATGGCTTGAGACTTGAGAGTATCACCACTTTCTTTCTCGATTCTGCCAAATATCTAATTCCAGAAAAACTCGTGCTACTTGTTGTTTTCATGTTCTTGTATCGGTGTATTTTCACGATGAAGCCAAAAACAACAGAACAGACGAGTTTTTTAAAAAACATGGGCCCTGAGGTCAAATCACGATGCTCAAACCAGACGATTTTTTTGGTTAAAACATGGGCCTTGAGGTTAAATCATGCCGTAAAGCCCATTAATAAATTGGTATTCTAAAGTTTCAGAGATCTTTAGCCTTTTTTTTTTTTTGAAACGTTGTCTATCTATAAAATTGTTCAATCCTTTTAAAGATTGTCGAAGACATATACTTTTCGCCGTTAACAATCATGCTAATGCACTATTTGTTATAATTTTTAAATTTTATTAATTGAATTTAATCCAAGAATGATGGTAAACAAATAATTTTCATTAAAAAAGCAACAAAGTCTGTAGTCGCAAAGAACCCTTAGCCCTCTTTGTTGAAAAGCTACTTTGCTTTGCATCAAAGCTTTTTACACGATAAATTTTTTAAAACAACATTAATCTAGAAAAATAGTTCGAGGGCCTTAGAAGATTCAGACATCTTAGGAATAAAACATGAAGCCGAACCAGTTGCTAATAAGAATCTCTTCTTCTTCGTTGCGGCCTTCAACAAGTACTCTTCTTCCTCAGAATCTTCAATCTCTTCTTCCCTCTTCAAGAACTCTTTGAACCACATCGCTGACATTTTCGGAAAACGTTTAAGCCCGTTGTTGTAATCGACATAGAATAGTCCGTATCGAACTCCATAACCAGCGTTCCATTCGCAGTTGTCTAGTAACGACCACGTAAAATATCCTTCAACTTCAACCCCATCCTCACTGAATAACAAAACATTTATCATCAGTATATATAAAGCCAAGTATAGGATTCCAATACAGTTGATTTCTTGTGTGTCAAGAAATTTAGTGGTGTTTTCATTTTAGAGAGAATACACTTACTGGATGGCTTGTTGGATGCTTTGGAGATGTTTCTTGTGGTACTCTGTCCTTTGAAGATCCATCAAGTTAGAAAGTTTTGGTTTTTTCTCGTAATCTATATCACAATGTCCTGAACAATTTTAACAAAAGAAATGGAGAGTTAGTAAACTATATTTCACGAAACAACTGAGTAAACCTATGTTGGGAGAGTTTAGTGTAAAAATTATTACCGTTTTCAGTGATCATAAATTTCGGGCTGTCATATTTATTCTTGGCATAATTTAGAAACTTTCGAAGTCCTTGTGGGTATAGAAAGTCCCATTCTGAACCACCTGTTACACCCAATGTTTGTCCTGCTTTGTTTTGTTCTGTTCCGATAGAAATAAAACTTGTGAGACAACGGACTCGGTAATCAAACGTCCTAAGATATCATATCAATAAACCCCTAATTAAGAAGCTTATGATCCAAGAAATTATAAAAGCCCCTAAAATATAAATATACCACCCTAAAACCAGCACTGATACGAGTAAGTGGTATATAAATTAAACTCCACTTACTTCTCCATTCGATGCGTGCGTCTGATCTCCAATTGGGAGTGTTATGGTCCACTTCAGCAATACTTTTAACGTAAAAAGCACTGTAGTAGTTCACTCCAACGAAGTCAAAAGATCCTCTTAGCTTCTTTGATTGGGCTGCTGTAAATGAGGGTAATCTTTTTCCGATCGATTTCTTCATCACTTCAGGGTAATCTCCATACACCGTTGGATCCATGTGCCTGTTGATAATAAAAAACCCCGAAAAAAAAAATGATTAGAAAATTAACTGAAACTAAAACGTGTACGTGTATATATATTATTTTCAAGAATATGTGTGTTTATTATATACATTTTTTAAAAACACTCACCATCCGAACATGAATTCCATGCCTCGCTCACATGCTTCTTTGTCATCAGGGCAGTTCGAGTCATAAGGCTCAAACCAGACGGGACAATGCGCGATACCAATCTTGCCATCTTTACACTAGGATTCAAATTAACAAACAAAGACATCATCAGTATATATGTTCTCAAATACGTAAAAAAGTGCTATTCAAAACGAAATTAAATATTATTGTCTCCTTACTTTGGGGTTGTTTCTGAAGACCTCAACAGCTTCAGCGTGGGCCAATAGAAGGTTGTGGCTAGTGGTGTAAACCTCGAGACCAGATTCTCCAGCCACGGCTGCTTCGTTCATGTACTTGGAGGCACGTCCGGGCGCTTTTCTTCCCGTGTCATAACCTCCAATACTATAGACCCATGGCTCGTTTAGTGTGACCCACAGTTTCACACGGTCGCCAAATTCCTCGAAACATATGGCTGCGAAATCTTTGAAGTCGTCACTGCGAGATGATTTATTTGTAAGCTGATGTTAGAGACTTATTTGAAAAAAAAAAAAACAATAACACATATTTAAAAAAAAAAAAAAATCACATACACAGCTTGTTCGCTTAGAAATCCGTTGTATTCATCTTCAAGGGCTTGAGGGGTATCCCAATGAAATAAAGTAGCGAGAGGTGTGATTCCTGTTCGTACGTATATATGGGCATGTTAGAATATTTCAATATAGGACTAGTTTAATGAAAATAGATGCGTATATTAAAAGAGATTAATTTGTTAAATACCGTTAGCTAGAAGTTCATCAATGAGATCGTTATAGAACTTGATTCCTTCTTTGTTCACTCCTTTGCTTTTCTTTCCAACTAATTTATTGGGATATGAACAAAAAATAAGGATTAGATCTATTGAAGTGTTTGGACTTTCACTCATTAATATGTTTAATCAAGAAAGTAATGTGAGCAAAGAACTTACGAGGCAAAATCCGAGGCCAAGAGATAGAGAATCTGAAAGCATCCATGTTAATATCCTTCATTCTCTGGATATCTTCCTTGTAATGGTTATAGAACTCGACAGCTTGATCCGCGTTAGAGTAGCAATTTCTCTCTGCCCAAATTTTCATTTTACGAGAGTCAGTTTGATGAATATCATCATAGCTAAGTAAATAGAAACATCTCTTTCTCTTCATAAATATAACCCTATATGTTACAAAAATGGAAAGTTGTTATATATATACAAACCTGGATATTTGCGAACAAATGTGTCCCAAACACTCTCTCCACGAGGAGCTTCGTTTACGGCTCCTTCATATTGATAAGCCGACGAGGCTGTCCCAAAGAGGAAACCCTCCGGGAAATCAGAACGGCCGAAGGAGTTTTTCTTCGAGTACATGTTTCTCTTTCTGTTGATGTTATTTAACAAAAACAAGATTAGAAAATGTTTTATCGACGGATAAACTTATTTGCAAAGCCTTGTAGTTGTATTGAAGTTTGATCACTTACTGCGTCATTGTTTATAAAAGTTATAAAGTTTTTTTTCTTTTGGAGAAACCTTTTAAATCTGCATGGAAATTTAAATAAGATTATGAGTTATTTCTTCATGAGATAGAAAAAAACATTGCCATAACTTTGATAAATAAGAGGAGAAATAATATACCGATGGGAAGATCCTTTTTGTGTTTTTTGTATATCGAATGAAGCTGGATTTTTTTTTGGGTCTAGTATAAAAGAATCACGAATGGAACGAATGATTTGTTGTTGTTCTTGCAAAATGAATAAATGAATGAATCTAACTTAAGTTTTTTATTTTCTTAAAGAAAGAATGTAGAGATTGTTGATTTGTGAGAGAAGTGTGGGATATGTGAAGGGAATATATAGGCAAAGGGATTGGTAATATTATGCGAAGGAACGTAGAAAAATCATACATACTTTAGTCAACTAGTTGCCACTACATATGCTGACCGTTAATTTCTTTCCATTTAGGTCAAATAACTTGCTGCAACAATTAGAATAAGAAAAAAATGAAATAAAATAATAATAATGGTCACCTGCGGTCTTGCGCCGTGTGATATTGAACCAGCTAGATTACTCCTATCTTGACTTCTACTAAAATATGAAACATAGTATAATTGATTAAGACAGTGCCGGGGAGATCCCTTTGCTAGGGTGGTCTTGTCTTTTGAGTGCTTGGTTTTAATTTCGAATTTTTGCACGTCAATTTTTATGAAATATCAGGGATGGAATTACCATTCCTTATTATTAGTATGAAAATTTAATAAACATATATTTTGGTTCGCTTACTTTATTAATACTAAATAGGTATTAAGAAAATTGATGAATGGGGTTCAATAGAATTTTCAATTAGTTTATCAGTTTAGATTTTGCTCCTTTTTATTTAGTTTTTTTTTTAAAAAAAAAACCACCAAAGTAAAATCAAATTTGATATGATCATTTTGCCATGGTTTTGGTTTCGTTATGATTTAAATATGTATTAATCATATAATCCACAACTTAAAGATAAATATCAATTTTTTCTTTACGTTTTGAATTTGAACCAAATAGAAGGTTGGTTCATTTTATAGATTTTTGTTTGATACTGTTCGTATCGAGTAAATACTTTTTCTGAACCAAATAGAAGGTTGAATTTTGACCAAATAGACGGTTGGTTCATTTAACATGGAGAAATAAGAAGTTAAGAACTATTTAAGAAGTGTCATTTTTTTAGTATTATGGTTTGTCTTGATCCAAATTAACAAAAGCAACTAATAATTTTATTTGAAAGCATTCATTTCTTTTATTATTTGAAATTTTAAAATTATTACTTAATTAAAAATAATGTTTATGTATAAAAGATAAGCCAAACTTCCAAATGCAATAATTTTCGGGTTCCTTTCATTTTCGTTATAACTTTTTATGAAAACAATCAACATGCAGATATACGTTTCATTCATAAAAATAAAAATATTGTTGTACATTTCAGTTTTTATTTTTATGTTAACAACCAGATACAAAGAAATCCTCGTAAATTACATTCGAAATTAAGGTACCTAATAGTGATAAATATTAGTACAGTATATTTGTTTAACTTTAAGTGCTATTTTCACCCTTATATGCCAATTCACATTTTTCTAATAATATATAGACCACTGTTGTGCCCCATTATCATTTGGGGTAAATAGTAAATAGTGTTGAAATCGTGATCTATCTTTTTTTGGTTAAAGATAACGTGACTTGTCCTTTTATAAGATACAACGAGTTCTAGGTGTATAAATCTTCAATGTATCGTGCATGTGAACATGTGATCTTTATAGGCTATACGCCCAAATCCCAATTATTAAAAAATAATCAAATTGAAGTATTCGTATATGCGAGTGGTGAAGAATGGCTTGGGGTTAATAAATTTATTTTTATGTTAACCTGAGTCGCTGGATTTTTTTTTTGGGTCAAAGGTTGAGGAGAGACTTGGACTTTAAAAGGTTAAAAAAATGGAATTTTTAAGTCAATATATACCGACTTAGTAATTGATTAGGATAATTCTTATCACTTAGTAATTGAGGACTTTTCGGCACGTGTCATAATTCCCCAATGTTCAAATGCAAACGAGGTGGAAAATGGAAAAGTATACACTCTTCCGTTTCAAATTTCTCCGTTCCCTTCCTAGTATATATATTCGTCATTATAGTACGTACGTACGTTGTTCGTTGATGATGATAGTTAGACAATATAACATAAAAACCATCTATTTTTTTTGGTCGTAAGGCCATGTGATTTTGCTGGAAAAAATAAGGAACTTGCAAATTTTTCCTGAAAAAATAAAACAATTATAATATTTTAGAACGTACGGTCGGAAAAAGCTATTATGTATCTATTTACGACAATTTATCTTATTTTTAGGAAAAATACAGATAATAACTCATTTATTGTTCATTGCTTAAGCTAGCATTCGTGGTAGGTAGAATTAACGGGCGTATGAAAGAACTATTATATAGTATATAATTAATATATATATATATATAATATAAAAGAAACAAATAACTCATTTGATTGTTGTTCTCATTGCGTTAGCATGCAGGGTAGGCAGACTTAAATAAATAGATAAAATGTAAATAATTAAAAATAGCTCTTAGCATATACATCAAGTTCTTATTCGAAATTGACCGGCTTTACTACAATTATGAGGAAATTACGAAGAAATTAATAACGACTATAATTTTAATGGTAAACGATATTTTCAGATATATTTTCGAAAATTTGAGAAATCACTTTCAAAGATTGCTTGTATTGTTGAAAAAAAAAATTGCTTATATTTCAGAGAAAGAAAAGATAGAAATGCCATTTTAGGTTTATCGATTTCTTATTTAAAATAATCAACGAGTACACACCAAATAACAATAAGGTGATATGTGAGCATTGAGTAGGTTCATATATACAAAATTGTCTGACAATGCCACGTCAGTCATGTCAACCTTGCCCTCTTGGCTATTAGATTGTTAACTTCGTTAATCTATAAAATGGAATAAGATTGTTAACTTCGTACAAATTCATTTATTTAACAGCTGAGCATTATAGATCGCACATGTTTGATGAAGCCGACATAAAATGGAATAAGCATTAATTCTGTGTTGAATAGTAAGCTCGACACAGTCAAGGAAAGTGGTGCAAAGTCCGTGGAGCAACTTTGAACACTGCCAACTATCACAAACTGTCTTATTTCGTAGAAACCGCATAAGTTGGGATATCTCGTAAAGATGCCCAATAAAATTTGATATTTTAAGGAATGCCGCAAAACTATTTTTTTGGACGTTATATTAATTTGGCGGTTATATATATATACATAAACATTTGGCATGAAACCTTATTGGACCGCCTCTGTAGTGGAATCCAACTTGGCACTTGGAATTTTCTTTGGTTATAACTAGTTTCGTTTTTGTGGTACCTGTAAGGGTAGTTTCGACCTTTTCTCAAGATTTGTACATAAATTAGTAGTATTGGGTGGATTTGATAACTAACAAATCGCGTTGTTACGCAGTGATGCAATAGGGTAAATCCGTAAATCTCAATATTTTTTTTCTTTCAATTGAGCTTCAAATTTTCATTGTTAGAAAATAGCGTTAATTTTGTTGTCATAATGGAGCGGAGACAAATTAACGTACTGCAATGGAGTATACATGCTTGATATTGATCCGACCGTTCGTAAAGCACAATACAATTATACAAACCAGCAAATTAGTCTTCGTTATGGTAAATAACTTATAACAAATATTCAAGGACCTATGCAGATCAGCCTAGATCCTCCTAACAATAATGATACCTAAAGAAGAATAATCTACAGCCAAAGAATTTCCTAACAATAATGATACCTGAAGAAGAAAGGAATGAGGGGGGCAACTTCTCATATCACAAATAGTTTCCTGAAAACAACACCAGTGTAATGTACTATTTTAGCCTTTTGCTTTATCAAAAAAAAAAAAAAAATCTCTTTACAGCCAATAACAAAATTAATTTTTCACTAAAATTATATATATATATATATATATATATCCTTGTGTGGTCTTACCTACAAAGCACTGTTAAAATCCAAGGCCAGAGCATTTGCATTTGATTTTCTCTGACAAAAGATGAGTCCAGGCCCAATTTTAATAAGGGCCACATTAGAAAAGGGCTCAAACAGTTATAATTTTTAACGTTTTGGGCCTTAAGTTTTTCTGTCAAAGACAATTTAGTGCTTCGTATTCTGCAAAATAATATATTTTGAGGTTTTTCATTTCCAAAAGTCTTAACCGGCTTTCAGGTTTTGTAAAATAAAAACACTAACCTGGTAATTATGAGAAATAAATACCTAACAAGATCTATGAATCCCTCCAAAACACTAGTGTAAAGAGGATTGATGAATACTTATGGCATATCAAATGTACAATACCTAAACCACCACGACGAATAATCTGATTTCATCTTCTGCTTCTTTTCTTTGGCTGTTGATACTCTTTTCCTGATTCCCTACCCCGTTTTCCCGTAGCTGCAGCAGTCACTTCCTCTGCTTCCTTTTTCGACTGTTTTCGTTTCAATGAACTCTTATTACTATTATTCTCTATCTCAACCTTCTTCTTACCTGTGCTGTTACTCCTCAATTCCCTCGGTTTAGCTTTACTGTTCTCTTTCTTAACCTTACCATCACTCTTCTTCTCACCTTTACTCGTTGTTTCTTTTCCTTTCTGTGGGGAGTTCTTTTTTATTCGCTTCAGGAATTCAACCACACTCTTCTTCTTATCTACTGTCTTCTTCTCTGTCTTAGGAGTCTCTTCCTTATCATCATCATCATCATAATTCGATGAATCTGTTTTTGAATCCGTTTGTTTCTTGTTATTATTTTTGGCTCTTCCCATTTTGGTATCTTTGGCAGCAACACCGATACCTTTGCTCATTCTCCTCGAGCTTCTTGCAGCAACAGCAGTAGTCACAGTCTTCTCCACCTCTGAAACTTCCTGAGATTTCTTCTCATCTTTTTGTTTTAAGCTTGAAGAAGGAGACGTCTTTTTCGAAGCAGAACTCTTCTTCTTACAGACAACAAGAGGAGGAGCAGCAGAGGATTTCTGTCTACTATCCGACGATTCAGATTTTTCTTTGATGACACGGTGACCCGATTTTCCGGTTGCTTTCTTCATTTTGTTAGAAACGAGGGTTCTTAGCTCTTGTGCAGCCATGGACTCGGAAGAAGATGGAGAAAAGAAAACAATGGCATTTGTGAAGAGAAGTATGAGGTCTCTGTAAAAGGAGAGACCTGAAGAAACATAAGATCCTTTCTCCATCTTCTTCTCTATTGTTTTAATGTCCAAATGCTGCCTTATCAATCTCTTGTAATCCTTCGTCTCCTGCGGAATATAAAGACGAGATTATGAGACCCCAAGAAGAGTTTCAGTAGTGGGCTTTCATGTGTATATATTCGAGTCTAAAGGCCTAGCAAAAGCCCAAAAACTGTCGGAGTAAGGGCGGCTGGAAAGTCAATAAGTTGACCATATCCTGAAAACACGACAAAGCCATGTTTCAACGGGAAGCTGCCAGGTGTCCAACCAAAAATGGTAAATGGGTGAAGGAAAAAAAATAAATTTTCTCTTCGTCGAATTTTTTCTGTGTTTGGGAAAAAAGATAACGTTAAAAATGGGGCGCTCCCATATGAAAAATTTTAACAGCATAAGAAAATTATAAATCAGATATGGAAGTGAAATTTAAAAATCGAAACGATACACGGAGATATTTGCTACCATATGAAGAATTATATGCGTTTAAATATCATAATAATAAGAAACACTAAAGCGTAGTTCGAAAAATGGAGAAGGTTGATGATCGAAAAAAGTGAAAAGAGTTTGATTTCTTTTTTATAGATATTAGATAAAAAAATTTATCGGAGTGGTCCCGACCAAATTGGACAATATGTGGATTATTTTATTGGTCGTCCTTGAAAATTCTCAAGGGGGAAGAAGAAAAGGAACCAACAAATCTACCATGAAAACATAAAACATATAATGAAAGCTAAAATTTTAATTTGCAATTCCATTATTTTTCAAAAAAAAAATATTAGCCAATTATTCTGTGAAAAAAGAAGTTTAACATTTATCCGGCAACAGATTATTTAGGTTTTTGGAAAGAAACATATTATTAGGCTGGAGTAAAAAAAAGCATTATTAGGTACTATATATAGGCCTGATTGCCGGAATATATAGCCAACTAATATAATATAGACATTTTATTATTAGAATGAAATCATCTTCTGAATATTTTAGTAAGTACGTCTTATTAAAAGAAAACGATATAATAATAAGAAATGCAAATTCCAACACTTTAAATTTTAAGACTAATTGTCCAATGTATTAAAAGGAAAAATAATTATTTTTTTTTTAAAGTTTGACAGCATGAAGAAAATTTGATAACGTAGGAAAATAAGGGAAAAATATGTACGACAAAAAGGAAGTTTAGGCAATTGCTTGCTTACCTGGCTCCGAAGCCGGGATTCGAACACGGATCCACGAGGATGAGACCGAATCAGCTTAATGATTTCTATCAACGGCTGTGATTTATTTCCGGCCGATTTGATATCACCGCCGCTTCCACCGCGGGTACTAGTATCCTCGCCGGTCCTGTACTTATGTCCTTTCCTCCTCTTCCCATGAACCGTGGACGTTCCCGATTCGCCCAACTCGCCCGAGTGACTCATCTCCGATCTTCTACTTACCGTTCCTTCTTCCATTTCCGCCGCCTTAAAAGCAGGATCAGGATCTGGATTTCTCGAATTCTCGTTAGCATTAACCTTCCTATCCCCGCCTAATCGTTCGTGATCGGCGATTTTATCGACGGAGGCTGTCGAATTCGACTCGTTCATCGACCGGTTTTCAGACTCCGTCGTGTCCCGGTTAAGTCTCGCCGGTTCGGTTTCGTTGCTCCGCGATCGAACCGCCATAGCGTCGTCTTCCAGATCTGGTTTATCGTCTCCATCATTTCCGTCTTTCTCCTCCTCTAATTTCTTAACTTTTAACTGAAGCGACCTAATCAAAACCAAAAAAAAAAAAATTCAAAAATGATTTAATTTTTTTTATCAATTTTTTTTAAAAAGCTCAGATCCAGCGGCGGAGAAATAGAGACTCTCCGTACAGTATCGAGTCGTCACATCGCTGAACCTCTCGCCGGAGCTCCGCCACACGAAGACTCCGTAACTGCTCGAGCCAGGGGATTTCACCGTCTCTATCATCCTCCGCCGCCGCTTCGCTGTTTTTTTCTCCATCGTCGTCGCCGCCACCGTCGACGGGATCTTGGAACCGACGTTTGAGATCTTGATACTTGAGCCTGCAATTCGGGGCGGAGGCGTTGAGAGAACTCCGGGACCCAACCTCCTTGGCGACGGAGTCCCAATCGGTATCACCATGGCGTTTAACGGCGCATGTTAACACAAGCTCCTCCCACGTTCCCCACACTTGACTGATCTGATTGAGATTACAGTTATCGTCTCCGATACGATTGTTACCAGAATCACCGCGACTGTAAATATCGTCGTCGTCGTTCATGCCGTTCGATGTTACTGCTTCTTCTTCTTCCTTCATCATCCTTCCTCCTCCCTTCACTAGCCTAACAAACAACACGCTCGCAGTTTTTAGGGATTTTATTATTTTTAATTTAAAAAGAAAAAATTATTTGCTTTTTTTTTTTGTTTGTTCTCTTGTATCTCTCTCACCCTGTTTTAGATTTCGAAGTCTTTATATATGATGAACTTTATAATCTTTTGAAAAATGAAAAATAATTTTTATTTAGGTCTTCTTAGCTATTTTTCTCATCGTCACATGAAATGATATAGACCTACGTACAAGATTTTCACCTTTGCCTTACCCACTTTGATGTGTATATATATAACCGGTCGAGTCTAGTTGGATCGGGTCGGGTCAACCAACTCTGCCTCGCTTCGTGTGCAAACCGTCTACGCAGGGGAGTAGGGGAAGGTTTAGATATTTACAGTAATGCCCCTCCCCCCTCATGGGTTTAGTAAAAAGAAAAATTAATGGAATGTTCGTTTTCATCGATATGTTGGTAACTAAATTTGAGGTTGGGTATGGAATTTATCAACTTCCGTGAGATTTGGGCCTTAAAGTATGACTTTATGAGTTGCGTATAGGCCTTAATAGACCGAACCGGTTCCTCTACCTTTTTCCAAAGCTTTGGTGTCAAATTCAATCGGACCGGGATCGTTAATGTAACAAAACATAGAGATGCTTGTAAGTTGTAAGATAGGAAAATAAATTTTAAAATATTACCAAAAAGGTGCAGAAGTATATTCGCATTAAGTTAGTACACAAACGAACGATTATGTGATACAGAGTTACAGACAGGGCTTGATGGGTTTGATGACATGATTTCAAACTTTTTAAATTAAAAACTCATTACTAAATAAATCAAATAATTTAAATTACACTCACCCACACACAAAGTTAAAGAGTAGCTAGGATTCAACGACTCCTCTAGTCCTCTTCTGTTTTCGTAAGCCACCTCGTACTCGTAGTTTACTCACTCACTTAAGAAGACAAACAAAAGCATTTTACCAAAAAAAAGAAGAAAGACCAATAAAAGCAAATCCATGGATCTTGCTTTGGAACAATTTCAAACTTTTTAAACTAAACCCATCACTAAATAAATCAAATAATTTAATTCACACGCACACACACACAAAGTTAAAAAGTAGGATTCAACGACTCCTCTAGTCCTCTTATGTTTTAGTAAGCGACCTCGTAGTCGTAGTTTACTCTTGACTTAAGAAGACCAATAAAAGCAAATCCATGGATCTTAAGCCAGTGGGTTGACTTGTTTAATTTTAGTGTAGGATCCTTTATTCAATTGTTGATATTATTGTGTGCTCGGAAGAACCAATAAGAAGCCTCCGAAAAAAAATGTATACACGTTCTGACAAAATGTGATAAAAGCTACCCCATCAAATGGAAGAGAAGGAGAGAAAGAGAATGAACCCTGACCGACTCAGTCAGGGTAACTCAGCGGCTCAAGCGCATGAAGTTATCGAGCCAGTCCATGTTTACACTCTTCGGCCTCTCAAGTGGTAGTCCAAGAGCTCGGTCCCATATCAGCTGAAACCAAAAGAAGACGAGAAGACAAGTTTGAGTTTATTGTGATGGCTCTAATGATCTGTACTAAATGCGAATATACTATAGCACAATGCATGTATATATGTATGTATGAACCTGTGAGCAGATTCCAAGACTCCTTGAGACGCCAAAAAGAACCGTGTAGTATCTACATTTGACCCCAAAAAAAATGTCTCTCTTCAGTAAAAGAAGGTGCAAGCTTATGTAGTCACACTTACACATGAGATGAGACTGTGTGAATTCTACCTTGCTTCGGTTAGACCATAATAGTTCAGTAGCACTCCGCTGTGAGCATCAACGTTAGGCCACGGGTTCTTGACCTGTAAACAGCGATTTCAAGATTTAATAAAACCAATGAGAATGAGAAATGTGGTAGTACATGAAGTGATGATGGGAAATAGTACCTTTCCTAGCTCGGTTAGAATGGGAGGCACAACTTCATAAAGCTTTGACACCTATCGAGTTGAAATGATATATATGTGAGCCAGTGAAAAGTTAATAGACATGACCACATAGATTAGAATTAAAAAAAAAAGAAGTTACCAGTTGAAAAAGAGGGTCATCAGGTAGATGCTTCAAGGCGAACTCTCTTTGACATACATATCTTGGATCCGTCTTACGCAAAACACCATGTCCGTATCCTGGAACTACCTGCAAGTAAAAAAAATTGGTTAAATATCCCTGCACTTTCTTAGACTAACCTCACAAATCAAAAACATAACCCCAAACTTTTATTCACTAATCATATAGAATAGTTGGCTTGTCATCACTAGCAGTCAATACATATGGTCTGTCTCTATCAATCAATAACTTAACTTTCATTAAGATCACGTTAGCTTTATAATTTCTAAAGGCAAAGCAGAGCACTTTTTTTTTTTTTACCTTGCCACTGTTTAACGTTTCCCATACATAGTCTTTTAGCTGTTCCTTTGATATATTTTCCCCACATTCCTCGACAACCGATTTGATCCATAGCAAAACTTCCTGCAACAAGGCCATGCAGAGTAACAGAATAAGATTCAATTCTCAGTTGTTATCACCTCTAACTTTCAGTTGTACCACAATATTATCAGAAATTTAGCAGCTCATAAGAGTAAATTTCTTGGAACTCTTCTATAATATACTTGTTGATTTGAGCAATATAAGATCAATTCAGGGATAAGGTGGGTACCTGATTAGCCAAACCATGGAGTGGCCCAGCTAAACCATTTAACGCAGCTGCAAATGAAAGATATGGATCTGAAAGTGCACTCCCGACCTAAATGAGTAAATATCATTTATTAGCCCAAAACAGAACCATCAGAAACCGCTAGGAATTCAAATAATTGGGAGTAAGAACATACATGTATTAAAATGATATCATATACTATCATGCATTAAAAACAAAATAAAATTCACTTGATGACAAAACCAAGTAGCAAGACATACCAGGTGACCAGCGTGAGCACTAACATTTCCACCTTCATGATCACTAAAATAAAAACAGTAGGAAAGAAAAAACACTTGATCAGGCTATAGAAGTTTATAAATAGTTGTAAAAACATAATTGTAAATATACTAAAAGAAAACATTAGCTTATTGATTATGTTTAATGAGACAAATGTGGAAAGAACCAGCAAAAAAAACCTGTGAATAGTGACATAAAGCCTCATGAGCTCTTTCATCTGAGGACTATCAAATCCCAGCATGTGTGAAAAATTTGCACCATAATCCAAAGAATTGTCTAATGGAATGATGCTACCATCCTTAAACATCCTGCAATGTTACTTAGAGTATATATTCAAGAACAGTAACAAGGAAGAAAAAAACCCCCAAGTCCAGAAGCTCACAACATGGAAAAGGGCATAAAAATCTAACCTCCGATAAACGTATGAAGCTACAACAGGAACACGGGCAATCAAGTTGAGGGCATCCTCAAAGGTTGGCTCCCAGAACCTGCGATGCAAAGCTCACTTTTTTTTTTATGGTTCCAGCTACTATGTAAGCCAATCAAAGAACAAGCTATAAAATATTGATCAAGTTTATACTTTGACTTATGAACAACACCCTCCTCATATGCCTTCTGGAACTCACTTTGAACCTGGAAAACAATTCAACAAGTTATGACACTCCTGAAAATTGACTACTTCAAAAGATACACAGACAAAACTAGTAAAGAACAGAACCATCCACCTGGAGGGCCATAACACCGCTAGCAAATTGAGTCATTGGATGAGCTGTAGAAGGCAAAGCATCGATAGTTTTGTAGACGTAATCTGCAATGGAGGTTAAGAATAAGCTAGAGTTTGTATGTTTGCAACCATCATAAAATTCAGCTTTGGCCAAAATTACCATCAGCTGCTATTTTGCAACAGAGGTCACAAAACAAAGGTATCAGAGTGGTGAACTACAAAGTATGAACCTGGAACAGCCGCACGATCAGCCAACTCTTTTGACAATGCATCAACTTGCTCTTTCTTTGGCACCTAGTATATAGAAAAGAGGGAGAGCTATAATTTAAGATCATATATTAAAAAATGGTATGATATATGGCCGTAACCATTTTGGATTACAAATGTTAAGAAAATCACACCTTTCCAGTTAACAGAAGCCACAGAAGACCCTCAGGCAAGGGCTCGCCTCCAGACTGAGCTGCAGGTAATACTTTTTGGCATTCAGGAATCGACAAGCCTCTAAAGCGTATCCCCTGAAATGAGAGATCAGAGCATATATTATATTTCTATGAACAAAGGCAAGAGCATATGTTATCTTCTATATCTATGAACAAAATCCATATTATATACCTCTTCTGCATCAAGCAATGAGGTTTTCCAGAGTAATCCAGTCATCCCTCTCATCCCACCAAGTACCTTCACAAAGGTTGCAAATATAAATTGAGTAATAATATATAGAGTGAGTATATTTATATATGAGAAGGCTAAAGAAAATAAAAATCATTAGAGCATCAGCAATGGAGCAACTGATTTTGGGATGCTTAGCTATTAAATATTATTAAATTCAATAAACATCGATGCTTATGAGTCTCAAATAAGCATCGCTTCTTCATTTTAATTACTTTTTTCATTTTTTTTTTGGCTAAGCATCGATGCAAAATGGGCTAAGTATCACCGTTGCTGATGCTCTTAGAATTCATACCATATCTACAGTGATGTTTCCCACTGGGACATTTCCATGTTTTGATTTCAGTTTCTTCAGATGGTCCTGAAATTATAAGTGTTGTGTATGAGAGTAACACAGCAACTAAAACAGAGAAAAGAGCTTCACTGAATGAAGTCTTCCCTAACATAGAAACAAATGTCAATCACTCAAAACGAAAAAGTATACAAATTCAGTGAAACACAACAAAAGTAGCATCTAACCTGTTGTTCTGGGATTATCTCTTGCAGCTGCGACTTCAAGTCCTGCATTGCCATTTTTTGAACCAACATCAACAACAAATCTCGAAAATCAATCATGAGATGGGAAAAAAGAACATTCTCCGGGAAAAAAAAAAAACAAACTTTCACTTTGTTTCAAGCAATTTACATTCAAAATTTAATAACTTTTTCATCTCAAACTGAAAACCTAAAATTACCAATGCAGAAGAGCTTTGCATCTGCAGCCATCTCACGGAGTTGCTAAGTGAAGATTGCTTCCCCTGAAGCTATATTAGATCCAATCATCAAACGATCTGCATTTTTTTTTTATAAAAATGGCGGAAACAAATACAAAAAAAGGGTAAGCTAAATCTACTCACGACACGAGACCGAATGCTTGAAATGGCCGATACGCCGCGAAAAAACACCATTCTTCAAAACTCACACCTAATTACCATTTTTTAGCAAACAAAAATGATCCGTTAGTAATCTAAGCAATGTACATTGACCAAAATGTGTCAGAAATAAAAGGCGATTACGTATGATTCTACGAAACACAAACAGAGAATCCGGTTTACCGGAGATTTTTAGATTCCGGCGGGGAAACAAAACAAAATAAAACAGAATTCTCCGATATATTGAGACACAAAGGAAACGAGAAATAGTATCTTACCGGAGATTCGAATGATTCACGTAAATCGGAATATCGAGAAATCTTTGCAACGTGATGAACAAGTGTTTCTCTGATCACCAGATGCTAGGAAAAGACTATAGAAACTAAACCAAAACACGGTTTCTTCCTACCAAGCCGGAATAATAAACCAATTCATTACAGTCTCAAAAACAAAAACCGATCGGTTTATAGCCAGGTTCAGTTTGGTTCGTTATGTTATTATATATTTCGTCCGATCGAGTCCGTGACTCGCAAGAATCGAAGCATCCGCAACGATTCTAACGCCTAATATAAAGGTCATTAATAAAACTAGCTGTTTGGTAAACTTAAAAGTTAAAAGGGTATGTATTTTTGCTCTAAACTAAAACATTTTGTTTCATTGGACAAAGTAAAAAAAATGGCAAACGAATAACTATATATTTTCAGAAAAGAAACAATTTCTTGAAGCCACAAAGAAAAGACAAAGCAAAGTATTCGTTATTCTATTATTTAGGTCGAATGGGCGGTTTGAAATTTTTCATTCTCCATTAGTAAATTTTGGCACTATTTTTAAAATAACTATTGAGTGATCAATGATGTAACCCAACTATTAAATATAAGAAACCTATCTAGCTAAAATAATATTAAAACCATACATGTCATGATAGACATGTTACTTATTGAATAATAAAACTTCTTGAATAAGAAAAGTAAAAAGGACAAACATTATTTTCCACATAATTCTACTGTTTATGTTTATTCAAATCCTTATAGATGCTTCAATTTCTATTCTTAACATCATATTATTTATATCGTATCGGTATTCGCAGTTTGTGTGAAACCTTCTGCAACTGTATGCTACTGATTATGTTTATGTCTATATTTATGAATTGTGTTTCCACCTTCCATATTCTAAAGTTTTGAGAAACCGAAAACCGAAAAGTATGTATCGCTAAATGAAAACAGAACTTTTTTCATTTATCTATTAAAGTCAGACCTCTTTTACTTTGACAGAAAAAAAGTCAGACCTAGCATTACCTTCTAAAAATCATGACCCATCTATGAAAGAAAAACTAACAACAATTCAATCGCAATAATATTCTCACGTTTATATATAACTTGCGCAACACTAAAGTCAATCACAAATATATCAAAAGAATCAATACACGCATGCGTTAGTACAACGTGTTACACCAAATTTAAGTAGAGCTTTTGCCTGATCGGAGATCAAAACTCAAACTCTCTTTTCTCCTGGAAAAATCAGTCTACCAAGTTAAATTAAAGGGCAACCCCAAAAAAAAAAATCCAAACTTACGTATAGCTATACAAATTATGTATATACCTCCTACGGTCCTACCTAAATGATAATCTTCTTCTCAACCTCGTGCATCACGCTGGTCTATGCCTCAAACCATGTCTTGTTACATCCCAAACCGAACAAATGATTAAATCATCAGAACCAATAGGAATCAACATTAGTTTAAAACCCTAAAGATTATGCAAGGCAAGGTGTGTCGGAGTTTAAATTTGCTGTTGAAGATCAAACCATCGACTTGAGAATATGTTGTCGTCTTGATCAAGATCGATCAAACCGTCTAAATCAAAGTAAGTGTTTGTGTTCGAACCTGATCCCCATTCTTCCTTCACCACGTGGCTCCCTAGAATCCTGTTGGTCTCCGCTGTATGTTCTTGGCCGGATTCTTGATTTGTTCTCGTTGATTTTTTCTTATAATCGGTTTTGGCGATCTCCGGTTTTCCGGTCAGACGTTGGACGAGTGTACGGAAATTCTTGACGTCGGTGTTGATAATCTCCGGCGCAAAAATATGGATGATACGGATCTTAGGTTTGATCTTGGTAATTATTTGGGAGTTCTTGTTCATGGGAACCAAAGTTTTTGAACAATCTCCATAAAAGCTTTTATGAGGAAGATAATCAAGATCGTACTCAGTTTTCACTGAATCTCTCACCATTCAGACAAAAGAAACGATTTGTTTTTTTTTTTTGGAGGTTTCTGTATTGTTTCAAGAGATAATATACAAACTTTTGGATTATCTGCGTATATATACACAAAAAGTTGTGTGGATATGATGATATAGAATACACAATTAAATACAATATCATTGTTGGTTGGTCAAAAACATTAATAAAAAAAACATTTATTAACTACAAACTGAATATGAAAATGCTAAGAAGTATAGGACGAGATAGCTATGGACCTGCCCTCCATTACACACATAAGAACAATTTGATTTGAATATATTAACTGTAAAAATTCCCAAGAGAATGATCTGTTTCTTTTACGCTATCGAAATCAAATGAATTTCCAAGTACTGATGTATTTTAAAAATCAATAAACAAGTAAAAACCATAAAGTAGATGGCGTGAGCAATGTTTTATTTTAAGATTAGGTGGAATTGACTTAGCTTATCGAGTTTCGTTACCCTTGGATGCGAATTTGACTTTGTTTTATTTATGAATATGTTGATTGTCGGCATAATATTCTTTTATGGCTTCTGGAAATAGCGTTACTTCTACTTGTAAATTTCTATTTACAGAACATACAGAGGAATATGTAATTATTTATTTATTTATTTATGGAACTATGGTCTAAGGTAGTTTTTATCGTCTTTTAGGTTGATGTATTGGATGTATAAGACATACATTTTCGTTGATGTTACTTCATGTTGTAAATAGTATATATGCATATAGAGAAAGCAGTAACGTTCAGATCTTCTGTGGCACACGTACTGCCTTAGCCAAAACCGACCAAGAAAAGCAGATTTAATGTGACCTACTACTAACAATTTAACAAATACGACAGACACTCGCCACACATGATATGTCCTTCAACTGTGCACGTGCAAGGCTATTTGTTTGATTTGATTAATTATTAAAAGTTCAAACAAACACAACGGCCGATAATCATACGGAGAGGTCGCACAATTCCATTATCCAAATTACTATTTTTTTTAGTTGTCAACAGCTTTCAAATTATTAATTTATTATACTTACATCAACCGAGTTTTTTTTTTTTTTTTTCACTACTTGAATGTTGCATCAGCCCAGTAAAAGGTCAAAATTATTTAATTTATAGAATACATCATTACATATTTGACATTAGCGTGTTTGGTTTTATATAAATTTTATAGAGTTTTGACATTTGTATGTAAGTAGCTGTATGATATATTGTAAGGATAAAAACCATATTTTTCAGTCTTTGTTTAATGTTATACGCGGGAGGATTGTAGACTTCATCTCCTCGATCGTCATATCTAGTCTAGGAAAAAAATATACTAGGAAGTATTATACCATGTATGTATTAATGTATACAATTTAATGATCTAGCGTAGTCATCATTAATTAATCAAATGAAGAACCAAACAACAAAATCTTTGATCATGAACAATTGAACATAATTTTCTTTTTTATATCTAAGATTCGTAATTTTCTTGAATCCTTACGTAGTTCTCTCTCTGTCTCTAATGCTTGAATTTGGGTGGCCAGTTGATTTACCACTTGGGGTAGACAACGGTCGGGTTCAAATATATCTGCTTATAACCACGGTCATTCATCACTAATTCACTACAAACAATTCATATAAATAGATGTCTTAAGAGTTGTACATGGATCTCAACAACACCTTTAATTCTATACCATAACAGAACTATAAGCAAAATAAAATAAAAGTGAATAGATGCATGATATATCTAGTTTTAACCATCAAAGCCCAAAACATATCGAGTGAGATTTGTGTTGACTAGTATATCTTTTTGAGTTCTATACTCGTAGTACTCCGATTAGACTGAGTAGATTTACATTTTACCAGAATTGATAACATCGTCAGAGAAATAATACTCGAGAAATTGAAAAACGTAGAACAATCATTACCTTTACGTTTTGTTTCATCAATTATTGCATCGAAATAAGAGAGAATGATTGACTAAAAACCATGAGCATGAAACAACTCTCGTTCCTGTGACATATTCAAGAATCGATTAAAAAAGCCGAATCTGTAAATAAACAGAAAACAGAGAAGAAGAAGAAGAAAAAAAACTCAAGAACACACACGATTATTTGATTTTGAAATCTTTCTCAGCTATTGAAACTTGAAAGCATATAGCTTTCTCAAGATGGCGTCGTGTTGCCTCTCTCTCCTTCAATCTCTTCTCTTCTCACAGCAATTCCCAGACCTGAAACCGTCCGAGCCAGGTTTCTCTCCATCTCTCCAACTCCCAATCTCATCTGCTCATGGCGACGAGCGAGTCGTCTCAACGCGTTTCTGATTCCAAGCCAATCGTCTTCTTCCTCGTCTCCGTCGACAATCGTGGCCAGATCCGAAAGTCGGATCCTCATGTCAGCCTCAGAACCGCCGGTTCCCACGCTCGCCGCCGTGGGGAGCTCGAATCGGCAGAGCGGACACGAGTTGTGATCCGAGAGCCAAGGGACGATGCAATCGGAGTGGTATATATGGCTACACGGCAATCTCCGAGCGGATTCTCCGACGGAGAAATCCTCTTTGCAGACGGCGCAGAGCAAGACGGATTCTGGATCGGGAGGTGAGTCGTCATCATCGGTGGAACAGAGCATGGAGGACGAGATCTGGATCGTAGGAATCGAATCGATGTCTGAAGATTTCAATAACGAAGAAGCAGAAGAAGAGGATGAAGAAGAAGAAGATCCGGAATTCTCGGATGCGAGATGGCGGAGAAGACGGTGGAGGTAAGGACTATCGAGGAGGAAATTATCGTCGGAATTAACGGTTGGATCAACGAAACACCAATCCTCTTCATCATCGTCGTCGTCATCGTGTTCTCCATCTTCGTCTTCTTCAAAATCACCGATGGTAACGTCAAAGAGAGTAGAAGGAGATTCGTCATCCATGCTTTCGAGGAAATCGATGCGGCATTGAGGACATAAGAGAGGAGAGGAGACGGAGGAGGATGAAGAGAGAAGGGAGAGACTCATATCGCATTCGTGACACCAATAAGTTCGACGATCCGGCTCGCCGTGGATGGTGGTGGTGGTGGTGGTGGTGGTTATGGAAGACGACATCGAGAAGTGGTGGTGGTTGCGGAGAATGCGAGTGAGAGAGAATCCGAAAAAAAAAAGAAAAAAAAAGGAAATTAGTGGTTGTGGTTGTGTACTAGTGATAATGGATCCATGATTGGTTAAAAGCCTTTGTAAGGCCCTTATTTTGGAGCTTTTTTATTTTAAAAAGTGAATGGATTAAAGTTGGTTTCAAAGGGCCCACCATTTACTTGGCTTTATTCGGAAGGTTTGGTAGTGGGTCTATCTCTCTATTCTCTCAAGTCTTAAGTCTTGCATTCCTTTTTTTTGTTATCCATCCATGAAAACAGTTTTCTCCTTTTGTTTTACACAATTTTCTTATTGAAATGTAAGATTGTGTTTTTAATATCGTTTACTGATTCATATATATGAATGATAGTTATCTTAAACATGTTATAGTAGTACAATCGGTGTCTCATTGTTGCTACATGCACCAAATCCGTATGATGTATACAATATATGATGATAGTTAAGATGGCATTTTGTTATATGTGATTTCGCCGAATAGTTGTTTATGTACTTTGACAGTGGGAGTCATATTGGTCTAGCGGTAAACCAAAAAAAAAAGAGAGGTCTAATTAGTAATTTAAAATAGTATGAGTTTCTTAACAATTAGAAAAAGTGGTAAGCGGTTACAAAATTAAATAGTAAAAAACTGTAATAAAATAGTGAAAATTATACAACTATGTGTGAAACATTTTTTTGGTAACGGTTATGTATCGCTGTGATATCTATTAATGTGGTGTATTTTCATATTTTGTATTATAATTTATAGCTACTAATCAAACCAGAAATGTTTTTGCATTAGGCACGGGTGTAAACTTTGTATCGCAACAGTACGGGAAATATTTTTACATTAGACTAAGGATTTAAACTATTAAGTCATGTGATCTCTTAAAAACAATATCAGTACATTTTTATTTGAATATTTTGACATAGTTAACATGTTGTACCGGCTTAAGTTACACGATATATAAAAAATAATTTTAAGTTAATTATTAATATAATAAGCGCATCAACAACAATAGTCGCTTTGGCCGAGTGGTTAAGGCGTGTGCCTGCTAAGTACATGGGGTTTCCCCGCGAGAGTTCGAATCTCTCAGGCGACGATACCTTTTTTTGAGATTTGATTTGTGTAATTTACGTCTCGCTTTTAATTACTGCTGCAACTTGCCTTCTCGTGTAAGCAATAAATTCAAGGAGAAAGACAACTGAGACAAGATATTTAACACAGAGAGATCCCAAAACCACAATCGCACCGTTTATCATTGATTTTCTTATCCGATCAAAGTATGGGCCAGAGTTTGCAAGTACGTTAATAGATTCCAGTGCCAACAAACAGGAAGATTTCAACTTTTTCTAAAGAATCTCTGACAAGTTGCTCTCGAGATTCCACCCATCCACTGATCTTTTGAGCAAACCTTCAAAACTTCAACCATAAAGCGATAACCAAATCTGGAAAACCCCAAACATGACCATTTGATTTCCCCGACTATCCATTCTCCTTCTCTCTGATCACTTCAATTTTTATAATTTTTTTTTTCAGTTTCCAAAGATTTGTTTAATAATTTCGAGTTTTCAACCCCAAGAAAACGTCGTATGAGCACATAATGACGTTGGAAGAAAGATATCTGGGGAAGTGGGAAGAGTGTACAAAATGAAACCAGCTTCTCGCTGTCCTCTTTATGCAACTTTTCCCCTCCTTTTGGGGATAAAAATCTGTTGCTTTTGGGGAGTCTTCTAAATCAATCTCTCATTACAAGGGTTTGATTTGGAGTTGATTCTGTGTTCCGGGTACGAGAATAAGCTCCTTGCTTTTAATTTTATCTCTTTAGGCGTGTGAAATATCCCCTTTCCTCTGTTTTCTGGTCTGAAAGTTCTTATGTTTTTCGATTTTAGGGTTTGAAATCTCAATTCCCCTCTCTCTTTTGTTTCTGATGCACACTCGATCTTATCGAGTTGTTTGATAGTCTATTGCTATGGCTTTTCAGGTGTAGATTGATAAAAAAAAGTCCTCATTTTTTGCTGCCAAATTTCGAAGAAATTGAGAAAATGGCCGGAGGAAGTGAGGAGGATCCATTCACAAAACCCATTGGAAGATTGTCTGTTTTCTTCTATGGAGTTGGGCATATGCTTAATGACATTACTGCTTCTTGTTGGTTCACTTACCTCCTCCTATTCTTGACCCAAATCGGCCTCTCCCCTAGGTAAAATTGCATCTGAATTTCATGTAATTCTGGCCTTTGATATATGATCTTTTAAAAAAAATCCTTTTTTTTTGTTTCTGTCTTCTGTAGAGATGCTGCAATTGTTATGCTCTCTGGCCAAGTTGCTGATGGGTTTGCTACTATCTTCGCTGGTGAATTGGTACCGTCAAAACTTGAGACACTTCTCTGTTTCTGATTTAAGCTATTAGCTTGTTGTTTCAGCTTTGGGTTGATCTAACTAGAGTTAGAACAATTTGGTTATGGCAGATAGATAGGTTTGGGCATTTCAAGATTTGGCATGCGGCTGGATCAATTCTGGTTGCTATATCATTTTCCTCGGTTTTCGGAGGTTGTCTGCCTTGTTCGATCCTCCATAACGACTCTTTAACGCTCGAAACCTTCTCCTATAGCATGTTTGCAGCTATATTTAACATAGGATGGGCTGCTACTCAGGTTTCCCACATGTAAACCTCATCTCTTTCACTTCAAATTCTTTCCATATCATTCACTTATTTTTGCTTGCGTGTGTGTGTGTGTGTGTGTGACTGTCTGTGTGTTTGTTTAATTACTCTTCAGGGCTATGGTTAATTGCATTTCACTGAACTCAACAAGCAGAGTAGCTTTAACAAGCTGCCGTAATGCGTTTACTATGGTCAAGCTCTTTCCCTGATCTATGTTTACCAAATCTGCTCTTTTTTTATTTAACAATGACCAGATCGGTTTTCTTGATTTAATTTTCAGGTTGCTAATCTGGGCTTATATGCGATTGCTTTAGTAGTCTTCGGTGTTATCAAGGCTGGGTCGAAAGAGAACACCGAAACCCAGGTTTCATACTTTGTGTTGGCTTCTATATTATGTACATATATTGGAGATTTGGAGTAAGTGTGTTTCAATATTGATTGCATGTTTTCTATTTAACTCTGCAGTATCGCTGGATTGCATATTCATCTATCACAATCGGATGCTGTTTTGTGGTCATATTTCTTATGGGGACAAAAGAGCCGAGGTACGTGTGTGCTCAATTATCTGAATACTCTATTTTTTAACAAGAGAATTGTATAGTAATATGAATGTTATATGCATCTTGATCTTGAAAGGCTGAGGATAGACTTAAGAGAAACTAGCCGAGCAAGAATACCTTGGGTTTATTGGTTTCGGAAACTTCTATACTATCAAGTGGCTATGGTTTACCTTCTCACTCGATTAGTATTGAATGTTTCTCAGGTCTGTTTCTGCTTTCTTTCTTGCTTCTGTTTATGTTCATATTGGCATAAATTCTCACACCAGGTGTTGCATTCAACCTTCTCAGGCATATCTTGCATTCTTCGTTATCGATGATTTGCAAATGGATCAATCCGCTAAAGCTTTGGTAATATATTCAAATAAAGATCTTATTTTTTTTTCTTTTCCATATGATCATTTTAGTTTTATCAAATTACATCTCTGATGAAATGGTTATTATTCAGGTTCCTGCAATTATCTATATCTGCAGCTTCGTTGTTTCGGTCTTGCTTCAGGTTCCACATTCTCACATATCCGTTCTTCAATCATAATGTCCAAAAGCTTCTCTTTTCTCCTCCCGTGTAAATTGCTTTTGCGTGTAAAAACTGCAGGAGATTCCGTGGAACGGGAAACGCTTGAAGGCGTATTATTCTGCTGGTGGTATTATCTGGATATTCTGTGGTGCAGCAATCCTTCTCTTGCCTAGAGACATAAGTTCTTTCATGTATGCGATATCAGTCTTTATTGGCATCGCTAATGCATTAATGATGGTATTAACTGATACTTCCCTACTTGAAAACTCCATCAGTTCTAAATCCAACTTTTAATTATCGGCCGCTGATTATACAATTCAACAGGTTACAGCAATCAGTATGCAGAGTGTGTTGGTTGGTGCGGAAGTCGGTGGATGCGCATTTGTCTGTGGCTCGTTAAGCTTTTTAGACAAAATGTCTTGCGGCCTTGCTCTATATGTTCTTCAGTCACACCAAAGTAAGTTCCTTTTTTTACATACAATTTGAGCTCATGATGAGACATGGCTCTATAAAGTTGAATCATTTCTCACTGTATTTAGGGGTTCTTCTGAAATGTTTTTGGTTTGCAATTTGCAGGTACTTCACCTAGAACCCAACTAAACAACAACCAACAAAGTGTTTACCTTTCGGTTACGAGATACGGTTTAGGCCTTGTTCCAGCTTTGTGCTCATTTGTTGGTGTCGCTGTAACCTTCTTTATGGAGCTCGAAGCTGCTGGGTCACTATCCAAGCCCCTGCTTGAGCCGCTACTTGAATGACAATACTAGTCTTTTGCGGTTTAAAAAACACAATGCTCGCTTCGATCGTTTCCTTTTAAACATGTTTGATTTCAGCTGCACGAATCTTTTTACTACATACGGGATTCCCCAGATTCTTTAGACGATGATTTTTGTACATAAGCATATATCACACTGTGACAGCAATTACTTGTATCTTAAAGAAATTTGGGTCTAAATCTGGGTTCTCGGGTTTGATTGATTGATTGTTTTTTGTACTCTTTCCCGGTTTGCCTTGCATTTTGAGTTTACTTCGCATGTAAAAATGAGAAAATAGTGTGTATACAATTTGCAAAGGAAATGTTTTGGAAATATAATTCAAAATAGTGTGTAACTGTAACAGTATATATATTATCCGACCAGGAAAATACCCTGAGCAGTGAGCACACTGTACGGGAAGTTCTAAAACTAGATAGTACTTGATTGTTGGCATCAAATTGTTCTGGATTAGGCCCACGAAATACTTTTTTTTGTGGGCTTCTTATAATGTCAGCCGGGTCGGGTACAGACCATATTTTACGCTCTAAATAGTATAATAATTAAAAAAATTATTTCGTTTTTTTTTTGTTGCTCTTACCATTTTTTTTTCTTTCACTAGTGTAAGCATTCTTCTTCCGGTAGAAAGAAAGTAGAAACCCTAATTTTTGGGGCCTATTGCAGTCAGTCACACCCTAAAAATCGGCCCTGGAGCCATCTTCACCGATGAATCCGATAAGGTCGTCTTCTAGACGAGCTAGATAAGCATTTGTTTTCTGCTATTTTGACTGTCCAGGTTTGGAACAACATTTGATCTCCTTCTTCCGGTTAATTTGAATGTGGATCATTTTGAAATTGGAAGTTATTTTTTTGTGTCTTTGCAGGAAAGATCGCTGAGAATAATGGGGATTGAGATCAGATATGAACTTGGCACTTGTTTTCGGCACAAATGTAGTTCGTAAAGCTTATCGCTTTCTCTTCAGCTCTAGGAAATTCTGTAATGGGAAGTTCGGTGGTGATGAAACCGATATTGGGTTTCCTAATTTAGATTTGGATTGTGGATTTGAGGAGGAAACTAGTATAAGTGATCACGAAAGCATCGGTCGAGAAGAAGTCTCTGTTGGGAGTAGGTTTTTGGAGAGTGCCAAGCTTAGTGCGTCTCGGGTTCTCGAGACATTACAGCAAGATGACTCTGGATCCAATACAAAGTCAGCTTTAGATGAGTTGAACGTTAGAGTCTCAGGGCTTCTCGTGAGGGAGGTACTTGTAGGGATCTTGAGGAACTTGGGTTATGACAATAAGACCAGATGTGCGAAACTAGCTTACAGATTCTTCGTGTGGTCTGGAGAACAGGAATGTTTCAGGCACACGGTGAATTCTTATCATTTGCTTATGAAGATATTTGCAGAGTGTGGAGAGTATAAGGCAATGTGGAGATTAGTTGATGAGATGGTTCAAGACGGATACCCGACAACTGCAAGAACGTTTAATCTGTTGATTTGTAGCTGCGGAGAAGCAGGTCTTGCGAAACAAGCCGTTGTGCAGTTCATAAAGTCGAAGACTTTCAACTACAGGCCTTTCAAACACTCTTATAACGCGATTTTGAATTCTTTGCTAGGTGTAAAACAGTATAAATTGATCGAGTGGGTTTACGAGCAGATGTTACAAGACGGGTTTTCGCCAAATGTTCTGACTTATAACATCCTCATGTGGACAAACTATAGGTTAGGGAAAATGGATCGGTTAGACAGGCTGTTTGATGAGATGGCTCAAGATGGCTTGTCTCCGGATCTCTATACATACAACATTTTGCTGCACATTTTGGGGAAAGGAAACAAACCGCTCGCTGCTCTTACTACATTGAACCATATGAAGGAAGTAGGGATCGACCCGAGCGTGATCCATTTCACTACTCTGATAGATGGTCTGAGCCGTGCAGGGAATCTACAAGCATGCAAGTACTTTCTAGATGAAATGGTGAAGTTCGGGTGCGAGCGGGATGTTGTTTGTTACACTGTGATGATCACAGGGTATGTTGTATCTGGAGAGCTCGAGAAGGCTAAGGAGATGTTCGAAGAGATGACAACAAAAGGGCAACTACCGAATGTTTTCACGTACAATTCGATGATTCGAGGGTTGTGTATGGCGGGAGAGTTCAGAGAGGCGTGTTGGTTGCTAAGAGAGATGGAATCCAGAGGGTGTAACCCGAATTTCGTTGTGTATAGTACATTGGTGAGCTATTTAAGAAAGGCAGGGAAGCTTTCAGAGGCTCGCAAGGTAATAAGAGACATGGTCAAGAAAGGACATTATGTTCATTTAGTTCCAAAGATGATGAAATATAGGAGAAGTTAGGTTTTTTTGATAATTTTTGTTGTTTGTTTTCTTCTTTACCGATTTTTGTAACATTTATATTCTTGTTCTTTTCCAACAAGATTAGGCAATGAAGAAAGAAAAAAGTGGTTCCAGATAAGAGTAATAGACGGTTGAGGAGGAAGAGTTTTTGTCTGATTTCATGTTCCTTTTGTTTTCTTATCCTCAAATTGGCACGTTCTACACTTTGCACTCAAGAGTCAAGAGCCGGTGCTAAATTAGAAGAAGCTTACATAACCCCTACTTTTAAACCTCTTAGTATTCTGTAAGGAGAAAGAAAATATTAAAAGAAGTCGGTGAGATATCAAAGCAGTAGATTGTTCTAATAGTAAGTGTATACATCCAAAGAATTTTTTTATCTATTTATCCAATAGTAAGTACAATAGTATAAACTTTAAAGTGTTTAACAAGTGCTTCTCGTGATCAAGTGTATACACAAAGAAACATTGATGTCCGGTTGGAGTTCAGACCTTAGTGAGTCGATTTCACCTACATTATATAATGTTTTATAAGGTTAATTCCTCTCTTTTCTTGTGATAGTGACTCTATACAAAAGCTTTTAAAATCGTTTCGTCTTCAGCAAATTGTAATTGTAATTGTAATTGGGTCTATGATCAAATCAACCCGGTTTAGCTTGGTTTACTTTACTCGACCGAAATTACCCTTTTTTTTTTGTGATAAATAACTATATTTCCTTATTCAAAAAGGAATTGTTAGAGTGTTGAATAATTCTCATTCCCACCGACTTTGAAAATTAGGGCTTATAAATACACAGAGGCATCAAATTGATTACCTTACTATTCAATCCCGCTCTCTCAATTCTTGCATCTTCCATTAAAATCTTCTTTAGAGAAAAACGAACTAACGATGTCGTCGAAGAAGATGATCGTGTTGAAAAGCTCCGATGATGAATCGTTTGAGGTGGAAGAAGCGATCGCACTCCAATCGCAGACGATTGCACATATGGTCGAAGACGATTGCGCAAACAGTGGAATACCGATCACAAACGTCACAAGCAAGATCCTCTCGAAAGTGATCGAGTACTGCAAGAAGCACGCGCATGGTGGTGATTCTTCAGAATCCTCTTCCTCGGAGGAGAAGGAAGATCTCAAGAAGTGGGACGCCGAGTTCGTGAACATCGATCAATCAACAATCTTCGATCTCATTCTTGCTGCGAATTATCTAAACTGTTGGGCTTAAAGGACTTAAGCCATTGGGCCTCGCTTGTTGCGCGTTTGGTGTCAAGGCACAGAAGTGGAACGGCGTCGTTGAGTTTGTTCTTCTCCATCTCGAAGTCAAAGGTCAAAGATCGTTAGGCCGTTAAGTTGCAGAGTGAGCTAACGGCTAACGACTAACGGCGTTTGTTTTTGGCTGTGTAACTAGTCAAGCGAAAGAGTGAGTAGAGATTAAGTCTTGTAATCAATTCCTAGTGAGAGAGAGGTGCGATTAGAGTGAGAGCTTAATCGGTGTATACTCTGTAATCTTTCTCCGGTGATAGTGGATTCTCCGGGAGGCGGTCCCGGCGTGAGTAGGCTGCTGCTGTTTTAGCGGTGGAGGCCGAACACGTAAATCTCGTGTCGTTTTACTTTTCCGCAATTTACTCATAGTTTGAATCGTGCTCGAGTGTTGGTCGTCGAGCTGAGATCGGAGCTCAGTCGAAGAGGTGATCGGAGTTGTTGTTTCTCAACAAGTGGTATCAGAGACAGGTTCCAGGCTCGAGGATCAAGCACGATGTCATCGATGAAGCACGACGTCGAGAAGTTTGATGGATCCGGGGATTATCTGATGTGGAGGGAAAGATTGATTGCTCACCTTGAGCTTCTCTGTCTAAACAAGCCTCACATCATGGATCCGTCGCAATCAAAGGGAAAAGGAGCTGTTAAAGATGGAGATGAAAAAGATTCGGACTCAAAAGAAGACGCAGAGTCACTCCAAGAAAAACAGAAGAAAGCTCGGAGTACGATAGTACTGTGCTTGACGAATACAGTTCTCCGGAAGGTTGTAAAAGAACAAACCGCAGCTGGTATGTTGCAACAACTAGACGAACTTTACAGCTCAAAGTCTCTTACTAGTAGAATTCATCTTATGCAGAAACTATTTGGTTTCAAGATGCATCCGAGTATGTCATTGGAAAGAAACGTGGATGAATTCTTGAGAATTATTGCTGATCTTGAGAATGCTGATGTATCTGTCTCGGATGAAGATCAAGCAATAATGCTGTTGATGTCTTTGCCTCCCATATTTGAGAGTCTAAAAGATACTCTAAGATACAGCAAGATAACCTTGACATTGAAGGAAGTGATCTCTGCAATCAAGTCGAAAGAGCAAGAGTCCAGCTCGACTTCTAAGGATCAGAAGGTTGATTCAGAGAGCCTGTATGTCAAGGAAAGGCCTATGTCTAAGTGGGCAAAGACAGATGACAAGAAAGCCAATCCTCCACAGAAGGCAAAGAAAGGAAAGGAAAAGATTAAGTCTAAGAAAACCTGCTGGATTTGTGGTGAAACAGGACACTTCAAACTTCAGTGCCCTAAGAGGACAAAAGAAGGATCAAAAGGGCAACAACAACGAGGTGAATCATCTCTGGTGAATGACTCTGTTGAGGTAAGAGTTGATACTTTGTTTGTTGAGGAGGTCTTAAACGTGACAGTAAAAGATTTAGAGACCAAATGGGTCATAGACTCTGGTTGCTCCTTTCATATGTCTTGGAGGAGAGATTGGTTCATTGAGTTGGATGAGAGAAGCTCTGGTGAAGTTAGAATGGCGAATGATACGGTGTCTGAGGTAAAAGGAATTGGATCTGTTAAGGTTACTAATCAGGACGGATCTCAGGTTATTCTAGAAAAGGTCAGGTTCATACCTGATATGAAGAGGAACCTTCTCTCACTTGGTACATTAGAAGAACAAGGGTGTACCTATAGCTCAGAGAATGGAAATCTCAAGATTATGAAAAATGGAAGAACTGTTTTTCAAGGCAAAAGGTATCAGTCACTGTATTTCTTGTGTGAAGCAGAAATATCGAAGAATGGTGGGGCTTGCTCTAGCTCAGTAAAGACAGATGACACACACCTGTGGCATAGTAAGCTTGGCCACATGAGCCAAAAAGGCTTGGATCTGTTGGTTAAAAGAGGCTTACTTGATGGTAAAAGAATCTCTCGTCTGGATTTCTGTGAAGACTGCATTTTTGGCAAAGCTCATCGACTGAAGTTTGAGACTGGGAAGCATACATCTAAGGCCATATTGGACTATGTTCATTCGGATTTGTGGGGTTCATCATATGTTCCAAAGTCACTTGGGAATTGTCAGTATTTTCTGAGCATTATTGATGATCACAGCAGGAAAGTTTGGGTTCAGTTCCTCAAGACCAAAGACGAGGCGTTTCAGAAGTTCAACGAGTGGAGGCTAATGGTTGAAAATCAGACCGAAAGGAAGCTTAAGAAACTCAGAACTGATAATGGCCTTGAGTTCTGTAATATGTTGTTTGATTCATTGTGCAAAGAAAATGGAGTTCTTAGGCATAAGACTGTGGCTTATACTCCGCAGCAAAACGGAGTTGCAGAGAGAATGAATAGAACAATAATGGACAAGGTACGAAGCATGCTTAGTGAGTCTGGACTGCCAAAGACGTTCTGGGCAGAGGCGGCATCAACAGCGGTTTATCTGATCAACAAGTCTCCGTCAACGGCTATAGACTGTAAGATACCCAATGAGGTTTGGTATAACTCAAAGCAAGACTATAGTGGACTTAAGAGATTTGGCTGCATTGCCTATATTCACACGGATGATGGGAAGCTAAATCCAAGAGCTAAAAAGGGGGTCTTCTTGGGTTATCCCACAGGAGTTAAGGGTTACAGGTTGTGGTTATTAGAAGAGAAGAGATGTGTTGTCAGTAGAAATGTGATCTTCAAGGAAGATCTGTTGTATAAGTCTGCAGTGCTCAAACAGAAGGGAAATTCAGGTGATAATGAAACGGTGGAGTTTGAAATAAACTCTGAGTCAAGAAGATCTGCAGTAAGTTCAAGTTCAGCAGATGATGTTGAGGAGATATCCGATACTGAAAGTGAACCAGAACTTAATGAAGATGGTGAGGCTATAGAGACTCCACCTAGTTTAGAGGATTATCAACTGGCGAGAGACAGAACAAGAAGAGAAATTCGTGTTCCACTCAGATTCATGGAAAATCAGATGGTAGAATATGTGTTCATGACCACCGAAGAAGGTGGAGCTGCAGAGCCGAGTGGTTATTTTGAAGCCACAAAGGAAAAAGACTGGAAAAGGTGGAGTGGAGCCATGGATGAAGAGATGTCTTCATTGGCTAAGAACAAGACCTGGGATGTGGTGGAGCTTCCAAAAGGAGCTAGAATCATCAGCTGCAAGTGGGTTTATAAAAGGAAAGATGCTATTCCGGGTGTTGAAGGGCCACGGTACAAAGCTAGGCTTGTGGCAAAGGGATTCACTCAAAGGGAGGGTATTGATTATAATGAGATCTTTGCGCCAGTGGTGAAGCACGTCTCAATAAGGATTCTTTTAGAGATTGTTGCTTATGAAGATATGGAACTTGAGCAGTTAGATGTCAAGACTGCATTCTTGCACGGTGACCTAGAGGAGACGATATACATGAGGCAACCTGAAGGCTATATTGAGAAAGGAAAGGAAAACATGGTGTGTTTGCTTAAGAAATCTCTCTATGGTTTAAAGCAGAGCCCGAGACAGTGGAACCAAAAGTTTAATCAGTTCATGAAAGGGGTTGGCTATAGAAGAAGTGGTCATGACAGTTGTGTGTATGTTAAGAGGTTGGCAAGAGGTGAGTACATCTATCTTCTTCTTTATGTGGATGATATGTTGGTTGCATCAAAGAACAAAGATGAGATAAGTTCACTGAAGAACCAGCTAAGTGAGGCATTTGAAATGAAAGATTTGGGTCCTGCAAAGAAGATTCTCAGAATGGAGATCAAGAGGAACAGGTCGGAGTACACTATAGAATTGTCTCAGAAGGACTGCATAGAGAAGATTCTTAAACTGTTTCACCTGGACCAAGCCAAGTCTGTTAAGACTCCGTTAGGAGCTCATTTCAAACTCAAGTTGGCCACTGAGGAAGAGTTAGAAAGACAGTCTGAGTATATGAGAGATATTCTGTATGCTAATGCAGTCGGTAGTATCATGTATACTATGATTGGTTCAAGGCCAGATATTGCTTATCCGGTTGGTATGGTCAGTAGGTTTATGGCTCATCCGATCAAGGATCACTGGTTAGCTGTAAAATGGGTCCTGAGGTACTTAAGAGGGACGTCTGAGACAAGACTGGTGTTTAAACGAAGAAAAGACCTGGTTTTAAGAGGATATTGTGATGCTGACTATGCATCAGATTTGGATCGAAGGAGGTCAATTACAGGCTTTGTCTTCACGTTTGGAGGTACAGCAATAAGCTGGAAGTCTGGTCTGCAGAAGGTAGTAGCTTTGTCGACTACAGAGTCGGAGTATATGGCTTTGAATGAAGCAACGAAAGAAGCTTTGTGGCTTAGAGGGTTGTGTGGAGATCTTGGTTACAGTCAGAAGCAGGTGGAGTTGTTTTGTGATTCTCAAAGTGCTATTGCACTGTCAAAGAACAATGTCTTCCACGAGAGAACGAAGCACGTGGAGACAAAGTTCCATTTCATCCGTGAAAAGATAGAAGAGAACAAGGTAGAAGTCACCAAGATTCCGACTCAAATAAATCCTGCAGACATGTTCACCAAGGTTATTCCGGTAAATAAGGTTGAGGAAGCATTGAAGATGCTTCAAGTTTGTTCCGAGTAGAAGGAGCATTGTCCGGGACCGCGTGAGAAGCTATGGAGAAAGAAGATGAATTGAAGGAAGAACAGAACTGGTCGTTAAGGTGTATGGCTCTAAGTCCTTAGGTGGAGATTTGTTGGGCTTAAAGGACTTAAGCCATTGGGCCTCGCTTGTTGCGCGTTTGGTGTCAAGGCCCAGAAGTGGAACGGCGTCGTTGAGTTTGTTCTTCTCCATCTCGAAGTCAAAGGTCAAAGATCGTTAGGCCGTTAAGTTGCAGAGTGAGCTAACGGCTAGCGACTAACGGCGTTTGTTTTTGGCTGTGTAACTAGTCAAGCGAGAGAGAGTGAGTAGAAATTAAGTCTTGTAATCGATTCCTAGTGAGAGAGAGGTGCGATTAGAGTGAGAGCTTAATTGGTGTATACTCTGTAATCTTTTTCCGGTGATAGTGGATTCTCCAGGAGGCGGTCCCGGCGTGAGTACGCTGCCGCTGTTTTAGCGGTGGAGGCCGAACACATAAATCTCGTGTCGTTTTACTTTTTCGCAATTTACTCATAGTTTGAATCGTGCTCGAGTGTTGGTCGTCGAGCTGAGATCGGAGCTCAGTCGAAGAGGTGATCGGAGCTGTTGTTTCTCAACATAAACATCCCTAGCCTTCTCGACCTCACCTGCCAAACCATCGCTGATATGATCGCAGCCTGCAAAAACGCCAACGAGATTCGCGCCAAGTTCTGCATCGAGAACGATTTTACACCCGAGGAAGAAGCAGAGGTTTTCAAAGAGAACCAATGGGCCTTTGAATGAGCTGATAGTCGTGACGCAGTTTAGATTCTAGACCAAGTTACTTTGCTATTTCAGATTCTTTATCTTCTCATGATGATGATATAACACACTTGTCTAGCCTAAAGGTGTCTATTTTCTTCTCTTATTCTTTGTTTTGCTCTAGAGATAACTTTGTCGTTGGATATCAATATGATTGAGAAATTTTACAAGCGATGTTGTCAAAAGTCTTTCGTTTTCTGAACAGTTCTTGAATAGATGATTTATTCAATCTTGTTCTCGTTTCTGTATTTGGGTTCCCTAATCCGAAATCGAGTCATGATTCTTCTTTTGAACTTGACTTAGGACTTGAGATAGATAATACATGATAAAAAGAAAAGACTGTTTCGATTTTCTGATAGGTTATTTTAGTTATATCATAATCAAACCAATGTTAATTCTCTGAAGCATTTCTTACATATATGATTAAGTTTTCAATCTTTCTGTGAAATTTGGTTTCCTATGCACAAACTCAAAACTATATTAGAATCTATACATATAATTTTCAATGCTGCACTGCTTCAACTAAATCTCTGCCAAGATAACAAGAGTTGACTTCACTAACATGATTCTTCTTGAGGTTCTGGATAAGTTGACTCCTCAGAAAACATTCTTCAATCTGCAGACCAAGAAAAAAAGTCAATTCAAAACTTTGAAAACAAGATAAAGACAAAGGATGATGATAAACTATAATTAAACCGTTTATGTATGTATGTAGAAGAAAGTTTTGTACCTGTGAAGCCTGCGTTTTTAGAAGTTCGACCACACAATCTTCTGTCAATGATCTTTCTCTACTACTCACTCTTGCTAGTTCTGACACCAAACTCCCCATCTCTTTTGCCTGCAAAACGAATTTTGGAGTTTAAAAACTGTATTTTTGATGCTACTTTATAGTAACAAACAATCTTGAACCGGATAACTAATTCCTGTGATTAGTAGATACTACTGTACTAACCTTTGACATATAGTCTCCAACATTTTGTGCAATGCCGTCCATAACCTTGGAGGCAACAACAAGTGCTTCTGCTAAGTCTTTATTTTCAACCTGCTTTTTGAGAAGCAAACTCTTTGTGATATATGCAGAAGATATTCATCTTCCTATTTGATATGGAGTGATAACAAGATGGAAATAATACCATAATATCCGCATCGAGTGGAAGCCGTAATGAAGCATTGGACAAAGCTTGGATTGTTTGCGACAACGAATCCGAGTACTCTTCTTCAATCGCAGACCATTGCTCCAAACATGGAGTCTGTTTTAGAGAATTAGAGGTTTAAATTTGTAAGCATTTTCTTACAAGCCTCATATATGTTGTGCCAAGAGAGGATAATGTAGAATCTCTATGCTTACTTGAGATTCTGTAATAGCAAGTAGAGCTTTAACTCTCGATAAACGCTGAAACTCTATGCGTTTCCTTTGCACCGAAACATTTAATTCTGAGATCTTCAAACCAAAGGAATAGAGAGCATGCTCTGCAAGAAAAACAAGACACCATTAAAGATAAAAATATCATTTTTTTTTCATAGAATCGAAAAATGGAAAACTTCTAGAGGATTCAAGAGAGACACTGACCTCAGTTTGTGTTCTTTGAGCTCGAGTCTTTACTTCTGCATTGGCGTTGGCAAACCTCCATTGCAGGTAACGATTGTGTAGTAGTTTCAGAGAATGAACATCTTCTAATTGCTCCGAGACTTTCCTCTGCTTTTTAGTTTCCGCCGGAATCTTCGAACTAGGTGCCACCGGAGGCAAAGACAAGCCCATCCGCGAAAACGAAGTGCTCTCACGACCGTTGCAGCTCGACAATGGTGAGCTCAGAGATCGATTAAGAGGACAAGGTACGTAATCTTTGAAGACTTTAGAATGAGTTCTACAAGAAAGCTTCGGAAATTGATCTGAGCCGTCGATTCCTTCCTTCTCATGAGAGGCCGATGCGACGCTTAATTGGAGAAGCCTTGTGGCGGCTGAGGCGGTTAATAACCGCTCCTGGATTAGCCGCGATTTTGACGGCGGGGGAAAAATCGGCGTTGGCGTGTCGAGCCGATGCGAATTCTCCTTGAGCGGCTTCGATTGACTTTGCTTCATGGTTTTTCCTCCTTGCGAGAGAGTAAAAGGCGAGTCTTGCGAGCGATTCTCGTCGCCTTCGGCCATTTTTAACTGGCGTCTGTGCCTCTGAGCAGAAACCGAGCGTTGAATCTGGTGTTGTTGATGGTGGTTGTGCTTGGGAGAATTTGAAGTTAAAAGATGGAGATCTCCGGCGGATGAAGAGGAAGAAGATGAAGAAGAAACCGGAGACATGAACCTCGAGCTCACTACTCTAACCCTCGGCCGCCGCGTTGAAGGCGGTGGAGCAGGCGTAGATGCAGATATCGCCGGTGTTGATAGCTGATGTTGCTTACATCCGCCGGTTTTCGCTTCCATTTCTTTCAAAATCGCCGGAGATTCCAGAAGTATATATCAGTGGCCCGATATTCCTCACGGTTTCTTAGATTTAAATCGAATTTCGGAAAATTCGAAGAGAAGGAAGAAGGAGAAGAAACATTACGGTTTTGCTCAAAAAAATGAGCCGTTGGATTTGGTCAAAATCTGGACAATCCTCTTGTCTTAATCTTGCCTTTTCGGGTAATTAAAGTAGATAATTGTCAATAAACCAATTATCATAATCAAAGCAATGTAAATGGGTCCGATTAATAAAGTGTGAAAGTCATACAGTGATGTAAAATTATGAACAGATGTCGGTAAGGCCCAATAAGGAACGGAACTGTGTGAGTTGACATGATGGGTTGTTATTGTAAACAAAATAGTATAGTTGTCTATTTTTGCAAATTCGCAAAAATCTCCAGGGTTTTCCACAAACGAAAGATGAAGAAAGTGTGAGAGTAAAGGGTAAAAGGGAAAGACTTGTTAACTTTTGTATACTTCTTCTTCTTCTTCCTGTGCATAGCTTTCTGCGATTCTCCGATTCTCATCGAATTTGTTGTGTACGATTAGTGCTTTGTTATTGAGGTGAGAATCGATTGGAGATGGCGAGCGAGAACCCTGATGTTGTTGTAGCTCCCGTGGTGAAGAATGGCGGCGCCGAATCCTCCAACGGAAAAGAAGAACAATTGGATTCTGAGCTCTCGAAGAAGCTTGAGATTACGGAAGATGGAAAAGAGGACAACGACGAAGAAGAAGGAAGCAAAGGTGAATAATTCATTTTTTCGGTGTTGTGATTGATCACGTGGTTTTGAGTTTTTGCGTCTCAAGTTCATGTACCCATTAGGAAGAAAATCGATCCTTTTGAGTTTTGGAATGGTAAATTATTAGCATACGATTACTTAACGAGATCATTTTTGTCAAAGAAACTAGCTTTTTGGGATTAGTCTATTTGAGTTTGGTCTTGAGTTTTGAAACTCCTAGATTTGATCCTTTGTTCTAAGAATCGACGAGTTTTTTAATATAATACTTTTTTTTTTCTTTTTAAGCTGAGGCTTCAACGAAGAAGAAGAAGAAGAAAAATAAAAGCAAGTAAGATGTTTTTTAATACTTTTTTCTTTTAATTTGTCACTTTTGGTATTTGCGTTATTGATTGTTTATGTTGATGTTGCAGGAAGAAGAAGGAACTGCCTCAACAGACTAATCCACCTTCGATCCCTGTCGTTGAGCTCTTCCCATCTGGAGATTTTCCTGAAGGTGAAATCCAACAATATAAGGATGAGTAAGTTACATACAACTCTATTTACTGTGCTGTCTTCTCTCGAATCGATTGGTTTTTCATTCTTTTTTATGTCAATACTGTTCGTTTACGCCCTTTTATCACAGTCTTTTTGTCGACATTTTAAGATTTGGTCTTAATCTCTGTAATGTAGCAATTTGTGGAGAACAACATCTGAAGAGAAGAGAGAGTTGGAGCGTTTGGAAAAGCCAATATACAACTCTGTACGCCAGGCTGCTGAAGTTCATCGCCAGGTTTATCTTTTTTCTGATGAAATGTCAACAAATTATTGTTTTTCCTGGCCTCTTTTTTAACATCCGCCTGAGAGATTTTTTTGCTATTTTTTTCAGGTTCGGAAATATGTCAGAAGCATAGTGAAGCCTGGAATGTTGATGACTGATATATGTGAGACGCTGGAGAATACTGTTCGTAAGCTGATATCAGAGAATGGCCTTCAAGCTGGAATTGCATTCCCTACAGGATGCTCTTTGAATTGGTTGGTACAAGTGCCTTCAAATTTTTTTTTGCCTATGAACAATTTTCTGTTTTTCTTTAGTCATGGTTCTCCAATGACTTTTTGAACTTTCAGGGTCGCTGCTCATTGGACCCCCAACTCCGGAGATAAGACTGTACTTCAGTACGACGATGTGATGAAATTGGATTTTGGAACACATATTGATGGTATGATGGCGAATTTTCTTCTCTGTTTTAGCTTTCCTATATACGAATGTCAGATGACAATTAACATCTCTTCTTTTGCAGGACGTATTATTGACTGTGCATTAACAGTTGCGTTCAATCCTATGTTTGATCCTCTCTTAGCAGCCTCCCGTGAAGCTACTTATACCGGTATCAAGGTGCTGATTTTTCTTTTTGCTAGTATCCATTGCCTTGTGAGTGTACAACTGCTAGTAGGTTGAAGTGTAGTGCTTTGTTCTACTCAGCTGTTTAGTTATTTGTTGTCTTACGTCCTTTCGCTACAGTGGAAATCGAACTGAATTCTGAGCGTATAAGCTCAAATAAGCTCAGTTTGAAAGTGATTACATTTAGGCTTTCACTTGTTAGGAACCACTCTTAACGTCCTTGGTGGGTTTTTTTGGCTGGTTCAGGAAGCTGGAATCGATGTTCGTCTATGTGACATCGGTGCTGCAATTCAGGAGGTCATGGAGTCTTATGAGGTTGAAATTAATGGAAAAGTTTTCCCAGGTACTGAAAATATCCAGTGTCAAATCTAATAACCGATGTTAGTCGATGTAATAATAAACCTCTTAACCTGTTTGGTCCTTTTTGGCAGTTAAAAGCATCCGGAACTTGAATGGACATAGCATCGGACCTTATCAGATACATGCTGGTAAATCCGTTCCTATAGTTAAAGGAGGCGAGCAGACAAAGATGGAAGAGGGCGAGTTTTATGCCATCGAAACATTTGGATCAACCGGTAAACAAGTTTGGATTACTATTGAAAAGAAAAGGCGATGCCATCTTTTAGGATTCACCAATGTTTTGATCCTCTGTTTTGTTGTGCGCTGCAGGGAAAGGATATGTGAGAGAAGACTTGGAATGTAGCCACTACATGAAGAACTTTGACGCTGGCCATGTCCCGTTGAGGTTGCCTAGAGCAAAACAACTTCTTGCCACCATTAACAAGAATTTCTCGACTCTCGCCTTCTGCAGACGCTATTTGGATCGCATTGGTGAAACCAAATATCTTATGGCTCTAAAGAATCTCTGCGACTCTGGCATTGTTCAGGTAACTCTTCTCTCACGCTAATCAATCACACACCACACTACACTCTAAAATGATCATTCATTTGAATCTCTTGTCTCTGTTTTTTTATTTCAGCCGTACCCTCCTCTGTGTGATGTGAAGGGAAGCTATGTTTCACAGTTTGAGCACACCATTTTACTGCGACCTACTTGCAAAGAAGTTGTTTCCAAGGGAGACGACTACTGATGTCAGATTCTCTGTTTTTTGCTCTGTTTGATCTTATATACTGTTCTTGAGGTTGTACACTGATGATTGTTTCTTTTCTTCTCTTCGTTAACACAGCCTTGAATCCTTTTATAAAAAGCTTCAATGTCTGTTAAAAACTATGTATTTGCCCAGAACATGAATTCGCTCATCACTCTTATTAGTAATCTCCATTAAAGAAGATTGGCAGTGTATTTGTAAAGCTTCCCTTTAATTGCATAGTTTCAGAAAATCAATTTCATAAAGCCAGAAACAAACAAAAACAAATCCCCTGAGGAGGAATATATATATACAGATATTGTGAAGAAGAGAGAAACACTAAACAGAGATCTTAGCTATAACCATGGCGTCGACGATAGCTGTTTTTTCCGGTTGTCTGAGAGTGAAGGCTGGAGTTCTCGCCGTCCAAATCTCGTCGATTCCCCTCCGCCGCGAACTCCCTCGATACTTCTCATCTTCGTCGAAGAGGACGACGGCGACGGTAGCGGCAATTTCCTCATCTCTTCGAATCTCCGCCGTTTATAACCAACACCAGCGTCATCGGAGCTCTTGGCCTCGAGTAACTACTTTCTGCACGGCGGCTCCCGACGCCGGCACGACGGTTTCAGCGGATGAATCTGAGAAGAAGAGCGAATCTCAGGAGGAGGAGGAGAATGTGAAGGAGACGGCGAATCTGTTGGACATAAAAGTAGGAAGAGTGGTGAAAGCTTGGCAACACGAGGAAGCGGATTCTCTGTATGTGGAAGAAGTCGACATCGGCGAATCTGAGCCCAGAATCATCTGCAGTGGTCTCGTCAAATACGTTCCTCTCGATCTCCTTCAGGTCACCCTCTACTCTCATCCCAAAATCATTTCTAAAGTTCTGTTAAATCCTAATCGTGAGAATTGGGATCGGATTGTGTGATAATCAGAGGGAACTTTACTTATTAGATTGAGAAATTGCTCAAATTTTCGAGGCTCTGTGCAGGGAGCAGCAGTTGTGGTGCTGGCTAACCTGAAGCCAAGAAACATGAGAGGAGTTAAGTCAAGTGGTATGCTTCTATGTGCATCTGACTCAGCTCATGAGAATGTTGAGCTTCTTGTTCCACCACAAGGTTCTGTTCCTGGAGACAGAGTGTGGTTTGGTGTTGAAGACGATCTCGACCAGCTTCCTGAGCCTGCACCCCCTAATAAGGTCTTTACTTAGTAGCCTGCACATACATACTTATTCATTGCAGCAACAAAAGGTCTGTCTGAGTCCATGACATTACTTTTTTAATGTTCGGTATCTTTACGTTGCAGGTTCAGAAGAAGAAGATGTGGGAATCAGTGCAACCGCTTTTGAGGACTGATGCGACTGGCGTTTCGATGCTTAAGGAGCATTTGATGCGGACAACTTCTGGTCTTGTTACTTCCAAAACTTTAAGAAACGCCAACATTTCTTGATTTGTTTGTTTTGACATAGAGTAAGAACGCAAGGCGAATTTTTCATTGCAATGAAACTGATGTTTTCGTTGATTCATTCATCAATAAGGTTATTATGAATCACAAATATCTTAAGAATGGTTACAAAAACAAATCTTGAAAATCGAATGTTTCCTCGTCCATTTTTGGTTTTCTCATAGATCAAGCAAAGACAGAGAAGATATCACCATTGATGTAATCGTTGTCCACTAAGCTTACCAAATAGTAGCTGTTCTTCACCTGCACATTCGAATAGATCCCATTCATCATTACAGCTAAACCAATCTGGTCTGAGAAAAAGAGAGAAGATAATCGAAGAAGAGTTTGTACCTCCTCGAGCAACTTTCTAGAAGGGTCATCTTCTGGGTACAAGTTAGCCCAGCTTCTTGACCAAATCTCAAACGCTTCGTCTTTCCAGACTCTGAAACTGGCTGGATCCACGATTGTCGGTTGAATAATCTCCTTAGCTGGGAACACTCCCCAAGTAACTGCATTCACATCAGACTGGCCGATGTTTGATACCCAGTTCTCTGCTTTGTTCACGGCCATGAAGATGATAGAAGGAAAAGCTTTGGATTTCTCCACAAGTGTGTCTAACTTCTCCTTTGAGCAGAAGAACTCTAGATAAGCTTTCTGGTAGACGTAACCACCAGGACCACCCCATCCTGCAAATTTCCCAATGCAATTAAACATTCTTGCTAGATGCTAAGAACATAATCACTCAGCGAATATAAACAATGCGATCAATCATTTGTGGATAAATCTAATGTGTTGTTAAACAGTAATATGCAGGGGATTCAAACACTATGTTATGAGATGTGAACAAAATTATAAATTCGATACCAATAGCTGGTGTATCAGATTTGGCTGCGTTGACTGATGGCTGGCTATTGATCGTCAAGAAGCCGTTGGAGTTGATTTTGCCGAGTTGCTCGTTTATGATCTTTGTCTCTGGCTGGAGTCCATCTAACTCAGACCATGGACTGCTTTTTAAGTTTCCAAGGCAGAGCTCCTTGAATTTCTGGTTTGTGACAGTGTTTACAAGATAATTTGTCAGTGTTTGTGTATAAGGTGAAAGATGAAGGTATCAGTTTATAAGAGTGCTAAGAAAAGGAAAGGCTACCTCTTGAACATCTTCGATGCTTTTCAATGGGACAACCCATTCTTGTTGAAGCTTCTTGTCACGTGCTCGTGGGCGCATGAACTATCAACAAAACGAATTTAGATCACAGCGGTACTCAATGGCAATGGAAAACACAGAAGAAGATGGCAAGCAAACCAAGCTTCTCCTTCTAATGATATGCGAATACAATCTTGAGCAAATAAAGAAGAACGACCAAAAAGAGCCCTCCAGAATTCAAGTTACCTGATAATCCGAGAGTGTACCATATGATGCACTGCGTGAATCACCCCACCGTCCCTGTGGGAAGTCATTCCAGCCCTTTGTTCTAGATATGTAGCTCTTTGGACGGTTTGCCCTGCAAAGATTCAGAGAGAAACCAATGATATTTATTCTCTCCGCAAATAGATGCTTAAGATCTGCATCGCTTGGCGAGACGAAATCAGAGCAAGAGAAACAAACTGCAGGTTACCAAAAAATGGGGCGAACATCTTCCTTAATACGGAACACATTTGCAGGGCGTCTCCAAGGTAAAGAACGGGAAATTTTTGACTCATCAATCAAACCAAGGTTCTGCAATTTCAGCACCATTGTTAGGTTGTGTCCACAATAATGTGTGTTAAACAAAGAAAAAAATTAAGAAGGAAATGAGGAGCAACCTTTAATATCCCAATAGCTGATTTGTCCACGTTCAATGTGTAGAGATGAAGGGTAGTGATTCCATGGGCCAAAATCTTTTTGCACATCTCTGTTGCAAAGTGAATACCAAAGGCCTTGACAGCTTCTTCATTATCCTTGATAGGCTCCAAGGCAGCAGTGAGCTCAGCAGGTATCTATAGCAATAACAGCATGAGTGGAATATTAATCTAAATTTTTGTACGGTGCAAGCCATATCATCACTGAAGTAAGAGATCACAATGTACCTTGGTCTTGCAGAAACCAGCCATACGCAAGAACCCTTTGTGGTTGGAAATGGGCATAATTCCAGGAACAATGGGACAATTTATCCCGATTTGCCGACAGTCATTCACAAATTTGAGGAATATATCAGTATCATAGAAAAGCTGGGTTACAATCAGATCTGCTCCAGCATCAACCTGTTCCACGAGCCAACATACTAATGCATCAGATCAAAGACGATCCAATTCAGCACAGAAAAATGTACACAAAAGCTGAACCTTTCTCTTCAGGTAAGCAAGATCACTCTGATAAGATTCAAGAGTAGCTAAGCCATCAGCTTCAATGACATCAGGATGAGCCTCTGATTAAAAAAAAAAAACCCAAATCCAATTAGAGATCAAATCATAGCACTAACACAAGAAATTTGAGAAACCAACAATTTAGAAGCGATTTGATACCAGGATAACCAGCGACAGTGATCCCAAAGTAATCACCATACTTGCTACGAATATGATTGACCAGATCCAAAGCGCAAGCAAAACCTCCTTCGACCTGAACGAACTTATCCTGCCCGTGAGGCGGATCTCCTCTGAGCGCAAGCACATTCTGTATACCATTGGATCTAATGGTCTCAAGCGCGTGGTCAATCTTCTCGACCGGCATGTTGGTACAAGTGAGATGCATCATAGTCTCGACGCAGATAACATTCTGCATCCTTGAAGCGATCTCGAGGGTCAGATCGGCGGTGGATCCTCCGGCACCCCAAGTGATATCGCAGAAAGTCGGTCCATATGAGACCAACCGATCCATCCGTTCAAAGAGATTCTCGACGCCATCCTCCGTCTTCGGTGGGAAAAACTCGAAGGAGAAGGCCGTTTTCCCTTCCTCCGTCACCGACTTGATCTTATCTACCACCTTCATTTTCAATGAGCTCGAATCTGAGATTTGAGGTTCAAATGTGGATTCGAAAAAAGGATATGTGGGACGAGAAGTGGTGGAGAGGCAAGTGGTCTCGCTTGGTTCGTTTATTCACTGTTTTATACTAACCTCTAAAGAAACATTTCATACATTTTTTTTTTTTAATTGTCCCAAATAAGTAAATATGTAGAGATAATCTTGTTTCTCACTTTTTTTTTTTAACTATATATTACGTAAAAAAATTGGTTCCTCCTATTGATCAATGTTCAATTTTTTTTTTTTTGGGGTCAAAATCAATGTTAAATTTAATAATCTTGTTTTACTATGTTTTTTACTAATTAAAAACATGTTTTATGTTTTTTTTTTTTTTTTTTTTTTTTGAACATCCAAAAACATGTTTTATGTAGAAAAATAAAAAATCAGCCTCACAAATTTAGACTATTCAGTAGGTAGGTGAGCTATGGCCCCACACCACCTACCACCGGCGATGCCAATCAACTGTTGGTTACCGGCGCGTGGGTATCAACCGCTACAACGAACACTAACCTACTGGCGATGCAGCCCAGAAGAATCACGTGCTTAATAACTGGAGTTCCAGACAGAACAAACCGGTGATTGGTTATAGCCTTCAAAGAACCAAACCCATCATACCCCGGTTTAACATCAAAAACACTTTTGGCCCAAAAAATTTCAATTGGATACATCAACAAAGTTCAAAAAGCTCGAGGTAGTCTACGCACATGTCATATACATATTCGAGTTGGATACAACAACAAAGTCTACATCCTTTGCCAACATACACGGCTAAGTTGGTTATTATAGCACACACCACCCGGTTAACGACAATTTTCTACAACTCAAGAGAAATCAAAAGGTATAGAATGAAAGCAGAAAATAGCTTGAAGCAATATCAAATGGTTATGAGCTTCCAAACTTCTCTGGACATATCAATCGACTCGGTAACACCATCCTCGTACATGACCTGGACAGAGACGAATTGTTTTACAGATTTCATAAACTGAGATAATGGGTGAACAACAAAATTGAGCTCAGAGTCAAGTAAAATACCAAGTGCTTTCTTGAAAACTCATCAAACTGTCTAATAATGGCGAAACACCTGAAAAATGTCAAATATTAAAGTCAAAAGACGTCATATCATGAGGCCAAGAATCAACCTGCAAGATAAAGGGGACTAAAGAGGTGCTCAATGGAACAGAGCAAATCTATCTGAGAACTTTGACAAGAGAGAATTTATATTTACCTCTGGTTCGCGGGACGTGCCAACATTATTACCACATCAATGCACTTCCGGCAACATATTTGTCTTTGGCCACGGTTGTTCCAAGATGGTCCTGACGCATCCAAATTTTTTTTTCTTACCTCTGAATTGAGAAGCTTGTCGAAAATAGAGCCAGAATACTGTTACTAACCGGCGGAATGTCTACCTCGAGATTTTTTCACCTAAAAAAAATGTTTGAGATCATAAAAACTCGGACTTTTCAGCAAAACCCGATCACGAGATGATTACAAAGATGACTAGTTACAAAAACCATGAACTCAAAACTGTTCAACAACACCATCTACATGTAAGCTTTTTCTCTTAGATAGATTTCAATTTCATTTTACCTTGGGCGGTTTCCAGGTCACTACTTTACATGCCTTTAGGTTCACAGCTTTATCCGAGGGTGTGCTCTTAGTTTTGCCAGGTTTTGCACCAAGCTTTTTTCTGCAACCTACTGCACCACAGTAACAATCTTGATCTGCACCAAATTGAACAAACCTGCTATATATCTTAGTGTCACAGCTAAACTTTATAATAAAGCACTTTATCGCCAGTAATGTTAAAAAATTATAGAGGGAATGTCCTTACTGGTAATCGTAGGTCAAGGGCTCTCCTTTGTTTATGTAACGGGTAGCAAAGATTCCGATTCTTGTCTCTCCATCAATTATCCTAATGGAAACAAAACAAAAAATAGTTATAACAAGTTACTTTGATCAGAAGAAAAGTTGAGAAGACGCCTAACAAACCATTTCTGCATCTCTGTATTAGGATTGCAGCTGTGATTGAAATATCTCGATTTATTCCCCTTGTAAGTAGCATCAATCACCATATTCCAGTTTATCTGACACAAGTAGAAATTTGTCTCGAACTGAGGCTTCAACTTCCAAAGCCTTTCTTCACAAATCTTTTCGTCGATAACTACAGTAAGTAAGTAATGGATTTAAGAAGGTAAACGAATGGCACAGTAAGCACAATAGTCAAGTATATATATATGAGAAATCACATCACCTTCACCCACATATTCAATGATAAACTCTCCTGGACTGATATCTTCATCTGCTACAATCCCATATCCGCATTTCTCTGTCTACAAGAAACAACTTATTCAACTAGCCTTAAAAATGCATTCTTAATAAGACAACTTGTAGTAAACAAACCTGAACCAACTTCATTTTCTTGATATGTCGTTGTTGGAACGGCTTGTTGGTGCACTCAGTTCTGCATTTGCAACTCGATGAACAACTTGAGAGTAGAATCCTATACAGCAAAATGTGATGGTGGTTAACATCAAGGAAACAACACAAGTAAAACAATCATCAACATCGATTATTCAAATCAGTATAATTTTCAACCAACAATCAAAATCTGGATAAGACGAGAAAGTAAAAGATAAAGTCAGATATGAAACATACCCACAATTGCAATCACTGCCACAAAGAGTTGAAGAACCAGGAGACAAGGAGCAAGAACAGAAGATGCCATGGTCTTTAACCCTCTTTTTGATTTTCTTCGTCAGGTATATATCTTAAAACCAGGATCATGTGAAAACAAAGAAAAAATCTAAAGGTACAAGTAGGAGATAAAATATAAAAATAAACTTGAATCTGTAACAATGGAAAAGATACTGCGCTTAATGAAGAAAGGCTTCCTCTTATTCAAACGCCCCGGAAATTCAAATTCCTTCGATTTCCCAATCTTCTTCGAAAAAATTCTGAACGCTTTCTTTATTTGATTCCGATTGGAACCCTAAGAAGATCAGATAAAGTTTAAAGATAATACGAAACAGAGGAATAATAGTTGAAAAAAGACTGGACTAAAACATTGATCGAACATACCTTCTTGACGGAAACCATGGAAATAGAACGGATTGATAAAAGAAATTCGAATAACAGTCCCCGATTTGATGAAGATAGCAAGATATTGAATTTCGATCTTTCGAGAAATCAAGTACAGTGAAGTTACGCAAACGAGAGAGAAAGGAAAAATCAACAAATCATAAAAGGTATTCAATGGCGATAAATCCCTGAACCTTTTCAAAACCCTGATCAATTCAATTTGATAGAAGAAGAAGAAGAAGAAGATGATGGATCCGATAAGCAGAGAGCGAAAAGACGCAAATCAGAAAGAGCGGCAGTTTTCTTGTTCTCCTTCTGATTTGAAATTCTGCGCACAAACCGTCCTTAAAAGGGTAACTTCGTAACTTGTATGTAAACACGCGATGCTGGCCCACAAATCTTGGATTGGGCCCAATAAATTTACACAAATTGGGGTGGATTGGCCCATTACATTATTATTTATGGGTAGTCGCATTCACATTTATCCCCCCTTGACTATATTATTATTTTCGCGTTATCAACAAAACCCAGAGATTATGGTAATGCATTATTCAACTATTATTAGTTTTAATCTGAAAATCTATCATCCAAAGTTGAAGCTAAAGATAATTACGTAAAAGAGAGGAGAGAGAACACGAAACTTTTTTTTTCTTATGTTAGCACGAAATCGATCTACTCAAATTTGAACTTCCATTCTTCGTCTCCGTTAATTCGCACTCTCGTTCTCGTCTTCGTCACCGGAGGTCTTATCTCCGTCGTATCTAGTCAGCCTGAACGAACCGATTGGTTTTATCAGGTAATCCATCTTTATATTCTGCTAGGAATGCGAAAGCTGTCAAAATTTCGCTCTTCGGATCGGACTATGATGAATCTGTTTTCGTTTGTTCTGTGGTCGATCGAGCTCCTACCCTTTGTACCTTGTGACTGTCGTGCTTAATTTCTTGTATATACGAGGAAGGAGTTGGGAAATTTATAGTTGACTGATTGAGCAATTGTGATTACTGTAGATCCGCGAGGGGAAAGTGCGTTAGACGCCTTGAGTCGATTGCATGATTGGGTCTCGAATTTCTATTAACTTTGTGGATTTGTTCAGCATGGAGACTTCACTTATCGGAATCGTGTAGCTATGTCGCCTTTTATCTTAATTTTGTTGTGTTCAATAGATCCTCTTTGATCTTAAATTCGAGTAGAGGAAATATTTGGGCATATTTGAGATGGAGTTTAATAGTGAGAACAAACTAAGGGATTCTAGGCTGATAGAAACCTGTTGAATTTTTGTTGGTTTCTGATTATGGATTATAAGCTTATATGTGACGGTTGTTGTGGTTTTATGCTTGTTTTCTTTTCCTTCTACTGGCCTCTCGGTTTAACTGTGTGTGATCTAGCTAACTTTGAGTTCTAATTCTTTGAGCTAACTATCATTTTGACTCTTATTTTTCTTATTGCAGACGAAGGTAGATTCTCTGGATTTAGTTTCCTTCTATGAGACAGACATGTTGCATTTGGTGCTTCGTGTCTAGGTAATGAAGGCTATATGTGATAGATTTCTTCCTTCAAAATGTTCTTCATCAAGCGCAGATGAAAAACGTGATAAATCTCCAACATCTCTAGTTTCAGATTCAGCATCTAGGGATAACGAGTCAAAGTTGACGTTATGCTCGAATGTTTTTGGGCCTTCGTCCTCAGTTTCTCAACCGTATAGGGAGGCTTCAACTTCCGAGCATAAGCCAGTTCGCACCACACATAATGGCTGGACAGTAATTCTAAAAACAGCTTCTATGGCTAGTGGGGCAATTAGGAGATTTCAAGATCGTGTTTTAGGGCCAAGTAGGATTGGTATTCCCAGCAGTACAAGTGAGATATGGCTACTTGGTGTCTGTTATAAAATCTCCGAAAGTGAATCCTCAGAAGAAGCAGATTCTGGTCTTGTATTGGCTGCATTCAGACAAGACTTTTCGTCCTTAATACTGATGACATATCGTAGAGGTTTGTATATTCACTTCAACTCAAGCTAGTAGCCTTGAGTGGTCACAAAAAAACTCACCGTGGTATTTTATAGGTTTTGAGCCTATTGGCGACACAACTTATACTAGTGATGTCAACTGGGGTTGCATGCTTCGAAGCAGCCAGATGCTCTTTGCACAGGTCTGCTTTTATGAGTAGTTATGATATTTAAACTTGAGGCTTCAAATTTCTTAACGTCTGGTCTAAAATCCATCTTTAACAGGCATTCCTATTTCAAAGGCTGGGAAGGTCTTGGAGGAAAAAGGAGTCCGAGGTTAGTGTTGTTATCCATTCTATGTCTTAGTAACTGAATATACAATACTAGGAACATATATCTGGTTGATCATGAATCCAGGCCATTGGAACTGAGCTTGTTTGGTTTGAAAATGCAGCCGCCTGAAGAGGAATACTTAGAGATCTTAGAGCTTTTTTGTGATTCTGAGTCTTCAGCATTCTCCATTCACAATCTTATACTAGCTGGAGAATCTTATGGCCTGGCTGCTGGGTCATGGGTAGGACCATATGCTGTTTGTCGATCATGGGAATCATTAGCTCGGCAGAAAAGAGAAGAAACTGATGTTAAACACCATTCTTGTTCCATGGCTGTTCATATCGTTTCTGGCAGTGAAGATGGAGAGAGAGGTGGAGCTCCAATTCTTTGTATAGAAGATGTTTCCAAATCTTGTTTGGAATATTCAGAAGGAAAAAGTGAGTGGACGCCAATTCTTCTCTTGGTCCCACTGGTTCTTGGACTTGAAAAAGTGAACCCGAGGTTTGTGATTTTATCAAATTGTCTGAAATCTGATCACTTTTAGTTAAATACATACTTGAATCTAAATACGCACAATGGAGAGGATATGTGGTAGCGGAATTTGTTTGCAGGAGTGACTTATTATCGAATTTGGCTTTACAAATCTTTGAAATCTATCTGAAAAAATAGATTCTAAAATTTTGTCTTCAGGTATATTCCATCTCTGATAGCTACTTTCACATTCCCTCAAAGCCTCGGCATTTTGGGCGGCAAACCAGGTGCATCAACTTACATAGTTGGAGTTCAAGAAGACAAAGGTTTCTACCTTGATCCGCACGATGTTCAACAGGTTTTCTTTAACACTCTTCATAAATCCTTAATTAAAAATTTAAACAAATCCAAAAAAAACTCAACATTTGATCTGGCATGCTCTGATTCGAAGTTTGAGACATCACGGTGGTCCATATTCCTTATATAGTCTCCGTCACATTAATTTATCTATTGTCTAATTGGTTTTGGGGACTGATATTAATCTTACATGTGCTTCATCTCACATTTCGGTCTCACTAATTGAGCCTTATCGGTAATGGTTGGTAGGTAGTGACAGTCAACAAAGAAACACAAGATGTTGACACATCGTCTTACCATTGCAAGTGAGTTGATTGATCATTTTAGCCTCATTTAGTTCTTTGTCTCTACATGATTCCCACTTATTATTGCTCGCTCCTAATCTGCTACAGTACTCTTCGTTATGTTCCATTGGAGTCACTCGACCCGTCGCTAGCTCTCGGATTCTATTGCCGGGACAAAGGTATTTACTTCTTACACTAGACTTGATTTCGGTTGATTTTGTTCGACTACACTAAATTCAATTTCGTTTTGGCTTTGGCCGTTTTAAACATACTGAAACTAATCGGTTTATTAATTTTTTTTATAAATCCATTTTGGCTTAAACAACATGGGATGCTGATATTCTCTTGCTACTTGGTAACACAGATGATTTTGATGATTTCTGTATCCGAGCAACGAAGCTAGCCGGAGACTCGAAAGGCGCTCCTCTGTTTACTGTAACCCAATCTCACAGAACCAGTGACTGTGGAATTGCAGAAACCAGCACAATGACATCAACAGAGTTCTCCGGCGAGGAACATGAAGATGAGTGGCAATTACTTTGACCACTTTTACTAGCAATTCTTCTTCATTTGTGTGACTGTGTCCCAACTCTCACATTTTACATCTCAAAATACCATTCTTTTTACACCGATACTGAGATTTGATGCTGTACTATATTCAAAAAGAAAAGAAAAACAGTATTATATTCAGCCATTGCATTTATTTGTACAACTGCTTCGTTTCCACACAAAAACGTTGACTTAAGTCAAAGAGTTTTAAAACAGAGAGATTCTTGAGGCTTCAGTTTCGATTTACATGAAGGGGAAGTTCAGACGTAGATTAACGAATACGAGAAGGGAAGACTCGAAAAACCAGAGGGAGTGTTGACGTGGCTCCACTTCCGGCCGTTTTTCTCCGCCGTCCTCATCATCATCATCGTCCCACTTTCTTCCCCGCCGCCGCAAATCATTGACACCGCTTGGCCACTCAAACTTCCTGCGAAAACCGACGTCAACGTCGTCACCGGAAGCCGAATCGTCTCCATAACCACCTTCCATTTCATTGACTCGTCCTCAATTTCCCAGCGAGGCTGACTCTGTCTCTCGCTGTCAATGAAGCACCATAAACTACAACCTCTGAAACCTCCGGCGGATTCAGCGGCGGCGGCTGTGCGACCTCTCGGACTTAAATCGGGAAACGGCCAGACATTTTCAATTGTAGTCCACGAATCCGCAATCGGATCGTAAATCTCAGCGTCAGATCGGAATTGGCCTTGCGTCTCCGTCCCGTAACCGCTCAGCACGCAAAACCCAAGTTCCGAAGCCATCGAGAATCCGTGGCATTCGTCTCTTCCTTCCGCCATCGGAGTAATCGTCGACCACTCGTCCTTCTCCACATCGTACACCTCCGCCGATCGGAGAGCGTTCTTCTGATCGTCGTGTCCTCCGGCGACGTAAACCTTCGTCGAACCGACAGACGCGCAGGCGAAAAACGACCTCGCCGCCGACATCGGCTTCCCTCGCCTCCACCTCCGTCCACTTCCTTCTCCGGCGGAGAAATCCAGAACAAACACGTCCCTCACAGGCTGCAACGTCTCCGGATCCCACCCGCCGATTAACAACACTTTCCCTGCGTCCTGAAGCGCGACGCACTCGCAGAACAAAGGGATGCGTTCAGGAATCGCGACGCGGTGCCACGTGTCCAGCGTTGCGTTGTAAACGCTCAACCCGTAAAGTGGCGTGCCAATCACACGCGGTGGCTGCTGCTGCTGCTGTTGCTGAGACTCGCCTTCCTCCTCTTTCTTCTTCTCACTAATCTCACCCTCAACCGGTGAATTAACCGGAGACGGCGAAGTCAGAGGTTGAACAAGGCAGAGGAGCGTTTCAGCTTTCCCAAATCTTCGCCGTTCCCGGTTGAAAGAACGGTCGGAGATTAAGCTTCGCCATGAACGGCAAACGGATTTCATAGAAGAGTGAAACTCGAACGGAACTCTGACCAAACACTCCATTGCCAATTCCTCTGGTAATCCCGGGATTAAATCCCGACGACCTCGAAAAATCTCCCCTGACACTCTCATAATTTCGTTACGAGACCTAGAAGCTTCTTGAAACAGAGTATGAAATAAGATTTTTATGATTTTGATTAAGATTGGGATTTGTATGATACACTCAAGAAGATACGATTGGTAAGCGAAGTGGCAGAGCCTTTTTATAGCGGATATTATCACTGAAGAAGAAGACGGTCCTTTTTTAGTTTAGATAATTATCTTATTATTTGACATTTTTCACAACAAGCAGACAAAAATGCTGGAAAATGGGAATTCAAACATTTTCTTATCCTTTACTCTAGAGTCCAGAGCACACAGATTTCATACATTTTTATATTTATAAGTTTTGTTGGCAACAAAAATTTAAAGTATATTATCTAATTCGCATCACACATAAGGGCGGACATTCCAAACTACACACTTGCAACTTAGGAAAATTGTTTATAAGATTTTAGTTTCAGGTAACAAAAAATGACATACGTAATCGCATTAAATGATGTAAAAAATGCCGACGTGTGTTTGTGAGTCTAAGAACGATCTGAATCATCTGATGTCAGCTAGTTATATTAGGCAATTTAAATCTGAAGATTCTTATATAAAATCACACGGTAAAAATTAAAAACTCACAAAACTGTATACGAATAATTCACTTCTCCATATGAATCCGCCAATCAGGAAATTTGAAATGAAAAAAAAATCATTCAAATCTCTCTACTAGTAATAATTAATATCCATATATGGAATGGACCACACACTTCTTCCGAATTATTGCTATTATTCATATTTTTAGATGTGTGTAAACGCATTAAATAATGTAAATAATGTAAAATGTCGTGAGGGATTTGATTTTTTGTTTTTTTCACTACAAATTGTATGAGATATCTTGTTTATAAATATTTTAAAATAGATATATTGTGGATAAAATGGTTCTAGAAGAAGAGAAGTCCATGTGGATACGATGACTTATCTTCTTTCTTATCCGAACGAACAACAGTACGGTGACACATGGACCATGCACCGTAGTCATTACAACCTCTCAATGCTCGAAAAAATAAATATCTTACTTAAAAAATGTATCATATATTAAATAAATATTGACGAATAACGATTTTGTGTAGATTTACTGTAAAAATGCAGTGACGATTCCTTTTGTGTGTGTGTGTGTGTCAAGCAACTGTATTACCCTCGAGGTTTAATCTTTGACGTTCATTGGGATACATATTTCACTTCAATGAAGTATTATTAGTTTAATAACATTGGGCTTTGTTATTATGTTCTCATTTCTGTTCATTCAAATTCATATTATGATGTTTTTGAACTAAACTTGACAAGAAACATGCAAACTGCAAAGTTGGTGTAAAGAATAAAATTATAAATAAATTTAAGTTTAAAAAGACATTAATTAAGTTAAAACCGAACAACGCGTAGTGAATAGGAGTTACTAATGAGAGGGTCGACAATTATTTATCTACAGGAATCGTAAGGTGTGTGACATTAAAAGGGCTCTTCCACAATTCCCTACCTCCTACCCTTTGCCAACCTTGTCTTTAATTTTCTCTTTTTTTTCAAAAAAAGATTATTCGATATTCGTTTCTAATCAACGACAGTATTAGCATTATGTGAACATATTAATTAAGTTTGCAGAATTATAAGTATTTAGGTTCATTAAATCGGTAGTCATCTGATGTTTTAATAGTTGAATTCATATTTTCTTGTTTCTTCTATTCGATATGTTGTTTGCATTATTTGGCTCAATAATATGAAGTGACTTATCAACTTTGGACGGGATATCGTGATTTGTCTTTCTCTCGTCCTTCCTAAGCCACACCATGTCGAAGAAAGACGAATTTTTTTTACCTCGTCGAAGAAATCTTTATTCGAGACAATTTCATAAAAAAAATATTGAAATCGCCACAACTGTTTTATTCTTTTTTTTTTTAACTGTTTTATTCTTACATCTTATAAAACGATTGTATCCGAAATGAATTTAAATACGAGAAATGAGTTGTGCATTCTCGAAGACCAGTCAATATCTTTCTACCGCTGAAGAACAATGAGAAATGTTTGCCAATTACAAAACGATTTTACGGTGACAACTTACTCAGTCGATCGCTATATCTTTTTCGTTTTTTTTTTTAAATACGTCAAACGTATATTTCGCCTTTAATGCTGGAAACAAACAAGTGGAATCTTACGCCTAGAACCACAAAAATTTCATGTCTTTTGGCTTTTCCAATTATATATTTTTAGGAATACAAATTAGTAATCGTTTAGTATTTTTTCATGACACAAGATTTTATGTAACTGAACTAAAACAAATTGAAAGAAAGAGCGTTTTTTTGTTTTCACAAAAGATGAGTCTACCAAAAAGGCAGTGATGAAAAGTTACTACTCCAAATCTATTTCCTGTTGTTCAGATAAATAATGGGCAAAAGTTAAGGCTACGCTATCTCACTGTTTCTGTTTACCCAATCTCTCAAAAATAATTTTCAGTTAAAAAAAAATCTTGATAATCCATGGAGCGTTCCCTGCGTTTTAATAGTTAATGTAGTGTTCGTCGTATTTGTCTGGCATATCCGTATTACACATTAATCACCATGCTATATCTTATCACTTTTTTAAAATATTGAAAAGGTTTCCGAATATAGCCATATCTTTATCAAGTTGAAAAGGGAAATAACCCTAAACCATTAATGATCAGCTAGCTGATCAACAAACTTATGTGGACAATTTAAAAACAAAAGACGAAAAGTTAAATGGATGAGAAAAGAGGAAATAAAACGTTGGCAAAAGAAAAACAACTTGTTTATTTCTCAAAAGCGTATATAGAAGGATCTAGAAGATCCATATGATCAAAGAAGATATTGTGAATATATTCTAGAGATTTGTATATATCTTTATATGATTCTATTAGTTAGATTATTAGGTTAATTCATTCTCTATATAAATGTATCTATTATGTACATTCAATTCAATCCATGAGAGTCAATATACAATTATTCCAATCTTAAACTCTCATCACTTTAATATGGTATCAGAGCAGGTTTGCTCTAAAGTTTTGATCTAACGATCAAACTTCTTTTTCATTTTCATTTTTTTTTATCGCTTAAGCCAAGTGCTTCTAAAATTCAAGTTCATTATGAACCTCTGAATCCAATCCATCGAGCTTCTTATTCAACTATGTGCCTCTGAATCTAAGCCTAGTGCTTCTCTAATTCAAGCCTAAGTGCCTCTGAATGTAAATCATAGAACTTCTTTTTATTCAAGTCTATCTTGGACCTCTGAATCTAAGCCAAAGTGCTTCCGAGTTATAGATCTAACGATCAAACTCCTTTTTCTCTCTCCACTTCTTCTTTTTCACCGTCATTTGCTTCTTCGCCAGTCTACTTTCTCTCTGTTTCCCCTTCTTAATCTTTATCTGTTTTTTTTTTCTTATTCACAAAAAAAAAAAAAATTGTTTGATACTTTCAAAAGGAAAAAAATTAAGTATTTTATATATATTTTTTTTTATTTTTTAGTTTCTCGCTGTATTTTTTATTCTATTAAAAAAAACATATTCTACAAGTTTTCGTTCCAATCTTTGATTTTTTATTTCAGTTTTTTTTTTTTTTAAGTTTTCATCGTTTTCTTTCAATTAAAAAAAAAAGCAAAAAAAAGAAGAAAATAAACTTTATTACTTCTTCCTGGATTGAATGTACATAGTAGATACATTTATATAGAGAATGAATTAACCTAATAATCTAACTAATAGAATCATATAAAGATATATACAAATCTCTAGAATATATTCACAATATCTTCTTTGATCATATGGATCTTCTAGATCCTTCTATAGCTTACATGAAAATTCGGCAATCATAAACAATTATAATATTTAGATTGCATTTGAAAGAAAATTTTATTAAAGAAATTCGACCAACTGGTAAGAAATTAGGAGGAACCAGAACAAGAGAAGCACAACTCCTTCAATAATATACCATCTCTCTCTCTTCCACGATTGACTCGATCCTCTGCATGTAAATGAGGCTGACTTTACTTTGTTCTCGGCAGAAACACACATTACTAAGATCTCGAGCTTTGCCTCAACCATCGACATCAAATGTTTGATTTAAAGGTTATATTCCTAGACACACCTTGTTACAAAATTTTGACTATAAATAGATCACCACCCATATCGATTTGTCACACCAACCTTAAAGATTATAGACAAAAAAAAAAGGTTAAGAAAAAGCAAATCAGAAAACAAAAGAAATGGCAAAGAAATAGGCAAAGAAAAAAATATAAACTCCGTCAGCTTCACCGTTCTCTTGCTTGTCCTCATGATGGCTTCCATCGGTATTAATTTGACGAATTTCTCTATTATACGATGCAAAAGTACTGTCTTTCAAGTATCTTGTGCTGATGAGCTTGATGAATATGTAAACATATGTAGAAATCTTGAAGAGCGTTGATGCATGCAACACGTTTCTTAGGCGAGTATGGGCCGGTGCCGTACGTTTCCAACTACAGATAGTTGCTGGATCTGTTGCGTAACGAAATACGGCAGTCCTCCAGTCTGTGAAGGTGTTGTTTAGGGAACCGACAAACAGTGTCATTGCTACCAACTTCCATGAGGTTTTGATATAACTTCATATGATTACCAAATGTAACTTGTGTGTTTCACGATCGGTGTGTGTGTGAGGATATATGTTGCATGTGTGTACGTACGTTTATGTTCAAGTTTCGTTTGTTTCCAAATAAAACGTCTAGGGCAAAGCTTGTCACTGCTTGTCCCCAAGTGTAAAGCTCACGTTGTTTCGTTCTGAATACTAAACTCGTTTTGTATTTATTATGCTCCTCATTTCATTCCTGCCTACATTTCATGTCCCCATATAATTAGAAGTTCTCTATAAATTAATATTGACTAGTTCTTATGGTATAAACTCATTTTGTGTTTGTGTCATGAAATGTTCCACTAAAACATATACATCGGCCTTCTGGTCTAAGAAAGACAAGTCGACATTTCTCAATTATTCCTTTTGTCAGTTTTAATCTTTTGCGACGATCTCCTTTGTCCTTGATCGCATTTTACAACATTTTTTTGTTAATGATGATATGATCTCCTTTTGGCAAACTGCAAACAATGATTTCCTGTTTATTTAATCTAAATTTTCCGAAGATTATAATAATTTTAGCCATCTAGGGTTGAAAATTGGAGATTACTGTAATTTCTTTACTTGTTGTCTTTGGAGTTCGTTTGCTACATAGCTGTCAATACGATATTAATTTACTTGATTTGTGACTCTAGCAACAAGGTCGTTGTAGTATAGTGGTAAGTATTCCCGCCTGTCACGCGGGTGACCCGGGTTCGATCCCCGGCAACGGCGTAAATTTTTTGTATTTTAACAATTAAATTGTATCATTTCAAAAAGTTATAATGGCTTCGCCCGAGTTCGAACCGTGTGTTAGACTGACGTGATAACCAACTACACCACGAAACCTCTTGCAAGCAGTCCTTACCCATTTTGCTTTATATCCACTTGTCAATCATTTTTGCGGCGTAGTTCCCTAGCTGATACGGAATACCTTTTGTTGTGTAAATCGAATTAGGGTGAATCATATTACTACTCTGTTTGATTTACAAACCCGGACTAAGACCATAATTATCGCTGATACTCTTATTTGGATCTCTTAGTTTTTTTTTATTATTAAATTGAGAAGAATGGCCACGTGAAGGAAGAGAAGAGGGAGAGAGAAGGTAGAGACATCTCTTTTACTCTCAAAATAAGAGACGTTCCCGAAAAGTTTTCAAACCAATTGATTAAAAAATTATAAAATAATATTTAAAAACCCTGTTGTATACCGCGATAATCCTGCCCTTAAGGGACATGAAGTTAAATGATAAATTTTATAAAAAAAAAACTGTTAAGGAGCTGAAAACACATTTTTGGTATATAAAGCACATTTAGCTTCATTGTAATTTCTAAAAGAGGAACCAAAAAGACCAACAGAAGAAGCTGAAAAAGAGTTGAAGTTTTAAAGAGCTTTTATAAAGTTTTGACCGAAAGGAGAGACAAAGGGTAGTTAGTTGCTAAACATGCATGAGGATCGTCTGATTATTTCTTCAAACCAAACAAAAAAGAACCCCAAAAGCGAAGTAAGAGACGATAATGAAAAAGACATAAGCAAAACGAGCATGATAAGAAAGACAACTAGCCAGCGCAATCCACCACAGCACCACTTTCCTCATTCCTCTGCAGCACTTGCTGCACTCAGATCCACACTTAGGTCCAGTTGCTGCAACGTAAGTACAAAAAAAAAAAAACACACACAATATTAATGTCAAAGATGTCAAGGAAACCCGAGAATTTTTTTTCAATTGTATCAACAACATATATCCGTCGCGAAAATTTACCTTTCCGGTGATTAGAGTATACATGTTCAACACATCAGCAACAGTTGTCTCGAAGTGTGTCGTCGCATCATAGCTCTGTAAGAACCAAGTACAAGGTGAGATGCTTAGAAACCAAACAACTATAACAATAGGTAAAAACAGAAACTAACCGTTGATATAAAGCAGTTATCCAAAGCAGGCTCATTGACAGGCTCATATCTATCATACATGTCAAAGAATATCTCATCCACGGCACCCAAAAGATCAATTCCAGGCTTTAGTTCGGTTTGAGGGTTATCAGTCTCTGCATCGGTAGACACAAATGCGATGAACTTTCCCTTGGGAGCAACGTTGTGGGAGTACGAACAACAGAAGACATACCTGCCAGTGTGTAGAGTTTCACAACATCAGACCCAACAAAACTATAACGAAAATGATTATCATGGCGAAATAAACATCACTGCATTTTCACCCATGCACTAGGTATTCCATTTCCTTTCAGTCACTGGCTTTTCGAACTTTAAAAAAAAAAAAAAAAAAAAAAAAAAAAAAAAAAAAGAGGAACTCACATGTCTGATTTGCGGGCCAACTGCTTCTGAGGTATGATAACCTGCACTGAGTGAGAGTCATTGGTGTTTGGAATAGGGTGGCTCATAATCGCGATGGCCCGAGCAACCCTGCCAATCTTCCTAACCTGTTTGAATGTGATTAATCATCATATCATGAAACATTCTACATTCATGTACAAATAAGCAGAAAAAGGAATGGATTTTCAAAATATCCTGAACAAGACCGCAATCTGGTCGTCACACGAAGAGACCAACTAAATGTGTAAATGAATATAAAGACTATGGAAAGTCTACCAGCATAATGAACAGCCCAGAGGCAACAGCGACTAAAGTCACATGTATCATGAAACATGTGAAAATATGTATGGATAAATATGGACACGATTAAATAATAATTGAAGGTTTGAACATGCTATGCACTGCAATATTACCTTGTTGGGCAGATAGGAAGGGTCACACACAACCTTTTTGCATTTGGCTGTCTCTCCCTCAGATGTTACACCAGTAACCTTACCTTCCTCGTCAAACTCTACCTGGCATAAGATTAACATTGCTATATATGAGTACAGCGTTCCTCAATAAAATGTCACACCCCTTCTCCATATTGCAGACTTGCACATAATGATGAGGAAGAAAAAATACCTTGCACTCAGGTTTGTTCAACATGTATGTGCCACCATATACAGCACTAAGTCGTGCAAATGCCTGGACAATGAAAAGAGATAGAGAGAAGTCACAGAAGAATCAAAAAGCAATCATCTCAAACTTCAGAAATATTCAAGCAACCAAGGCAAAAATCGGAATGACAGAAAAACCTGGGGAAGTTCTCCCAACCCATAGAGAGGATAAATATATGGAGAGGTTCCTTGGAAACGTGCAAGAGATTCTGCATAGAGCTAGCCAACCATATAAAGCAAGAATGTCAACTTAGCTGCTTCACAACTACGGGTAGAAGTATTAAAACAAGGGAGACAAGTCTGAGAAAATTTCACCTTCATTCTCATTACAGTATCCAATGCGGGTTGATGGAGATGTTGGTCATTTGTGTGAAGTGCCACTGCGTGACCAATAAAGTCGATAGTGTTTTCATCAAGACCAAATTTCCTGCAAAGGTGACCTTCTAAATGGTTAGCCACGTATAAGCATAATTTAAGGCGAGTACACCATAAGCGCTAGAAGGCATTAGAACATCAGCTTACGCAATCAGTTCCTTTGTTGTCACTTTGGTCAAATCCATTCCGTTATGTGTTTTTGGATCCTTCTCGTCGTAGTCCTGAACATAGCTGAAAAACTTGCCAGCTCGACGTTTCTCAAATATACCCATGAGAGGAGATTTGAGGGCCTCCATAGGAGTCACTGGCACTTTTTGAACCTGTAGGAAAATTTTCAAAAAAGATGAAGAGTTATCAGCAAAATGATTTTGCAAATATCTGGCCTGCAACCTATACATTAATGAGAAGCTTGTACCTTTCCTTTGACGAAAACATAGCTTCCATCGACAGCTTTAAAGGACAAATACTTAGTAACATCTGTGTGAATAAGGACACGAACAAGCTTGCCATTACCCATCATAAACTGGTCCATCACATTGAGAGGCAAAAGTTAGTAAGTGGCATTGATATGATTAACATTAAGTAAAAGTGTAAAACGTGAACGGAGGCTAAATTACCTTAGGCATCATGTCAACATTGTAATCCCTGCTAGCACCTAAATGCTCAGGAGCCTTCTCTTCTCCCTTGAACTTCTTCCAAAGCTGGAGAAACATAAAAAAAAAACCATAAACATAAATAAAAGTAGCTGATAATAAACTACCACAAATCATTTACAGAAATTCAGATAGGAGAACCTGATTGAGATTAAGCGATGTTGATTCTCCACCATAGTAATCATTCCTGTCCATGTGAAGCACCTACTCGTGATATTCATAAAACAACACTATCAGCCAACCAAACCAATGCCTTGTTAAAACAAATAGCTTCTTATTCAAATAACGATTGCAACAATATCAGGTCGTGGGGAAATCAAGAGATCAATGAAACATGAAGACTTAATGTGAAAGCGCCAAAAGCAATCGCATAACAACAAAGCCCCCATTTCTGAACTCGTCACAAAGCAAACATTTCCAAACATCTTCTCGCTCAAACTCGGTAATCACTTTCATCACATCTAGTCCATATTAAGATCGAAAATGGAAGCTGAAATCATACAATCGGAGATCTAATCTGACCGAGATCCGTTCATCATATACTAAATAGAAGGAGAATTTCGAATCCAGATAAAACCGAAAGCCGATCCATGAATTCAAAAAAAGAGAAGGAATAATAAAAACGAATACGGATCAAGGAAAGAGGATCGAGACCTTGACACCATCGACGGAAAGGAGACCGCTGAGGATACACTCCTTCAGACCGGTGCCGAGAACAATAACCTCGTACTCTTCATCCATGGCTGATCCCGAATTGCTCGCAGAGAAAAGAGAGAAAGAGAGAGAGAGATCGATGAACACACAGAGAAATGAGTTGGGAGATCGTCGACGGAGATGAGTGACGAGGTCTATCACTAATCAATCTATTAGAAAATAAGACGGATGGCACAATCGTAAAATTAAAAAACATAAGGACTAGAAATAAAATGTTGAATACACTTTCCAACACAATTGGACTCGGGCACTTTTTTTGATAGAGAGATAGGTTAAAAATGCTAAATATATGTGAATAAACTTTTGTAAGCGATACGAAAAGATTTCATGTTCAGTCTTACGTCAAGTTTTAGTACAAGTATCGTCAATCAAATTATGATAATGATAATCATGATGTATGGCGATGCTTGTGAAAAAAGTATAGCGTAATGTTGAAAAGAAGAAAAAAAAGGGGGTTACGCATTTACCGGAAAAATTATGGATGCAAATGCAATATCCGTTATTTCAGTTTTAAAGTGTCAAAATCTTCGAATGGACGAACCAACTCGCTTTGGAACTAAGCGAGAATCTAAGGTTACTTATTTGATCGAAGTGAAGAATACCAATGATGAATGTATTAGTTTGACAAAAAACTGAATGTATAAAAAATGTTTTGGATTTGTCACAAGTGAATACAAAAGAGTTGAAGTCAAATGTGTTTTGCCTTCTTCGGTTATAATCTAACTTTCTTCTCCAGATACATGTGTGTTCTACGATCTTAGGAAAATCTCAGCTGAAACTTATAATTTGTTGGATACGATCTCTAACTACAACTTTTGATCACTTTGCCGTCTCCAATTACCATGAGCTTTGTGGTTTCCACCAATGATTTGTCACTTAAGCTTCGATCAACCTAAATCCAGGCGTAATATATTGCAATCTGCAAGATTAAACAATTAAGCTTACTAGGGATGAGTTCAAAAATGGCTTTAACCTTCTGAACTTTAACCCCCCACTGTCTCTCGAAGCTGTGGCTCCGTGGATTTAACTACCTCTCGTCCTCTCCAAGTCTTCGCCAAGCTGATGTTTCAATGCATCTTATACTCTTTGTGGAAGTAACGTAATGCCCGTGTGTTTACTGACTCGACGTCTTCGATTACCGCTCTTCGTGCCCGTGTTGACCGTTTGATAAGGGATCGGCTCCTCTCCTATCCAGCCAGGAGCCTTTCTTCTCAATCGTTGTTTGAGCTTTACTTTCAACAAATTGGTTCTATTAGATAATATGTAATCTCTTTTCTTCTATCCTGTATTTCTTCTAATAAGTGGCTCGCTACAACTCTGTATAAATCTTAAAATCTGGTATAAAATCTTAACATTTTCGACCAAAAAAACTTTGACTAGGCCATAATTGGTAACAAACCCAACAATATATATATATATATATATATATATATTACATCTAGTTATTGCTATTTGATTTTACAATTTCAATACGAATATTAGAAATTAGTTAGTTGTTATATATCATTTTTTGTTACATTTTTGATTTTTCTTAAACTTAAAATTTTAACTATAAACTGGAAATTCAACCCAATAATAAATCAATGAGAAATCAATATTCTAGTTTCTAAACATAATTAAGCATCATTGGTAGAAAACATAATAAAATTATGTATGCAATTTGTTTTAAAAGGTAGAGAATGTATGAGACAGAAACAACATTCAGAAAGAGCGGGGCATATGGTAGACAAAATCAATAAAATATATTGCAGTTACATCTTGATCATATTTCTATGTCTCTTAACTCTTTTTCCGTAAGCAACTCACTTACAAGTCCTTTTCGTATATTACAAATTTACAATAATATAATACAACAATAATAATAGAGGAATAAAGGTAGCATTATTTGTATAAGGGATCTTTATATAACTACAGTTGTAATTGATGTCAACAAAATATATAACTAGTTGTATATTTTTTAAAGGAAATCATTTTTCGAATGATGTTGATATGTTTTTTTTTTTTTTGTGTGAGAAAAGGCTTGACGGATGTTGATACTTATAGTTTTAAATAAAAGTATATACTGTATTCTTGCAAGCTTACACGCACTATAGACGATGACATGACTTTTAATAATTCACATGATTGTGGGTCTTCGATAGTTAAAATAAACCACGTTAGCATCTAATAATCTAGTATTACATCATCATTCATTGAACACTTCCAAATAGCTTTACCATCCAAAAATAAAACGCGTTTAGTAATCACTAATCAATAAATAAAAAGATTTAACATATTCACCATAAAATATGATTCGATTTATGATATATTTAAATTTTATACTTGATAAAATTATCAGGTTTGAATCTCAAATCTTTTATAAACAACATCATAAAATGTATTTTGACAAATAAAAAATAAAGAAAAAGAATAAGTAGTGGAGTAAAAATAAATGAGATATTGTATATATGAATCAGTATATAAGAAAAATAGAGGAATAAGTTTTGTTTCATTTTATAATAGAAGAAAATTGCTTTTAAAATTTAAAATTAAAAGTATTCTAAGCAGCAATGTGTTTTTAAATGCAATTTTCAATGTAAATATATGGTGAAACTTTTAACTAAATACAAACGAATGTTTCATTTCAACCTACATTGTTCTTTTAGTTAAACGTAAAGTTATGTTTTTGAGCTCAAATATTCTTATATGTTAAAGTCTTATAATTTTCGTATATAATTATTTTTACTAACCATTTTTCAAGCAATATAAAAAGTTTGCATTAAATTATATATACATTTTTTTTTAAGATCAATACTGTCGAGCTGGTTCTCGGTTACATCATGAAATCTCAAATATTTTCAATCTTTCAATTACTTCACCCATTATGTTTTTTTTTTTTTTCATCTACCCAATTATTTCAATCACATTTGACCAATCCGTGGAGTGGTCCGAAAACCATCTAACTATCGATTTGGGAAAAGATAATTCCTTTAGTTCGAGCTCTTTTTGCAAGACTATCCGTCCAGACATTTAAACTTCTCAACACCCATTATATTTTGTTGTTCCTTTTCTTTCTTAATATAATACTAACAAATAAAACATTAAACAGTTCTTTTTAAGAAAAAAACGAATAAAGCCTTTTCGCATCAAAACATAATTGAAAAAACAAATAATAGGGTTGTTATTTAGTTGAGTCATTTTTAAACTCTATATAGTTTTCTCTACAAATATTTAAAACGTAATATACTTATTAGACACAAGGTAGATTATTCTCATTTAACTCCACAGCAACAACAAATACTTGAAATCCTTTTTGTCTTCATATGATCTGTAGTCGTTGGATTGAATTTTCATAGATTCTAAAATTCCATTGGAAATTAACAGCGAACCGAAGAAGGGAAGAGAATCTATAGTTGGAATTAATAAATTAAGATTCGACGAATGTAAATAAATCAAGAGAATATTGTTGAAAATGCATACTTTTTCAATTAAATAAAATTCTGTCATCAAAAACCAGAACCCGATGCACAGGGTTTTTCTCAGCCTCTCTTTCTCTTTCTCTCTCCTTCTCTCAATGGAAATCTTGTCCAGGTTTAGCTATTCTCTCTCTCTCTCTCTCTCAATTCTCTTTTATGGTTCATCTGCATCTCATGAGTCATGATGTATAGGCCAATTAAGTTGTTCTTCGCGCTCCCCTGAAAACTCGATTCGGTTCATCTGATTGGGTGTTCGATCTGGTGTTACTGTTCTCTGCGTTTTTTTCTTCAGCGAATCGAATTGGATATCTTGCTGATGATGTTTTGTTTCCTTTCTAGGGTTTGTTGTTGATTTCTTATGCCATGGTCAAGACCTACTGACGCTTAAGGGAAGTCATTGAGGATTTTACGCTGATTAGTTCTAGCGTGGATTTTGATAGGGATCAGTGCTAGGTTTTGCTTTCGGCCTTGATTTTGTAGATTTCGATGCTTCTGATTGGAATAGTTGAGTCCCTTTTTCGCTCTTGTGATTCACGCCAATAGCATTTGAGGACTTGGTTCCCAAATCTCTGATTTTTTTGGTCTGCAAGTCACTGGGTTTTGGTATCTTGATCTGGCCTGCACTTTGGTGAAACCTGGAATAGCAATATAAATTCGAGACTTTTGTTCTCGTATAGTTCAGTGACGTTTGGTTTTAGAAGAAATGAGATTTCAATGAACAGAAGAAAGATTTTGTTTAGTGTTCTCTTGTACGCCTAGCTTTTGGAAGATAAGTTTTGTGTGGCTCTTTTACGTGTGTTGACTTGAGAAGGATGGAGAAAGAAGGCGTGTGTGATGATATCAAGTTAAGTGATCAGATTCAGATATACCCTGATGAGCCTTACTGTTCCGAGATAGGAACTGAAACCTTTGCTTCATCTCAGAAGATTGAAGGAGGCGAGGGGAGTAATGTGGTCTTTTCAACAGAGGCACCTCTCATAGGTAAAGATCCATACTGTGGCTGTAGTGCAAAGAAACTAAATTTCAAAGGTAGTGAGGATCTCATTGAGAAGGAAAATATTGGTCAGCAGAAAAAGCTTAATAGACAGGATAGAATCGAGTTGGGACGACTCTTCCAAGGCGCTGTTACCTCACTGGATTGGGAACTCGCAGAGAGATTGATTCAGTTAGCTGATCCGCAAACTTTGAATGATTTGTTGTGTGTTGGTCTAGATTCTGTTTGGTTCTTGAGTACAAAGCATGAGTTTCAGGGGATCACAGGATTGATTAAGAAGATTATATGTCATGGTGCTTATGACTTTACAAGAGCTACTCTTAGGACTTCATTTCTTGCTTCATGTGTCTCTGCTTGCCAGAGCCGGACTATGAGTCTTGCTGATACTGTAACCGTAATGGCACAAAGGTAATTTTGCGTTTCTTCTCTTTCCATAAGTCTAATTGATGCACTCGCCACTCTGAAATGCTTAGAACAGGTTGGCTGTTTTTATGATTCCGTGATTTTTTTTTTTTTTTGCAACTTAAAAACGGCCTTAGATCTATTAATATGAGCTGAAATGATCCTGTTGAATCTTTGTTGAACGCATTGATGCCGCTAAATTCCACAAATTTTCGCCTGGTACTACTTTGAATCATTTGTTTTCACATTCATGGAGCAATATCTCTTTGATGGATGCCTTTGCAGTAGTTAGCATGTGATGTGGAATTGTCTTTGTGCACTTGTGAATGAGTTTTTCCATTTAAAAGAGCTGTGAATTTGCTTCGCTTACTTGCTTCCTGTTAAATCGATGATATTTCCTAATCTTAATCTGCTTGCTGGTTTTCTACGGTTGGCCAAGATGGCTAGGTACTGTTCATGACTGACCTCAACTTAAAAATTTCCATTATCTGTCTGCCTAAGTATTTGCTATACAGTTACTATAACCTAATTCCGAGTTTTATGTCTCGTTTATTCGTAATATTTAGGTTGCAGGAGCGTCTCCAAGAGTGCAACGGAGATGAGATTCTGAAAGCAGAGGCTGGTGCAAAAGTTCAGAAATTCACTGAATGGGCTCTCAAATGTATAGGTTTCCACTCCCGATGCCAGGGGACAAGGGATAGAGTTAGCCACAATTCAGCTGCTGAGACTGAACTACAGCTTTCTGCTTTCAAGATGTTTTTAGATTTAGCGGGGAACCATCTCTCGGGAAGGGAATTCACCGAGGCCTTCGATGCAGCTTGTTTCCCGCTTACTCTGTTCTCTACCTCGTTTGATCCTGGTTGGGCGTCTGGAATATCAGCTACCGTCATACAGGGGCTGCTCGGTATGCTTGTTGAAGGTGGCGCAGATAACGTAAATCAATGTTTCCTCGAAGCTTCACGTTTCGGTAGTACAGAACTCGTCCGCGTCTTGTTGCATGTAAGCTTCCACTCATTTGATTGATTTTAAAATTGAAGATCTCTATGTGCTCTCAAATTTTGATAATTTTTGTGATTCAGATTGCTCAAAGGAACAGCTTAGATGTGGATGTGGACTTAGCTCTCGGTTTTGCTTCACATTATTGTAAAATCGGGACAATGAACTGTTTAGTGGAAGAAGGTAATGCCATTGCCTTCTTGGGTCCATTGATGAGAGCAGCAGAGAGAGGCTGTATGCAAGTTGTTCAATGGTTTGTGAAAAGAGGTTGCCGCGACATGGAGCTTTGTCTTGCTCTGACAGCTGCCACTTCAAGTAGTCAAGTCGAGGTCGCTGCTTATCTCCTCCCCTATGTTCCGCCACCTGTCCTAACCGCTCTCAGCATCGAAATCCTAAGAGCAGCTGGAGAAAGAAGCGGAGGGTCTCTTCAAGGAGTAGAGTTTCTCCTCAAATCAGACTTCCTAGGAGATTCCGTGGCCACATACTCAGTGGCAGACGGCATCGCGAGGTCATCAGAGGACGAGTCCGTTCCATGGAATCTAAAGTCGTTTCTCCAAGAGCATTGGTCGGAATCAGCTTTTGAGGAAGGAAGGAGAGAAAGTCATGAGAATTTCATGAACTTTATGAGGGTTTTGAAAAAAGGCGAGTCTGAGATATCTTTAAGAGACCTTCCTGCGCCGCTAAGAGTAGCGATTGCCTACATGCCGCTGTACAGAGAGTGTGTAAATACGGGCGGGAGGTTACTGTCTCAGAGGCTAAGAGGGCAGCTCGTGGAAGCTGTGAGACAGCTTCAAGGATGTGTTGTTGCAGTTGTGGAAGTGAGCGAGACTCGTAACCTTATGGCGGTTTTGGAGCATCACCTCACCGCCATTTTCGGTTAAAAAAGGTTTCTTTTAACCTGAACCAGGAAAGAAGCAAAGCAGCAGACAAAGTAAACATAAGCCTCTCAGCAAAAATAGATCCTGCTTCGAGCCCCACTCGTTTTCTACGATTTGTTGAAAAAATAAGGATGGAGAAAAGTAAAAAATTTACTATTTAACGGAAGATGGGGATTCGGGTTTGAGATATTAAAGAGGTCCTTTTTTTTATCTTGTTAATTTCTTCGTATCGTGTCTATTTCAGTCTCTTCTGTCCCTTTTCCCTTGTTATGTATAGCTTATAATTATATAATAATTTGATGTAATTTCCTAACTTACGTTTCTATGATGAGATCGTGTTAATTTATGTCAGGGCATTGCTTTCTAATCTTTTGGAAATTCCCAATTAGATTTTGTGTATGGAATTTGCTTCTACCTGAGAATTGAGAGAGAACAACAACGGAATGAAATTTGAAAGATAAACGATAGTTGGGCTTGGTTGAAAAGTATTTCAGCTAATTCAAAATTAAATCCTGGTCTGTAATAAAACCGGCAATAGGATAACAAGAAGAAACAAGGCCCCAAGCACATACATGATACATGGCTCGCTTCCATGTATTTTTTGTCAGTCAACAAACGAAAACAACAAGAGTGATGGAATGAAAATTGAGTTTGAAACTTGGATTAAAAAAAGGTGGATTTTGCCATCTAAAAACATAAATTAAAGCTACCTGGAAACAAGGCTCATGAACCGATTGTTATACAAAAATTACAAATGAAATGATACGTCTTATGAAATGTTGTTATACGGAACCTTTTAACATTTAGACCCAAAAAAAAAAATCTATTATACGGAACCAGTTTACTCCTAATTTTTTTTTCTTTTATTTTTTTTACCCAAAAGGTTTGTTTGTGTTTGTTCGTAGACGAGAGGGGAAAGCTAATTTTTGGTTTAAGAAGCCTAAGATTTAATAAAATACAATAATAACAGATTTACATAAAAGTGCAAGTTACATCTTTGGACTTAGAAGAAGAAGAAGAAGGCATGAAGGCAAGAACCACGAGTAAAACCATAATCCCAATCGGAATCAAAAGCAGCATAAACGGAGGCGGAGGTAACGGCGGCAGAACTAACGGCAGGATTAACAGAGACGCCGTTAGACCCACCAGTAGAACCAGAGACTCTAAACTGAAGTAATTCGCCGGAATCATCAGCCTTTTCTGCGACGAGAAGGTCCGTCGTAATTCTTGCTTGTTACTCTCCGTCGCCGTTGTCGTCGGACGGCGAAAGTTGACGTTTTTCCGGTTGTTTCTTCCGACGTCCATGACTAGGTTGTTTGAATAACGGTCTTGGATGTTTATGATGTCGTTTTGTAAGCTTGGGATTTCGCGAATCATCTAGTGAAGTTTTCTGGGTCTGATTCGGATTTAGAAGCTCGGTGAGAAAATTTACAAAGATCTGAGCTTTCTCTAACTTAAATGCCAACGGAGCCTTTTGTTTAAGTCTCTTGTTAACCCAATGCAGCTGGTGACGAATCCGAGACAAATTACGATGGCACAAGATCCAAAAACCAAGAACGCAAAGTTCCTTGACGAGTCAAAAAGAAGAAGATTTTTTCGGATCTGAACTGTGATGTGTTTTCGGTTACGGACCAAAGCTCTGCATAAAGAAAATGTGGATGTTCTGATTAGTAATTTGGTTATGGAGAAACCATAGACAACAACCTTCAAATCAATACAGAAACCTCAAACAAGAACTAAAGTACCTTTAATCCGTTAGGGCCAAAACCCCTTGTGCAAGAAGAAGATTTCTTTTTCGCCAAAACAAAGGAAAACTATGGGTTTGCTTTGATCTTCAATCTTTTGGAAAGAGGAAGGTAGCTATAAAAGAAAACAAGAAATCATAATTAAAAGGATAAATCTTTGGGGTTATTAATAAGGACCTGTAGAGGATCAGAGAAGTGAATCAGAAAATATGGGGAGGGTTCAGTGAATTTAGGGATTTTCTGAAATGTTGAAAAGAAGAAAAAGAGGAAACTTGTTTTTTTATAAGGGGCTGACAAATGTGAGAGGCAAGCTGATGATTTTGGAAGATTTGAATTTTTGTTTTTGTTCCGAGAAATTAGTAAAAAATAAAAAACTCCGTGTGGCCTAGTCTTCCACCACAATCACAAAGGTTCTTCTCCCCTGGACTTGTTCTCTCTCTCTTCTCTACTTTACTTGTTGTATGGACATGACGTAAGCTAGAATCTCTTCTGTATAAACTTTTTAGCTGACATGGATGTATTAAATAATGAGTTTATATATGGGTCCTGAATAAGAGCGGTTATAAACTTATAAATACTCAGTGTTAGTGTAAATCGCTGGAAAGAAAAACTAGTGTTTTCAGAACTAACTTGTTTGGGATTAGTCATATGTGAATTTTCTTAAATAATCACCTCCTACAATTTTTAAGACATTTTTAGGTACTTTGAATCATTTAAGTAAATTCACTAGACTTGAAATATCAATAAGTGTCTTTAATTCAAAATTTTGATCCGTTGAGGAGATTACTTTAATTTATCATACTACCTACCAATAATTTTGTCTATCTCTATGGATCGATCAGGACCCATAGTGTTGCTCTTCTCCAAGGCACTTCATATGGTGAATGTATGTGTTCTAGTGGGAAATGTTGGGGGCAACATGTATGCTTATTTTTAAGTCTCGTTTTTCTTATATATATAAAGTGAAGTTATCAATATTATAGTCAGAACGGATTGGCTTTGGCTCAACTGGATTTTTGTTGATTTGGCTTGTCTATCTCATTACTGGTTGGTTTAGATAAATTAATCAAACTTGCTTAAATAACTGATTGTAAAAATATATTCGCTTCAATATGAGTTTTCCTTGGTCTTCTTCTTCTCCCGTCTTTGTGCAATCTTCTTTATCGAATTTGATAGTGATTAACATGTTTTTTTTTGTCGTCAGTGATTAACATGTTAATTGAGAAAGTCGCTAAGTCGGAAATCATATTTTTAATCTTAGTTTATATGTAGGGTGCAATGAATTGACAAACATGAGAGAGCTTTCAGAATCAACGTTAAGAGGTTTATTTGATTTGTTTTCTGGTCTTTGGATATATAACAGCCATTAGTAGCTTGGAGAATTGATAGACTATCAAACACCACAACACTAGTTATCCACATTAATTTAATGAATTGTGCAACATTATGTTACTTTTGTCAAATTAACAATACATAAAGACAGTTTAAAAGTATGAAACCCTTTGACATGTACCAACAAAATATATGCATTGATGACATATCCTAAAATTAATAAAGTAGAAGTTTATATTGAATGATCTGCCATAGTTTCTAGAGCTACTCTAGAGATATGAAAATCGTATATTTAGGGATGTGAAAATGGATCTCCTCGTTGACCCAAAAAAAATGAAAGAAAATGGATCTCCGAAGCAATTCAGCATAAACAAACTATTGATGATACTCTTCGATATAACAATACAAAACAAATAATTCCTTTATAATTATAATAAAAGTGTTTTAATATTTATTTACACTGAGCTTTTAATCACGTTTTAAGAAACCTAACTTACTATATATGATTTAGATTATTTTAAACGCTAATTTATGCATTACCTATGAACTTTTTTTTTACCAATTTATTAACCTTTTTATAAACACACATTGAACTGTAATTGCAAAAACCAAACGCATGCAAAAAAAAAACATTTTTGAAGCTAACTAACAAAACTGTTTACCTTTATAGGTTTCAAAAAAAAAAAAAAACTGTTTACCTTTACAACTAATAAAATTCATTTTTTTGTGGTCAAGTAACTAACAAAATTCTAAAATGCATGGATTTATTTTTAAAAGGCTACAGCATACGGAAATTATAACCAAGACCTATGTAGTATCAGTTTGGTGCGGTTTTAGATTTAGTTTAATTAAAATAAATGCTTCAATCCATTCTTTAGTTCAATTTTTTACGTTGACAACAACAAAAAATCAGTTTATTCTGTTTTTTTTTTCTAAACTTCAATCAATTTTAGAGTGATTCGTGGATTTAGTATGTATTAAGATTAAACATCACTACGTATGTTTTTTGTTATATAATTTGTATTTTGAAAGACTAAACGAGTAAATGGTGGAAAGTAAACATAGAGATGTGTATATATGGCAACCCATGCATGATTATTGCCTTGAACACCGCACCTTTAGATTGAATGTCCAGTGGACCTGCAAAAAAAGTTCGAAAAAATAATATGTAACCATTGTTATAAGTCTAGTCATGTTTTATTATATATTTTTTTCTTCTCCTTCTATTTCATACTTCTACTTATCAATTTAATTGATTTCTATACCACGTAAAATATAGTATATTGAATAAATTTAATTTAGTAACTATTGAAAGCAACTTTAATACACATTTAAATTCTTAGATCTTTTGAAACTGATTTACGAGATAAAGTAACTGAATCGATATTTATCTTAACTTTGTTGATTTGTTACAATTTCAATTTTAAATATAGTATCAAATAAGAACTATTTAATTACATAAACACTTTACACACCCTACATTTTCTAATTTAATCAAATATAATGTATAAGTTCTATAGAAATACTACTTCTTAGTTACAAAACAAAAGGTATTATATATATATGTAACCATTGATGTCTATATAGGTGTATGTAGTATTTGACAGTCCATATGCGTAGACATATGTTTTGGTCTAATTCTCTTAGACACTTGATGCATTACAATAATTTTAATAATAAGGTCCTCGCATACTTTTAAATATTAGATAAATAGTATAGTTTGGCTGATTTATAAGGAGAAAAGGCGATGAGACATTGAGGATCAAACGGCACATGTACCGTCACGTGGCTAGTTCCCTTTGTTTCAATGCATTATCTCTCGAGTCTCGACCAAACCAACTTGCCTAATCAATATTCCTCGTACGACTCTCTCATTCCCTCTTTTTGTTTACTTTTCTTTTTAATTTACTACGAATTATTTTTTTTTGTGTGGAAAATTAACCCAAATTATCTTTAACAATTAAAGATCGTCTCTCCCCGACAAGTATCTGAAATTAATAGCTCCGGAACATTGAAGTGGTTGGTAATAGAGAATGGTCGTTTTTTCATATTTTGGTTTTTATGTTAAATGATTGGTCGTTTTCACGAGCGATGTGATCATAAAACAATTTAATTTGAAAGTGTTGAAGGATTTTCGTAAATGAATATATATATGAATATGATATGATTATGATTAGCTAGGTTCAGAGTATCACAGGGAAAGACGTTTGTATGTGTGTATGTGTATTTCTTCGTGATAAAGACAAGAATAGGGTATACTTTTATGGGTTTAACTTTTTATTTTGTCAAGCTTTAATGAATTAAGAATCAGAGAGTGAAAGGGAAACTAAACCAACTATGAGAAAGAAAAAACATGTATTTGCTTCCCTGAGGTCATTGGGTTCATTGCATTTGTCTTGATCAAAAGTTTATGCCCGTTTTATGGTTCAGATTCAATATTTATATTTATAACTAGCTCCAACAAAAAAAATGTTTACATTGATTTTGTTTTTATTGACATCACAAAACAATATTTATGTATGTACATATAATTTGTCACAAAGAGTCAATATGATTCAAGAAGTGGAGGGCTACTGACCAACTTCTCTCTCGGTCCGAAGCTTTCAGATTTTATCACTAACCAAAGTGAATTCCCGGTTTTAGCCATAAATTAAAAGAGAAATTAAATCCCATTTGTATCATTTTAGTGTGTTGTATTCAAACTGTTATTTCTGTTACTAGAATATTACATCGATTTGATACCATTTAACTTGGCCACTACATAGTACATATATATCTAGAAGACTAAATTCTAGCATGTTTGACTATTTGATACGTAACTGGAACATACATGAAGTTCAGACCACAAGCAGGAAGAACCTTTGTTTGAAGAAGCATGTTTTACTATTTGATACGTAACTGGATTAAAGATGTATCCAACTATGATTGAAATGGAGAGATGCCACCATTTGTTTGAAGACGATAATAAAAAAATTGGATTCACCACATACTTTTTTTGTTATTAAATAACCTAGTCTTTTGAACAAAATAAAATAAAATAGATAGATAACCTAGTCTTTGCAATCTCATACACTGCCATTGGAAAGGTATAACTTCTATTTCCAGAGGATCTAAAGGTGGGTAAAGATGAAACGGACCTTTTATAATCTAGTTGCATCTTTCCTATGTAATGACCATTTAATTCTTGTATCATGATCCGGAGAAGAAATTTATGAATCAGCTACAAAACCGGTTTTGACCATTGGAGTCTTAGATAAAGCGAAATTTCGGTTTAGATCATTTATTAATAGAAAGTTCGGTTTGACCATCAAAATAATGGAAATTCCGGTTTTGTGTAAAACCCTAGAATCCGTTTGGTGTTCGCCGGTCGAATTTTGTTTGAAATTAAACTCTGTTTCTCGTCGCTCGGAAGAAAAGTCGGACCTTTGAATCGGAAAGGAAATGGCGGCGAATGGGTAACGTCACTCTCTTCCCGGCATTGATTAGATGGGAGACGATCTTTCAAAGAATTTGCTTAAAAAGGAATCATTTTTTTATTTTTTTTTGGGATTTTTGATCACAGGCTAATGGCGTCGTACAATGTGTTTCTTCATCGCTCTGGGAATCTCTCTCTCTCGTACTCTTCTGGAACAAGTCAAATGGCTCTACTCGGCGGTAAAGGGAAGCGCTGTTTTCCGGTGGTTCTGTCAATGGCGACTTCAGAGGAAGCCGGAAAGTCCGTTGCGCCTGGTGACGGCATATCCATCATGGTATCTGATTATTTCCCAAACACTCTTGAGTTGTGAAATTTATCAACTTTTTGCATTGAAGTTTGCGTTGATGATTGTGATTTCCCCCATTCTAGTATTTGGATCAAGTAAAGCCATTCAGTCTCTCTCTCTCTCTCTCTCTCTCTCTCTCTTTTGTACCGCAGGTGAATGGATGCAGTGGCAAAATGGGGAAAGCAGTCATCAAAGCGGCAGATTCCGCAGGAGTGAATATCGTTCCTACATCGTTTGGATCTGCTGAAGAGGCTGGCCAGAGAGTTGAGGTCTGTGGGAAGGAGATTCTTGTGCATGGTCCTAGTGAAAGAGAAGAGGTTCTGTCTTCTGTGTTTCACAAGTATCCGGAACTCATTGTTGTTGACTACACAATTCCCTCTGCAGTAAATGGTACAATCCAGTATCTCATGTTTCTATAATTCAACTGTGGAGGAATTTATGTTTCACTCAGAAATGAACCTGCTTTATGCGAAAGTCACACACATTGTTTCTCACTCTGCCGTTGGTTGATTTATCTTTTTGTTTGCAAATTGTAGATAATGCAGAGCTATATGGCAAAGTAGGAGTTCCCTTTGTCATGGGAACAACTGGAGGAGACAGGACAAGGTTGTATAAAACTGTCGAGGAATCGAAGATTTATGCTGTGATTTCCCCACAAATGGGTAAACAGGTGCTTACTTGTTGTTAGTATTCAGAGTGTCTTAAAAGCTATATATAATGAATGTCCTTGTGAAGCATATGATCTTTGCTTTGTTGGGCGGTCCACTAGGTTGTTGCGTTTCTTGCAGCCATGGAGATCATGTCTGAGCAGTTTCCTGGTGCCTTTGCTGGTTATTCCTTGGAGGTACCTCTTTTGCTTTGAGTGCATTCATTTAAATGGAATTTACAGTATAGCTTATTGGCTCTATTCTATACAGGTGATGGAGTCTCATCAATCAAGCAAACTTGACGCTTCTGGTACAGCAAAAGCTGTTATTTCTTGCTTCCAGAAGTTGGGCGTTTCTTATGACATGGATCAGGTATTTTTATCTGCATTTATAGTTTTATAAGTTAAATGTGCAAGACCATTCATTTTGCATTTTGCTTACTTATGAAACCAGATACAATTGATTAGAGATCCTAAGGAGCAGATCGAGATTGTGGGTGTTCCGGAGGAGCATATCTCGGGCCATGCTTTCCATCTTTATCACTTGACATCACCAGATAAAACGTGATACAAGATTTTAAGACATTCATTGTTGTTTCTCTTCTACTCTTACTTGACTTGGTTAAAACAGATTTGTCTGTAACATCAATTATTTTCTGTTTTAACCCCTGTTTTGCAGTGTGTCCTTTGAGTTCCAGCACAATGTTTGCGGAAGATCAATATACGCTGAGGGTACTGTCGATGCCGTGCTTTTCCTTGCCAAAAAGGTTAGACATCTTCTTCTTTTGACACTCTTTCAAAACAGACAAGAAATCGAATGTCCCCTTTCATTGAATCTGCTAAAAAAACACATTCTCGGATTGCAGATCCGATCTAAAGCAGAGAAGCGGATCTATAACATGATCGACGTCTTGAGAGAGGGAAACATGCGATGAATAACAAGTTTCAGTTTTTACCTTTTGTTTTTTACTTCTGGTTTTTCATTTCATCATGTTAGCCAGTAGGACGTCTCTTACAAAGAGGTTTATTCCACAGCATATGCTTAAGAATATCCAAGGAATATTCTTGTTTGTATTCATGTTCTTGTCTGTACTTTCACAATCCCAAACTTATTTTTATACATGTTTAACATCCATGCACATTTTAGTTTTTTTTTGCTCTCTCTCTCTCTCTCTTTTGCAACCCTTGAATGTGTTTGTTGATTGGCATCTATGCAAATCGATCACCCTCGTGTTGATCGATTGGCTTAGATGACCATCAACAAACGCTTTCGATGGTTTTGCATCTCGCCTGTTGAAATCTAAATCATGTTTTAGCATCATTGTAACCATTTTTTCTTTTCTTGTAGGACTTTGTATGGTATCGTTAAAGCAGCTCAATACTATGTACTTGCATCACCAGAAAGAATCGGAAAGCTTCTTAGGGTGTGATGATTCTAATATCTAGCTAGGTTTGTAGCTTCTCTGACATATTTTTGTTTTTTTCGACAGTCGTCACATGATAGCTCATGAAAACGAATCTTGTTCTTGTAAGTGCTCATAATCTCCATTTACATTTGCTAGAGGTTTGTTTCCGTTATAACTGATACTGATTACATCATCATCATCATTAGATACACCAAACTTGCGTGGCTGTGGAGTAATGGAACGGGAAAACAAAAGTCAACGAAACGAGTCTTAAGTTGTTGTAGTTTAGCTTTCTTCTTTGATGTATATAGTTGTTGACTTCCCTATGATATATCTCTATTGTGGAGTTTCAGTAGATTCCATTTTTATTTAAAATGGTTTTATAATTAGAAGCCAGTTTCCGACCAATTTCAGACTAATTATTATTTTTACGTCACTTTCAGACTAATTTTAAAAACAGTTTCGGGCAGAATTATGTTAAATCATCAAAAACCGTTATTACAAAAAGTTGGACCGGAAATATGTTCGGGAGCATTCGGACCGTGACTCAACTTTAGACAAACGAGTAGCCTCTATTTTCGATGTTTTACTAGAGGCCTTACATCGATACGTGTGTGTAATGGTCAAAAGTATCTAGAGCAACAATTTTTTTTACTCAAATTAAAAATTTAATTGTGCTTGTCACATTTAAATACATCAAAAAATACGTTACATAAAAAAAATGTAAAAAAGTTTTAGCCATCTTGAAATTTTACAGTTGAAAAAGGCATTTCTACTCATTAGATAGATAACGGAATCACTTTTAGGAGGGTGATTATGTATGGATGATTTTGCTTTGACGTGAATTTTCTTAGTGTTAATATTTTTACTAATCGACTTTGAGGTGTTTTTTGGGAACATTCAGAGACATATACACTTATACAGTTGGAATTTATAAATTTGACTTAATTTATAATTTTATATATATATATAGTCAGCACACGCTCAGTCTTAACGCATTTTCAAACTAACACCGTGTACGATACAGCGTATGGGTCAACTGTATTAGGTCACCAAGATTTTATAAAATAGTAAAATCTTTCAGTTTATTGGACCACTAAATTTTATTTTTGTTTTTGATCCCCCAATAAGCATATTTTAACAAATCAAACCCCAAAACTTTACAAATCAAAAACGGAATATCACAAGAAGAACACAAATCTGCATTTTTTTCCGGACAACTTGAGATCTTTGTAACAAAATCGAACAATAACACAAAACAAGAGGCAAGAAAATCCTTTTTTGATGGATTAATGAGCTGAGATTTTAGCTTTCTGAATCGATAAATCATTCACCTGAGACACATGAGAACAGTCTAAGACTTGTGTTCCTCACAAGCTGTCCTCGCCGCGACGGAGAGTAACCGATATCTCCTCCGCTTTCTCCACCTGGTCTTCTTCCTTCCCGACAAGACATCGAAGAGAATTCTCCGACCGACCATCCACGGCGGTGACGTTGCTGAGGAGCACCGTTGTTCATCTCTACATAATGATCAAAAGACGAAGACGGCCGGGATTCACCGGAGCGATCGGTTTTACTACCGGCGAAGGGGAAGAAGTCATACTCGTCGGAGGATTCTTTAGTCGTGCCACCGGAGGAAGAGAGACATTCATAACGTCGGCGAGTCCGGTTTTTCTTCATAGCCTTAAACGCCATTGGAATCAAACCATCCATGAAGGCTCTTTTTGTTGTTGTTGTTGTGTGTGAATGATTGTCGAAGAAAGAGAAAAGGCAGAAGAATAAAAGCAAGAACAAGAGGAAGAAGAAGAAGAAGAGGAAAGAGGTTTTGTTGTTTTGTGTGGGGAAGTTGAGAGAGGTTTATGGTTTTGCGTAGTGGTTTTGTTGATTTCACACCTTGCGTCAATTTCATTAGTCTACCTTTCTTTTCCTTATATACAAATGGTTTCTTTTTCTGTTATTCTTCAATTAATTTTGTTTGTTTTTATCATTTTTTAAAATATTTCAAACTACCTTAATAATGAAATATGCATCATACTACTACCATCTCCAACTCACCTCTACTTCTTCTTTAAATTCTATTCCTAATGCAAGACCTTCACTCGCATGGTAAGATCGCTTGTGTAACCATCCAGACCCTGGAGAAGCATCGATCAAGAAGACGCATGGAAAAGGTCAACGATTAATTTCTGTCTCTCCTCTCTCTCACTCACTAGATAGATATATATTCGTTCATGGGTTTTTCTAATGAAATGTACCTGGATGATTACAGTTTCAAGTTTTGGAGACTGCTTAAGCAGATATGGCAGCAGTTTCCAACCTCGTTTATTCTTACTCCCAAAAGACAAATTCACAAGATTGTTGAACACCGGTAGAAGTAGTCCATGTTTTTTAACACACAGAGAAATCACCTGAAGCACACACACACACACACACTTCACGAATGTCCAAGCTCTTTATGAGGAAAAACAGAAAGCAGCAAAAAATGGGAAACTTACATCAACAGAAGCGGGAGAAAGATGCAGTGTCTTGACGTTGCTCATCCCTCTAATGAGACCCGTTAGATTCGGCTTCTTGATCACTTTAGAATAATGAATATCCAGCCTAGCTTCGACTAGGGACTTCAAGTTAACTTGTGGGTACTCAGACAATGCATAATCGCGGTAGTTGAGGGAGACAAGACTTGGTGCGTTAAATGACATACCACCCATAAAATCAATTTCAGATTCCAAGTCGTAGTAAACTGATAGTTTCTTTATGGTCGCACTACATATGCAGAGTGGGATTCCAACCTCCTCTTCGTGACGTACAAACAACTCCTCGAGTACAGGACAACCAGGAAGAAACACATAACACAAATCGCCTCCATCAAAGAATATCGAATCGATGAAGAGACTCTTGAGCACTGGAAGAGACACATCTGGAGGCATCTTCATCAGAGAAATTTGTGATCCCAGTGTCAGCTTAACCAGCGTCTTGCTCTTGAAGAGCTCACAAGGCAGAAAGAGTCTAGCGTAAGTCTTTAAACTTAGGTCCACTTCCAAAACACCACGCTCTATGGCATTACTTATCCAACGGCCCACGTGAGCCATCTCGCTGTCCCCGACAATCTGACATTTTAGAGAGAATTTCTTGATAGGAGAACCACATTGCATAGCGATTGTTCTATCCACAAAGTTCCTGAAGCTCTCTCGGATCACATCCCACTCTTCATTACGCTCTTCTGGTCGCAGCAAGACAGAATCATCAAAATCGAGATTGTGCACCAATGCAAACACATTCCTCCACTTTTTCGATAGAACAGATGTTGAAGCAGCCAGTTTGGTCGGAAGTAAGGACAAGATGTCGCCCAAAACCTCTTGAGGGAGCAAGCTGATTGCATCTCTCAAGCCAGTGTCTAGCTTCTTGGCATCCATACAGACAGAACCGATCTCTTCCTTCAAACTGCCTGAAACATGAAGTGAGCTCAGAGTGATTCACTGCGAAAGCTCAAAACTTTCTGAATGGCTATAAATAACCAGAGAAGTTCTACAAACCATAAGATCCACTTTTCACAACTACAAAGATTTGAGCACGCAACTACGAGATGAAAGCTGAATTAACGAAGTTACTTTCCGTAAACAATAACGAGGTTATAGAAGCAAGATTCGAGCTCGGGTAGCACCAGAAAGATGATTAGTGGCAAACTACAACAGTTTCATCAAACCCAGTCTAATATATAATCTAGTGGAAGCTTGAAAGAAGAATACTTTAAGCGTTTGTAAGAACCAGAGGTCTACATGGAGAACAGAGGAAACCATATGGAGAACCAGAGACCAGAGAAGGTCCATATCGCACAAGTGCAATTAACAATGATGTTTCACAAAGAAAGAAAAAACAAAACTAAAAGATGGTGTAGAAACTAAAGCTTCAACCTTTTCTTTTTCCAATTGAATTGAAGGTTCTACCTTTCTCGCATGCGTCACCAATCATACGGATTTGAGGCTAAAGACGAACCGGTTGAGGACGTCGAACAGAGGATGATGGGAGTCTCCGATTCAGATTTTAGGGAATTCCCTTTTATCTGTTCAAATCTACCATTAAGAGGACAATGAAAACGGAGAAAATCACTCGAAGTCTCGGAAATAAACAAAACAAAAAAAAAACGAAATTAGAAGTTAAAATGTTAATTTTCCTTGAATTACCATAGGTAATTTTCTTTCCTTTACTATCTAGTTTTAAGTTTACTATAAATTAAAATTTTAATTTAGGGAATCGTTAATCCCATATGACACGAATTCTAAACCACTCGTATGTTAGTCATTAATCCAAATTTGATTCCACGATCCGGAGATGCATTGCAAGCTATCGACATGTATTTAAGCCGCCTCTCGCATCTGCTTTGCTCCAACTTTGGTTGTCAACAGCCACAAATTAATCTCGTACTCTGAATCTGATTCACTACTCTCTGGTTTTTGCTCTCTATCGGTGGTCTCAGAGGTCCGATTGCTTCTCTGGTCGATTAACATCGATTCTGCATGCGTGTATAGTTTAGATTGTTTGATTAATTTCAAAATGATTATTCCTTTTCTTTCTTTACTAATATCATATGGGATAAGCTGAACATAGTACCTTATCATTTGATCGTTAGAGATGCTACAATCTTAATTTGGGCTCAGTTATGTAACTTTAACACACAAGTATTTAAATGATTTGGCAAATAAAATTTTATCCTTTTTTTTCACCAATCAATCATGTATAAATTTTAGATTGCATATCAACTAGCGCTAAATAGCATAATTTTGAAAACAACCTAAATATTATGTCAGTTCACCGTTAGAAAATTTATGAGTTCGTATTCAAACCTAATGTAAATTTAGCTTTCAAAGTTCTAATTAATTTGACTATACACAATTTCTTATTTTTTCACCAATGAGGTGTGCTTTTAGATTGTCTGACTGATTAACAAAAAACTTGAGTGATAGAATACATAATTTTCAAAAACAAAAAAGTGAACATGAAATCCAGTTCTGTGATTGTTGGGATTGGAAATATCATAATTTTTTTTTATTTTATTCACACCATAAAATACATTAGTCAGTCGTAATTAAGTTGACGGTAAAATTTCCCATGATTCTTCTTCGCAGACAATAATTTTTCTTTTTTTTTTTTAATTCAGGTCAAATCTTTACAATGAATATTATCATAATATGCTCTTTCACTATATACTAAGGACAAAATCCGGTATCCCTCTAGGCCGGGCTTGCTTTTAAGATACTCAATTTATGTCGTACCTCGAACATAAGGGCTAAGGCTTACCGCTTACGAAAATGTTTAGCCAACTAAAATTAAGTTTTATTATTCGGAACGCTAAAGAAGATGGAGAGATATTTGGAATGTTGAATCAAAGGAGCTGAAACAAGAACTCAACATTATAGCCTAGGACATGGGACCTGCTTTTTCTTATGGTTCACTTTTAGCATTTTTTAAATTCGATATACAAATAATTTCTTGATCCTAATAATACGGCATGAGGCAATAAATGTGTTGTGTTTAACAAACATCACATTTTTCTGAATTGTTGCCATGCATGCATGTGATGATCATCCCTTCGAAATCCTTACGATATTATTGGCCTATTTCTTCTCCGTATTCTCTTCAACTCGTCACGTTTCCCACTCATGTTTGGCTCCGGTTGATCCGTACATTATTTATTCTTTATTTCCCTAATTTTTTAAAATATATATTGATATATTAATATGTATGGATCCGTAAATTCCTTTGCGTTGGTGTTGAATAATGATGATCGTGTAACGTTTTATTGATTGTGTTGAGATAATTAAAGCAAGATCGGTTACTACCCAATTGAGTCGTCACATGCATTGATATTATATCCCCTACCATCAACATGCACTGCACTTCTCTGACCATTCCACTTGCTTTTTCAGTTATCCAATTTGAATACAACATAAGCAGATTTTATGTATGAACACTTTCTTATGCACACTGGGGTTCTACTTTAATCGTAAGCATTTATTCGGACAAAATCTACCCGTGAACTTTCACGCGGTGAAAAATTTATAAGTAATAAAAACTATATTTTGATTTTGCTAAAATGTTTTTGAGTTAACAAATAGATTTTTCATTTTTTTAATAGAAAAGTTGACTAAACGCATAACGAGTAACGACTAAACAGTAGTCTAGGAACTTAGTATGTATACCACTAGATCACAATCATATAGTATAGACAAAAGTCACAAAACTGTTTGACGCCGATTTACATGAAATTCATTATATGAAATCACAACATCTTATAAATGATCACTTGCTCATAATTAGTTTATCTAACGCTTAATCTATAAATAGACAATTTATTTCAGTACATTAATTAGATCAATAAACGAATCAAACAGATACAACCTCTAAGAAATCAAATCTACCACTTGTACGTATATATTCTGAAATTTGACAAAATGTTCACAAATGGGTTGACAAAAGAAAACAAAATTTTCAACTTTTTCACACGTATAAACAATCATATCAAACTTTCTCCGTCAGACCAAAGGTTTCTTTTATGTATACCAAAAATAACAAGACAAAATAAACAAATGAATGCATAAGTATAAATTCGAATAAAAGAAAAACTCTTTCACAAGTACGCAATACTATATATATATCCTCCACTAAACCGTTTCGAATCCTACACACCCCACCTCCATTATTCAACTTCTCTCTCAAAACAATGCCTTCTTCACTTCTCATAATTCTCCTCTTTCTCCTCTCTATCTCATTGTCCTCAGCTCAAACCTACAATATCCTATCTTACGGAGCCAAACCGGACGGCAAAACCGACTCGACCAAGGCCTTAACCGTCATGTGGGCCAAAGCCTGCGCCTCGGTCAAACCGGTCACCATTTTGATCCCCAAGGGACGGTTTTTATTAAGAAGCATTGTTTTTGATGGAGCCAAGTGTAAACGCAAGTCCGTCACGTTCCGTATCAAAGGCACTCTTGTGGCTCCATCAGATTATCGAGTTCTTGGTAAAGAAAACTATTGGATTTTCTTCCAGCATCTCGACAGCCTCTCCGTCTACGGCGGAGTTCTTGACGCTCAGGGAGCTTCTCTATGGTCTTGCAAAAAGTCCGGCAAGCATTGCCCGAGTGGTGCCACGGTACGAATTTACCAATTTACCTCTTTATTATTATTTTGCAAAATAAGAATTTATATAGATTAAAACTAATTTTTTGTCAGCTGAAAAAAAAATGTTAAGCTAGAAAATGAACAGTATTGTTTTGTTGCCATACATATATATACCGCTCAGAAAAAATGCTAATTGGTAGAAGTTTTGTTTCACAAGGAAAAATAAAGAGTATATTTATGAACTCGATCATGTATTAGTTAATGCATCAACTTTGTCTTTTATTGCTCTTGTTCAAAACTTTGTTTTGTTGAACCCTTTGATAGCATTTTTCAATAGTATAATTTGAAATTGAATATCCGCCGTTTTCTGTAAGTTCCAATGATTCCGCTAGCACGATCCAAATGGTGTATATATATTTCCCCTAATTTTCTCTCCACTTTTCCGCTACATAACATAGATATCTTTTTTTTTTTTTTGCACTAATGCAATACAGCAATAGTATGGGTTAATACTGATATTATGCTTAATCGGCTTCTCACGTTAATAATCCCAATTCACATGGACCAATCATAGAGTCATTGATGTATATACAGATATAATTAATACAAATATGCAGACGCAATAATAAAACTTTATTTTGGAACAATGTAACTGACACGTACGCGTGGGCAACGATTACAAACAGAGCATAGGGTTTCAGAGCTCAAGCAACGTGGTGATCTCAGGGCTGACGTCACTTAACAGTCAGATGTTTCACGTCGTGATTAACGGCTGCCGTAACGTAAATATTCAAGGAGTAAAAGTTTCAGCTGACGGAAACAGTCCAAACACTGACGGCATCCACGTGCAGTCATCCTCCACCGTCTCCATCCTCAACTCCAAAATCTCCACCGGCGATGACTGTGTCTCCGTCGGTCCCGGAACTAACGGTCTCTGGATCGAAAACGTCGCTTGTGGCCCTGGCCATGGTATCAGGTATCTATCTTTTTTTTTTAATTAATCAAATTACTTGTAACTTCATCATTTTTTAATTATTGGTGAAAATTAGTAAAGTGTGTTACAATTTAGTAGCTCTTATCAAAAAATAAAATAAAATTATTAAAGTGTGATATTTTTCGAGTAGTTTTATCTGTTTGACAAAAGTTTTTGGCTGGTTGCTGAATATTATCATAGTAAACAAGTTAAAGCCGCAATTGACAAGTTACGGTCGACAAGACAACAGTAAAAACATCAGATTAATTTTCAGTTTCATGGATTTCTATAATAGTTTATTGAATTTAATTTATGTTATGTTGGATTAGTTCAGTTTATAAACTTGTAAGTTATAAATGTATAATATATTAACTGAATCAATTTTTCTTACATTTTTTTATTCTATTTACGTATATTGATCCATTTTTAATTCGTGGTAATTGTTTTTTTTTTCGTTTTTTTTTAATAAAACAGCATTGGGAGCTTGGGAAAGGAAAGTGTAGAGGCAGGTGTACAGAACGTAACCGTAAAAACGGCGACGTTTACAGGAACTGAAAATGGAGTAAGAATAAAGTCATGGGCCAGGCCCAGTAATGGTTTCGCCAAGAATATCCGTTTCCAACATTGCGTTATGAACAACGTACAGAACCCAATCGTCATTGACCAAAACTACTGCCCAGGCAACGAAAATTGCCCCAACCAGGTTGGTTCACCTTCTTTTTCATCTTCAGATTAAATGAAAACGTCACAAATAAACCGAATTCGAATGTTAAATAGGATTATGATAACAGGTCTCTGGGATAAAAATCAGCGATGTAATATTCTTCGATATACACGGGACATCGGCGAGAGAAGTTGGAGTGAAATTTGACTGTAGCTCTAAGAAACCGTGTACCGGAATTCGAATTCAAGACGTGAAGCTAACGTACCAGAATAAACCGGCAGTAGTAGATTGTAGCCATGCTGGAGGGACCGAGACTGGGTTTCAACGGTCCAATAGCTGTCTATGACCAGACAAAAAAAATTATATTTGTAATTTTGTGTGTGTGTGTGTATTTTTTCTTTTATTTTTAGTCGTGAAATGTAAATAACGTCGTCGTTTCTTTATATATAGTATTATGACCCTATTCGTGGATGCCTGCAACAGCTATGATCTCGTGTTAGGATTGCAAAAGGGTGCTTTCCCAAAAGTTGCATTGCAGATCTCCTCGGATTTAGAGCCATGAAAGTTTGTTGCATCATTGATTTTTCCACTCCAACACCAGAAAAAAAGGAAAAAAAGGAATACGATTGACTTCTATTTGTTTTGCAGAGTGGCTTTAAAAAAATAAAATTTTACAAATTTTCAAATATTTTTTTTGTTTTCCAGATATTTTCAAGATGATTTTAATGGGCAAATTAGATATTTTTTTCTTGCGTACTTCCAAGTCTAGATCTATCAATGATAGATCGACACGTCAATTTTTCTCTAATCATTTTGGCTCTGCACCCTTCATTTCTGCTGCATATCTACAATTGGGGCTCTCTTCTTTTTTTTTTGTCAGCCAATAGGAATTTTGTTACATTTTTCAAAACTTTTAGACTAAACTAGACTTACACTATAATAATAATAACAACATATAAAGAGTTACTGTGATCAATTTAAGAAAAAATGATTTGAATAAAACATATAACCATAAAGCATTAATATTGTTGTGAATCATAAATTAAGAAAAACCGGATGATCGAGTTTAAATTACATATACATTGATTAAGAAAAACTGAGATGTTATAGAGAGGGGTTTTTTCTCTCTCTCATAAAAATAGATATTTTGTACTTTTTATGCAATATTTGTGCAGTTTCATTTCTCCCTTTTAGTTACAGTTAAAAACAAATAAAATTATTAGTACTTGATGTAAAAATTTCTTAACGTGTCAAAACTTTAAGAAAATAAATTTTCTTTACTTTTTAGTCAATACATTAACAGAAACTAAATTATTGTCGATCACGAAAAATTACATGAACTACAATACATTTTATTTATTAATATTCAGCATCCTTAGTTGAAGCAACATGTATGCGAAAAAGTTGATCAATAATCTTAACATAAGATATTTACCCATTCCTTATACCACTACAACTTAGGATATAACTTTTTTTAACAAATTTTTTTGTATGTCCCGAAGTTCAAGCTATTAAAAAGTCTTTAAAAAATATTGTTCGTTTGTGTAGAGAGGATTACATATTAAATTTTTAAAAATTAATGCAATTAAAAAATGTTTTTTTAGAAAATCGGTCCTTCCTGGAACAAAACTGCATGATATCCAAAAAGTTTACTTATCAGAAACACTGCAAGTACAAAATATCTATTTTTATGAGAGAAAATGTATTTATGCAATTAAGAAAATAGATATTTTGTACTGGAATTGGAGTGTTTGAGGTGATAGATTCTGATGATCCTGATTTTGTAAAAGGCGATTTTTTTGGGGAATCGTCGATTGAGAGAAGTATAGTACTATTAACTCGACTGGTAGATTCAAAAACGATATCAGTATCAATGTTCGTTTCTCTTACTACACTGGAATACTCGGTAAGTATCTGGTTAATTTTCACGGAAACAAGAATGCAAAAACTACAAGAGAGTATACAATGTTATGTGCTCATATATCTTAAAAGCTCTGTTTTTACATAGCTGAAGGTATAAAAAGTTTTACTGCTCTGGGCCGTATTTTCCAGATTTGTTCACCTAGATTATTAAGTTATTAATTTTACTGCTTAGGGCCGTATTAAGTTATTAAGTTATTAATTTTAATGGATCGGGAAGTAGTTTCCCAGATTATTAAGTTATTAGTTTATGTTATATTAAGTTTTATTATTTATAATTTACTCTGAATTATGCATTTTTAATTTTGTTGTTGACTATGTTATTGTATTTCTTAGTTAATATATGTTATTGTATCTTTTATTGTGTTTATTGCAGTTTTACTTTATAATTTGATTAGTTAAGTTTATTGTTTTAAAATTAATTGGGTTAAAAAAACATAGAAATTGTGTTTGGGTATAATCAAAACATAGAAAAAGTTATAAATAAAAAAGTTCATCTTCAAAAAATGAAGAAATGAACAGTGTTTCTTCAAATATGAAGGAACACTGTTAATTTCTTCATTTTAAAGGTGAAATTGAAGCACTATTGGAGAAGATTTCTTCATTTTTATTTTCAAAATGAAAGAAAAAGTGAAACTTGAAGGACCATTGGAGATGGTCTAAGAAAGGAGAAACAATATTTGTCTCTTCGGCTGCTGGTGCGGTTGGTTAGGTCGTTGGTCAGTTTGCTAAATTGATGGGCTGCTACGTTGTGGGAAGGCCGGAAGTAAACAGAAGGTTAAGACTTTGTTTTAAAACTTATCCATCACAAGACTTGAGCTTTTTGGTTTTCTCTGACAATGTTTATTTCACTTTTAAGGTCGATCTCTTGCTAAACAAATTTGGATTCGACGATGCATTTAATTACAAGGAAGAACCTCACGTTGATAGCCGCCTTGAAGAGGTCTAGTCACTGGTCAAAATAAAATGCTCCTTATAGTTCTGTTTCTTGAATAATAGAATCACATTTCCTCTGTTTTCCAGGTGTTTACCGCAAGGTATGGACATATACTTTTGAGAACGTGTGAGGCAAAATGCTTGACGCGGTTCTACTGAGCATGAAAGTTTATTGACCATCTTGAAATCAATGAAGGGATTCAAAACTTACCGGTCGTTATCTACAAGAAGATTAAGATGCAAGAGTTTGTGGCTTTTGACTTCATTGAGAGAATCCCAAAGTTATTGGAGTTTGTGCTTCCATATATAAAAGAAAGGAAGTTGATATATGTTGAAGACTTTTTTACTTTGCTTTAGGCTAATTTACTATTTTTTAGCAAAAAATTACAGATTTTAAATGTTAGGAACAATCCTATGAACAAAAACTCTTTTAAAAATCATTATGGAACTAAGGGGGGGAGTTATTGGGAGTTGGATTTATGAAGATTTTAGTTGATTTTAAAAATCATGAGATTTGTCAAATTTTTAAGAGTTTTGTTGGATTTGTAAAATGTAAAGAGAGTTTTATGGATTTAAACAATCTATTAAGAATTTTTTAATATGACAGATTTTGAGAATCCAAGGGATATAGGTAGTATTTTGAGAATCATGATTTATGAATTAAATTACAATGAATCATTATGCCAATAACACTAGATTATAACAGAATCATAGAATCATTAAAATGCAGACTTTTTGAATAGCAATGGATTTTGATTAGATTATAAAAATTATCATATCAATAACAACTGATTTTTATAATCTCTAAATGAATAACATATGAATTTATTAAGAATGTAAAAATCTACAAACCAATAACTATAGAATCTTAAACTTTAAAAATCTTTATAAATTAATTCTCCAATAACACCCCCTAAATCAATTTAGAAATAAGCTAGCGTATTTTTTCTTTTGTTTATTTATTTGAACCTGAGTTCCGCCGTGTCGGAAACTATCACCAGATCAAACTCTTTAGTGGAACCCTTCACGTAATCTCTCAGTATCACTTGCTTGTTCCTCATGGTAGTCTCCTTTAATTTCCTAGAATCTCAAAAGAAAGCTATTCTTCTTGATTTCGTTGACAGCTAAGGTGATTCGGTAACCCTTAAGCAAATAAAAAACTAAGGTGGTTCGTTAACCCTTTACATGCATACAGAAGGCACGTTTGGTGATAGACACCAACTAAATTAAGAACTTTATCAACAATGATTGGCCAGGCTTTAAGGGAGAAACATCATTAAAAAAACTATATGATATCTGAACTGAGCAAAGAAAAACAAAAAAGTAGTTGTTACTCGCTTGAAACTTTTACTTTGATATACAGTATAGAGGGAATATATATTACTTTCCTATTTGCCTCACGATTTTAATTAAAAAGCATGCAACACTAATGTGACTTATTTAAATTCAAATATCAAGTTTATTATAGTGTTTCTTCTCGGTTATGGCTGCCAATTATTATTGATTCATCTATTTAGTCGGTGTCTCACCAGACCTGCCCTTTTGTATGCATGTAAATGTTCTACCGAACCACTTTAGTTCTTAAAGGGAATACAGCTGATCTCAATGAAATCAAGAAGAAGAGCTTTCTTTTGAGATCTGAGGAAAATGGTGACTACCGTGATGAACAAGCAAGTGATACTGAGGGATTACGTGAAGGATTCCCCTAAAGAGTCTGATCTTGTGATAGTTTCCAACACCGTGGAGCTCAAAGTTAAGTCCGGATCATCGACTATTCTGGTGAAGAATCTTTACTTGTCTTGTGACCCTTACATGGGGATTCTCATGAGAGAACCAAATTCTTCGACTATGGCACTTTTGGATGCTTACGTCCCTGGAAAGGTAACACCAATACACACATTGCATAAAGATACACACATGGCCTTAATTAGCACTTGTTGTTGATGCTATTGTGCAGCCTCTAGTTGGAGTTGGAGTGTCTAAGGTGATAGATTCTGATGATCCAGCTTTTGCGAAAGGCGATTATGTTTCGGCAGTGGTTGACTGGGAAGAATATACTACAATTAAAACGCCCATTATATCCAAAATTGACGTTAATATCAATGTTCCTCTCTCCTACTACACTGGACTCCTAGGTTAGTATCAGGTTTATACTCTTAAGAACCAAAAAAACATGGATCCATTTAATTTCACTTAAAAGCTATGTTTGTCATTACAGGAATGGCAGGTTTGACTGCTTATGCCGGCTTTTTCGAGATCTGTTCACCTAAGAAGGGAGAAACAGTCTTTGTCTCTGCGGCTTCTGGTGCGGTTGGTCATCTCGTGGGCCAGTTTGCAAAGTTGATGGGCTGCTATGTTGTTGGAAGTGCTGGAAGTAAACAAAAGGTTAGACCTCTGTTTCAATAACTAATCGATTATTTTTTTAAAAAATTTCTTACATTGTTTGGTTCCCATAATTAAAGGTCGATCTCTTGGTGAACAAACTTGGTTTCGATGATGCATTCAATTACAAGGAAGAGCCTGACCTTGACTCCGCCTTGAAGAGGTTTTTTAAATTCAGGTTTCGTATAATAATTCTGTTTCTTGAATCATACAATAAAAACGCGTCCTCTTAGCAGATGTTTCCCAAAGGGCATTGACATATACTTTGAGAACGTGGGAGGCAAAATGCTTGACGCGGTGCTACTGAACATGAAAAAGTATGGCAGAATCTCTGTGTGCGGGATGATCTCTCAATATCATCTCGAAACCAGAGATAGAGTACACAATCTACCTGACATCATGTTCAAGAGGATAAGGATGCAAGGGTTTGTTTGTGGGGACTTTCAAGATCGATTTCCCAAGTTTTTGGAGTATGTGCTTCCTTACATAAAAGAAGGGAAGTTAAATTACGTGGAAGACATCGTCAAAGGACTCGATAACGGTCCTGCTGCTCTTGTAGGACTCTACCATGGAAAAAACTTTGGGAAACAAGTTCTCGAGGTTGCTCGAGAGTGACAGAGATCTATCTGTATATGCCTATATCGTTCTGTACGAGTCTGTACTAAGAGATTCAGAATCCTATGGTTTGGTGCAAAGTGACTGTTAAATCTGTAATGTATTAAGATGAAGTTTGTTTTGTAATATAGTTTGGTTAAAAAATTATAATACCGTAAACTTTGAGCTCAAATCGAGTACTATTTAAAACTAAAGGGCTTCAATGGTGAAACTTCCAAGATTTCACTTATGTTGAGTGAAGCCTAGCCCAATTTATAAGGCCCAACGTTACAAAACTCCGCCTAAAATTTCAGCAAATCAAAAGGGGGAAAAGATAAACCCTAAATTCATCAATTCCTCAGATTTTTCGAGACTACACACCTCCTTTGGATCTACAGGGGAACCGCAGATTCGACTAGCCATGGGGATTTTGTCGTGGTTCTCGGGAAGTCCTAAGCCTTCGCAACCCGAGACGTCGAAAACCGAGATAATTCAGGCGCCGAAATCGGAAACTCCGGCTCCGGGGATGAACGGAGCCATAGAAGTTCCTCGGCCTGAACGCGCGACGGTTTTCGAGTTCGGTTCTGTGGCGGCGACTGGAGACAGAGTCACTCTCGCCGGATACTGCCCCGTTTCCGAAGATCTCGAACCTTGCCGCTGGGAGATTCTTCCCGCCGACGGGAAAGACGCGCCGCAGTTTCGCGTCGTCTTCTGAAGAAATCAGAGCATGCGTTTATCATCTATTCCCAGGCTGAGTTTCTAGAAGATGTAACTTGTTCAATCTCTTCCTCGAGTAATTGTATTGGTCAATCATCGCTCTTCATATCTTTATAAAATGTACAATTTTGTACGTCATTAGCTACTGATTAATTTGCGTTGTTAGATTGGTTAATTATGATAAAGCAGAAAACCAATTTGAATATTGGATTCGGGATACAACATATGTCAACATATGATAAATCATTTACGTATTCCACCATCTCCAGGTTGTATTTTCCATATTAAAGTAAGCTTGTTTGGGGGTTTAATTATTGATTCTCTCATGTTCGTTATCGAGGGCATATAGCTAATTGCTTTTTCTTTTACTAATCATCTTAATTAGTTCATCTAATTATGCGTGGGATCAAATTAAGTAAAAGGAAATTAAGTGACTACCCGCGTTTTACTGCTCCAAACGACATTATGAGCCAACCAAGCTATTGATTGTCAATCTGTAAACGAAGAACAATTAAAAAAATCGAGAAAAAGACGCACCACGATCGTTCCCCTACTTTCAATTTTCAATCACTTTGTTTCTTTTGAGTCGTTTCATCTTCGTCATCATCGTCTTCTTCAACCCAATTGACGAGTTTACACAATGTGGTTTTGATCCCTTTTAGCTGATCCCATTATTCGTTCGTGGGAAGAAACAGAGCATCATCAAATTTCAAAATCATGGAGAACGTAGCCGCGCAGTTGAAGCGTGGGATTTCGAGACAATTCTCGACAGGATCAATGCGACGAACCCTAAGCCGGCAATTCACACGCCAGTCCTCTCTCGACCCACGCCGTAACAACATGCGATTCAGCTTCGGCCGTCAATCTTCGCTCGATCCGATTAGACGGAGCCCCGAATCCCTTAGCTGCGAGCCACATATGTCTGTGCCGGAGAATCTCGATTCCACGATGCAGCTTCTCTTCATGGCAAGTAAAGGCGACGTCAATGGCGTCGAGGAGCTTCTCAACGAAGGAATCGATGTGAATAGCATCGATCTCGATGGGCGTACGGCTCTTCACATCGCTTCCTGTGAGGGTCATTACGAGGTCGTTAAGGTCCTTCTTAGCCGGAGAGCTAACATCGATGCTCGTGATCGTTGGGGTAGTACGGTCTGTTCTTCTTCTTCTTCTTTCTCTACAAATTCGATTGTCCGTCCAATCTGGTTTTTGGTTTGGTTCTGGTTCGGTTTATGAATTATAAAGGTCGAATCGAAACCCAATATCATTGGTTCGGTTTGATACAGTATCGGTTCTGGTTCTGACTTGGTTTAGCAAAGTTGAGTTTAATCGATTTCCGGTTCGATTCTTTCTGGTTACGGTTTGTACGGATATAGAAAAACGAACCAAATCTTTCCTCTTTTGTGCGTGTTTTTGGATTGGTTTATCTGGTTCGGATTTGGTTTAACCAAATTGTGCGACCTGTATTCTGTAATGTGGCATTTTGACATTGATTTTGAATTTGGTGGGTGTAATTGTTCAGGCGGCTGTTGATGCGAAGTATTATGGGAATGTTGAAGTGTATAATCTCTTGAAAGCTCGAGGAGCTAAAGCTCCGGTATGGTATTTAACAAAAATGATTTCTCCTTTTTTATGTTCTTAAGATAACTGGTCTCTCTCTTTGGTGATTGGCTTCGTCTTCAACATTTATTTCTGTTAAAACTTTAGAAAACCAGAAAGACCCCAATGACGGTGGGGAATCCGAAAGAAGTTCCTGAGTATGAGCTTAATCCACTCGAGCTTCAAGTCCGAAAAGTTGATGGCATCTCAAAGGTTGTTTGTTCTCCTAATTTCACAAGAACTGAGATTTTTTCTCCTAATCTCTTATTTTGATGTTTTTTTTTTCTGTTTTCTTTACTTAATTTGTAGGGAACTTATCAAGTTGCTAAATGGAATGGCACTCGAGTCTCGGTAAAAATATTCGATAAAGATAGATATTCAGATCCGGAACGCGTGTATGCAGTCTTTCTTGTTCTTGAATGTCTCTGTCTAAGTTGTTGATAACATGATATAATCTAAACACTGTTTCTGGTTCTTTTTTATACGACCGCAGAAATGCCTTCACACATGAATTAACCTTGCTAGCTAAAGCTCGGCATCCAAATATTGTTCAATTTGTTGGAGCTGTCACTCAAAATCTACCAATGATGATTGTAGTTGAGTGTAATTCAAAAGTAAGCATTCTCTGTTTACTTCATTTCCTGCATACACATCGAATCACAAAATGTAGTAATCTTATAATCATTTTTAATTCCAGGGTGATCTAAGTGTCTATCTTCAAAAGAAAGGTCGCCTTTCTCCTTCAAAGGCTCTGAGATTTGCTCTTGATATTGCCAGGGGCATGAATTATCTTCATGAATGTAAACCAGACCCGATCATCCATTGCAATTTAAGGCCAAAGTAAGACTAAGCCGAGAGCAAATTAGATAACGGTGAAACAAAACAGTTTGGATAATATTTTGAAAGTTTTTTGTAAGGTGCCAGAAATATTTTGCTGGATAGAGGAGGACAATTGAAGATATCTGGATTTGGTTTGGTAAAGTTGTCCATGATTTCAGAGGATAATGCAAAAGTAGTGAACCACGAAGCTCATATCGATAAGTCAAGTAATAAACAGATTCATATATACAACAAGCATTGTTCTTGGAAGATCTTGTGCTAACCTTTTGAACTGCAGATTACTATATAGCACCTGAGATTTATAAAAACGAAACCTTCGATAAAAGGGTCGATGTGCATTCGTTTGGTGTCATTTTGTATGAGGTAGTAACACACAAAGCTTTTGCTTTCTTGATAATTAAAATTTCTGAGTCCTCATGCTCTAAAAAAAAAAAAAAATCAATTTCGGTTCTATATGTGAAGATGACTGAGGGAGTATCCATATTTCATCCTAAACCGCCTGAAGAGGTTGCAGAGACGATATGTATAGAAGGAAAGAGACCAACAATCAAGACGAAGTCGAAGAGTTATCCTCCGGAATTGAAAGAGTAAGCATTTCAAGACTTTGTTATTTGAAGAAGCTTCATCAACATAAGCTATTATTAGACTTTAGGATGTTTTTAAGCATGAACAACTCAAGAATTGGGATTAACTGTAGGTTGATTGAAGAATGCTGGCATCCTGAAATTGGTATGAGGCCAATATTCTCTGAGATTATTATTCGACTCGACAAAATAGTTGCAAACTGTTCTAAGCAGGGTTGGTGGAAAGACACATTTAAGTTTCCCTGGTAAAACAAAAATTTTATCTTCTTTGATCTGAATAATCCTATTGTTAAAACAATTATTTATGTTCATCATGCATGTTCTTTTTTTTAATTATTTGCAGGAAATAAAAGGGAAACTTTGAATCAATCAACCCTTAAGCTGGAAACACCCGAGATGGAAAAAAAAAAGCAAGACGAGGATGAGATTTTGCGGACGCAAGCAGATTCACCAATTCACTCGCTTTGTAAAAACAAGAAGAATATCACTGATCTGTTTTTATACTTTTTCATTTTTATTGTTTCACGTCATAATTTTTTGGATTATTTTGTATGTATATTTTATGAGTAACACAACATGCACATCACTTGTTCATATTGGAAGCAACTTTTAAAATCTAGATAGGATTCATAAATTTTTCTGCTAACAAATAGAAGTTCTAGGGGAACGAATAGAAAGTTTTTTATAAAAAAGAATAAGAAACTGTGGAAAAGTATTATCTCAACTAAAAATAAACGATTCCATGGGTCTTGGCCCTTGGGGTTCAAGTATTACATCTGATTGTGGATTCATCCACGTGGTTACAATCGAAAAGGTATGGGACCCATATATGATCCAACGGCTTAGAGTCACTTATACAAGTCTAAGTAAATATCTTTATTTGTTCTGTACTCAAATGAAAAGAAAAAAAAAAAGAAAAAGAATCTTAAAACCCTTTCTCACGATTTATTTGCCGCATCCCTAAAACCTCTCAAATTTCTCCGGCGTGTATGCTGGTGTACTTTCTCCGGTAAATAGAGTTCGTCATCTTCAGATTACTCCGTCTTCCCTGGAATTCTGTAAGTGATACTTTGTCTTTTTATTTGTTCATATCTTCGTCGAATTCCTCATACTTCTTGAATCAAGGAATTTGGCATTTCAATTTCTTGCCTCGATTCATTTTCAACTTTCAATGTGATTATCGTCACTTGAGATTTTTTTTTTATGATAAACATTTTGCTTCTTCTCCTACCGATTTCGATTGATCGTCTGGGTTCTGATACTTGGGTTTCGTCTAAGTTTCGTAGTTTTTTTTTACCTCGTTGTCTTTTGATTGAGCGATTTTCCCTCTTCCTAAAATCAGATTAAGGAGTGTTCTCTTGTGGGAGATGTCCAGGTGATTCCTCTTTCGACAACAAAGGGGTATTAAGAAAATGGCGTCACGAGCGATCGTTAGGAGGAAGAGTATCATTTCCGATTACTTGAGTGTCTATGCTCGTTCAACTCAAAGCTTTCAGTCCATTGGAAATTCTGCTCAGACGGTTGATTCACATGCTTATCACTCTGCTACCAGTCGTCCTCCTGTGGAATCCAATAACCCTGTAGCCGAACGCAAGTCCTTTACAGGAAGATATGGTCTTTTACAGCCTTCTAGAAACGGATATTTCGATCCTAAATTCCATGTTTCTCACTTCTCGAGCTTCGGTTATGGAAGTTCGGATTTTGTTTCTTCTCTGGGGATGCGATATTTGAGGATATCCATTCGTAATGCTACTACAGCTGCTGCTAAGCAACCAAATGAAGAGGATAAAAAAGATGATGGCGTTGCTAAGAATAGGAAAGAGGCATCTCCTGAGGAATGTGATCAAGCTGTTGAAAGTCTGAGCAGTGTTAAAGCAAAGGCGAAAGCTAAACGTCTTCAGGAATCCAAAAAGGTTGCTCGGTCGATAGTAAAGAGTACATGGGCATTTTTTCTTGGGATTGGTCCTGCTTTAAGAGCTATTGCCTCCATGAGCAGGTTTAGCTTTCTTCTGACGTCATGTTTGCTTAATCTCCAGGCTTATGCATAGTGATTCCAGTGTACTGAATTTTTCTGTTTTCTATAGGGCGGATTGGGCAGCAAAGCTCACTCACTGGAAACAAGAGTTTGTATCGACATTGAAACATTATTGGCTGGGGACCAAACTACTCTGGGCAGACACTAGAATCAGTTCAAGATTGCTGCTCAAGTTGGCTGGTGGAAAGAGTCTCTCCAGAAGAGAAAGGCAACAGCTAACTCGAACAACAGCTGATATCTTCAGATTAGTGCCATTTGCAGTGTTCATCCTCGTGCCGTTTATGGAGTTTCTACTGCCAGTTTTCTTGAAGCTCTTCCCTAATATGTTACCATCAACTTTCCAGGATAAGATGAAAGAAGAGGTATGTTTTAACGGAGTGTAGGCTTTACATGGTCGGTTATTACCTTATTGCTGTCTGAGTCTCTTTGTCCGTGTTGCTCTTTTGTTAATGTACAGGAAGCATTGAAAAGGAAATTACTTGCAAGGATAGAATATGCTAAGTTTCTTCAGGAAACGGCCAAAGAGATGGCTAAGGAAGTTAAACATTCAAGAACTGGAGACGCAAAACAAACTGCTGAAGACCTGGATGAGTTTTTAGACAAGGTGAGTCATGGGTTTTATATTGGCTTAGATGCGTCGCTTTCTTTCGGTCTTTGAATGTGAATTCCATTCCCCTCGTTCTTAAAATCTTGACTTGCAGGTTCGAAAAGGTCAATTAGTCCAAAATGATGAACTTTTGGGCTTTGCAAAGCTTTTCAACGACGAGCTTACTTTGGATAACATCAGCAGGTTTGTTGCTCTTTTTAAAAAAAAAAATCTCAGAGATGTGTTGTGATCTTAAAGAGGTTCATGTTCTGACGGTAATTACCTCTGTAATTTCAATAATAGGCCTCGCTTGGTTAGCATGTGCAAATATATGGGGATTAGCCCATTTGGAACTGATGCTTATCTGCGATATATGCTCAGAAAAAGACTGAGGAGGTAAGATGCTTCCAGGTCTCATTGTTACTAGAATTGTTACCTTGGTTTGATGTTTAATTTTAACTCCTTTTCACTGCAGCATTAAGGAAGATGATAAACTGATTAGAGCTGAGGGTGTGGATTCCCTTTCAGAAGCTGAGCTACGCGAAGATTGTAGGGAACGGGGAATGCTCGGGCTGGTTTCAGTTGAAGAGATGAGGCAACAGGTTTCTCCTTCTCACTCCTATGATTCTCGTTTCTTTGTTATTTATTTATCAAACCAATCTTTGTTGTTTATTTATCAAAATAATCTTACAGCTTCGCGATTGGATGGACTTGTCACTTAATCATTCTGTCCCCTCGTCGTTATTGATCCTTTCTAGGTAGGTTCCAGATCTCCTTTTTCTCATTAATTCGTTTTTCCATCGGTTTTCTTGCGAATAAATTACTGAAAGCAGTTTATATACAGGGCATTCACTATTTCTGGAAGAGTTAAAGCAGAGGATGCTGTTCGAGCTACTCTTTCTTCTCTTCCCGACGAGGTTGTGGATACTGTTGGTATTACTTCTCTGCCATCTGAAGATCCTGTTTCTGAGCGAAGAAGGAAATTAGAGTACCTTGAGATGCAAGAAGAACTGATCAAGGAAGAAGAAGAGAGAGAAAAGAAAGAAGAAGAAGAGCTTACAAGGATTAAGGATGTTAAAGGTGATGAGGAGGATAAGGCGCTGCAAGAGATGACCATACCAACGGCCAGAGAAGCACAAGAACAGGCCAGAGCTAGAGTTCTTGAACAGCAAGATGATCTTTGCAAACTTAGCCGTGCACTGGGTGTTTTAGCTTCCGCTTCTGTAAGAAAAATGAGTTTATGGTTTTCAACAATGAATATGCAGACTGATCCGCTACCTATTTATGACTCTGTTTTTTTTTTTTTTGGATACAAACAGTCGGTATGTAGAGAGCGCGAAGAATTCCTGAGACTGGTCAAGAAAGAGGTACAGTGTCCATATAAACATAAGCTCGTGTTGATAAGTAGTTTGCTTGATTAGCATCGTGCGTCCTAGATTGAAAGATATTTGTGTTTCTGTTTCTCTAGATGGAGTTCTATAACACTATGGTCGAGAGAGAAGATGTAGATGGTGAAAAAGCTGCAATGAAGGCATACAAAGCGGCTAGAGAAGATAGTGACCAAGGTGATGAAGTTGCTGAAGCAGACGAGGTTTCCTCTGCACTAATGGAAAAGGTAAAGCGATTCAAAATTGTTCGTGGAGAATATTCAAGTCCCATGATATTTGAATCAGAGCTAACTCGTTAGGTATACTTTTTAAGGTTGATGGTCTGATTCAAAACCTCGAGAAGGAGATTGATGATGTGGATATCAAAATTGGCAAAGGCTGGCAGCTTCTTGACAGGTATATAGACAGACATATTGTATCCTCCACTTTTTCCCGTTTCTGAGATTAAGATTCTGAAGTTTTCACGTTTGAATGCACGCAGGGATCGAGATGGAAAGGTAACACCTGATGAAGTTGCAGCTGCTGCGATGTACCTGAAAGACGCACTTGCAAAGGAAGGCCTTCAACAGCTAATCAGTAGCCTCTCTAAAGATAAAGGTAAAGAACAAAGCGATCCTCCTCTTTGAAAGATCTTATTATCTCTCTGAAGTTAAGCTTTTAGTTAATCTTTGTTTTGAATTTGCTTTTTAAACAGAGGGAAGAATTATGGTGGAAGACATTGTAAGGTTAGGTAGGCTGGGAAGTAAGCCAGAAGAACATGCAACAGAAGAAGAATCAAATTAAAGGATTTAGAATAAGTACTCTGGTTTTTTGAGATACTATTTTAGATGTTCACGGCTGGATTATTGAATATATTTTAATGGAGGAAGATGATGGAACTTGGAAGAAAGTAGGATATGACCGTGGTAGAAATGGGAAGAAACATTCAATTTTTTTTAATAATTCTCTGAAAGTATCTACAAATTCGGATTCGTTTTTACTTACCAATCTTACAATTAATTTTCGATGATTTGTTTGGTTTGATCCAGAAAATTATCAGATTTGTAGAATTATCGTTTCTGTTCAACTAACCGGTTTAATCACAAATCAGCCTTACATGTATCTGCTAAAATCGAATTTGTCTATTTATATCAATCACAATCAATTAGGTTGGTCTTTGATTTCTAGACTTTAAATCTTGGATCCTCAGCTTGGGAAATTAAAGATGTCTGCTATTACCATGCTTATCACAAAAATTCATTAAAGAAAACAAACATTAAGGAAAATCAAGTGCAAGAGCTCTCTTCTTAAAAAGAGGTTAAAGAAGATAGCATCCATAAGATGACCATTGATGATTATGCATCAGGAAGGGTCTAGGCTCCATCCGCCAAAGTTCTCTTCACTGTACTGATGTAAAGAACTGCCCCCAAAGAAAACACCGAAACATTATATAAATATATACACAACGACGATATACAAAGAAGAAACATATAGAGAGAGGAATGTAAAAGAATTTTGTTACCGTTGTTTCCACGGATAAAGGCGTCACCGTACTTGTTCTTGAGCTGCCCGTTTACATACTCCTCCGTCTGCTCCATTGCTATGTTCATGTACCCATCAAGACAAGCAAGAATGCCTGTGTAGAAGAACAAGCAAATTTTGATCAAGAACTCAATGTATTAACTTTGACAGAACCTAGACAAAACTGATCAGGGCCAGTAAGAGAACCGAGCCTAGAAAAGTGAATTAAGTAGTTTTTCATGTGTACTAGTCTAAGTCAAAGTTCTCTCTCACATGGCCTTTAGCCTTGATCATGAAACCACAAAGCAAAGATCTGAAAAGCCAATCTCCTAAATTCTCCTAGTCAACTATTGTAGCCTTATTGCAGGCTGTAGGGTTGAACTTTATAATACACATCTAATGCTTCTCTGACGCACAAGTAGTATTAATATATTCGGATAAAAGGAGAAATTAGAATGAGAATTGGAAAGGAGATAAAAAGAAAAACAATCAGCCATATTGGTTACTGTGATCTAACTGTAGTTCAACAAAATGTCCAACTTTCTCAAATTTCTCACAGCTGTATCAATCTATCCCTCTCTAAAACGATCGGTTATGTTCTTAAGAAAACACTTGAAAATGTAAGAAACAAGATTCCATATAGCCTCAAACGAATGAGAAATAAGTTACTATAGTAAGGTTAGCAAGCAACTCTTTTGGTTCCTTTTATTAACATGGTCAAAGGAGCCAGTCCTAAGTCAAAACTTCTAACCTTAAACTGAAGCAGAGATAGATTAAAAAAGTTGAAAAAATGGGAACCATAAACGAAGAAGCGAGAGATATCTACAGAGAAAGAGAGAGCCACCTCTATAATCAACACCAGAATTAAGCTTCACAACAACAGGTCTCCCACGGATAGATTTGAGGAAATCTGCAGGCGTCTTTGTGGTTCCAGAAATTTTCTCTCCACTCCCACTCATCTTTATTGATCTTCTAAGCACGATCCTTTACGTAACTGCAAAAACAATTAAGATCTGAAAATCAGTTGGGTCTAACTAAAAATTTCCTACAAAGGCGAAAACTAGAAGATCAAAACCCTTTTTACGACTTAGATGAACATTAGTCGTTTAGACGACGAGTAAACAAAATCCACAAACTAACTCAAATTCGAACAAGACGCAACCTATCCGAAGAGTAAATTCATAGCTCCTCAACGATCTCAGTAACAAAAAGACTCCGAACCCTAAAACCCTGAACTTTTGACCCAAATGGAAGCGAATCGATTGAAAGAGTAAAGAAAAAACTGAAACTTTTAGACGGATTCAAGGAACAAAGAAGAAATCCAAACCTGACCTATTCAAGACGAACCTTGCTCGATTTTCACCCAAAAAAAAAAAGCTAATAGAGAGGGCGAAGAAATACTGACTCGGTTCGGTTCAACGGGTCGACTTTTAACCTATTATTCCCAAACTATATTGTATAGTAAGATGTAAAAAATATTTTGACCAAAAAAAAAAAGTAAGATGTAAAAAATACAAACTTTACGGTATATTATGATGATATTATTCGAGCTTTCAGAAAACAAATGAATAATAATTGAAATAAAACTTTGATTGGGTGAAATTAAATCTCCAGTGGGTTTCGGTTCGGCCTCACAGTTCTCGTCTCTCTCTCTCTCTCTCTTTCTTTCGTTCTTTCTTTCTTTCTTCTCTCTACAGATCCCTAAATCCTCTCCTTTGGACCGTAAATCACAAACCCTAGATTTAACAAGAAAAATCCTCACAGCTTCTTCATCCTCAATCTCTACTTGTCTTTCTCCTTTCAATTCGCTTTCTCCCCGGAAGAAAAATTTGGGCTTTTCTTCTGGGTTAATCTCTGATTTTATCAGCTATGGGGAAGAATCAAGCTTACAAGGCTATGCAGAGATCTAGGGTTGGCTCCAGCTCGGCTCAGCCGGAGGAGGTTGAAGACGGAATGGTTTGTACCCTTTCATACTATTTTCTTAATTCCAGCAATTGATAATGATTACGTCTCAAGATATCTAATTTCATTTGATTACTTTTGTTTTGATCTTTTGTGTTAATGAGTGATTGAGCAGCGGGATTCGATTTTTAGAAATTAGCTTTCCCCTTGCGAGTCCCAATTTTGTTTACGGAAGAACTTGTAATCGAAGCTTTTAGGGCGTTTCTTACAGTTTTAAGTTCATGTTTGTGGAAAATTAAAAGTTCATATGTAATCTCTTGGAGTGTAGCTTCGAAGTTTGTGTCGCAGTAATTCAAGAGTCTCCGATTGTTGTTGCTATCTATAAACACAAGAAGCATTTAGACATGTCAAACAATAGGGTGCTTTGATATGGAGCTTTTTTGTTTTTTTTTGTTATTGTTCGGCCTGAATGATGATGATTTATTGTATCGGTTCCGGGAACATTTCTGATGAGGAGTGTCGCAGGTGGATGGTTCATTTCATACACCAGAGTGGCATGCGGCTCGTTTGGCTAGTCTGAAGACTACACACACTATTACATGGGAAGAATATAAGAAGAAGCAAAAGGTAATCTTTATCTCGTTTTAAGACTTTCCATTGTAACAAAGGTTCATATCTTCTGATAATCCTTGTTATAATCCTGTATAAGTTAAATTGACCATTGATGCTAAGTGTTCATAAGATCGTTAATATTGTTGTCAATTTAGAAGCTGTACTCCAAAATATCATTTCTCTCGGTGCTCATCCATCTTCGACCATAGATACGCACACTCTTTGTGTATTCATATAAAAATAGCTTCGTTCTTCCTTCTTACATGTATATCTATGTCGAGGTTTTGTCGAGCTCGTTTTTCTTAAAACATTTTCATTTTCTGCATTATCAGTTAGTTACCTTTTGCAGCTTCTCTGCATTGTGATTATGATTGTCATTGTAACTTATTTTACATGACATGTTTAGGAAGAAGAAATGAAAAAGGGAGAGCTTGAAGCAGATACGGATAAACTGATGCGTGAGTATAGAGCTCAGCTGGATGCTGAAAGGGCCTTGAAACTCTCCAAGGGAAGGAACTACTCTAGTGATAAGTCCCGAAAAGGTAATATGATCAACCACTCGACAGAATATCAAAACTTTCTTTCTGAGGAAGCTACTAACTGTTCTCCAATGGCTCAATGACCTCACAGATAAGAAAGACAGAGATTCAAAGAAGAAGAAAAGCAAAAAGAGAAAGGTGCTTATAATTTAGACCTTTGACAATGAACTTAGACCGGATTGTGTCTTGTTTTATAGCTTCTATTAACATTATCCATGTTTGATTGTGTTGTGAATTTGTAGCATTATTCGTCGTCAGAGTCGTCATCTAGTAGCGATGAAGACGAATCTAGAAGATCAAGATCAAGTTCTAAAAGATCGAAGAAGGAAAAGAAGCACAAGTCCAGCAGAGACAAGCACTCTAGCAAAAGTAAAGACGAAACCGAAGGCCCTGTACCACTCTCTAGATTCTTTGGCAATTTGAAGAGTTGACATTGACGTAAACAAACATGCAAAAGAACCATTGCAAGAGTAAGATTGTCTTCAATCAAAATACTCAAATTAGGATATGATTGTTTTCTTCCTTTGTTGCAATGTTATATTTTTGACAATATCTCATGTATTATTTGTTGGATTGAGAGTTGCAAACTTGCAATCATGCCTACATAATCAATCAGTTTTTTTTTTTTTTAGTTTATCTGCTTGAAATTGCGTAATCAGCCAGAAAATATTAGTGCAACAGAAATGTTCTGAGAGATTTTCAGTCTAAAAGACATTATTATTGAGAAAACTGAGAAATGTAAAAGACATAAAAAAAACTGAAGAAAACAAAACAAACAATAGAAGGATCAAAGATAGCCCATATAGAGTTACAAGACCCATGGATACTGAATCGGTCCCCTCCAATATTCTCTCAAAAGACTTTAGAAGACCACTGTTTTACGAGTTGTTCTCAAGCAGAAGTCAAATGTTCCTTTTCAGTTATTGCTGGTTCAGGGTTGAAAGCTAGGGCTTCACTGTAGACTAACTCCTGAATCTGCTCCTCTGTGAGTGGTTCGTCCTCTATATCAAAGTTGAAGGGCCTCGTGCACACTGGTTCATCGCTAAGGTCGTGCATCGAGCTGAGATATGGATGAGCAAGCGCGTCTTCAACTGCAAAGAGGGAATACAGAGAAAATGGCGATAAGGGTCCAAATAAAACTTCAAAGAGGGTAATGAAAGAGGCAAAACTAACCAGAGATTCTCTGTCTTGGGTCAAATGTTAGTATCTTCTCCATCAAGTCTATAGCCAAAGGAGGCACATCAGGGAACTTTTCAGCAAAAGATTGGCGAGGACGCGAAGGAAGCTGCCTTAAGTAACGCTTAGCGTTTTCATTCAACGCTCCAAGATCTTCCTCCGATGGAGAGCCTACGAGCTGCAAAACAAAGTGCAAGACTTTTTCCTTTAAGTTGATCAGAGTCAATAAAAGGTGTGTTCCGGAGACAAAACAAGAAAAGGGTTTTACCTCCATAAGCAAACGAAGCTGATGAACATGGTCTTTACCAGGGAAGAGCGGTTCACGGTTCATCAATTCCAAGAAAATGCAGCCAACAGACCAAACATCTATAGCTGTGGTGTAATCACAAGAGTTCAACAGAAGCTCGGGTGCACGGTACCATCTTGTGACAACATACTCAGTCATTAGATGACTCTCTGAAGTGCCACGAGCAAGCCCGAAATCACATATCTTTAAGTCACAGTTTATGTTCACGAGGAGATTGCTCGGTTTTAAATCTCTGTGTATCACATTGGCCGAATGAATGTACTTTAATCCACGCAGGATTTGGTACAAGAAATACTGCAAACAAAAAAAAAAAAAGAAGGAAATTGAACACTTTCAAGCTCTCTAAATAAATGGTTTGAAGTTTTAAGAAAAAAAAAACTCAAACTCAAACCTGGTAATGAATTGGGGATAGTTTTTGGTTGGACCTTATGAGTACATTAAGGTCACTGAACATCAATTCATATGCAATGTAAACATCTTCAAAAGCATTCCTCTGAGGAGGCAGTATTACGTCTTTGATTCCAACAATCTATGGAAAATGCATGGTATTACTTAAATGTTATTAGCTTTTATGATTTTTTCTCCTTTTCAGATAGAAAAAAAAGTAAGAGAATACTGATAATATCTTGACCAAAAAATAAAAAATAAAAAAATAAATGATGAAATATAAACGTTAAAAAAAAGTGATGAAATATTAAACGGACGTTTTCATGATTGAAGTGACGAAGAAGCTTGATTTCACGGAGAGTTCTCTTTGCATCTACAATGTTATCAAATGCATACACGATTTTCTTTATCGCTACTTTCTCATTGGTCTCCGAGTTCATAGCCGAACTGTAAAAAAAAAAAAAAGTGAAATAATTAAAAATTATTTAAGGCCCCAAAAATAAACGTGTCAATGATTTTCAGAGCAACTAGAAGAACACAAATGGTATATCATTATTTCGCTATCTTCATCACTCCAGGTTATTACAAATTTTAAGAATAATTTCGCTTAAGGGTTTGATAAAATCATGTGTTAAAAAAAAATTCGATAACTTCTCAAGTTCTCATAAAAAAAAAAAAAACAGTTAACGGTTTCTTCAGGACTGAAGCTTTTAGTAAAGGAAAATTTAGTAAAACAAAAACAGAAAAAAAAAAGAACAAAAGTTAAAAGGGAATTACCAAACGATGCCATAAGCACCTCTGCCTATAAGCATGATGGGTGGCTTATACTTTGCAGTGACTTCGAAGATACTCCCAAAGATGTTGTATTGTATATATCTGCCGTCATGGCTGGGATTCGCAGGAATATGCTCAGCTTCGAGCATTTCAGGTGACGGATACGGAAGTTCGTCGGTAGTATCTCCGTCGTGACTTTTCACCGTCTCAGCATCATTGGCTGGTTCCATGACCACTCAAATTCTTACAGTTTTTGTTTCTCTTACAAAATCATTTGGTTAAAAGAAATGGTATTTTTTTTTTCTTTTCTTCTTGGTTGGGCTAATAGTTTGAGAGAAGGAAACATATATAGTGACTGTGCAAGTATATCGATGTTTAATTTCTTAGCTCATCATGGACCCAAAAGATAAGAGTTTGGTAAATTTTAATATTTTTAAGTAAGTTTTTAATTTCTGGAAATTTTGCTGTCATTTCATTTTTTCCCTTATAAACTATTAACTAGCTAATCCCTTTAGAAGATATATACCCCATTTATCCACATATATTTTATGTCAATCTAAATAGTAATTATTGATATAAAAAACAAACACTCGTACAACAATGTGTCCATGAACGATTAATGTCGTGCCTAGATGGCTAGATTGATAGAGGTTATGAAGCTAGTTTAAAATATATGGCCTTGTTATAAGCATAAAATATTATTAAAAAGTAAATTTTGTCTAGAGATGTAGTGATAATGAAAAGATAATAGAAATTCTAAAGCATTATGTGTTTTGTTATCAAAAGAAAGATAGATTGATTTAGTTATATTTTCTGTAGACATGTTTTTTTTAGTGTCTATTATAACGTGTTTCTCTACTATTTAAACATATTATACATATATTAAATTAAATACTTATGCCCAATGACGAATCCAGAAAATTTTATAGATGAGGACATAATATTAGAAATATGGGAAAAAGTTTATAGATGAGACACATTTTTCTTTTTACTACTAAATTAAGAACATTTTAATTAAATTTACTTAAAAATATTTTTTAAAATAAAAATAACAGGGAGTATGTGACCCGTCTAGACGTATGTACGCCCGCCCCTGCCTAATCTTGAAGTAAACAGGTGTTCTAATTTTATTTGTTTAGTATTTTTAGAAAAAAATCTTTTCGTTAACATATAAAAACGTCTCTCGAACGACAAATAAACTTATGAAAATACCATTTTACAACTGTTTTTTCGAAAATTCCATCAAAGGAAAATCTTTCTAGACGTATATATGCCCGCCCCTACTTATGCCTAATCTTGAAGAAAACAGGTGTTCTAATTTTATTTGTTTGGTACTTTTAGAAAAAAATCTTTTCTTTAACATATAAAACACGTCTCTCGAACGACAAATAAACTTACGAAAATACTATTTTTACAACTGTTTTTTCAAAAATTCCATCAAAGAAAAATCTTTTTAGACATATGTATGCATGCCCCTGCTTATGCCTAATCTTGAGGAAAACAGGTGTTCTAATTTTATTTGTTTGGTATATTTAGAAAAAAAATCTTTTCTTTAACATATGAGACACGTCTCTCGAACGACAAATAAACTTACGAAAATACCATTTTTACAATTTTTTTTTCAAAAATTCCATCAAAGGAAAATCTTTCTAGACGTATGTACGCCCGCCCCTGCTTATGCATAATCTTGAGGAAAACAGGTGTTCTAATTTTATTTGTTTGATATTTTTAGAAAAACTTCTTTTCTTTAACATATGAAATACATCTCTCGAACAACAAATAAACTTACGAAAATACCATTTTTACAACTGTTTTTCCAAAAATTCCATCAAAGGAAAATCTTTCTAGACGTATGTACGTCCGCCCCTACTTATGCCTAATTTTGAGGAAAACAGGTGTTCTAATTTTATTTGTTTGGTATTTTTAGAAAAACTTCTTTTCTTTAACATATCAAATACATCTCTTAAATAACAAATAAACTTATAAAATTTTTTTACAACTGTTTTTTCAAAAATTCCATCAAAGGAAAATCTTTCTAGACGTATGTAAGTCTGCCCCTGCTTATGCCTAATCTTGAGGAAATAGGTGTTCTAATTTGATTTCTTTGGTATTTTAAAAAAAACTTCTTTTCTTTAATATATGAAACACGTCTCTCGAACGACAAATAAACTTACGAAAATACCATTTTTACAACTGTTTTTTTCAAAAATTCCATCAAAGGAAAATTTTTCTAGACGTATGTACGCCCACCCCTGCTTATGCCTAATTTTGAGGAAAACATGTGTTATAATTTTATTTGTTTGGTATTTTTAGAAAACCTTATTTTCTTTAACATATGAAACACGTCTCTCAAATGACAAATAAACTTACAAAAATACCTTTTTTACAACTGTTTTTTCAAAAATTCCATCAAAGGAAAATCTTTCTAAATGTATGTACGCTCGCCCCTGCTTATGCCTAATCTTGAGGAAAAGAGGTGTTCTAATTTTATTTGTTTGGTATTTTTAGAAAAACTTCTTTTCTTTAACATATGAAATACATCTCTCAAATGACAAATAAACTTACAAAAATATCCTTTTTACAACTGTTTTTCCAAAAATTCCATCAAAAGAAAAATTTCTAGACGTATGTACGCCCGCCCCTGCTTATGCCTAATCTTGAGGAAAACATGTGTTCTAATTTTATTTGTTTGGTATTTTTAGAAAACCTTATTTTCTTTAACATATGAAATACCTCTCTCAAATGACAAATAAACTTACAAAAATACCCTTTTTACAACTGTTTTTTCAAAAATTCCATCAAAAGAAAATCTTTCTAGACGTATGTAAGCCCGCCCCTGCTTATGCCTAATCTTGAGGAAAACAGATGTTCTAATTTGATTTGTTTGGTATTTTTAGAAAAACTTCTTTTTTTAATATATAAAACACGTCTCTCGAACGACAAATAAATTTACGAAAATACCATTTTTACAATTGTTTTTTCAAAAATTCCATCAAAGGAAAATTTTTCTAGACGTATGTACGCCCGCCCCTGCTTATGCCTAATATTGAGGAAAACAGGTGTTATAGTTTTATTTGTTTGGTATTTTTAGAAAACTTATTTTCTTTAACAAATAAAACACGTCTCTCAAATGACAAATAAACTTACAAAAACACCTTTTTTACAACTGTTTTTTCAAAAATTCCATCAAAGGAAAATCTTTCTAAACGTATGTACGCTCGCCCCTGCTTATGCCTAATCTTGAGGAAAACAGGTGTTCTAATTTTATTTGTTTAGTATTTTTAGAAAAACTTTATTTCTTTAATATATGAAACACATCTTTCGAACGACAAATAAGCTTACGAAAATACCATTTTTACAATTGTTTAATTTAAAAATTCCATTAAAGGAAAATCTTTCTAGACGTATGTACGCCCCGCCCCTGCTTATGTCTAATATTGAGAAAAACAGGTGTGTTAATTTTATTTGTTTGGTATTTTTAGAAAAACTTATTTTCTTTAATATATGAAACACGTCTCTTAAATGACAACGTTTTTACAACTGTTTTTTCAAAAATTTCATCAAAAGAAAATCTTTCTAGACGTATGTATGCCCGCCCCTGTTTATGCCTAATCTTGAGGAAAACAGGTGTTCTAATTTTATTTGTTTGGTATTTTTAGAAAAACTTCATTTCTTTAATATATGAAACACGTCTCTCGAACGACAAATAAACTTACGAAAATACCATTTTTACAACTGTTTTTTCAAAAATTTCATCAAAGGAAAATCTTTCCAAAATATCTATTCTATAACATGTTTTAAACACTTTCGTAATATAATCCTAAATCATCAATGTTTAGTTTAATAGTTTTTTTTATTAATTTTAATTTTGTAATTTCTCAGTTTCATATATTATGTACATATAAGATCTGTTTAGACAATTTCGATTACTGTTCTTTAATTATAATTTAGTTATAACACAAAATTAATGTTACAAAGAACAGCAAAGTAATTTTTAATATCATCTGGCATTAACATTCAGTGGTGTTGTTAATATTTTGTAATTTTCGAAATTATCTCTAAATTATAGAATTAATTAAATATATGGTAATGAGAATTAGATACATCTCCCTTATTTTAGTTTCTAATTTTTTTTTTATTCAAGAAACTTTTTTAAGATTTCATACTTTTGAAATTTAAATTTTCTTTTTCTATTTTCAAAATAAAATTGAAAATTTAGTATAGTAATATTTCCAAGAGAGATTTAATTTACATTATATATATATGTATATTTACTTTTATATATAGAAGTAGGAAACCCATATAAACCCCTGTTAAAGTAAATCCTTGTGTGTTTTACATGGTTTTGTTTTCTCCAATTTATAATTATAATTTAAATGGTATATCAAGAATTTAAAAGTTTGTATAATTTCACTATGACTTACAAAGAGACTTCCAAGCAGCAATAATATTATAATTTATATTAAGTTTGCAAGTCTATTGTTTGCTCAATTTGGTAGATTAAATATGTATGTAAACATTTTTTTCATTAACAGATAAGTGTATTTTTTATTTTTTTTCCTCGAAATATTGTTATATCCCCTTTTGCTATAATTTTTTTTGGGGTAATATTGTGATTCATCTTTAAGTATTTTACCGTGAATACAGCTGCAACAAATTTATGAGCTCTTAAGTAGTTAAATTTGTTCCATATTCTAATAACAATATATGAAAGATACTTGAATTTATAACAAAATTTAAAGGCAGTCCAGCAGTCCAATATCAATCCACTGCATCAACACTTCACCATGTAACGCCATTTTTATTTGCTTTTTTATTGACAAAAAATTATCATTGTTTTTCTACTTCTGGTTTTTGTTTTTTCACGGTACTTTTTAGTTTTCTACGAAAGATTTGTTTTTTAAAAAAACAACCACTCACTTCTGCTAATGACGTTGATTATTACGGTTCATTCTTATGAGTTTTTAAATATGCTTACACATTAAAATAGTATTAGTTCTGATGAATTAGTGAATAACGACTTACAACATGTCCTTCATATATTTTTGGCAAAAAACATGTTCTTCTTATAAATGTCAATATATAAGTGACAAAATCACAATGTAAATGTTGGGAAATTACATGAGGAACATATAAGTTAAAGCAAAAATCTGTATTATTTGGAAGTTCTTGCTTTGTCAAGACATCAGCTGATGTGTTGAAACTTCTTCCTACCCATTCAAAATCAATGTAACTTCTCGGATCCAATTAGGTGAATATTATATCACTTGGAAGAGTGGAGAGAATCCAAGGAACCGTGAAGATTGGGTTGGTCAATGACACCATTTGTGACACCACCAAAACAACCATCAGAACGAAACAACCATCAGAACGAAACAACCATCAAAGAACCATCATCTTCACTAATTCTTCTCTACTTAGCTGAAAACACTAGAAGTGCTTAATTTTCAAAGATCATTTATGTTTATTTTTAGTTTTTAATGAAATGAAAAGCAAAAACTACTGAAAACTAGCTAATATAAGTTACACCTAAACGAATAAAACAAACAAACATTTGGGTTATATACCAATGGCTGAAAGGGAAGTGATCTATATTTTTTTTTTGAACTCCACTATTCACGAAAATTATTGGGATTTATCTTGACCATTCCATTATACACGGTTTAAATAGCAAAATTGTTTGAGTTTTGCACAATTCTAAAATTGTCAAAAACACCCATCATCAAATCTAAGGGTATTGGTTGAATTGAAATACATTTTTTATTTGCACCACAATTATGAACGTTAACAATTCCAAAGAGTCGAGGGTAAAGTAATTCTTGCCAGTTACAAGCAACAATAAAATTAAAATGTTGGAGCCTTTATGCTTCTGAGATATCAACGTTGTCCAAAGCTTCTTCTGGTGATGATGATGCGTCTTGGAGACCTTCAGAAGTTTCATCCGACGGCTGAGATTCATGTTTAGCAGCAGCCTGCAAAACCCGGCTTCGAACATCTGAGGAAGAAGGTGAAGTTGGGAGGCCAACACCATTTGTCTCAAGCTTTCCTGCAGCCCATGAGAAAGCTTGAGCTCCAAGTTTCACCGGTGCAAACAACAGCCTTGAAGAAGAGGAAGAAGAAGAAAAGAAACAATCTTTGTTAAGACTATGCAGAGGTTTTTCTAAAGTTTTATTATGAGCAAGGATGGCACTTTTATACCTCACGTCTTGCTTGAAGTCTTCGGAGTCATCATATGAAGAAAGTCGTTGGTAAATAGTCTGCATAATGTATGGGACTTGAGAAACAAAGAAACGATAGTTTAACTGGTAAAACTTAGAATTCAGTTAATGGCAGTAAATACAATACCAAACCAAGGCCAATGACAGCTATGAGTTGCAGTGTTTTCTCCCACTCTGCGATAGATATAACAATCATGTTAATTACTGCAATGTTGAAAGCGAGAAGAAGAGATTTATAAAAGTGAAAATGAGAAAAAAATTAAGCGCACCGAACAATGCATACAGTGCTGCGAAAACCCCCTGCATAGACCGCATTGCCTTAGATCATGATAGGGTTAATATATTTTGGGAAAAGGAAATATAGAACTAGAAACATACCACACCAACTCCAACAACTTGCAATGGAGAAGGATTTATGTCCTCAAGAATCGCCTCAGCCTCCTGAAAATCAATCAGGAATCAGGATGTACTTAACTTTCTCAAGAAATTATTTTCGAGTAGTTTCATTTCATCCGAATCAGTAGTCCAAAATAATTATATACATATAGTAACGCCAATAGCAACGGGAGAAAGCTGATTGATAGATACCTCATTGAGGATGGTAATTGTTGTCTCAGGTTTTGGCTCTTTCACACGTAGACCTTCCTTAACCCATGATCTATACCCACCTTGCAACAAGTATGGTCTCTGTCACATTATAAGCAAACAAAGGAGAGCTTAGTCAGAAATATTTTACGGTAACTATAGTACTCAAAGTGAGTTAAACCCAAATTATGTGCCTTGATCCCAAGTTTTCTTAAGGCTCTTGCAATGCCCTTAGAGCGAGTTCCATCAGCATCCATAACAATAACCTTGGACCTGTCCTATAAACAGCAGCGTAAGCAAAGTTTATGAGATGTCAGCATACTTTAGAAACTGAAACTCCACCAATATATTGCTTGGGTATGCACAAAACCATAGCAAGTTACGAAAGAGGCATGAAGGTGGCATACCTGAACTGATTTTAAGTTCTTGATGATAACTGCTGTCAAGATATCGTCAACTTCATTTCCACCTTTCAGTAACCGTTTAACAGCACCGTCAACCTTTAACGTGAATCAAGAACAAAAACCTTAAAACTGTGAAGAAATGAAGTTTCTATATATTTATTCAGTGTGGTCAACAAGAATGCGTATGCTGAAACTAACCTCAGGCAGGGTCACACTAGAATATCGAAAACGAGCTGCTCTCCGCAGATCAGGGATTCCATCTTTCTCTCTCAAGGCCTTCAAAATACGGTAGCCGAGATGAATCTTTTTTCTTTCAACTCAAAGTCCTTGATGAAAATTATGTGAAAGAAAAAGGCCAAATTGTGGAGAGTACTGAAAAAGTTAATGAACTTGATGGAAACTTAAGACCGTCTTACTTCAGGCCTGACATCTACGAGCACTGGCTTTTCTTTTGATGTTAAAAGCTCAAGAGTTGACTTTGGAGACAAATCTCCAGCATACCCACCATATGTCCAAACCCGATATAGAACCCTGCAAATATCTGGTGGAAAATATAAATTCTTCTATATACTTCATTGTTCTTCTCTCAATAAATGCATGTATGATATTCATTCGTAAGAAAATCCGTGTACCAAAAGGTTCCTGTGGTGCCTACGAAGAGAAAAAGGTGAATGATTGGATCATCTGGATCCAAGCCGAAATTTCTCTCCAGACCTCCAATGGCAACATATACCTGTTCATCATGACGCTGTTAGTAACACGTGGTCCATTTACTCCCAGAAAAACATAAATGGAGCCTCCAGTGTAAAAGACAAAGCACCTGCTCCAAGACAGCTCCCAGGGGCCTCAATACTTTAAGAGCAACAGCTTCCGATGAGGTAAGCACATTCTTAACATCTTCAGGAAGTAACTGCTTTGCCGATCCATAAGAATACACAGCAAAAGAAACTCCTTTTGCAACAGAACTCTCTGCAATACTAACTGATTGCCTCAACAGATCAATGGCTAAATATCCTGCTCTGTTTGAAGCATCCTTCAAGCCAGCGGAAAAGCTCGAGAATTTATCTCCAGCTACATCTCCTGTTTGGTCTAGAGTAGAAAACGCAGTGTTAAATGCACTATCTACAGCTTCAGAAGCAGTCTTTGTAATGGATGTCACGGAAGAGGAGAATGAATCCAAAGTGTTCTTTACAGCATTTTCTCCTTGGTTTAGCGAAGAGCTGAAAGACTCCTTCACCCCAGAAGAAAAGTCTTCAAAGCTAGCTTTCGCATCGGGAAGTGATCCATCTAGAGCATCGGGTAGAGAGACAGAAGTATCAGGAGATATATCAGGAGTTGATATTGTTCCCGGCTCAACCGAGACTATAAGGTTACTGCTGTTTTCGGTTGAAGTCTCAGCAGCAATATTATCAACAGGGGAAACATCTGATACGACAGCTTCATCAGGTGAAACATCTACTGCACTTTCTACATATGTCAGCCCCCCATTTTTTACAGCTTCTCTCATGTCATAGACCGTGTAGTTTATCCTGTTCAACTCATTCTGGTGCAGACTACTTAATAACTCGGTGGACACTGGTTGTTCAGTGGCAAAACTCCCCATGGCTCGGGTCCCCCAGACCTTGGGCAGGTGGGTTCCATTAGAGTTACCAAAGAAGGCATTATCACCAGAAATGCATCTGTGAATGGAATCTCTCCTCAAGGAAGAAGAAGAGCCTCGCCATTTGCCAGGAAATAAAATCTGCAGGAACAATCCGTTACGCAAAAGAATCCAAAAGCTAAACAAAGCATACTGGATAAATTTCAAAACTTTTTGTGTACACCAATTAGGTAATCTGCTTCCATTTCTTTACAGAAAAAAAAAAATCTCACCTGAGAATGGTAATGGCAGCTTGCGGCCGAGCACAGGGGAAACATTATGGTCAGCTCTGGATTCTTATAGAAATCTCATAGCTTTCACAGTATACCGGAAAAGGAAAAACAATAAGATTTCAGATACAAAATGACAATTCCGTAAATCTGATCCAGAATAAAGAATGTCACAATGAGACATAAAGGGGTAAATCACAGACCAAGAAGAAACAGTGACGCAACAAGAAGATTCAGACACAAAGACTCCAGCAGCAGATTTACAGCAACGGGTTTCGTTTGAAACCTGCAAATAAGAATACACATTATCCAATTATCCAGTCTGAGCAATGTTGGGAAGGTCAAAAATTCGCGATCAAAACAACAGAAGAAATTTAACCTATCTGGGTCAAGGTCGATGATGGAGTTTCATGAAAATTGAGAAGAGTGGAGTGAGCTTGATGGAAGCTGGATTCCAAACAAAGAGATTTGTGTCGCAATTTGGGATTGGGTGGAGGAAGATAAGTGAAAGAGAATCGAATCGTGTGGCAGTTGTCACAAAATCCGTTATTTCATCTCTCTCTCATCTCTAATGTTTTTTATTTAACGAATGGGTCAATTCGTGATTTTGCAAAACTAATGGGCCAATGTCGATGTTCTCAATAACTTCCGACTCTTCTTTCATAAATTAATTATATCTTTACACGTGTCATACTATGATTGTTTTAATTTTCCGTGGGTTGAATGATAGCCGATTTGCTTCTCCTTCTTCGGTTGTTCGCCTGTGACTTCGCCAATTTTGCATCTGATCATCAACTTCATGCTTCCTTGAAGCTTTGAAGGTGAGTTCCATCTTATGACTAAACCATTCGATTCGACTCGATTTCTCTCAAGTATTTAGCTCTCTGGTTTCTCTGAATATGTATGAATCTTCGATTTACGTCTATAATTTTGCTACTCTCGAAAGTTTCAGATCTCTCCGGGTTTTTTTTTTTTTTAAATCGGAATAGAGACCACGGATTTTTTGAGAAAAGTATTAATTTTTTTCTCAGTGATCTTGGATAATTTTCTAGGAAGATGATCTCTCACTTTGAATTCTGTATAGCGTGCGTTTAGTAAAGCACTGACTATGCTGCATTTTGGGATCCCATTGCTATTTATGTCTCTGGATTTCAAGTGAACGATTTCCTCATTTCATTTTCTTTTCTTAGATTTTTGGTTCCATGTTGATATCTTGATCCGTGAAGCTGTCAAGAGGTCACCTGCTCCGGTCGGTCCTGTGTTCAGATGGATCTGCATCCACCAGGTGAGTCCTACTTTGTGGTTTTCCTTTTCTTAAGATGGAAATGTATCAAAAATTTTCATTGTGTTTCTTTTCGGAAGATGGAAGTGTCTTTTTCTTTTCCACTCTAGGTGTTTGTCATCATTTGGTTGGCTGAATTCTTATCTTCTTCTTGCAGTTGTTGGTCAGAAAACATCTATTGTTGTTGTCACCCTAGACTCTGGTGAAGTATATGTCATAGCTAGTCTGTTCTCTAGGCCTGACACTCAGGTTATCTATATCGATCCTACCACTGGTGTCCTGCGGTACATTGGGAAACCTGGTCTTGATAATTTCAAGTCAGAGCGTGAAGCCGTTGATTATATCACGAATGGATCAAGAGGAGTTTGTAGAAGCTCAGTTTATGGCAGGGCTATACTCGGTTATGCTGTCTTGGGGAGCTTTGGGATGCTTTTAGTTGCGACCAAGCTAAATCCAAGTATTCCGGATTTGCCTGGTGGAGGATGTGTATACACAGTGACTGAGAGTCAATGGGTCAAAATACCACTTCACAATCCACAGCCTCAAGGTAAAGGTGAAACCAAGAATATTCAGGAGTTGACAGAGCTTGACATCGACGGGAAGCACTTCTTCTGTGATACTAGGGACATCACCCGGCCCTTCCCGAGTCGTTTTCCAGTACAAAACCCTGATGATGAATTCGTTTGGAATAGATGGTTATCCGTTCCTTTTAAGAATATTGGGCTGCCTGAACACTGTATCATTCTTCTGCAGGTTCGTCCTCCATTAATGAATTAATGATGATTAATCAGATTTATTTTGGTTTTATGTGAAGTCTCAGAAGCATTTCATATTCTAAGATGAGGTAACATCACATCGTGTCTTCTTATTTAATTATAGGGGTTTGCAGAATATAGACCTTTTGGGAGCTCAGGTCAGTTAGAAGGGAATGTTGCTCTAATGGCCCGTCGTAGCAGACTGCATCCAGGGACTCGTTACTTAGCTAGGGGCATAAATTCATGTTCTGGCACAGGTGAGACGCTCCCGAAATTCCTCTTTTCGTTTTTGTCTATTGTTAACACGTTTAAAAGCAATGGCTGTCTGGAAGAAATGATACATTTGATGTAAATGTGACTCTGGATTTGACTAGGGCCTAATTTTTGAAGTGTATGTGTAGTGCAGGTAACGAAGTTGAGTGTGAGCAGCTTGTATGGACACCTAAAAGGCATGGTCAGAGCATTGCTTTTAGCTCATACATTTGGCGACGTGGCACCATACCAATATGGTGGGGTGCAGAACTGAAAATGACAGCGGCAGAAGCAGAAATTTATGTGGCGGATAGAGATCCCTATAAAGGAAGCACAGAGTATTACCAAAGGTTAAGCAAGCGATATGATACTAGGAATCTAGATGCATTAGTTGGAGAAAACCAGAAGAAAAAGGCTTTTGTTCCTATTGTGTGCATCAACTTGTTAAGAAATGGAGAAGGGAAATCAGAATCTATCTTAGTTCAGCATTTTGAAGAATCGATGAACTTCATCAAGTCCAGTGGAAAGCTTCCGCATACTCGTGTTCACTTAATAAATTACGATTGGCATGCCAGTGTGAAATTAAAGGGAGAACAACAAACAATTGAAGGATTATGGATGTATCTAAAATCTCCCACTATGGCAATAGGAATCTCTGAAGGTGACTATTTGCCTTCACGACAAAGACTGAAAGATTGCAGAGGTGAGGTAATCTGTATTGATGACGTTGAAGGTGCGTTTTGTTTGAGATCGCATCAAAATGGGGTGATACGCTTCAACTGCGCTGATTCTTTGGATCGAACAAATGCCGCTAGTTTCTTCGGTGGTCTTCAAGTGTTTGTAGAGCAATGTAGAAGGCTGGGAATATCACTTGATACTGATCTTGGATATGGTTATAATTCTGTGAATACCCATGGCGGATATAATGCTCCCCTTCCACCAGGATGGGAAAAAAGAGCTGATGCAGTCACTGGAAAATCGTATTATATAGATCACAATACTAAGACAACAACATGGAGTCATCCATGTCCTGATAAACCATGGAAGAGATTTGACATGAAGTTTGAGGAGTTCAAGAGATCAACTATCTTATCTCCTGTGTCTGAGCTCGCAGATCTTTTTCTGCAACAAGGTGATATCCATGCAACCCTCTACACTGGCTCAAAAGCTATGCACAGCCAAGTTCTTAATATCTTCAGTGAAGAATCAGGAGCGTTTAAACAATTTTCTGCAGCACAGAAAAACATGAAAATTACCCTACAGAGAAGATATAAAAATGCAATGGTTGATAGTTCACGGCAGAAGCAGCTGGAGATGTTTCTGGGAATGAGGCTTTTCAAGCATCTTCCATCAATTCCTGTACAGCCTTTACATGTAAGCAAATTGGCACAGTTTTAGTCTACATTTCTTCCATGTATATAAACTGCCCTAAATTATGAATCACACTTTTAGTGCGTAGGTAGATTTTGCTTCATATTGGACAGAAGCTCTTTATCTTTGTTTTTGTTGAGATATAAGATTCCTGAGAGAATATCTTCTTTGTTGATATGTAGAGTTAACAATTTGTTGCTTTCTGAATTCTCAGTCTTCTGATCACGGAACCTTTTTCATGACAGGTACTTTCTCGACCATGTGGTTTCCTTCTGAAACCTGTACCTAGCATGTCCGAAAGTTCCAATGATGCGTCCAGTCTGCTGAGTATCAAGAAGAAGGACATAACTTGGGTACCTCCACTTGGTTATAACATTACGTCTTAGTTCTCATTACTGGAAAATTTGAGCTAAAGAATTTCCCTGCTTTTTATATACTTTGCAGTTATGTCCCCAAGCTGCAGATATTGTTGAATTGTTAATCTATCTCAGTGAGCCTTGCCATGTATGTCAACTTCTACTGACTATATCCCATGGTGCGGATGATTTGACATCTCCATCCACTGTGGACGTGAGAACTGGACGCCACATAGAGGACCTTAAATTAGTTGTTGAGGTTGACTCTCTTTTAGGTCTTGTCCCTTCTCTTTTATTGTTTGGAAGAGATCATGTAGACTTACATGCAAGTAAGTTCAACTGGATAACTGATTCCCGGTAATTATGTTTTGTGGACAGGGTGCTTCGATACCGCGCTGTGCAAATGGTACAAATCTTCTGATACCCTTACCAGGGCCAATTAGTTCTGAGGATATGGCTGTTACTGGAGCTGGTGCGCGTCTTCATGAAAAAGATACGTCAAGTCTTTCAATGCTGTATGATTTTGAAGAACTAGAAGGACAGTTGGATTTCTTGACCCGTGTAGTTGCGGTAACATTTTATCCAGCTGGTTCTGTTCGAATCCCTATGACTCTTGGTCAGGTACGAACTACTTTCCAGACTGAAACTGATGAGTTATCTATTAGCTTCATCATGCTCTTTGATTAGCTATCATCAAAAGACAAAACAGTTTAAATCAAACACCTTTTCTGCATTGTGTTTGTGCTGCAGATAGAAGTCCTCGGAATTTCTCTTCCATGGAAAGGAATGTTTAGTCGCCAACGTGCTGGAGGAAGATTGGCTGAAATTGCAACTAAAACAAACGAAGATGAAATTCTATTTTCATCTTGTTCTGACTCGAACCCGTTTGCTGCAAAATCTTTACAGACTGAAACTGTGTCCACGCCAGTACAACAGAAAGATCCTTTTCCCAGTAATTTGCTTGACCTTTTGACAGGAGAGTACTCTTCTTCTGACCCTCTTCCACAACCAGCGGTGGAATGTATTGCAAGTGGAGGCAATGACATGCTTGATTTCTTAGACCAAGCAGTTGTTGAATATAGTGTCTCTGAAACTATTCCTGGTGGGTCTTTCTCAGAAGATAAAAGTCCTAGAGAGAGTGGTTCTCATTTGTACTTAACTTGTCTGAAATCCCTTGTGGGTCCAAACATGGTACGCTACTTTTCCCTTATTAATTTATTTGGAAAGAAAATATGTTATCTGGAGATGCAAGTACTTCTTGTCACAAACTATTTCTGATCATATGATTCTTTTCTTGGATTAGCTATTCTTCTCACATGTTATCTTTCTTCTTTTAGTACCATTTCTAATGGTAAACTTAATCCTGCATGTCTAATATAATACAGGGGAAGAAGCTTGAGTTTGTAGAAGCTATGAAGCTTGAAATTGAACGTCTACGTCTAAATATTTCTGCAGCAGAAAGAGATAGGGCACTGTTATCAATTGGAATTGATCCTGCTACCATTAATCCAAACTCTTCGGACGATGAGTTATATATTGGAAGATTGTGCAGAATAGCAAATGCACTTGCAGTTCTGGGACAGGCTTCTCTTGAAGATAAAATTATAGCTTCTATTGGTCTAGGAAAGCTGGAAAATAATGTGATAGATTTCTGGAACATTACCGGAATTGGTGAGGGTTGTGATGGCGGAATGTGTCAAGTTCGAGCTGAGGTCAATAAAAGTCCAGTTGGATCTTCTACCAAGAGTTTGGGAGGAGAGGCGGGCTCAGTGTTCTTGTGTTTCCAATGTATGAAAAAAGCTTGCAAGTTTTGTTGTGCTGGAAGAGGAGCTCTTCTGCTTTCAAAATCCTACTCCAGGGACACTGCGAATGGAGGTGGAAGTCTTGTAGATGCCTCTGCTACTTCAATAGGTTCAGACCATTACATTTGTAAAAAATGCTGCAGCTCGATAGTACTTGAAGCCTTGATTGTAGATTATGTTAGGGTGTTGGTCAGCTTGCGAAGAAGTGCCCGTGTTGATAATGCTGGTCGGGAAGCTCTGAATGAGGTATTTGGATCTAACATCACGAGTCATCTTGCTGTTAAAGGTCAACCTTCTCCTAATCAAGAAGACTTTAACTCCCTTCGTCAACTTATGGGTCAAGAGGAATCACTTGCTGAGTTCCCATATGCAAGCTTCTTACATAAGGTAATATATTTCGTTCTTCCACAAAGCCTGCTGTTATATGCTTGGTGTTAAATATTTTAGATGTTCCAATATATCGTTTGGTCCTCTTTATCTCCAGAATTTCTAGATTTGCAACCTTTATCATCATACTGCATCGAATGTTTGCTTTGTGATGAAATTTTATTCTCAGGATGTTGCTCTAGGTACTCCCTTTTCCTCATTTTCTTTTGCTCTAAATGAACTTGCTTGTTCGCCCCCCCTCTTGTTGGTCAATCATCACTGTCATTTAGTATATAACCTTAAGGAAGTGGCGGAACACCACGTGTGAGAGATAAACTTACCGCATCTCTTCAGTTTAAATACAGAGAGCTGTTATATGTGTTACCTAATCCTCCCTTGTCTATTTTGGATGTTTTAGGTCGAAACTGGGACTAATTCAGCACCATTTTTGTCATTGCTCACCCCTCTGAATCTTGCTTCATGTAATTCCTTCTGGAAAGCTCCTCCGTCTTCAAACTCTGTTGAAGCTGTCATCATTCTTAATAAACTTTCAGATGTCAACAGTGTGATTCTGCTCGTTAGTCCATGTGGTTACTCTGATGCTGATGCTCCTACCGTAAGTTGACTTTTTTTTTTCCAACTGAATTCTTTTTATCCCATGCGATTACTTAAGTGATAATGCTACCACAATTATCGCATGATTTCACTCATTCCAACATTTAATGTATGCAGGTCCAAATTTGGGCGAGCAACGATATAAATAGGGAAGCACGGACATTGATGGGAAAGTGGGATGTACAGTCCTTTATTAGATCTTCGCCTGAGCTTTACGGTCCAGAAAAGTCTGGTAGAGGACCCAGGCATATAAAATTTGCTTTCAAGAATTCTATTCGCTGCCGCATTATATGGGTAACAATGCGTCTTCCTCGGCTTGGATCTAGTTCTGTTAGTTTGGACAGAAACATTAATCTATTATCTTTGGATGAGAACCCTTTTGCTCCAATCCCTCGGCGTGCCTCTTTTGGAGCTACCATCGAGAGTGAACCATGTCTTCATGCAAAACGCATCTTGGTCATCGGAAACAGCATGAGGGATAAAACGCTTGCATCATTACAAAGTGTTGAGAGCATGAGCGTAAGAAATTGGTTGGACAGAGCTCCACGTTTGAATAGATTCCTGGTTAGTACCTCAGAGAAATGTCTGGTTCTTTCGCCTTTTGCTATAGCATTTACGTTATAATTGTCACTAATTTTTTTTTTCCTTCTTTCAGATACCTCTCGAGGCTGAGAGACCAATGGACAATGATCTAGTCCTGGAACTCTATCTGCAACCTGGTTCACCTTTAGCTGCTGGATTTCGTTTAGAAGCTTTTAACGCCATAAAGCCTCGTGTTACCCACTCGCCTTCTTCAGATGTAGTTGACATTTGGGACCCGACGAGTATCATAATGGAAGATGGACACGTCTCTCCAGCCGTCTTGTATATACAAGTATCTGTTCTTCAGGTATCATATCTGTCTCTAGGCGTTTTTTAATCCTCAGAAAAACCAATATCTTCTAATGACTTTTCCATGTGGATCTGAAAACGTTTCTGCAGGAACAGTATAAAATGGTGACAATCGCGGAATACAGATTGCCTGAGGCGAGAGTTGGAACACAGATGTATTTCGATTTCCCTAAGCAAGTTCAAGCACGCAGAGTTTCGTTTAAGCTGCTTGGAGATGTTGCAGCTTTCGCAGATGATCCCGCAGAGGCTGATGATTTGAGTGGTCGGGCTTCTCTTTTTGCTGCAGGACTGTCTTTAGCAAACAGGATCAAACTATATTATTATGCGGATCCTTATGAAGTAGGCAAATGGGCTAGCCTTTCTTATGCCTGATTTTACTCTTTCACTGGCCATAACTTGGTTCGATCCACACACTTTTCTTGGTCTAAGATTTTGTTTTCTGTTTTTTTTTCTTTTCAAGTTTCATCTAAAAAATAGCTTCTTGTGTTTGTATGTTCTTGTTTGGTGTTGCAAGTGTTAATTACCGTATGATTGCCCCCGAAAAGATTAAAAAAAAAAAAAATGTTATACATAAGGAGTGATATTGATGTTCTTGACATTGTGTAAAGTTATTAACCATCGTGTAGCTATTCATCGAGTTCCTTATCTCAAACTTAAACACGGAAGCAGATCCAATAATACGAACTCTCAAACTCTCGATCACTCACGAAGAAGAAACGTATTGAACAAGAAAGTGAAAAAAACAGAGGCACAGCAATTAACGAGTTCGGGTCTCTGAGAACCCTACGTTTCGGTCTGGACTTTTCCAGCAATCCACTAATCTCCTTAGGATTACAAAGTTCTCTCTTTCTCTGCAACTCCACTCAAAACCCTAACACACAAGAAAGACCACACATGCTCAGCTTATATACCCAGAGTTTATTACAAATTGATAAAGTCGGTGTTCTCTAACTAACCATAAACCAATGGACTTAACTAAATCCAAGTAAACACAGACATTACCAATCTGGTTTAAGCTCTGTACCAAATCTGATTTTCATCACAAAGTCCTAACATTTATAAATTAACGTGAATTAAAATTAATCGAGATTATAAAAAATAAAAGGAAATATTATTGGATCCCACCGACTCTGAAGACTAGGGCTTATATATTACGCAGCGCAGGCGACTATATAGAGGTTTATAGGAGCTTCAATATCTTACTATTCAATCGCTCTCTCTATTCTAAAACAATGTCGTCGAAGAAGATGATCATGTTGAGAAGCTCCGACGATGAATCGTTTGAGGTGGAAGAAGCGGTCGCACTCCAATCGCAGACGATTGCGCATATGGTCGAAGACGATTGCGCAAACAGTGGAATACCGCTCGCAAACGTCACAAGCAAGATCCTCTCGAAAGTGATCGAGTACTGCAAGAAGCACGCGCATGGTGGTGATTCTTCAGAATCCTCTTCCTCGGAGGAGAAGGAAGATCTCAAGAAGTGGGACGCTGAGTTCGTGAATATCGATCAATCAACAATCTTTGATCTCATTCTTGCTGCGAATTATCTAAATATCCATAGCCTTCTCGATCGCTGATATGATCGCAGCCTGCAAAAACGCCAACGAGATCCGCGCCAAGTTTGGCATCGAGAACGATTTTACACCCGAGGAAGAAGCTGAGGTTCTCAAGGAGAACCAATGGGCCTTTGAATGAGCTGATAATTCTTTTCTTTCTTGTTTAGTTTGTTTTGAAGCTTCTTGATGACTTGCTTCTACTATACGTCATTTATTTTTCTATCTCTTCTTCTTTTGAATTCAAGAAATAAACCAATAGCTTTTCTTTTGTTTTCTAGCTAGAGGAGATCTTTCGTTGGATATTGTATATGCTTAATCAATTTTTCGTTTCTGTGATTTGGGTTTTCTAATCCTAAGTTGACATGACTTGGGATGACATAAATAAATGGACCGATGTCACTATTCAGATCGAACGCAAATGAAGTCACGTTCTCTACTTTGTTAATATGGCTAATGACTCCAATGTTTTAATTTGTAGGTTTTTTGACAGAGTAATTTTGTTGTCAATGTATGATATTGGCACACCTTTTTCAATCCATAATCTTTTTGGTTATTCAAACTCTGTTACATATGTTATATACAATATATGTTTGTTTATACACGTTTCCATGAGCAATGAGCATCATCTAAAGACGAAGCTCTTTTTTTTTTTTTCTCAAGAAGCTCTTTATTAAAATCATAGCGAACAAATACTTGAGATGTTTTTACTTCTTCTTCAAATCTCCTTCTTTGTCCTATACCCGTACAGCCATACTATTTGCCTATTTGGCTTTTTTTTTTTTTCTTTAACTACTACAAAAAAGGGAAAAAACCTAGTTTCAATTTTTTTTTATTGAGGGTTTACTCGTATTTGCCCGTCGTTTTCTAATCGATATAAGATCCGGCTTAGAGTCATTTTGTCCGTAGTTTACTCTACTCAGAGTCATTTTGGAGTTAACAAAAACCTGAATTTAATTTTAGTCTTTATGTTTTCCTTAAATTGAATGATCGCATCAAGAGGGAGTACAGTATAAAAAACAAAAGAGTGGCGTCACTAACCTTTTTTACGTGTGTTTTTTCGAGGTTTGTGTTGCCAATTTTTTATATTTTAATTTCTATGATTTTCGCATCAATGTTTTTGTTTGGGTAGTTTTGAAGGAAATAAGAGTCTGGGGTTTAGTTTGACAGTACCCTCAAATATGGGATCTATTTGAATAAATCACAAAAAATCTGCCGGTGAAAACCCCAAAGTTCCGTACTACCGGGACTGGAAGCTTCTATAATTTCTTCTCTTTTTCTCTCTATCGTAAGTTTTATTGCGGTCGTAAATTTTATTGCGGGTTTTTGGAATTGCAAACAGGAGACATCGCTGTTGCTATTATCGGGGTCATCTGATTCGAAGGTACCTAGGATTTTCTTCATCTGAAGTCTTCTACTGAATCATGAGCTTGTTTAGGACTTTTCTATGGATAATTGCTCTGTCCTTTTCTGAAATTGGATTTAGCTCCTACCTATTCGTCTTGTTACTGTTAACCATGATCTATAATTGCTTTTTGATGAGCTCTTGATTTAAGATTTCTCCATTTACGCAGAGAATATGATAAAATCTCGGAAGCTTGCTTTTCTCGGTTGATTTCTTCGTTTTCGTTTGGTTTTCTTAGAGCTGTGTAAATCGAGCCGTGAGATTCATGTAGACGGAAGCAATGTCAATTTGTTTCATCTTCGATTTTACTTTACAAAAAGAAGAGAATAGAATCAAATAGTAACAAAGAGCAGTCATTTCTGTCTGTTGATTTTTTTTGGCTTTACGGTGATTCTATATCCTTTGTTGATTCTTGTTTACTATTGCTTATTTTCCGGGTGTTATTGCAACCAATGGGTTTAACTCTTGAGATCTGCAAATTTGTAATCCTCACAGCTTTGCGTTATATTGATTCAATGTGCGAATTACTTTCTTGTGGCATATAGGTTTCGTTTCTGACCTCAGGAATCGTAAGAGCTAAAGATGGATATTGTCAAAAGAGAGAATGAGCCAATGGAATGGTCAACAGTCCCCTACGGTGCTCCTCAAGGACCTGGCTCCAATGGCAAGCAACGGACGTCAAGCTTAGAAGCGCCTATAATGTTGCTAAGTGGACACCAAAGTGCTATCTACACCATGAAATTCAACCCTGCCGGAACCGTGATCGCCTCTGGATCTCACGACAGAGAAATCTTCCTCTGGAGAGTTCACGGAGACTGCAAAAACTTTATGGTTTTGAAAGGTCACAAGAACGCTGTCCTCGACCTTCACTGGACAAGTGATGGCTCCCAGATTGTATCAGCCAGTCCAGACAAAACCGTTAGAGCCTGGGATGTCGAAACAGGTAAACAAGTCAAGAAAATGGCTGAACACTCGTCATTTGTGAATTCTTGCTGTCCTTCCCGTCGAGGAGTGCCTCTTATCGTAAGTGGATCTGATGATGGAACTGCAAAGCTTTGGGACATGCGTCAAAGAGGAGCCATACAAACATTCCCTGATAAATACCAAATCACGGCCGTGAGTTTCTCTGATGCAGCCGATAAGATATTCACTGGCGGTGTGGACAACGATGTTAAAGTATGGGACTTGAGGAAAGGCGAAGTGATCATGACCCTTGAAGGCCATCAAGATACGATAACAGGTATGAGCCTAAGTCCAGACGGATCTTACCTTCTGACTAATGCCATGGACAGTAAGCTCTTTGTATGGGATATGCGTCCTTACGCTCCACAGAATCGAGGTGTGAAGATCTTTGAAGGGCATCAACACAACTTTGAGAAGAACTTGTTGAAATGTGCTTGGTCACCAGATGGTAGTAAAGTCACAGCAGGTAGTGCGGATCGAATGGTTCATATATGGGACACGGCGTCTAGGCGGATTCTGTATAAGCTCCCTGGTCACAATGGATCCGTCAATGAGTCTGTTTTCCATCCTCACGAACCAATCATTGGATCTTGCGGTGGTGATAAACAGATTTATCTAGGTGAGATCTGAGAGAATATTGTAGAAAGCTTTTGTTTTGAGTTACTATCATACCGGGATTCAAAACAACCTTTGTAACTCTTGAAAACATCTCGTCGGTTTTTTTCAAATTGACAACACGCATCTATATAATTAACTCAAAATAACTCAAAAAATTAATCACATAGTACTGTTTTTGAATAAGAATTTAACCCTAACCCTCTCATCAATAAAGGAGCACATGGGTAACTGTTGAGTTTCTTTTCCCCGAATCAATTAAAACAGAGACACCAACCGTCGCTTCTTCTTCCAACCGCTTGAGTTCCTCTGTCTCCAGACTTATTTACCGATTTCTGCATTTTGCTTCTACCTGCAATCGCAAAGCTTAGATTGTTAGAGACTTCTTGCTTAAGGATTTGGAGCATGGACCCCCATAAAAGCATCGACCTTGATGCGGCTACAACCTTTCTCAGGGACGGTGCTCCAGGATATAAACATGCAAAGGCTGAGTATGAAGGTATGCGTGAAGTAAGGTACACTGATTTGAATCCCGGTATGATAGTTAACGGTAAACTGAGGAATGTTATAGCAAACACCGCACGTTATGTTGATAGTATTGCAAGAGGAGCAGCCGGAAGTTTAGCAGAAGATACTTTCTTCATCGATTACGATCTAAAGGGTAACTTGTTAGGTAAAATACGTTATGGAGAAGTACACAGTGTGGATCTATCTTTCAGAGTTAACTGGGTTGTGCGAGAGGTGGTGGTCACATTTTATACTGGTCGGCCAAGAAAAGTGAATGTACCAAATGATTTGAGGAGGGTACTGTGGGAGGGAAAGGTAAGAGATTTAGCTGGTTTTTCTGAAATGACTGGTTTAGACGAGAGGCATGTGGGACCATCTGAGGGTCAGAGCTTGGTTTCATTGTTTCAATGCAGTACGGCAGGGCAAAGTAAGCTGACTAGGTTGGTGAAAGGCTGCTTGATCTATCTAGACCATTTGGACAGTGGAATCAAGACATATGTGAGAGCTCATCTCCCAACTATAGATTATGAAGTCAAGGAGCTTCTGAATACAATGGATTTCAGCAACACAGCTTATGTGCACACCAAGCATGACAGGGATTCAGCATACAACTTGATATTGTATGCAATGTGCCAGGAGTACCCGAGCCCGCTATTTGGCGGTGTGAATCATGTTAAGATACCCAGCTGATGGTGATGATATCTATTTGGTTGGTTACTCGCCGATGAAACATTATCGTAATGTTGTGGTGTCACCTGAGCTTGTAATGGGTACATTGATTGCGTACTCAGATCAGTTTTGGCTAGAGGAAGAGTTGGAGTCAGCTATGATAATAGCGTGTTCCCTGAGACAGAATAGGTATCTTGAGGAGGTTGGTTTACTGGCTGTTCTTAGCCGCTGTGATTTGATCTACCCTGCTTTGGGTTGGAATGAAGCTGGAGGAGTAAGAGAAAAGACAATGTCGTTGTCTAAGGAAGCAGCAGTTATGTTAGGTAGGTTTCACCAGATGGCTTGCTTAGTTCTGTTTAAGGATATCGACACTAGCTTAAGAAACACTGGGGAACGTAACGGAATTATGAGGTCGTTGTTTTTTAATGATAGTTTCAGACTCATTGAGTACATGGAAGATCAGATGAGCAGTGGGATACTGCAAACGTCCAGCAGCATGATTTGGTTAAGGTATCTTCAAACTGACGAGACTATGGCAAGACTGAGAAAGTTTTCAGTTTTTGAAGGGTTTTGGCTGGTTAAGAAGAACCCGGTTAAGGTGTTGGAAAGGGGAATCATCAGATGTCTCAAGCGAGGAGTAAATAACGGTTTCCAAATCCGTATCAATATCCCCGGTTGTTACATTGATGATAGTTTTGAGGTTTTGGAGGAGGAAGTTATTCTTGGTGGTGTTGATTCTGAGCTAAAATTCTCAAATGGAGCTTTTAACGTGGGATTTTCTTGCATTAGGAGTATTGACAGAAGCGGACCTAGACCGATTCTTTCATTCACGCACCAAGGTACATCGTCTTTCAACTTTGACTGATTGTCAAGAGCTCAAATAAAGATTTGTCTGAATGACTGAATCTCACCAAAGTTGATAGCTTTTCCACAATCCCAAGCGTTAAGATCTGTTTCAGACTGTTTACCCACCATTTTAAAGGGATGTGAAATCTCTTCTTCTTCTCCTTCTTCTTTTTCTTCTTATTCTGAATTTCTGACAGCAAACTCATTACTCTATTGTGTTTTTGCAAGTTGGAACAAGGCTAGAGTACTCCAACTTGCTCTTTTCTTTATGGTTTTTGCTTCTTCTTTTTTAGGGAAATTAATTTATTTTCTTATTTCACAAAGAGAGAAGAAGATCTGCTAAAACTTCAAAGCAAGTAGATTGAATATGAGGAAGATAGTAACAAGAAGAATTGACGACAACAACCAATTAATTAACCACAAAGATTCTTGCGACACTTGAGAGATAGGTAGTAGGGTCGGATGGATAAGAACACATTCTCCACTTTCACTTCTGGTTAGTGTGGTGTGGTTACTTTGGTCGGTGATCAAAAACACCATTTTTATTTCTACTTATAAAATCAAATGTGTATACGCTAGTTTGTTAAACATAAAATAAATAAAAAAGTGTAAACCAAAAAGATGACAAAGACAATTACAGAGCTATTAAATATTCTAAATAAATAAGTTTTTCATTGAAAATTTGGATAAAACAAGAGAGCCAAAAAAAAAAAACAGAATATTATAATAATATTTCCTATCATATGATCAAAAATGAAACTTATAAAAGTACACAAGCTTGGTCTAAAAAATGGACCGTATCTGGAAATTCAATCGACGTCGTTTTCCAGAGAAGAAAAACAAAAAAAAAAATACGATCATGGCGATGCTCATGGCTTCAAGGTTTAACCGCGAAGCTAAGCTCGCATCTCAATTACTATCTACACTCGTGGGAAAGCGAAGCTGCAACAACACAGTGAGAGCATCATCATCCATGGCAACCGCATCTTCCTCTACTCTCCTCCTTAACCCGTTGACCTCTTCCAGTCTCCGTCATCTCAGATGCTCGCCGGAAATCTCCTCTCTCTCTTTCTCCGCGCGTGCGACTGCCTCCGATTTTCCTCTAGCGATGAAGAGGCAGACTCGGAGTTATGGAGATGTCTCGGAACGAGATCCGTCTGTTGTGTGCGAGGCCGTTAAGCGCGAGACTGGAGCTGATGGGCTCAACATCGCCGAGAATGTGTCTCAGGTTAGATGGGTTTTTCTTCCTAGAATTGAAATTGATGGAATTTGTGGAGATGAAAGCTAGATTGGTGATCAAAATTTAGCCTTTTTCTAATGTGAATGTTTGCGAGTTTACTCGTTTGCTTCTGTGAAGTTTTTTACTTTTGGAAGCTCAAATGGTTTCAGAATGTACTTACATTTCTCTCATCTGTTCTTGGCTTGATTCAGCTCATTGGGAAAACTCCTATGGTGTACTTGAATAGTATAGCAAAGGATTGTGTAGCGAATATTGCTGCCAAACTCGAGATCATGGAGCCATGTTGCAGTGTCAAGGATAGGTGTGTAGCAGGAATTTTTTCCTTTTTTAGCTTGTTCTTTATATGTTTTGAGTTTAGCCTTTTCAAGTCTGAACCTTTCATGTTTCACGAATTTCAGAATTGGGTACAGTATGGTTACTGATGCTGAGCAAAAAGGACTTATAGCACCTGGAAAAGTATATCCTTTATAGATTGATCTGTTATCCGTGGTGATTAATCCTGCCTAAATGTGTCAAACCCTCTAACTTCATGTCCTTACTGCAATTTCTGTAGAGTGTTCTTGTGGAACCTACCAGTGGAAACACGGGTATTGGCTTAGCGTTTATTGCTGCTTCAAGAGGCTATAGACTCATCTTGACGATGCCATCATCCATGAGTATGGAAAGAAGGGTTCTTTTAAAGGCATTTGGAGCTGAGCTTGTATTAACAGATCCTGCAAAAGGCATGACTGGAGCGGTTCTGAAGGCTGAAGAAATCTTGAAATCCACTCCCGATGCATACATGCTCCAACAGTTTGATAACCCTGCCAATCCAAAGGTTTGTGCTGTATTCTTTACCATATTATAATTTACTCGATGAACTGGCTTTCTAGCTCTAGCCATGTGCCATAAGAAAAAAGAACTGAAAGCTTACGCTCATGAAAATCAAAAACTCTCCTGCATTAACTTTTCCTTTACTATAATTTGTGTCATGAATTGAGATGATCACACTGTTTACTGTAACTGAAGTGGTTTTTCCACTTATATTATACAAGCAAACAGGCGAGTACCTGAATTTATTTCATATAGGTTCAACCTAGTTGCATGAATTTGAAACGGCATGATCTTTGGTGAGATTCTCCTTGTGTCACTTTTGTAAACCGCAACTATATGTTATAATTAAATAACGTAACAATATGCAGATTCATTACGAGACTACTGGTCCTGAGATATGGGAAGATACAAAGGGCAAGGTGGATATATTTGTTGCGGGAATTGGAACTGGTGGGACTATCACTGGTGTTGGTCGATTCATTAAAGAGAAAAACCCCAAAGTACAGGTAAATTAGAAAAAAAAAAAAGGAAGGATCCATCTTTCTGTTTAAGCAGTAAAACTCCTGTTTAATTGTTTGATGTTACATGCATCAGGTTATTGGTGTAGAACCCACCGAAAGCGACATACTTTCTGGTGGCAAACCAGGTAAGGCGCAGTAAATTTGTTTCCTTGGTTCCTGAAAAGTTTATCCTATAATCCTGTATTATATTTTCTTGTATTTGAATACAGGACCTCATAAGATTCAAGGAATTGGAGCTGGATTTATACCTAAGAATTTGGATCAGAAAATTATGGATGAAGTCATAGCGGTATGATCTGTTTTATTGGATAATGTATAGTTATACAATCATCTGCTTTCCACAAGTCATCCACTATATTTTTTTGCTTCGTGCCAGATTTCAAGTGAGGAAGCTATAGAAACCGCGAAGCAACTAGCACTTCGGGAAGGCTTGATGGTTAGTCTTTTGTATTATGTCTGATCTCTGAGTGGGAACCACACGAATGTTACAGTGCCATGTCACGTGTAAAAGGTAGAAATTATGCAAGATTTTTAACAGGTCAAGGTAATAATTTTGTCAGGTTGGTATATCATCTGGAGCTGCTGCTGCGGCTGCAATCAGAGTCGCAAACAGACCTGAGAATGCCGGAAAACTCATAGCTGTAAGTCCTTTTTGCTGCATTTATGTGTTTGTGACGTCAAAAAGCTCTGGATTGCAACATCAAAAGATGAATATTAAACCCAGAGAACCAACAGTATAGTCACTTAGCTAGGTAGTCTTCTTGCGTGATGAAAGGTCATCTATGAAGCTAGTCAAGAGATTGATAATGTAATCGAATCTTGACGTGTGAATAAATCTTTGAATTCGGTTTACAGGTTGTCTTTCCGAGCTTTGGGGAGCGATATTTATCGACTCCACTTTTCCAATCGATCCGAGAAGAGGTCGAGAAAATGCAGCCTGAGGTATGAACAAGAGCAACTTGGTCTACTTCTGCAAATCTCTTTCTTCTATTGTTACTTTTGCACTCTTGAGTGCTAAGCAATTGCTGTTTGTCAATAAGCCAAATAGTGAAACCGGTTTGAGTTCTATTTTAGACATCAATCAAATATTCTTATGTATCGCTCAACATTTTTATTGGAAATCACTAATTAGTTACATCCCTCTATATTTTTTTATCAACCAAATAAATTGTAGGCTTTGATGTCTAAGGTTTATTGAAATGATGTAAAGTATGTTATACTATATAGGAGTTTAGGAATGATCGATCCATCACAAAGTAGTGACACATCTTTACTTTGTCCTTTAGACTTGTAGAAAATTTACCAGAAGCTATACATTAAAACGTGTCAAAAACCTTAGTTTTAGTATATTTGATGGTCAAAAGTCAGTGGTTTAAATTAGGATTGATAGATTAGGACACGCTCTATTAACCCCACTATAATTGGCTAATTGCTTTTATATTCTCACTCAACTTTTAGGAGCTGATATATAAATTATCAGAAAGATCAAACTCTTCGCATAAGCAAAAAAATAACAGAAGGACAAACAAAATCACACATGCCTCATGAACACAGAGTCTTGCAAATAATTCTTGTTCTGTTCTTCACTCTGTCTTCATCTACCTACAACTCCAATGGCAAAGCTATCGTGGAGGGAGTAAAAAATTTTGTGCGTATGCAAGGAGTAAAATTTAGTAGTTTGTTAAAATTTAATTAATATTAAAGATTATCCTTTTTTTTTATCGCGGGTTAATTATTAAATAACGGACTAATACAAAGTTACCAAAGGAAATTGGATACCAATAGGTACCATAAGGAAAAGCAACATAGAAATTCAACCCAATAAGAGGACAATATTAAAAGATCATCTATGAATGACTATATCACGTAGATTGTTCCGAATTAGAGGCCATCAAAAGTGGCGACAATTCTGACAATATATTATTTGATAAATTGAAACTCTATCATTTATAAAGCCAATGATGAAGCAAGCACATGCCTCAATTGCACTTACCCTCTCTCACTTCACAAATAAAGAACTAATTCTATGTGGCGGCTAAATCTATTAATTTGAAAACCATACAATCAAGTTGTAATGATTTTTCAAACCAAGTAGCTGGTTACAAGGAGTATGGTTTACTGTCTACATTAAAAAAATGAGTTTTATAATTGAAGCATGAAAAAGCATTAAGCAATAAATTAAAGACTCTTAGTCAATCTACTCCTTTAGTTTTGTTCATCTAGAACACGACAAGTATATACCCATATCAACTACTCTTAAGAGGTTATATATTTCGTTTGGATCTTATCCACATTGATTAAAACCTGATGGGCACGAAACATGTTTTAGTTGAAATATATGTAGCACCAAAGAAAGGTTAAAAACTCACTTTTATAGCTGGGTCGAAGTTGTCCACTAATTAAATGTAAAATACTAAAAATAAATAATACGTGTTTTGCATTAGAGAGTGAATATAAAAGGGAACAAAGCTCAAGATTCCTTGATGACATAGGATACAACAATAAATTGCTACTTATAAATTAATACTGCCAAATTATGGGTCACATATACATACATACATACATATCTGTTATATATATCATGATCATATCAATTATCTTTTTTAAAAATATAAATTATTGACCAATACATTAGTATCCAAAATATGACAACAGAGTGCAAAACGGAGACGTAGATCACCTAATTATCTCCAAATGCTAGATACCCAGTCCGAGATACAAACTTTATATTCAAAACATACAATAATATAGAAGCTTATAATCTTTGAACCTAGCTACATGTCTACATCATCACATTGTCATTAATTATAGTTTAATTTAGTTTTTTTTCTTCCGTTATTTTGTAACGAAAAAAAAATCGAAGTGATGTACATTATCAATTTGTCATTAACCTTTCTTGATACATAGTTCGCCAAAGCTTTCTTACATCACAGAGATCTCAAGAACTTATTAAATTTAGAAAAAAAAAAAAAATCATTTTTTGCCATCTAAAACGTTTAAGGTGGTGGACGACGAGGAAACTAATAGTCAAAACTTGTAAGGTGTGAACAATTATAACCCATGGACTTTCAGTTACATATTTTTAAATGTGACATTATTTACGGCGTTATATTCATGGGTTCTTGCCTTCTTGATATTTTTTTATTATAAACTCATATTTTACTCTTATTATTTTCTGACACTGCCACCCACAAACACAACCATATGTTATGTATGTATAATTAATATCAATACAGTGTATCAATATGCATGTGTAAAGATCCAAGTCTATTATAGAACATTAAATCCAAGATCTTGTGATTATATAATCCATATATATAGTCCCCTCATAAAGTCGTCGCTAACATCAAGATCATATCATCTTTTCGCTTTCAAAAAGAGTAAAATGGATCATCCAATTTCTCCTCTTTCTCCAACACAACCTTCAAAGAGGTTCGAAAATCTCTTGAAAAAATTTGGATGTATAGTTCTTCCTATAATTAAATAATTAACTGTAACTTGGTTTTAATTATTTTAGTAATTAATTATTAAAGGTGGTGGTCGGAAGAAACAACCGCGGTTGTGACCGGAGCAAACAAAGGTATCGGTTTTGCGGTGGTGAAGAAGTTATTGGAGCTTGGAGTGACCGTCGTCTTAACCGCCCGAAACGCCGAAAATGGAAGCCTCGCCGCCGATTCCCTCCGTCGCACTGGCTTTCGAAACGTTCATTTCTTTTGCCTCGACGTTACCGATCCTTCTTCCATCGCTGCCTTTGTCTCCTGGTTCCGTCTCAACTTCCGAGTACTCGACATTCTGGTAATTAATATTGGGTAAATTAGTCATTCTGTATGTAAAGAGTTTGTATAAATTTTAATCAACGAACTAGTTATTAGGAAATACATCACCAAACTACAATGGATAATAGAAACTTGATGATAAAATTTGTTTGATATATAATCACAATGTTTTTAAAAAGACAACTCAATTAACAATAAAAAAGTATATAACACACCACAATTTTCTCTTCTCCCAAAACATTATAATACTATCAGTATATTAATAATATACATACATTACACAAATTCTTTTGCAGTTTTTGAATATATTTTGGGAAATTTGTTAGTTTGACACCAACACGGGGTCGTTTTGAGCTCAGGTGAACAACGCGGCCGTTTCATTTAACGCCGTCGGCGAAAATTCAATCAAAGAGCCAGAGACCATAATCAAGACCAATTTCTACGGTGCCAAGCTTTTAACGGAGGCGCTTTTGCCGTTATTTCGCCGTTCGGTCTCCGTTAGCCGCATCCTTAACATTAGTTCAAGGCTTGGCGCATTAAACGTAATATATAATATCAAAAGTTTATGTTATTCCAATTTATTCATAACAGTTTTGATGTAAAAAAATTTCCATATGTTTCATTGCATGCAGAAACTGAGAAACCCTAATGTAAGACAAACCCTAGAAAATGAAGACCTTACCGACGAACAAATCGATGAGACGGTGACACAATTTCTAGAAGACGTGAGCAGTGGAACGTGGGAGAAGCAAGGATGGCCGGCGAATTGGTCGGACTACGCCGTCTCCAAGATGGCCCTGAACGCTTACTCTAGAGTTTTGGCTCGACGCTACGACGGCAAAAATCTAAGTGTGAACTGTTTATGCCCTGGTTTCACTCGCACGTCTATGACCGGTGGTCAAGGGACTCACACGGCGGAAGAGGCTGCCGCAACCATCGCGAGCTTGGTGTTGCTTCATCCGGAGAAGCTGACCTCCGGCAAGTTTTATATATGCGTGGAGCCCAAGAAGATCATTTCCAGGTTGTGATCCCATACCCTTTTTATATAAAGTTAAGAAGAATCTGTTCCATGCACGTTTCCGTAAATAAAAGATGCATTTTAACGGCCCAGGCCCATTTATAATAGACACTTTGGTCCAATTTGCAAACTTAAAGTTTCTTTATTTTAAGACACTAGGGTTTCTTCTTCTTCCTGCGCAGCCGCGACTGTTTATCCTATATAAACCAGTAAAGGAGTAGACTTGAAAAACCATCTTCAAGTTCGATTACAAGTCTTAGTTTCTTTCATCATTTTTAGGTTCTTTAAGATATTATCGTTGCTTCTTAGGGGTTTTAGTGTCGAAGTGTTTGAAGTTCATGTTTTTTTGTTAAGAAAGCCAATTAGCAGAGCAATGACGTCAAAACAAAAATGGCGTGAGTTGCCTTGAAGGTTGGCAATAACAAATAGCGATTCTCCGTGCCTATCAATCTTTCTAATGTTGATCGTGGCCTCGAACAAGTCGCTACATTCATTAATTTTATCAAACTCCAATTTTTTTTGTTTTCATCATTCTTCATTGGTTTTAAAAGATCTGAATTTGAAAAGTTAACTATACCTTAAATCTTCTTAGGGGTTTTAAATATCAAATCTGATCCAAACAGCTAATAATCTTTAATCTGTCACCTACCCAGGATCTATAGGATTATACTTTAGATTTGAACTGTCAACATTAACATTGATACTGAACAGATCTTAACGTAAAATCTGTAATGGGTACTTGATTTACTTTGATTCTAACATAACTTTGGTCAATAGAACTTGAAAAAGTAAAACTTTTGGAACGATTTTAGATTCTTTAGATATGATCGTTGGACCTAAACTGCTAACTTCATAAGAAAAGTAACCGACAATGTAATCTTAAGAATTTTGAACAAAATCATCCGATCTCTGTAACTGCTTACAGAACAGCCTTCTAAGTCTGCTCAAAAATCAAACAATCAAAGTTTGTGAAAGCTACATATCGGCAGTTCTCTGTTATGGAACCAACCAAAATGAATGATTAATTTAAATATACAAAGCAAGCTATGTCATATAAATGGTGCATCAGACTCTGTTTTGTAGATGTTGTTATTGATAAACCAAAAAATCAACTTTATTTGGCAAACTTGAATAATTCAGCGTCCATGTGAGACTAACGAGTCAGTAAACCTCGATGTACCCGATAAATCCACATCAAAGAGCATTTCCATTTGCTCAGGCCATCCTCTCGATTTCTCATCCCTCACGACATCAAGAAGATTATCCGGAAGCTGAGAAACGCCATTCAAGAACCGCATAACCGCACTCATAGCTGGTCTGATCGATGCAGCTTGATGCGAACACAACACACCTAGCTTCAAAACAAGCTCAAGTTGTCCCCTTTCTTGTTCTTTACGGATACTTTCTTCAACTGCGTCAAGAATGTCTTCTCCTTTTTCCCAAAGCTCTAGTACCCAATCCACAAGAACTTCTTCGTTTTCTGCTGCACGTCGCTCAATCAACCTTCTTCCACAAACTACCTCAAGCATTACCATCCCAAAGGCGTAAACATCAGTGCTCGTAGTTGCTCTTCCTGTTCTTAGAAACTCTGGTGCCATATACCCGAATGTTCCAGCTACTTTAGATGTCTCTGGATCAAATCCCTGATCATACAGCTTTGCAAGTCCAAAATCCCCGAGCCTCGCATTCATTTCATGGTCTATTAGAACATTAGCCGGTTTGATATCTCGATGAATAATGACTTGTACCCATTCTTGATGCAGATACAGTAGAGCAGATGCAACATTTTTGATGATCTTGAAACGTTGCTCCCAAGTTAGCCCTTCTTTATTCTCACTCGTGTTGCTATGGTTTATATACTTGTCAAGGCTTCCATTAGGCATAAAGTCATACACCAAGTAGAGATCTTCTTTATGCCTGCAATATCCCAAAAGCCTGACCAGATTTGGATGTCTGAGACGACCAATGGTCGATATTTCGGCTAGAAACTCGCTCATTCCTTGTCTTGAATCATGACAAGTTCGTTTCACAGCGATCTCTGCATCAGAACCCGGAAGTGTTCCTTTATAGACTTGACCAAAACCTCCTCTCCCAAGAAGTTGTTTCTCCTTGAAACCTTTTGTGGCATTGAAAAGCTCCTTGTAAGCAAACCTATGAGGTCCATATTGAATCTCCCATTCCTCAAGAACCTCTTTAACATTCTTATGCCTCAGATAGAAGACGAAACCAATCCCCGAGGCCACAAATGCAGCGATCACAGACACCGTTAAGCAGATTACTAAAATCGTCCTTGTTCTATGAGAGGGTTTCTTTGGATATGGAGGAAGGATTGGTAGCCTACCAAACTCCAATCTTGGATACTCGACTTCTCCACTAATAAACCAACCCATCATGTAATGAATTGCACCAACCGATCCAGTAGATGCAGTGAATCCAAGATACATTTTCTCAAGCAAATATGGAGAGAGATCACGGTTTAATGACAAAAGCGGTTTTATAGGCGGAACAGAGAGCTCAGCAGGGAACAGAGTAACGTTGAGCTGCTTTTCTGGTTGACTATAAACGATAGAAAGCCGCATTACTTTTCTACTGATCAAAGAAAGATTTTTAAAGTTTCCATCTTTATCATCATAGTAACCAGCAGGAGCAGAGAGAATAGACCTCATACCATTAATGTTAATCCCAACATGATTATCATCAATATCACCAAACTCTTCGTCTTTATGTATATCTAACTCGATAGCTATTACGTTATTCGAGGTTTTACCGTTGGTTGTTTCGTTGAATATTCCGAGGTATTGGTCGGAGGAAGCTCCGGGAAAGCCTCTTGTCGGAGAGATGACGAAAGCCATACCGTGTGAGCCTTGCTGCTTATGCTCAGGGACGATTGCGAAGAAGAAGTTGACTGAGAAAGATGATGTGATATTTGTGGTGGAGTTCGTTATTGAATATGGCTCGCTGTCGAAAGCTTGACCGTATGTGTGTTTTGTTGTGTTTGTTAAAGTGAAGTAATCGTTGAAGCCGAATCCTACAGATCCTTGTGGGACGAAGTAGCCATGGGAATTGTAAAACAGAGGAAGGAACAGAACAAGAATTTCTTCAAAGAGAATAACTTTACGAGACATTTCTTGATTGCTTTTTTTTTTCTTTTTGGTTTGTGGGAAAGATTTCAATCTTCTGTGATATTATTATCATCATTTCTTGAGTGTTAAGACGAAACATCTAAAAGTCAAAGTCAAAAGGTTTGACTTTCAGGGCATTAAGTGGAATATTGGTCAAACTTTGCAATTTTGTTGATATTTAATCCTTTGACGATTTAGTAGTGTGTAAGCAGAAGATGATTCATCTTATTAATGATGACTTGAAACCTACGAGTATAATTGGATTATTAGTAATGTGAAAGCATCAATAATCAGATGATCCATCAAACTGATTAGTTTGTATATAGTTGAGGCTTAGTCGCCGTCAAACTGATTTATTGATATTTTATCAAAATTTTCAACAATAAGCTTGAGCCATCATTTTTAAAAAAAAAAACTTATTAGAAAAGTAGTACAACTAAAATTTATCAAATTTAAATTGGAGCCATCCGATTAAAAATATTTTTCATCAATCACTCTGGCTTGAAAGAAAACACAGATTTCTTACAGAGGTGCAATCTAAATCATCGGAAATGCTTGAAAAGAACATCACACTGTACAATCCAAATCCTCTGTTTTTGTTGTTTACTTTTATTATGTTACATCTGTAATAATTCGTAAATTTCAGATCACAAACAGCACTCAAAAATCATCACCACTCATAAATTTTGAAGACGAAAATAAACACAAATCAAAGAAGAATCATCAACTGAGAAAGAAAAAATAAAGAAGAAAAAAAAGGTCACACAAATCTGTTAAAAGCCCTCCTCCCAACAGTTGCAGGCATCGAAACAGTTGAATCAATACTCAAATTTCCTACGGATTTGAGTGTCTTGTGCTTCTCAAGCACCACAACACCAGAAGAAGAAGAACCTGGACCTTTGCTGTTACTGTTGCTGCTCATGAACAACGACCCTTTGTTCCATTTGAACGAGCCAAGAGGGAACGAAATCCGTCTCTTCTCGTTGTTGGTGTTGACAGGTGTACGGTCCAGTCTCTCCTTTGGATTGCTGTTTGCTCTCAGTTTCGCTTTAGCTGAGACTGTTGGAGCCATGTAGCTTGGAGCAGAGAATGGAGGACAGCTTGTGAGACTATCATCATCTTTAAATGGAGAATCATGTGTGGCTCTTCCTCCTCCTACTCCACGAGAGTATCTTGAGACGCTACTGTGTGGCTGTGGGGTATGAATGGGTCTAGAGGGAGTAAGGAATGCAGATTTTGATGAGTTTGGTGTGGAAGTGTCGAAACTGTTGTTGAGCCTGAAATGGTTTTGGTTGCTAAACTGAGGCTGAGGGCTTGGACTCGGTCGTGTTGGTGTTAGCCTGAAAGGTTGGCTTTGATTCTTCTGCCGGTCCACCCAGTTCCACCAAAGTGGGAACCCACTTGATCTAATGTCTTGAGCAGACTTAGGACTGTTTTTCCACAGCTGAAGAGAGTACAAACAGAGATGTTGGCAAAAACCAAAGATAATGCAACGGTGTAGTGAGTGTATTACCTGGTGAGAATATGCATAGGCCATGGAACGTTCTCTTTTGATCATCGCATCAATCTTCCTATGGAGCCTCGCTTCTTTTTCCTCTTTAGTCAGCACACTATCGTCCCAATCCCCTGACTAACAAGGAGAACATTTATGGCTCAAAAATGAGAGAGCTCTTGTCTTGTAAACCAAAGATTCATGAGAGCACTCACTGTAAGTCTAGAGGCTAATTTAGTGTCGTCTTTTTCGTTCCTAGCTCGGTTTTCCAGCATTTGGATGCGACGAGACTGGACTTGTGTTTGAACACGGACTAAAAGCTGCATATACTTCATAGCATTCATCGTCTGACGCTTCACGCTGTGTCCTCTAACCACTCCTTGAAGCCTAACCAGACCTTTTAAGGCTCTGAAACTCCTCCTTGCCTACAAACAATTTTACCATCTCCTTTAGTTATGGATGCTTATGTTAACCAATAGTGACACACAAAATAATCAAGGAATGTTTTAATTACTTTATTACCATGTAACCTCTAAAAGCAGCTTGAATCTTTGTTGCAGAAGATTTTTTGACAAGTAGAGTTGGCTCTGGTCTATGCACAAACTCGCGTCGCTGCACAATCCTAGGAGAAACCGCTCTTGGAGAAGGAGGCTTTGGAGAAGGTGCTCGAGGGGAAGCAACTCTTGGTGAAATTGGTCTTGGAGAAGACACATATCTCTGAGAAGACACTCTAGGAGAAGCAGGCCTAATAGGAGGAGATGGAGCAGAGGTTGATGATCCCTTTGCTTGATCTGGTGGCCTAAAGACAAGGTTATGCTCTCTTTCGGCTTCACACAAGATCTTTTCGATACTGCTAGGTTGTCTGAAGATTGGGAGAAATGAATTGGTTTCTCCATTTCTTAACTTTTTTCCTAAACCTTTCTTCTTCTTTTCTTTGTTGTTGTTACTCTTACTCTCTGGTTCTTGCTTTCAAAACATAAAACCAGAGAATAACCAAAAGTACACACTTCAATCATCAATTCATCATTTCAGATTTTTTTTTTTTTCAAAACAAAGGTAAGTATTCAAAACTTTCTTACGTTGTTACTTAGTTGCTTCTCCTTAGAATGTGGTGTGAAAGCCCTTTTGATTGCTGAAAACCAACTTCCTTTCTTCCCCATTTTTCGAACATTACTTTCCTTTTAACTGCAATAGCATGAAACAGAGAACATAAACATTTTTGACCCTTTTCTTGATTTTGTATCCGTATCATTGCTTACTGATGACCAAGATTTGGGAATACGGCGCGAGAATAGCATATGCTTTGTTATGTTTCACCAAGCAGGAACAGCTTCAACGAAAAAAAACTCCTGCAACATGATCTAAACTGAGACAGAAGTTTCCAAAGAACTTAGAGCAAACAAAGACAAGAGGAAACTGCCAGAAAACAGAGATTTGAAGTTGTTGAGCTTTCACGAAAAAGGAAAGTTTTTTAACTTTTCAGAAAACTTAAATCGAACTCTTATCTTTCTATCCCAAATTAGGTGAACTGTATTAAATCACATGAATTGATTGGATTTTCTTGATTATGCAGATATTCTATTGTCGAATTTTGTTTGAAAAATTTGTTCCTCAGGTTATCCCGAGAAAACTGTTCCCGCAAAACAATTCTAAAAGACACTTAGATCAGAGAAACCAACAGAAACAATTATAAGCAAAGCAGAACATACGACGCTAAAAACAACTGATATTTTTCGAAAACCCCGGAGAAAAAAAAAATCATTGGGATAATCACAAGAAATATGAAACACTTACTGGGTTTTCTCGAAGAAGTAAAGTAACAGAGTAAAGCTGTTACAGAGAAAGAACTAAAAAGAAGCAACCAGAGCAGAAAGACTCTTGTCTATTATTTTTCTTTCATTTTTTCTTATTCTTCTTCTTCTTATTGCCTTTCTAACATTTTTAGTTCTTCCCCTAAATTTGGGTTCTCGGGGGTTTAATTACTTTGAATTTGTAGAAAAGGTCTGCAACTTTGATTCTGGTTTAGCTGGTCTAATACCTTTTTCTTCTCTCTTTTTTTTTCTCTGACCACCTTTTGGATTAATCAAATCATTTTATTTTAATTTGAGATTGATGGTACAGAGAGAATTAGTTGGCCACTTTCTCACTCAATGTTGTTTAAACTTTACTTCATTATAAAGACAAACATTTAAGGAAACCAGAACCTAGAAACCGATCTCGATTCAAATTCAACCAAAAACCGTTGATCCAACCAAGAATTAAACCAGATGTAGATGTTAGATAATGAAAGCTAGTCTCCAAAGAACTAGAATCATAATCATAATTGCTACTAAATCTTAAGTACTAAATTAGTTCAGATGTTAAGTATAAGTAATTTTGGACGAACATGGTTACGTTAGGTGGAGGGATTTTGTCGTACAATTATCATGATTACGTCAGTAGATGATGCTATTGTATTGAATTGAAGAGAGTAAAACTAAATAAAAAATGTGTATTTTGTTGTTGTGATTAATCTCAGGAATTTTTATCATAGACGAGGTTGATTCTTTAGTACTTTGTTCGTCTCCGACGACCACACGAGCCTTTGTTACGCGCGTGATTTCACGTTCTAAATTACTTAACTTATGTCAATCAAGTCAAAATTGTCCCCCTCTTTTTTTGTTTGTCAGTCTTCTTTAATAATCAGTTAATCATCATTTATCAACGGTTACATTCACCAAACATTAGTTACGGGTAACAATTAAAATAGAGCTAGTATGTTAAGTGTTAACGCATAAATTTTTTTTAACATAATAGGGTCTCAAGTATGTATGAGAATTTAAGTAATCAAAAATGCAAAATCCTAATTAATGTTCAGAAAAATAAAAAAGATGCAACTCCTATTTATAAAGACTGAATTACTATCTGATGCGTTAACACTAAAAATTTACCGTAACACACTATCAGATGTTTAATATAATGTTATATATCAGTATATACGACCCAGAGTTGTCAAATAAAATTTACTACCAGAATTTTCATTATAATACGTAAGAAACATGTATTGAACAAAAAAAGAAGAAGCAAGAAACATGCATTTAGCACGAATACTCGTCGTATAGCTTAGACTTTAAATAAATGTTTTAGCCGGGTGATAACTGACCTAAATATTGTTTTAAAAAAGAGAATTTGAGATTCAGATTGATTATCTCATAATCTCATATACCAAACAGCAGGTACTAGACATATGTTTATATATATTATGATGAAACTCAACTAGCTTGATATTGATGTTTTGAAATAATAAAGTGTAATAGTTGTTTCAAACTTTAAGTAATATAAATAATTCGGTAATAATAATCGAAATCGAGGTTCGATGGTATAAAGTTAGTAAGTTAGTAAGAACAATAATGATATGATATGAGCTTGGAATACAATTCAAGCAAGAAGAATATTGGGAAAAAACCTAAAGTGATAAGACAAGACTACTTCCCAACATTCCTTCTTCTTCATAGGTTGACACACTTTGGTCGCATGCGCATGTTTTTTTTCTTATCAACGTACGACCAAATTCTTAGATTTTTGCTAATACATTTTACAGTTAGAGATATGGGACTGATATGCAGTTGATTGAACTAGTAATCAGAAAAATGAAAACCTATCATCCGAAAAATTCTAATACATGTTGTGTCTAAAGAAACAAATGATTTTTGTGTTATGTGTTTTAAATGGTGAAATGCGTTTAGTGCATTCGGTTAGTTTGAATGCCTTACACTACAAGAAAACACTTCATTTACAACGACCATATTCGTTCTAAATGAGTGTTTGCATCGATTTTACGACGAAAATCAAATCGTCGTGAATCGATCGTCGTAAATCAAATTTCGTCGTAAATTCGTTGTAATTAGCGATGATTTATATTCGTCGCTAATTTACGACGATTTTACAATGATTTTTAATATTTTTTTATTTTTAATTTTTAATTTTTTACAACGATTTTACAACGATTTTTATTATTTTTATTATTTTTACGACGATTTTACAACGATTTTTTTATTTATTTTTACAACGAATTTACAACAATTTTATTATTTTTCCGGCGATGGTGGCTCCGGTGGTGATAGCTCCTCCGGCGGTGGTGGCTCCTCCGGCGGCGGTGGCTCCTCCGGCGCCGGTGGCTCCTCCTGCGCCGGTGGCTCCTCCTGCGCCGGTGGCTCCTCCTGCGCCAGTGGCTCCTCCTGCGCCAGTGGCTCCTCCTGCGCTAGTGGCTCCTCCTGCGCCAGTGGTCGCTGGTGGTGGTCGCCGGTGGTCGCCGTTGATCGCCGGTGGTCGCTGGTGGTCGTCGGTAGTCGCCGGTGGTGGTCGCCGGTGGCGGTAGTTTGATGGATCATCTGATTATTGATGCTTTCACATTATCATGAAAATATATGTTCAGCATTACTAATTATGGTCGATGTTTAACATTATTAGCTACAAAGTACTTGCTTTAGTCATTTACATAACTTAATTAGTTGAAGTTAGTTGGGGCGAAGATTTACTACAGTTTCTATTCCCAAGAAATCATTATTTTTGTTTTTTTTTCCAATGTTAGTCTGGTTTTACAATAAACTCTGAGTCGAAATCTTATGATGTCAGAAATTTCAGAAACCCAAGCTTATTTGGGTGCCTTTCAATCTAAGCTAAACATGTAACATGATATATCTATGTTTTCTTCTTCTACGAGAGAAAAATAATGACAAAACCTCAAAATTTATATTTTATGTATACGGATGCATGCCGGAAGATAAGAGCACATTGACATGCATATTTCTAAATAAGTCAAATACATATAAACACATCCATAAAAAATGGAAGTAGAGATATTGACATAATTTTTTGTTAATCCTTATTAAATTTCTGATCAGAAGAACGATTGCGGAATCAACCAGTCTTCAATCATAAGCATCCATTTTATATAATTATATGAATGCCAAACTATCAACAACTGATTGAGTTCCACTTTGCATAGAAGACAAAACACTTGTTTGATTTTATTCTAAGAACCGGTAATGCTTTACCAAAACTAATTACATTAAAGCGGACCATATAGACAGTTAGTTAATAAACCATTTTAATTTTGTTTAGCTTCTTCATCCTTGATCAGATACTTCCCCGAAAAAATCCTAAATAAAACAAGGGGCATAAACGGCAGCGTATTTCTGGTTAATTAATTATCTCTGAATCCAAAAAACACAATTGCCAAAAAAAATTAAAATGTGAAACTTCAATCAAAACAGAGGAAATAAACAGAGCATTGTTTTTTGTTTAATTCACATCTAAATCTCTGATTTTTTTAATCTTCCCCCTTGAAAAGGAATTATTTTTAAAAGAATTAATGCCAAAGTTGCTGACTTTACACAATTATATATTAAAGAGGTTATCTCTCTGAATCGCTAACGATATTTGTAATTGCATTATTGAATCATTCCACAGATTGTTACATAAAAAATATGGAACAAGAGCCGAATGGGAATATATCCTTTCGCGGTTGCTGGAATCAATATCTCATATAAATAATTAATTTTTGCTGAAATTGCTCGAGGAATATTTATTTTTCTATTCGAGAGAAGAAAAACAATGTCAGCATATATTAAATGCAAAAGTTAAAATCGATGGTTTTTTTCATCTACTTATTTTAGATCAATTCATTTTGTATGTAGGGATAAAAAAACCATATCAAAACTGGATATCTGAACACAAAACTTAATGATATCTAGATTTATTTGTTTCTTTTGTTTGCTTCACTGAATTAAGTTGATTTAATCATCATATTTATAATAACTACTAGAAACCATTAGACCATGAACATTGCTGTCTCTTACAGCATCTCTTAAAAATAAATATTATTATTTTAATCAGTGTTTTATGTAAAAGTAGAGAAAACGTCGCTTATATTAGAACGCATAAGAGACGTTTTTAAAACATGTGAATGCATATGATTGGTTCTTCAATATGGAGGAAAAAAAATATTTTTTCCTTCCTCACCTTTTTCCTGACACATGTTTCATCATTATTCTTTTCATTTTAATAAAAAATATTAAAAAAGTTTATTAAGAGACCCAATTGAGTTTCAACAATGTTCATGCTCTTATAATCTCCAGTTCTCCACGCGCTAAAGTATACACTCGTGTGATGCTTACTGAGCGGTGTTATTCACGTGTCTACAGTACGCGTAGCGTTCCACATTTCTTATCTACGTGTCTGTAAAAATGACAGTGGAACGTTAAGTTGAAGAAAACACAACAAAATTTGAACGTTACACAACGGTAACTTATTCGACCGTTGTGATTATAAATGGATAAAATCAATAAATATTAATTGTAGATAATAATCTCTGTATACATATCTCCGTGTTTACTCATTCAGGCATCAAACGTTTCTTACACCTGATTTTTAACATTATCCCCGTTTTTACTCTTTCAAAACAGATACTTCCTTACACTGAGTTTTACCATTCAGATGTTCATTTCATTACTCTGTTTTTATTTAGTTGATCTGTTCTATTCGAGTACTCAAACTTATCTAGTTTAACTCCTAAAGAAGCACTTCATGAAACCTCTCTCTGATTTTCTCATTCTCCTCTGAGCAACATGCATAGAGACATCACATCACCCTACAAGGTAACGCCTTTGGTCTGATTATTTTGTTGTCTTTGATAAACTATACAGCGTTTTTGTGGAGTTTAAAACAATTTAAAGAGATTTGATCACAAATACTCAAAAAAATGGGGGTTAATTTTTTTTTTCTTTTTCAATGACGTTTACGAGACTGGAAGATATAAAATGATTTTTGTTTTCTTGCTAAAGCTTTAAAATGAAATTTTGATATTCAGGTTTTTAGGGTGTATTTTTTTTTGGGTTAACCTCTCTTGTGACTCGTCGGTTTGGTAAGTTACTCTTAAAATTTGGGTTTGAAATAATAGTCAGAATTGAAACGCCTTTGGTCTGATATTTTTGTTGTCTTTGATAAACTATACAGCGTTTTTGTGGAGTTTAAAACAATTTAAAATGACTTTTACGAGACTGGAAGATATAAAATGATTTTTGTTTTCTTGCTAAAGCTATAAAATGAAATTTTGATATTCAGGTTTTTAGGGTGTCTTTTGTTTTGGGTTAACCTCTCTTGTGACTCGTTTGTTTGGTAAATTACTCTTAAAATTTGGGTTTGAAATAATAGTCAGAATTGAAGGAATCGACTTGATTTTATTGGATTTTTTTTTTTTTTGTGTTGGACAAATCATGCCCTGTTTTTTTGTTCCTAGTAAAAACCCTTTGGATCACAAAACAGATCGAGTAATTCTTTTAACAGCCTCGTAGAGCCTTTCCTTGTTCTGTTGTATTAAAAAATGAGTCTTGTTATCTTGGAAATGAGTGTTATGTTCCTATAAAGAAAAATTAAGACTACTCTACTTTGGCATTTACTTTGCATGATAGATTTGTACAGAATTTTTTGAAATTCAGAAAGGGATTATAATGGAAACTGATATGATTTTGCAGGTGGCAGTAAGTAAAGTACACAGACTCAATTGGAGTGAAAAGAAGATGAATGAATGTGAAGATAGAGTAATGACTAGGAAGAATGTTAGGCAACGGACAAATGTAGATGCAGCCTTTGAACGTGCCATACTTTATTTATTGTGGTCAGTTTAAGTGATGGTATAATTATGTATAAAATAATTCAGTGATAGTATAGTTATGTATTAATGTTTGTCATGTATAGATGTGTAGAAGATGGTATAGGTATGTATAAATGATATATATAATTATAGAATAGGGTGTATATGCGTATAGACAATAGGATGGTAGGATGTACGTCATGGTAAATAAGTACATGTGTTAGACATATGTTACATGTGTAGTAAGAAGTATGTAGAGATCTAGCCAACGCCACTGACAATAGGCTGGTAGGTTTAGTATGTTTAGGTAGGTTTACGGTTTAGCCAACGCTACTGACAGACTCAAAAGATATTGAAGACATCAACATCACAATTCTTAAACAACGAAATTGATAAAAATAAAATTAAAAGCCAAATTAGCACAAATTAGAATGATGCTTAAACGATCAGCTTTACAAGTCTGAACGATCAAATTTCAATATAATCTGGAATTATTCTCAATCCTTTCAAAAATAAGTCGAAAGCACAATTATTTTTGATTTAGCCTATGATGAAAAAATTGAGGCCGAAGTGACTACCCATTTTGGTATAGCTAAATTTCCTAACACAAATTTAAGTAAACATTTTAGCGACCATATCATAAAATGAGGACTTAAATTTACTGTTTATCACCTGTTTTTTGGAATCGGAATATATAAGAACGGACCAAAACGAACAGTTATCGTTTTCACTTGTGGTTTACAAATCTGGACATCTAAACAGAACCTTCCAAAGTAAATGCTTTGAACGAAAAAAAAAGAGCTAGAAGCTTAGACTAAAAGATATGTGTTTTTAGCCGGGTGACTGACCTAAATATTGTAATATTGTTTTAACAAGAGAATTACCAAACAGGTACTAGACATAAGATATTATGATGAAACGCAGCTCGCATGATATTGATATTTTGAGATAAGAAAGTGTAATAGTTGTTTCAAACTTTAAGTAATATAAATAATTCGATAATAATAATCGAAATCGAGGGTTCGATGTTAGATAGTTAGTAAATGATATGATATGAGCTTGGAATACAGTTCAAGCAAGAAGAATATTGGGAAAAAAAACTAATTAAAGTGATAAGACATTCCTTCTTCTTCATAGGTTGACACACTTTGGTCGCGTGCGCATGTCCTTTCTTTTTTTCTTATCAACTACAAAATTCTCAGATTTTTGCTAATACATTTTACAATCAGAGATATGAGACTTATATGCAGTTGATTGAACTAGTAATCAGAAAAATGAAAACCTATCATCCGAAAAATTCTAATACAAATGTTGTGATCTAAATGAACAAATGATCTTTGTGTTATGTGTTTTAAATGGTGAAATGTGTTTAGTGCATTCGGTACGTTTGAATGCCTTAGCATGAAAATATGTTCAGCATTACCAAATATGGTCGATGTTTAACATTATTAACTAAAAAGTACTTGCTTTATTCATTTACATAGATTGATTAGTTGAAGTTAGTTGGGGCGGAGATTTACAACAGTTTCTATTCCCAAAAAATATGATTTTGTGTGTTTTTTTCAAAGTTTAGCCTGGTTTTACAAATGTTTATAAACAGGAAACATGAAGAAACTCTGAGTCTAAATCTTATGATGTCAGAAATTTCAGAAACCCAAGCTTATTTGGGTGCCTTTCAAGCTAAGCTAAACATGTAACGTGATATATTTATGTTTTCTTATTCCACGAGGGGAAAATAATGACAAAATTCATAATTTTTATATATTATGTATATGGGGATGCATGCATGCAGGAAGATTAGAGTACATTGACATGTTTTTAATGAGTCAAATACATAAACACATCCATAAAACAATGGAAGTAGATATTTTAACATATTTTTAAAAAATTCTTATTAAATTTCTGATCAAGAGAGCGATTGCGGAACCAACCAGTCTTCAATCATAAGCATCCATTTTTTATGAATGCCAAACTATCAACAATTAATAATAAATAAAAAAAACACTATCAACAATTGATTGAGTTCCACTTTGCATAGAAGACAAAACATTTGCTTGGTTTTATTCTAAGAACCGGTAATGATTTACCAAAACTAATTAAATTAAAGCGGACCATAAAGACAGTTAGTTAATAAGCCATTTTGATTCTGTTTAGCTTCTTCATCCTTGATCAAATATTTCCCCAAAAAAACTAAATAAAACAAGGGTTCTGGTTAATTAATTATCTCTGAGTCAAACAAAAAAACTCAATTACAAAAAACAAAAAACAATGCTCTGTTTTTTTCCTCTGTTTTGATTTAAGTTTCATTGATGAAAAACTTGTTGATCTTCAGCAATAACCATGCGACTAAGAGGACTAGGTCCAAGCTTCTTCTTCTTCCTCATCTGATTTCTCTTCCTCACAATCTCCATCTGATCTCTCCTTCTTGTCTCCATCATCGCTTCTTCTTCCGCCGCCACGAATCTCCTCATCAACGCGTTCTCCTTCAACGATTTCCCTCTAAAAATCCTCCTCCCCGAATCAACGCTAATCCTCGCCGTCTCCGTCACCACCGGAAGAGGCTTCGACGGAGGATAGCTTGAGCTTCTTCTCGGCGGGACGTAATTTCGGAAAACGTCGTCGTATGGACCGATCGGAGCACAGAGACAAACCCTAGTGAACGAATTCGCGGCCACCTTCAGCGACGTGCATTTCCTCAGCTGTTGATAATTCGATTTGTTGACGGTGCTAGGGTTTCGCGACGGACGGATTTCCGGCGGAGATTTCGGGATTGTTCTCCAATTCGTCGCGAATCTCGCGATCGCCATTGTTCTCTGGTACCAAGGTTTTCTGTTTGCCATTATTACCTTTATGTCACACTCGCACATTCTTTTTTTTTGTTGGTGACTATAATTTGAAAATTACAAAGCGCAAAGAAAAAATGTAAATGGAGAAAGCTAATTTACAACTCCGAAAAATGGGGGTAATTTGAATTCAACAAGGAAACTAATTACGAGGTAGATTTTGGATTTTTATTTATTTACCAATTATGGATCTGCAGTAACTATCTTTCATTATTTTTAGACAGTTGTGTTCTTTCTGACAACGATAAAAAATTATTCTGAATAAACAAAGCGGCATTATTATGGTAAAAGAATATATTAGCACTGTACATTTTTTTTTTACATGATTCGTATCTTTCTAGTAACAGTTATGGTCGTTTTCAAGAAACAAACAGTAGGCTGGCGACACAACAAGAGAGAACAAACAGTAGATAATGGCGATGGCCCAATCTTGGCCCAATCTAGGTTACAAAGTTTTATCACTATTTGATCATGATAACTAAGAATCAAAGATGCCTTCAGATTCATCAAATAATAAAATAAGGCATTATCTTTTTGTCGTCAAAATAATTATTTTTGCAGTCTTCATTATCAAAGGAAGTAAGGAACCACAGTGAGTGTGAAGAATGAAAATTGGGACTTGTTGTATATATAATATATGGTTTGGAAGTTGGAAACATAACTTAGGTAAAACATGGGGATTAGTGGCAAAATTTGTTTAATTATGTAAGAATTTAATATAGAGCCCTGAGAATATGCTTATCTCCTAGTTGTATAATGCAAGAATGAGAATGTGATCTGGTATTTACGTTTTCTTCACAGGAAAAAACACCGCTCAGTTACTTAATTGTGTGAGTGTTTATTAAACTCTGATTGATTTTTGAAGCTTGTATTAACACAAAATGGAAAAAAAGAGAGTAAGGAGTGATAAAAGGAGTAAATTAGTATGCATATACCTTGCAGGTGAGGTCTTTGAATCTTGCATGAAACAGAAGAAGAGGAAGAGTGAGTAAGTGGATGATTGATAGAGATATATCCAAGCGATAGGGAAGAAGACGACGGAGATATTTTTCATCTGCCCAATGCAAATTTTTGAGAGTTTTAGAGAGGACAGAGAGAGAGAGAGAGAGAGAGAGAGAGAGGGAGGGAGAGAGAGACCGAGGGAGAGAGTGCGAGTTAAACAATTGACTAGCTTTTTTCCTCTTTATTTCATTCTTTAAGTGTAGCTGTTTTCTCTTCTCTCTCTCTCTCTCTTGCTTTTACAGTCATATGAGTCTTGAAGTTTTGGAGAGAGAGAAAGATAAAAGATTCAAAAATTGTAAAGAGAAAGTGAATGAAATTGGTGCTTTTAATGCAATTACCATAGTCCTCATGATCCACTTTCAATGGATGCCTTTAAGGAGTGTCATCAAACTCATACGAGCTTTGATTCATATTTTTCATGTTAGTTGTATTCAATTTTCTTAGCCGAATTGTTGTTGTCTAATGGACTAATGGTTTCGTTTATTCATAAGACTAAAATTGTGAAACTCATCATGTTAATTTATAGGATTTAAATTTGAGAAGCAACAACTCTAGGTTATAGGATTTATCCGACAATTTACTTTAATTTCTTTCTATTAAAATCCAATTCTTATTTTGAGCTTGTCATTTGAAAATCCAAGCATCTTCTCCGGGTAATCTTATCAATTCTTGTGTAATAACTGAGTTCTTCCTAATCTTTACTTGAGCTCATCCTCATACAATTAATGTAGATTTCTAATAATATTAAATGACTACATAGAATATAATATATGGGCATAATTAAGAAAGGGATTAAGTGTTGGATTAATCATGTTAACCTCATGGGACCAACTTCTTTTAAATGATGATTAATATGGGCATGCATCATAGTTAGAGCATTTATTAGCTTTCACATATTTACTAATATTTACATTATGTAACCATCAATAATTTTTGTGAAGTCAGAAATATTTCACAGATAGATAGTATAACTAATCATGGTTCTCAATATGTTATGGTGGGTGGTGTAATATCAAGAACCTCCAAAAAGCTGCTACAACATTATGATTGGTCATGTTGGTTTTGTAAATTAATTTAAATTATTCAATACCCAGCAATTATTTAACAAACAACTAAAGCTGAAATTTAAAGCTTTTTCTATATCTCTTTAATTTTTTGGGATGATCAGAATCAGATTAATTTCCACTTGAAGTAGGGACTTTTTGAGTATCACCCACCAAGGGCACATGATAGGCCACCAAGGCTACACAAAGAATCCACCTTCATACTTTCTCTTCTGATAATAAATAAGCTCTATTTTCTTTTAAAATTGATCATGAACTCGTGAAGAAGCGCATAAAACGAACGAATAAATTAAACTTGTCAAATATTAAATATGCGTTCTTATTCATCAAATAAATTACTGCGTAAATTATCCTCTCATATAATAAAAAATACAATTTTCTCTATTTTATACAATAAAAACGTAAGATCAAGGAAATGAATCTTCACCTTTTCCCTTTTATTTTGTTGGTTACTGTTTTTTAATTGGTTTATGTTGGGTGATTCTTCATTGCTTGTTCAGCAATTTTTCCAGTCAGGAATTGAAGGAGAGTGAAACCAAGAAGATGATGTTTATGCCCGAAAGCATTAACTTTCGTATGTTCTTCGAACCAGACTAATATTTCATAAAAGATGTTTTCAAAAATGATAACAGAACTACAATCTAAAAGCTTTTATACCCAGTTTGCGTCTTCTCTCTAACTTTTCATCAACATCACAAAACAAAAAAGAAGTTACGAAAATGATATGAAAAAAAGTTACATGTTCTGTAAACAGTAAACACATAATCTGTAGAAGAAGGAATAATAAAAAAAAAAACTTTCAGAAACAAGAAACTGAAGTAGAAAGCGTCATCGTCATTTAGGGAAAGTTTAAAATATGCATTTCCTCGGTGCGCATAGATTGTGATGAAAGTACCCAAGCAGAATCTCTATGATGCATTACCGGAGACAGAGAAATGGAAAGTTTCTGGGATTGAAGCTCTTCCTCTGTAACTGATTTGAAGAAAGACTGTTCCGAAAAAGCTTGCTGAGTTTTTTTTCATCAATCACTGGCTTTCAGGATCACTGAGATGTTTCTTGCACCAAGAACTAGCTTTACGTTCTCCACATCTTGTCCTTTTGTTCCTAGGAACAACAAGCATCTCAGAAGCTAAACATGTTCTAAGAACCGAATCTTCACGGCTTAGTAGCACCAAAGATTTCTCTTCTTGGTGATCTTGTTCTGTTTCTTGAGTTTGTTGCAATGGTGGCACGCTTGTTCCTTCTCCTTCCTCTGATTTCTCAGCTTCTTCATGGCAACTAGTTTCCATCAAATCAGCGTTCATTTCTTCAGCCACTCCATTTCGAATCAAGATATTATCCAGAATCTGCAATTAGTTGAATCAGACAAGAGACAAAATGAAAGATGATGTTTGAAACATGGCCAAGGTAGTTTCCAAAACTTACATCTTCACAAGAATCTCCAATTTGGGGATGATGTAACGTAACATCTGCATCGGCGAATAGACCAACACTACTTTCGATTATGTCAGGAATATGAAACGCATCTCCATAGCTCGAAATCACTCCTTCCGATGAGAAAACTAAATCTCCAAGAACATAATCCGGCATATGCTGAGAAGAGTGGTAAATTGCTCCAATGGAGATCACATCTCCTCCAGCAGAAACCGTAGGGCTAGGCGCAGAACTTGCAGCAAGAAGGCTCAGGTTCTCTGAGGAAGAGAATCTTGCTGCGTTCTTAGACATCACAACATCAACTTGGCTTTTCAATCTATGAACCTGTGAATGTACCAGCTCGATTTTCCAAAGAACCTCTTCTAAGAAACTATCTCCTTCTCGGTGATCGAAAAGTGAGTCATCGTCATCTAAATCTACCCGGTTCTTTGAATCAATCCGTGAATCTTTCGCAGCTGTCCATGACGAAAGAACAATCAATACATCAAAACATCGACAGTCTTTAAAAAAATATGACGCATTATCAGAGTTTTAGTGAACATACCACCAAAGTCATCAGCCACTGCCATTCCATCTGAGCTCAATCTCTTGGTCTCTGCAACAAAAACCGAAACAGTTAATGAATGATATGCTCAAACCAAGACAGAGATAAGGAGTTAACACTGTTACGTAATAGTCGCTTACCGATATAAGAAAAGAGGTTATGATGGGACATATATGAAGTTATATCATCTGTACTCTCAACCTTCTTACGCTTTCTTCTCCTCTTTGCTGCTCTTTTTCGGTAAGACGGATTAGAAAAAGGCAACGACTTTATCCCCTCGCCACAAGTTTCCAACATAGATGGATCAATATTAGCTCCAAGCTTTTCTTGATCATATGTTTCAAGCTCTTTCGGATATTCTAATGCTCGAGACTCTAACTCCCTAATTCTTAACTCAACCCACTTGGATCGCCACATCAGTGGCCGGATAAAGCTCTTCCAGTGATTTGTTAGCCTTTTCTTCCTAGAAAGACACACAAAAGAGACAGAAAAAGAGATAAACTTTTTAAAAAAACATCAAGAAAGCAATGGAGAAGAAGGAACTCAAACTGGATTTAGCAGAAAACACACCTGAAATGAAAAATGCTGCTAAAAGAATCATAAGCAGGTCCCAAGTCGGTTTCATCCCAATAATGAGATTCAACCTCAGCATCTTCGTTTAGTCCATTAAACAACATGTCAGCATCCTCAGATGCAGTGTCAGAAAACGAGCTTGAATATTCAGTAGCGTTTGGGTCCTCATCCGCGGTAGATATGTTGTTGTCATCAGATACAACTACATCAACATCCAATTCCTCACCACCAGAAACTGAAGTCACAGTTTCGTCACTTGTATTAGCACTGGTGAGACCACATTCTTCATGCTCTCCTGCAGGACTCTGCTCTTTCTTTGGCGATAGTGCATCAAATTGTTTACTTTCTTGATTGAGCTCCATATGTGGTTCACAAACAGTCATCACAACTGATTACACATATTTCACATTGGAACCTACCCTGGTGATGCTCCTTGATGAAGTTACCTGGGGATGCAAGACTGTGAGTACATATGCTATAACTTACAGTTTAATAAATATCACACTCAGATTGCAAAGTAAAACTAATCAAGCCAGATAAAATCTTAGTATAGAGCACTTTTTCCACACAAATTCTTTTCAAACCACTCCAGACGAAATCCTATTTGCTATAAATCCAAGAATTTCCCCTCTAAACAAACTAAAAATCAGGATTTTCATTAGCTAAGCACTCAAATATATGATTCCAAAAGACAAAGCTGTTGGCTTCCTTTATTCGTAGTTAAAGCAAATTCTTTTATGTAATCTAAGGAGAAGCAAAACGTTAACACAGCCTTAGTTCGGTGTACTGATCCTTACCGGTTCGATTTAGCAGCTGCCTATATCACTAGTAATCTAAAAGCTCGAACCTTTTGGGACGTAACCGACTTCAATTCAGCACAATTATGCTCAAAGCAGCTCAAAAACATTACAAGAATGAATCACAGAAACAACAAAAGCTAGCCCATAACTAATAACGGAGCTGGAGCTCGCATGGCAGCAACAGCAAGGAAAGAAAAAGTCAAGACATTTGCAACCAAACTAAGCAAAGAAAATGAGTAAGAATTCAGAAAGAACACAAACCTTATAGTTAAATAAAAGAATGAAGATAGAAGAGTTAGAGAGATGGTGGGATTACCTAGTGAGGTTTGAGGGGAGGGTTTTGCGGCGAGAAGAGAGTGAGAGAGAAGAAGAAGAAGAATGTGTAAAGGCACTTAAAAAAACGTCTACTGATCAAAATCTATTTATACCTCAATCAAAAAACCTAAACGGGGTCCTTCCCTCTCTATCTGTCTCCTTTGTTTTCCACGTGGCGTCCTTTCATTCGGTTCCTCTTCAGTTAAAACCACTTGTTCAACACCGAACCGAACAAATTTAACTGATTTATTCTAAATCTAAATTATGGATCATTATCCGGTTTACTAGGTTATAGAAATCATATCTTTTGTATACTGGATTCATTTTTAATCTCATATACAGAAATATAAGACACAGGTTTCTGTAATTATTTTTCTCGATTAAAATATATAAATACAGTTACTTACTTGTTTTCTTTTGTTTCATAATTCTAAATTAACTAAAGTAAATTAGAATAATATGTATAAAGAATATCATTGAAGCAACACAAAAGCAAAAACTTATACAAACCATATTTTTCAGTCCATTCGGGAACATCCGATAAATTCTAAACCATATTTTAGTTAGACCAAAATTTGATTGACGAGTTTATATCACATTTTAGAGCAAAGACTAATCAAATATCCATTTCTTGTGGACATTGAATTTCATTATCAAAATTCGAAACTTTTTTACGTTTGGATTGACATTTTCTTTTTCAACGAAGGATGCATTATAGTAACTAATAAAATATCAAAAAACATTGAACCAATTAATAAAGCTAAGAACTAATTTGAATCATATTTTAGTTAGACTCATTTACATGTTTATATCGGATTTAAAAGCATAGACTAGATAAAATAGTTCATTTAATTTCGATATAAAAATTTGACTCATTATTTTATCCGTTCGTATAAGCCAAACTTAAGGGAATTAGTTTGCTAGTTTGGATTTGTTCACCTTGATTGGGTTCAAAATTGATTTACGTTAAGCTTTTTTATATAGTTAATGTAGTTTGAAACTTTTGACATGGATTCATCTATAATAATAGCTTTATTATCGAATCAAGAAAATTGTAGTTCAAGTAGCTTTTCAAATAGTAGTTATATGATAGTTTATGACCATTTATTCGCGAAGAAAAATTCAAAAGAGACTTAAAAGAAAAAGAAGAAAATACTTACTGTATTGTATACATAAACGAACCATGACAGATTTTATAACTTTCAGTTTAAAAGTCTACGGTTCTACGGTTACTGCTATTTACGTTCGAAAACTTATAATTTCCAGAACTACCCTCGCATCGACCTCACACTCCTCTAGTTCTCGGGCCAGTAACTGTTTACAGTTTCAAGGGCAATTCCGTAAACTCAGTCTCCACAACTAATTTATCAGTTTCTTTCTTCTTCCAAAGGTCCTTTTTTTTTTCTCTCTCTCTGCGATTGTCCTTTTTTGACTCACTTCTTCTCAAGAAGGCGAAGTTTCTCTTCTCTTCAGAAATGGAGATTCTCTGTCGCGTGATCAGCCGGAGGATAAATCCCTAGACCTTATTGATTTGCGAATTTCTTTTTTTTTGTTCTTCATTTTACTCAATATTGATCGAGATGGTTGAGTCGGCGGTGGAGTTTCTGGTACCGTCGTCGTGGGAGATTGAGGTTGCGGTGTTCGCTTCGGCTTTCTTGATCGCTTCTTATTGGCTCTTCGCTTATAGAAGCGGCGGAGATGACGAAGCCGGTGGTGTGGGATTTGATCGGTCTCGCCTCTTGCATAATTCTGATTCCGGTGACGCCATCTTTGACAAAGACAAGGTTTAATTTGTTTTTCTCCTTTTTTCAAAATTGGGCCTTTATTCATTAGGTAATAGCTTGATAAAACTCGAATTTGGGTGCTCAATGGATTTGATGGAGTAATTTCCCAATTTTTTGACTTGCAGTTGTGCACTTATTTTTGTAGATAGGACAGTTGAGAGGAGACACTCAAACAAATGCTGCTTATATCATCAAGGTATGTTCTGTCTTTGTGTGTGTGAAACTGGTTCTCATGTATGATTCGTCTGCTTGCTTGTCTGGGGGATTCTGAAAATTATGTTGGATATTAACATTGCGAATCATTTTGTTTATTCTTTCTCTGCCAGGTGGAACTGCTGGCTGCTAAGAATCTCATTGGCGCTAACTTAAATGGAACATCAGATCCTTATGCTATTGTAAATTGTGGATCAGAAAAGAGATTCAGGTTTGTTAAAAAATCTTTTCTTTTTTCCATTTGTTTTTTGTTTAGATGTCACAATTTGTAAAGAAGAGCATGTGAGCTACTTTTTTTGTGTGTCATTTTCTTTCTTTCTCCTTTACGCGTCTTATAGCTTCCTCCCAACAACCACTATCCATTGAAAGAAAGAAAAAAACGTATATTGGTAGTTTGGTTGTTGAATATGACACTTTAATTTGTCTAATATATATCTCTTTGGTTGTTGTAGTTCTATGGTCCCTGGCTCGAGAAATCCAATGTGGGGTGAAGAGTTCAATTTTCCCACTGATGAGCTTCCTGTTAAGGTGATAATCTTTTACAACTTTAGTATGCTTCAGGACTCAGTGGGAAAGTATTTGCTTACTTATGAACTAGTAAAGAATACTGAAAAATACTTCTTTGAAATAGGCATATAGATTTGATTAGTTTGGATGCAAAACATGCACCTCTAGACCACCTTTTATATGTTAACCAGATACTTTTTCAAACATTTATCATATGTTTTGCTATGGCAGATCAATGTAACAATTCATGACTGGGATATCATTTGGAAAAGTACTGTCCTTGGCTCAGTTACTATAAACGTTGAACGTGAAGGCCAAACGGGTCCACTGTGGCACTCATTAGATAGCCCATCTGGGCAGGTATGTTTATTCCTAATTACTTCAGGCCTTCTTATTTCTTTATAGGCTAATCCAATTTTTTTTTGTTAGGTTTGCCTAAACATTAATGCGATCAAGCTACCCGTGAATGCTTCTAGGTAATTCGCAAGTTCTACTTCAATTTATGTATCAGCTTTGTGTTTCTTGTTTAGATTGTGCTAAATGTCTTGTGGTCCATGACAATTGGTAGATAACTTTAAGAATATCTATAACCGTTTTTTCACAGATGAAAGAAAAAATCTGAAATTTGTTGTTCTACTAAACATGATATGGCATTTGGCTGGTTTTTCATTTTCAATGGAACTACACCCCCGGTTACATCACTTGATAACACGTAGCCGTTGTGGTTTAAGACTTTTTATTTCATTGGTAGGGCTATAACTGGATATGCTGGAGCCTGTAGAAGAAGGGTCACGTTAGATCAGCAAGGCCCAACAATTGTGCATCAAAAGCCAGGGCCTCTGCAGACGATATTTGATCTCCTCCCTGATGAGGTTAGTTAATCAGTAGTCAGTACTATATTATTGTAGTAATCTCATCATACTCTTGACTTTGTGCAACTTTCCGTAGGTTGTTGAGCACAGCTATTCATGTGCCCTGGAGAGGTCATTCTTGTATCATGGCCGAATATATGTGTCTGCGTGGCACATATGTTTTCACTCCAATGTTTTCTCTAAGCAAATGAAGGTTAGTGCTTCTATAAGTGTAATAACTACATTCTGAGTTCTATGAATCAATGGTTAAAACTTCCACCGCATCACAATTTGCAGGTAGTTGTACCTCTGGGAGATATAGATGAGGTACTACTCTTTTCTTGACCACTCAGAATTTCTGTTGATTTAAACTGATAACCAGAAAAATCATATAAAGAAATTTATTTGGTTATTATAGATTCGTAGAAGTCAACATGCATTGATAAACCCAGCTATAACAATCATACTACGGATGGGCGCTGGTGGACATGGTGTTCCCCCTCTTGGGACTCCTGATGGTTAGCTATTATGTTTGATATTAGATTTTTATGTGTTATATCAACTTCCATGCCTTCTTTATATTCAGAAAACACCTTTTTTGTTAGTTCCTGCACAAGCCAGCGAGAACATTTCCCATTTGATTCCTGGACTAGCCTTTTGCCTGTAGGACCAAAGCTTTTGGAGTTTTCATCTGTAATGGTGCCTTGTTATGTTTATGTCTTTGTGAAATTCCTTCTTTATTTCAGGTAGAGTGAGGTATAAATTTGCATCGTTTTGGAACAGGAACCATACACTAAAAGCATTGCAGCGTGCAGTTAATAATTATCATGCAATGTTAGAAGTTGAGAAGAAGGTCTCTCTCCATTTTTATATCAATTATGACTTTATGCTTGATAAAGCTATCAAATATGATGTGATTGCCTGAAATATGTTTCATCTCTTTGGTGGCTTCTTACCCTATAGGAGAGAGCAGAATCTGCCTTACGTGCTCATAGTAGCTCTGTAAGGACAGGTGCTAAACCACAAGTTAAAGCTCCTGAAGATACTGTAGCTATACCTGTAAAGTTTCAGGCTTTCATCAAGGAAGAAGTACTTGTCGGCATTTATAATGTAAACCATTCGTTTTATCTTGTTAGTGCTGTAGTTGTTTGAAACTATTGTCTCAAAACTTTATGCATAATACACTTGTATGCAGGATGTTTTTGCCAGCACACCTGAGCAATTCCTGAAAGTCTTGTTGGCTGATGATTCCACTTATACTAATGAGTACAGATCTGCACGGAAGGATAAAAATCTCAATGTAAGTTTAGCATGAATATTTACATCATTATACATAGGGGCTTTTTGGCGGTTTCTACAGTGTTGATCACACATGCTTTGAAGCTGCACTCTTTAGACTAGACTTCTCAGGAACTTCATTGTTGTCAATGTTGAACTTTCAGATAGAGCCGTGGCATACTGCTGAAGAATATGATGGTCAAGTTAGAGAGATTAAGTTCAGATCCATTTGTAATAGTCCTATGTGTCCACCAGACACTGCTGTGACGGAATGGCAGCACGTTGTTCTATCACCAGATAAGAAATTGCTGGTAAGAAATCTATTCCCGTGTAAGATAGTAATTGCTAATGTTGTTTAGATTCTACAAACTAATTGAAAAAAAAGAAAAAATTATATCCCATCTATGATACTCATATCTTCCCTTCAGGTTTTTGAAACTGTGCAACAGCCACATGATGTTCCTTTTGGTTCTTACTTTGAGGTACGTTACCTTTATGAGTAAAATCTGGTTCTGAGTATCAATCTCTTTGCAATCCATCATTCAACTTTCGACTTGGAATGCTTCTTTATGCTGTTTCTATCAGGTCCATTGTCGATGGCGTTTGGAATCTAAAGAGGAGACTTCCTCTGTAATAGATATAAGAGTTGGTAAGTAATTCGGGGTATTCCTAAAGAGTGCGAGTAAAACTTGCAATGGCACATTGTATGAAAAGATCTCGTGGCTTCATCTACAGGTGTACATTTCAAGAAATGGTGCTTGATGCAATCGAAGATTAAAGCAGGAGCAATTGATGAGGTTAGTTTATGTCCTTGATCCGATCGACCAGTTTAAGAAACCGCCAGAGTAGATTTATCTTGATACGTTTCTTTTTCTACACAGTACAAGAAAGAAGTGGAAGTGATGCTAGAAGTGGCATTGTCGCATCTCAAGTCACACTTGTCCTCAAGCAGCTGTCGCGATATAGATAACAACTCTGCTTCGTTACCTCCAATAGCAGAGAACATAAGCTAAAACCTATTTACCAAAAGTCAAAAAGCTTCTCAAATTATCCATCCTCTAGTCTAAGTTCTTCTACCATCAATTTTTCTCTCTCTATTTACAGGTTAAAATGTACATGTAGTAACTATTGTTAGTTGATTGCTGTTTACAGGGGCTTGTCTGATTTCTGGTACTTCTGACAGATAACAAAGAAATGAAAAAAATTTGGGTTCTCTCACAATTCTCTGTATTGGTAAATACTGCAGAAAATAAAATACTCACTACTACGTTATTTCAATTTTGCAATTTCAAACACAGTATGGAATCGGATTGATCATGAGTTAAGCCATAAACCTTCTGAAATCTTATTATAAACCATATGGAACAAGACAAAATTCAAACATTGCAGTAAAACATTTGAAGCCTGAATGTTTGTCCAAGTCACAGCAACTTGGGATTTTGGAAATATAGATAATGATGAATCCTGATACTTCCAACATTCGATTCGAATCAATTCGAGAGCTAGGAGGGAAGAAAACCCGCAATCTATTTCTCAGGAAAGACTCAGAATTTGATAGCGGTTGTCCACGTGCCTTGAACACTCGGGTATTTAGTCACATGTCTAGTCCTCAGTTTAACCACTTTCCTTCCCAACGAGTTCCTCAGCCTTGTTGCATTCAGAAGCACTTCTTCAGGATCCATGTTCTTCACACACACCACCCTTTCATTTCTGTTCCCTATGAATCGTATGTAATCAGGAGCCGTTATATGCAGTTGCATTGCCTGTAACGATAAGAGGTAAAATGGAGAAAAAAATTCATACTGTATATGCCCTTCAAATAAGGATGTTGTCCCCGTGAAAGCTCGGTAACCACTTCGAGCTGCGGATTTTTCTCTATTAGTGCAGGTAATTCTGATTCCATAAAGGCTCTGTATAACAACAATACATCAATAGTTCTTATCAAGAAAAGAAAATTACCATCAGAATGAACAGAAGAAAATGCTCAGTGCCTAACTATGAAATGGTAACTATTCATTACCGGAAACCACAGGAAAACATCAACGAGAGATAATGGTCCAAAATTTCGAAACATGAAAAGCGGTTTTGCCTCACAAATTACTATATTCAGACTCCCATTTCGTATAATTAGTTGGAAACTTCAAGTTAATACATGATATTTAATAGACAATCAGTTGAATACAAGGCTTCTGGATTACGAGGTTTAGGTCAAATAGTCCAGAATTTTTTACCTTATGCCTCTACTGCTACCTCCCCAGTTACAGTAGCTCACTACCAGCTTCTGGAGCTGCCATACTCCTCTAAGCGCCATCTCGTGAAAGAAACCTAGCAACAACTTCCACTTTTAATACTCAGATTGCAAAACAGAATCATAGATAATATCTTAGATTGCAAAACAGAATCTTATCGGTTTCCTTTCAATCACACGCAATTCTAATTGCCATTAATCCGAGAATTGCCACTCTAAACAAACCAGAAATCAGGATTTTCATTAGCTGCGCATTCAAATGTAGATTCTAAAATACAAATCTGTTGGCTTCGTCTTCATAGTTAAAGCAAAATCTTTTATGTAATCTCAGGAGAAGCAAATCAGTAACACAGCCTTAGCTCGGTCTACTGATCCTTACTGGTTCGATTTAGCAGCTGCCTATATCACTAGTAATCTAAAAGCTCGAACCTTTTGGGACGAAACCGACTTCATTTCAGCACAATTATGCTAGAAGAAGCTCAAAACCATTAAACGAAGGAACAAAAAAATCTAGCCCATTACCAATAACGGAGCTGGAGCTCACATGGCAGCAACAGGATGAAGAAAAAAAGTACAGAAAAATAAAAAAAGTTAAAACATTTGCAACCAAACTAAGCAAAGAATATGAATAGAAGAGTTAGAGAGATGGTGCGATTACCTATTGAGGTTTGGGGTTTTTGCGGCGAGAAGAGAGTGAGAAAGACGAAGAAGATCGTGTAAAGGTACGTAAAAACCTAAACGTAACTGGTTTTCTCGGTTATGTTGAATTTCTTCTTTTTCGGTTTTATTATGAACCGAAATTAAACAAAACTACAAAACCAGTCAGTTTCATCAAACCAAACTTAAATGTCATCATTGTCATAATTTCCCAATTTAATATCTATTAAAACATTTTACTTAACTTAACATATAGCTATTTTTTTGTCGTAACATATAGCTATTAATTTCCAGATTTTATATTTTTATCAATTTTAATATAATTATTTTATTTATATATCTTATTATATAAAGAAAAATAATTAAAAGTTATTCTAAACACGTAGAACATTTTTATACGGTACAAACCCACATATATGTGGAAACTTATCTAGTTTAGTTAGATGTAAATCTACTCACTCATAACTCATATAACACATGCAATCTAAAATCAACTTATTTGGCTTTTATTTATTTCCTTTTAGTAAATCTTTCTAATTAAAATATATAGATATTTTTTTTTTCATTTCTGTTTAAGTTTTCTTGGGTTTTTGCAAAAAGAAGTATATCTCCAAAAAATTCCAGATTCTTCATTTATTTCACTTATTATAATTATCACTTTCTTTGTAGTTAATAATTTTTTGCTAATACAAATCCATCTATATATAAATCTTAGTGTGATGTAACTTGTTTCTATCATAAAACCTCGTCCATAAAAAAAATTATGATGCAACTTCCGTGGGAATTGGAGGAACATATACTCTCTCTGATCCCACCAAAACCTCTCGCTCGATTCAGATCCGTTTGCAAACGATGGAACTATCTTTTCAACGACATGAGGTTCGTAAACAAACATTTGGCTCGTGCCCGTCCACACTTCATCTTGCTTTCCAAATCAAATATTTGTTCGGTGGACGTTAATGATCTTGACGGTGATCCATCTATAGAGTTGCATAACTTACCCTATGATATTCCCGGTTACGAACCTTCAATGCCTGTGAGAGTTGAATATTGCGACGGGTTATTGATTTATTTTACATTTTACGGGACCGGTATTTGCAACCCATGGTTGAGACAGATTAAATGGATCAAAGCCAAATGTCACGCAGATGAATTCAATGGGATGGGATACGAAAATAGTAGAGTACTCGATAATAAGCAGTACAAGATTCTTGAGTCTGATATCTATAGCAATACAAGCATGAAAGTTAGTATAACTGATTTTGGATACGATGATGCATGGAAATCATACGAGTTTGCATCCATCAACTGGAAATTATATAGTTCACAAAATAGTGTATCCTTGAATGGAACGTTGTATTGGGTTGCTATTTATTATCATGACTGCGAGCCACATGAGCTTTTTATTCAAAGCTTTGATTTTTCCACGGAGAGATTCGCACCATATTGTATGTTGCCTAGTGAAAACAAAGCCGGTCCATATGATGCTAGATCCCTTGCGGTTTTTAGGGGAGATGGGTTTTCGTTTTTAGAGCAAAACTATGAGACGAGGGATATAAAGATTTGGGTGACAAAAGAGAAGATTCAAAATGGGATCAACGGAAAAAACGTAGAGTGGATGAGTTTCATGAATGTGTCAATTCCTGAATGGTCGAGTTTAAAAGTCAGCGGCCGATTTCCGCCAAGTTACTTCATCGACGAGACAAGTTTTAGTCTCGTATTGTGTTGTCTTAACAATGAGGGAAAGACTTGCATCTACATTGCCAATAAGGGAGTTAATAAGTTTTATGAAATCAAGATAAATGATTTGGTTGAGACTCATCGTATTCACCGCACGTATTTTCCAAGTTTGATCCAAGTTCCTACGTTCACGATGAGCGGTAAAGAAGGTAAAACTGAGTCACGTTTTGTACTCCCTAGAGGGGTAGAAGCGAGCTATATGGAGTAGGAGGAAAAGAATGGGACGATGGCTTCTTCAACGCAGTGAAGAAAATAAGTGTAGCTAGGAGTAATTTTGTCGTGGTAGAAGAACCTGACGAAGTTGATACCGAGGGCATTGTAACTTATATGTATCTTCTCAACTCTTTCGTGGGCTCCATCATCCCAAATGGCTCCATAGTCTTCGGTGAGTACAGAACCAAATGGTCCCTCTTTCCATGGACTCATTTTTCTTTCTTTCTGTTTTCCTGAAAACATACATTATAATATAGTAGATCTCTTAATTAATAGCAATTTAAAAGAAATGAAGGAAGAAACTAAAAGTAAAGTAGGTGATCTGTCACCGTTTCGTTGCTTGGCTCTGAATCTGATTCAAAGTATTTGTGGTGATCGTTTCTTGAGTGTTGTGGGGACTGGAGAGGGATATATGTGTTTATATAGTGTTAATTTTTGGTACGGATCATTCTTACCCTTTTTTTTCATTTGTTATTGCTATAAAGTATTACTATTATTTGCCATGTAGTTTAATTTTCTATACATATGTTGTTAAAGAGTCCATGGTTTATAGACCATTAATATTTTTCTAGAAAATTGTTGTATGGGGGATGATGCAGTCACTTGCCTTAAACAGGTAAGAGAGAAGTGCTTTCGAAATCATTCAGGAAACTAAATATTTATTAGAGACCCTATTTACAAATATGCATGTAACCATGCATGCGCATCATTAAAAAGGATCCCATGTTAGTTTCCTGTAAAAAAAAAAAAAAATCAATAGTAATAATTAAGTAAGTTGGTGATTGAGATACTAGATGAACAGAATATCAAATCAACAAATAGAAAATGCAGTATTTAAAGATAATTAATAGCCAGAGTTTTAATATCTTACTGTTGTACCGATTGAATAATTTGATTAACTACGTAGGTTGGTTAATTATAATAACTTTGGTTGGATAAATTATTTCTAAATCCACTATTTAAATTTTTGATATCTGGTATATTTTTCATCAATTCTGACAGATTGGGTATAATTTTTTCTCACTACAAAAACAAAGAAACATGTAATGCGGCTATGTGTGGAGTTATATGCTCGGACACTTAGTATTTTGAAGTGAACTCGGCTCATATGCCTCGAACTGAGGTTTAGACTAAACGTTAAAAGCTTAGTTTTATTTTATTTTTAATAATAGAGCTGGATTAGATGAATAAAAATTCACGGACAATAAAAATATATAATATAGCTAAATTTGATACTTAGCTTTCATTTTTCAAATAGATAAATAAAATTTAAAATTTCTTTTGACTAGTTATATATATATTTTTAAGTTTATTCATAAGATGTCACATTTTTTTATATACAGGTGTGTTTTTATAACTACTGAAAATAATAAATACATGAAAAATGTTACCTTGAAATGTAAAATGATGAGAGCACTGACTACCGTAAGAAGCCATTTGCTTAAAAAAAAATAACAGGGTAATACATTTATGGATAGCAACAGTGTTAAAAACAACTTTTTTTTTTTTGTGGTAAAATTAAAAAGATCGAACTTGTTACAATCAAAGAGCTGTAATCTACGTCTAAAGTCATGACTCACTTTACCTACCGTCTACTCACGTAAATTCGACTCACAACATCATCACACTATATATGAGTGTACAAAAAATGCTAACCACATTTTTTTAAAGTGTCTTAATTTGAAATTATTGCCTTTTGTAAATGGAGCTTGATTATCTATATATGCAATACCTTTACGTAAAGTGTATAACATTGGTTTATTGTTTTCTATTTACAGAACTTGAAGAACCAGCAACAATTACATATTTTTGCCGACCATTAGTTTTGTTGGTTCACAGAATATACGAAAAAGCAGTAAGAAAGGTTAAAAAATAATTCAGCATGTTGAAACAAGACATCCTAAACAATTCGCTTTCTGTTTTTCATTTTATGTATCTCGGGTAATATCTCAAGTTTTACACTTATTAGTCTGGTTTTATTTCAAATTAATAAATTGAAAACTTTTTTTGATGAATTAATCGGAATGATCATCACCATTGTATCTTACAGCTTTGTGATGTAAACTCCGAAAGAATTTGAAAGTGGAGCACATGTTTTCATTACTCTTGTCATGTTAATTAGTCATAACTTTTTGGGATGCTGTACAAAATATTTTCCAAGTGTCTCAAAAGTAAAAAAAAAGTGAAAACGGTTGTTTGGCTGTAACTGAAAGCCATACGTTTCTACTCAATTTCGATTAGTGAATTAATTAATTCTTTTTTGTTGCTTCTAACAAATAGTTTTTTTTTTTCCCGTAAATGATCATAGTTTCAGACCTTCAGTGGTACTTTATACTAAATTTTCCCACGATTTCACCTACTAGAATATAATTACTTTCTGCCTAATTTAGTAATAAAATATAATAAACTTGAGAACAATAAAGCAACTGCGCATCATCTCCATGAGACTATCTCCATTGATTTAAAACTTATTTCGGAGATCTAAACAATTAAATATTAATATTTCTATATATATAATATAATTATATAACTAAATTTTAATTTTAAAATTAAAAACTACCCAATAAAAAAATAACATCTGTAAAACCCTTAAACAATTAGATACTAATTAACTTACTAGGTAGACACATGCATTTGCACTTTCCCAATGTCTTCACAAGACGAAGTAGCTAGCTCTTTTTTCGCCTTGCAATCGGCGCTGCTTCCACAATCTGGAGGTAACTTGCTCGCCATCTTAAGTGCGATGGATTGTTTGTTTTAAAATGTGTTTCTTGCTTTATGTCTCGGTTATTTAAAACAAACAGATAGAGTTATGTATGCTCCACCGACTCTGTCATTGTCCGTACATATTCAACTTTGACAAAGACATGATTATTAGTGTACGAGGTATACGAGGAATGGGAATATCTGGCCTGTGATATATGGGTCCATTGTCAGATTCTTATTTTCTTACAAAAATCAGTTATAATATTAATTAAATTGATATTAATATAGGGACGTACGGCCATTTATTTTTTTTTTACCAAATATTACTCTATTTTTTACCAAATTTTACTCTCTTTTTACCAAATTTTACGTTTTTATTTTTTTTTATTCTTTTACAATAATTGAATCGGACACATGTTTTCATAACACTTGTCATGTAAAATAGTCATACATTTTTGGGATGCTATACAATACAGAAAAGTGTTATAGGTTAAGAGACCATTTTCATTTGTAAGTACTTGTAGCGAGATATAATAGTAATATGAAACCAAAGACTGTTGTATAGTTGCTAAATACTGCTGATATTATTTACGATGTAATATAATTTCTTATATCTGTTAAGAAGTTCATAGTTTAGAGAGCAATTCTATTTTTTAAGAAGTTGTTGTGTAAGGATGATGCAAAGAACGTGGTTGTACTTGTTTGTATATCAGTATATGGGTGAGAGAAATGCTTTCGAAATCTTTAGTTATGAACCGTGAGTTTTATACCTTGATAAAAAGAAATATTAATTGTATTTTAGAAAAAAAACGTGAATTATAAATATAAGTATGTAACCACATCATTCAAATGGATCCAATTCCAATACTAATTCCCTACAAAAAATGATCATATGTAAAACTCACGTGCATATAGTCAATATTGACCGTCTTTGATACGGACTAGTCTTGATTCCTCTTACGACAACATGACGATCATGCAATCAGTTTTTTTCGTATTTTTTTAGAGACCATTCTCATTTGTAGTTAGTCGTAGAGAAATAGATCATTATGAACAAATGAATTGATCCCACTTAGCTTTTAGTTTTTCTGGTCTTGATTACTATTTTTTGGCAATGCGAGTTTCATTTTCTAGGGAATGACTTCAAGTATAAAGGGTAGCATATAATCAATAAAATCATGCATTTTTTTTTTCTGTTTATACTTCTAGGAATTTTAATAAAAGTAATTTGGAGGTCCAACAACAATAAGGAGTTTTCCCAATAAAAAAAAAAAATTATACTAAATTGGAAAAAGAGTAAGAAGTTTGAAATAATAATGTAACAGGTTGAACTTTTTTTTTCTTTCCCAGTGTATAGCTCCCAACCAACTAATTACTTGCTGGATTCAGTCTTGTATATCAAGAAATACTTTCTTATGCTCTCTCTTTTAGGCCTTTAACTTCACGATTGAGAAATTGAAGTTATGGAGAGACTTGTGCATTACACATTCGGCTTATGTGGAGGGTATATTTCCTTGGATGGTAATTGTGGATTTTCAGTGTGGTAAATCTTTTCGTTTTTTGCTAAAGATTGAAATTAATTATTTTTAACCTACAACTATTAGTAAGATTTAGTGTAATGAATTGGCAAAATTTACATTTAGACACCATTGAAATTGTGGTTGAGGTTTGTTTATATGATGCGCCTTTTTTACATATCAAGTGTTGATTCAACCAGAAAGTTATAATTTTTTTGGTAAACCGAGATAAATGTGGGCTAAACCGTTAATTTACGTATGTATTTGGCGCAACCAAAACGGTGCGTTTCGACAATTTTCATCTTGTTTGTTTTTGTTCTTGCTCCTTCAGCCGCCATTCGCCTGAGTTTTTGTTATACTCCCTCCGATTTAAGTTACTCTCCTGCCGGAAAGGTTGATATCTTTCTAGGTTAATCTATATGGAGATTAATTTTGAATCAAGGTATGAGATTGATCGGACGGCGGAGTTCATAATCAGCAAAAGCTTCACCAGGATAGCTTTACAGGTAACAAAACTTTTCTGAATTAACCTTCTTTCTTAGCCAAAAATTGTTACTTTAGTGAATTGGGATTATAAAGCTTATGTTTTTATATATTTCTTTGCTTCTGTGATGTGATAGTTCCCGGATGAGTTGTTAAAGGATTCGACTAAGGTCGTGAGTGCTCTTAAGAACAAAACTCGTTCTCTTAATACTGAAACAAGTGAAGATGACAGACAAGTTCGGTTCTTTGTCATGGCGGACACAACTTATGGTAGTTGCTGCATTGATGAAGTTGGAGCTTTGCATATTGATTCTGAATGTGTTGTCCATTACGGACAAACCTGCCTAAGCCCGTGAGTCAGTCATAAATAAATACTACTCTCTTCTTGATTTGTCTAATTGCTCTACATTCCCTTGTCTTGTTGAGACATATGTCTTAGTGTGAGTTTTTTTTATATATGTTTTTCCGCTTGCAGGACATCGGTTCTTCCAGCATTCTTCGTTTTCGGGAAAGCTTCGATAAATGTCTCGAGCTGCGTTAAGCATTTGCTAGATTACGCGTCTAAGAGCGAGAAGCCTATTTTGGTATGAGAATCTAGTTTATGTTTATGATGAAATACGTTAAATAAAAGGGTTCTCTGTTTTTACTTTTTCTCTGGCATTGGTTGCAGATTCTTTACGGACTAGAATACTCGCATGTGATTCCGTGTATTCGAGAAGAATTAGGATTATCCAAGACTGAGTCTCAATCGAAGTTCTCTGTTGCCAGTGTCTTGTGTTCGTTCATTAGTCCATCCAAAGATCCTAGAGAATCCATGGAGCATCCAGGACTCTCTGGTGAAAACGATTCTAATGATAACTTATCCTCATCTAGAACCTATAGATTAGGAGGGTTGACATGGGACTTACGACAAGGAAACAAAATCGAGGACTATTTACTTTTCTGGATCGGTTCTGACACTTCAGCTTTTGCCAATGTAGTACTGACCTTCAATGGTTGTGATATAGGTATATATGGCTTTATCCATGTAAATTTCTTGATCCAGTTCCTCATGATGTCAAACGTTTGATCAACTTACTACTGTCTGTTGCTTTTCACAAATATTAATTTAATTTACAAAAGCATCGATAGCTTGTTTTACTAACATTTTCATTGTCTGCTCTAACTGTGTTCTCTGTATGTTTTTGCTTGATAATCTTAGTCAGATATGATGCTGAAGAAGATTCTTTGGTGACAGAATTCACTCAACAGAGAAGGATACTCAAACGACGGTATGATCACTTGTTAAGCAGACATCATACATCACAAGAATTTTGTCTATCCTTTTGAATTTTTTTTTTTTCACTCTCTCTATGGATTTCCATCTCTATTCCTTATTCAAAGTGATGTGTTTGCAGATATTACTTGGTGGAAAAAGCTAAGGACGCGAATATTATAGGTATTTTGGTGGGGACTCTTGGTGTTGGTAAGTTCCTTGTCAACTGTATTTCTACCTATGTGATTGCTAAGTTTATCGATGTTTGACATCATCGGCATTGAATGCAGCTGGTTACCTTCACATGATTCACCATATGCAAGCACTCATATCTGCGGCTGGAAAAAAATCTTACATTCTTGCCATGGGACGGCCTAACCCGGCCAAACTCGCAAACTTTCCCGAGGTAAGTTATATAGTGGCTTGTCATCTAACTTTTAACTATCATTGTGAGATACATTATGCCAAATGAGGAATGTCTTTTTGTCTTGTGTCTCTCTTAGTGCGATGTTTTCATTTACATCTCATGCGCCCAAACCGCTCTTTTAGATAGCAAAGAGTTCATGGCCCCTGTCATAACTCCATTTGAAGCCAATCTTGCTTTTAGCAGGTACAGAGAAATTATTGTAATGCGAAATTTTTTTCTAGCTGTTGTGTAATTCTATTCAGGAGCTCCTGTTTCTGTTTCCAGAGGGAGTGAATGGACAGGTGCATACCTAATGCATTTCCAAGATGTGATTAACTCTTCAAATTCAGAAGCACATAGCGGATCGGAGGAGCCACGATTTTCCTTCTTTCAAGGTGGTTACGTAGAAGAAGATCACAATACAAACGGTATAATAGAAGCTAGATACATTAATCAATCAGCAAACGCCCATTTTTTGTTTCCATGAGTTTGACAACCAGTTTACTTGCTTCAGATCAAGCTAAGAATGGTGAGGAAGCACAGGAGAGACAATGGCGTTGGTACAAGCTGCAGAGAAAGCATTGCAATTGAGAGGCAAAGATCATAACCCACTCACTAAGCAAACCGCTGCAAAATCAGGACCTGAGTATTTTCTCAACCGTGCTTATCGTGGTCTGGAGATAAACAGCGACAATACTTCGCCCGAGCCTTTCGTAGTTGGGAGAAGTGGGAAGGCTTCGGGATATAAGCACGAGTAAGAATTTCACTTGGTGACAAAGTATCATTCCTGCTTGACTTAGCCTGACTGTACAATTTAGAATTTTATTTGATTCAAATTGTTAGTAGAGACTAGAGAGAGAGTGTGTTGTTTGCAACTGAAACAAAACTGTCTGTATTTTTTTTAAAGAAATTTTTGTATGTTATTACCTCATTAGCTTAGAGCTACGAACACATATGAGTACTTTAAATTGTGCAAGAGGATGTTAAAACGGTACGGAAGAACTTGCTTTTGTACAAAAGCTGCTTCGTGAAGATGGAATAACATCAAAAAGCAAAATTGAACATAAGATAGAGCTCTATAAAGCTCTCTGCTCTAATGCCGGATAATGATGAGACAATAGCATCTTATAGCTTCCTCATGAGTAGGAAGAGCCTCTGGTCGAGTTCGAAGTGAGATATGTGAGCTGGATCTCCCTGAAGCAACATCAGGAGGCCACCGAACGAAACATATAACTCTCTGGAAACACATAATAAAAGGAAAGAAACATGATCGGTTAGGTATGTAAGTTGAATTGGATCTTATTTTGGCAAACATTGATTTAGAAAAGTTCGATTTGTGGGATTCTTACGCTTTTGGAGTTTTGCCGTCACGCTCAGTGATCTTGTAAAGCTTCCCGTGCATGACATATTCATACTTATCGGCAAGCGTTTTCTTTGCTCCCTGTAATGAATCGAGATGAAAACGTTTAATCTTCAGATGAGCAAACAACATTCTTGGCTTTCAAGGCTAAGATTTTATCAAGATACAAGAAACCGAGGCTTGCTCAAATTACTCTTATAATTCCTAGATAGAACTGAATAGCAATTTGCTTTAACAGTTATGCCTTAACCAAATCCTAATACAGGTTCCGCATAGAATCAATAGTCTACATGACCTAAATCCACTTCAATGAGAGATGTGTATAAACACAAAACATAGAAGCAGTAGAATCTATTACCGGAGTAAAATAACCGGTGTCAGGGGTTCCATCGAGATTAAGCGTGGGAGCCATCGCCAGTGTGAACTTATCGCCAACAGCCATCGGATAAACCTCTGTGTTAACATCTAAATGCATAAACATTTCCAAGTTGTGGCTCCTCGCTTCAACACGCGTAACTGTAACCAGTACAGACACACAATCATTGTACGTTTCCTATGAGAAAGCCTCTCACTTCAAAGACAGAACAAAACTTAGTGATGGGAGACTAAAAACTTCTAAAGTTCTGTTTTTTTAACAGTAACTACGATTTTAGTTTCTCTAAAACCCAAAAACAAACAGAAGAAACTACGATGTTATATATCAGGAACGAAACAGCTAATAGGTAACATCGACTTGAGCAATAACAAGGATTAGAAATCGTGATTGAGGTTAAAAAGTATGTACCTTTATCGAACTTTTTGCCATCGGGGTCTAGCTTATCCACCACGAAGATATCCTCGAACAAGATTATATTGCTTGCCATCTGCAAACACAGAAATTCAAACCCTAAATACTCTTCATTCCTTGATGAAAACAAACTCGATTAGACTAACAAAGAAGAACTATATGATCATCTGGAGAAAACGAGAAGCAGAAGTCCCTTTAAAGAAGATTCAAATGCGAACTTACACCTGCTCCGGAAACTCAAGGGTCAAAGACAGAGAAGAGTGGCTGCGAGAAGAGTGTTATGGAGGCGCAGAGAGGAAGCGAGAGAAAAAAGTTTTTTCTTTTTTTCCCAGTTTTTTTTTACATATATTCGATATACTTTCGTGTATTTACATATGTGTGTCTTATAGTCTTACTTTTTACAGAAAATCCTCACATTTTTGTTTTTCTTTTTTTTTTTCTTTCCCGATCCTGTATTTTATGTTTTAAATACATGTTACCATGGAGTTTTCTCTTTTAGTAAAGAAACTTTCTATAACTTTTTTACATTTATAATCATAATTCTGTAACTTTCTATAAGTCTGAGACAATTTCGAAAGCAAAGAGGCAACTTTTAATCAGCTATCAAAAACATGTAGCTGATTTACATATATAATTCTGTAATATCGATGTTGGTGGTTAATGTAGAAACAAAGTTGTGTCTTTGTTTGTCAAAATGCTACAACTTGTCAAAATGCTACAACTTGTCAAAATGCAATCTTTGTGTCTTTCTATGGTTATATATATACAAGATTCTTCAACTCCACTACACAGATCTTTTGTCTTTCTATATGAGTAACTAATGTCAGACGGACCAAACATATATAAGGTGATGTGTAGTGGCTATATATAATACAAAATGAGATCGATCCTATGAACATGTTGCGAGGTACACGTTGCTGCCTGCGGAACTTCCGATCGCGGTTCCAGGTAAATCACGGACGAGAAATTTCACCGTATGCTTTCTCATAACGTTTAATATCTCTAAGCATTCTTGGAGATCAGAATCTGTGACTAACATCACCCATTCGTCTTCATCATCCAAGTATTTCAGCTGAAATGCGCCGTCTTGAAGCTTGAACCGCTTGCCCACTTCTTTGTAGAGCTGACAACACCCAACAACATATGGATCGAACTTGAAACGTATTGTGTCGTCTCTATAAGTGGCTTTCACTGTCAGTGTTGATCCGCTCTCGCAACTATTGTTGTGTGTTCTTGTTTGGTTCCAATCTTGTTCCACAACCGCGCCTGAACCATTTGATGAATCCGACATGCTGTTGGAGATTGACTGGTTTGGTTCTACGGTTCTTGTATTCACTCCATCATCTGCAAGTGCTAGAGAGCTCAAGCACCTACGGACACAATGGTCTTTATCCTGGTTTAACTCTTCACTCCTTTTGCCTATATCGAAATCATCACTATAATTCAAGCTAGACTGTTTGCTTATCCAAGCACATGGCTCCATCAAGGATCCTGTTTCACATTAGATTCTTCACCATTAGCTAGCTCCTCCAAAAGGGTTTATATATATTATATATATAGTTATAGTTATACCTCGTCCTGCTTGGTTTGTTCCAACACCCTCCTCCAACTTTATCACGCCATCTTCATCCATATTACCTTGGATTCTTACATGTGCATCGTCATGATGAGAAGGTAGACTCTTCTGAGTATCAAAATCTTGTATAAATGGTCCAACTGCTACAAATTCCCCTGATACCGAATCAAATTGCAGTCCTCCTTCTACACCTTGAACAGAGTCCAGTACCGTCTGTATTTTCCTTAGTGACCGATTCACTTTGTTAATCTTACGAGATGGCCACCTCATGATTCCGTGTTGTCTGCATATCCGTTTTAGTGTAGTTGGGCAAACTGAAGAAAGAACATAGAAAAGAATGCATCCAAAATCAGCAACTGAATAGTTTTGCAAGGGAAACAAGCAATACTATTGAACACTACTAATTCTCACCACCAAGGCTCTTTGCAGCATCCTTTAAGCTCCCGGAGAAGTATTGTTGGAGAACATCTAAGCTCACGTACTTCTCTGTACTGCTCTTCTTCTTCTCTGATCTCCTAGCTCCGCTGATTTCCTACGAAAGATGTAAGAAAAACTCAGTTATATACCTTGCAGGCTGATTCAAAATATATACAGGCCATTACCAAATATAGAGCATCATATATATACCTGTTGAAGAGTTCCCTGAGAACTTGCTATATCATTTGTTTTATCAGAGGAGGTGTTTGAGAAGATACTTCTAGTAGAGTTGACGTCAGTATCCAGCAATGTTGTCTGAAAGTTTCCTTCGGATACAGTAGCCTGTGGGAGTTTTGACATTACTTCTCCACTAAGAAATCCAACTTCAGTAACTTCATCTGAAGCAGTTCTCAGAGTCCGACATAATCTCCGCATCGTGCCCGAGAGACTGTCTAACAAGAGTTGTTGTTCTGAGCTTCCCTTCATGCTTACAGGTAAGAAAAACTCAAGTATATAATCATTGTCTCCGGTGAATGTGCTTCTCAGTTTGGTAGCAACTGCAGCATTAAGACCAAACTTTCGAGCATGCTGAACAAGAGGGTACTCGCAGATATCAAATGTCTTTACATCGGATGAGAAAGACGGTTTGTTTGATATGAGTGCTTTGCCAACAATCCCTTGCCCTTCTCTCAGATAATGCTCCAAACATGCGTTCATAAATCCTTCCATTTCCATATCATTGACATAACATGATGTCTCTTCTATGCAAAGAAGACAACTTTCCTCTGATTTTTTTTCATAAACCTTTACCAACTCATCGTTCGCTCCCTTGGAGTAACTACAGGGAATCCAAGCTAGAGCTAAAGGTAACCTATGTGCATGGCACACTGCTCTAAGAACGTCTCTTATTTCAGCCAAAGCTTCTTTTTGATTAGTTGAAAGGTACTGAAAAAAAAAGAAAGATACTATTAGACTGAGACAGAGAAAACCAAAAAAAAAATTCTTTTTTTCTTGGTTCAGATATGTACCTGACGACGAGGAATAGTTGATGTTTGTAAGTTCACCGCCTGACCAATATAGAGAAAACATGAGAGTCAACAACAAGCAAAGGCATGTAAACAAAAAGAGAAGCAAGAGAGAAGTCAATGTTAACCTGCAGAGCACGGCAAACAGAGTCCATCTCCAAATCAAAATTGGGTTTTTCCCTACAAGTCACAAGTTCAAGGACAGCACAACAAGATGTTCCAGATGGTTCAAGGACAGGAATAGCGATCGAACCACGGACTTTGTTATCTAGTGCATGCTTCATCCGCAAATATTCAGCGGCCTTGTAATACATCACGTTTGATGTCCACTCAGGAACACCAGAGATGAAGACTCTGCCTGGAAGACCTGGAGAAGAGTATTGGCTTGCTTCCGTTGAGAAGGTGAATTTCCTTGACACTTCACGGTATCCAGATAGCCTCGAGTCAAGCAAGTATGCCTGATCATAAGTGCTAAGCATGTACTGTTCTCCTGTCTTGACAGGAGTCCAAAACTGAGCTAGGATTCCCTCTCCAGAGAACTCCATAAACAAACTTAATGCCTTGAGCATCTTCTCATCAAGTGAGTGGCTCAATGGCCTGGGAACACTTGAGTCTATTGCGCCGGTTAAATGACCACTCTTGCTTCGCTTACCGCTTATGTATTCAGCATCATCAGATAGGCTATAAAACGGAGAGCTCATCTCCTGAAGAGGTCTCTTTTCGCCAACGTAAGAGCCTTGTAAACCATGGAAAGAAGGAGAGGGATCTACATGTAATGCTCCAAAAGGCGGCGTAGTGGATTGAGAGGTCGATAAGCCGTATTGAGTGAACAAGATGTCTGTAGCGGAAGGAGTATTGCACCAAGAAGCAAAAGATTCGGAATTGATAAGCTCTGATGAGCTAAACATGTCTTCTTCAGAGATCAAATTCTTAACCCAACCATCCATTTCATCGCTTGGAATATCTGGAAAAGAGAAGCCTTTTTCTCTGGATGCAGAAGGGTTTTCCATTGTATCTTTTTTGATGATTAGATTGACACAAAGACAAGCTTTTTTTATTTATTTCTTGGTTGATTCAATGTTCATGAGTATCCTACACAGGGAAGAAAATCACAAACACCAGACGACATTCAATTAATGTTTATGTTCCCAAATTCTGCTCTGATCCCGAAACTGAATTATGAAACAAGACAAACTTCGCCGCAAAGGAAATGAAAAAAAAAAAAAAACAATTTTCATAAATCCCAAGAACTGAACTATTTTGTATGGTCGAAAAACGCGAAAGCAACAGCACATTTTTTTTAGGGAGAATTCAAAAATTATCTCCAGCTCATCGAGTTGCTAAAAGTAAACAAAGCCCCACAAGATATAAAAATATAAAAACAAAAACTCAGTGAACCAAATTCTGGGTTTAGAGCTGAACCTGGAAGCATCAAGCGATAAGAGAGTGTAGAAAAGGCGAAGCTTTAAGTGGTATTCTGTAAGAGAAACTATAAAAGAGGAAACTTTAAGCCACCGAAGAAAGATAAAAGAGGAAACTTTATAAAAAGGGACTACTAGAGGTAGTATTTTGGTTTCAGTTAGCGGAAATTGCGCTACAAGCTTACTCTGAAGCTCGTGGGAGTTACATCAGCAGTGAAAGAGAGAGAGAGACGGTTCCATTAATGGTGGAGAGAGCCCGAGATTTTTTTGTTGTTGTTATTGCGAAGACAGGAAGGTGAAAAGATGAATCTTCTTTCTGGGAAACGGATCTCAATTAAGTAAATCGGGTCCGGATTGTAAATAAAAATGGTGGATTGTTTCTTATTTATTTCTTTCTCTCAGCTTTTGGCGTGAGTCACTTGAGCCGTATAAAGAATGCCTGCTATTTAGACCCCACCACCATGGATTACGTAATCAGAAAAGTAACTTGATAGATTTAAGCCCTATTTGGATTTAAGTAATACATTTAGTATTTTTTCTACTTTTTCATATGAGAGTAAGTTTTTAAATGCTATTATTATTCTAATTTAAGCTTCCATAGTCATAATCCCTCATACTCCTTCAAATTTGTAGAATGCTAAATTAGCATGAGTTAACAATATCAAGGTTAAATAAGTAAATTTAGCTGAGTAATCGTCGTGATTGATTCTTAATACAAAAAGGAAACCTTGATGTTAGGTAGCTTTATTATGTTATTTGGCTTTACATTTAGCCGAGTTAAAAGGAAACAAAATAAAGGTTAAAAAGGAGTTTGAGAGATGATGTGGGAAAAAACAGATAATGAAAAGGATGGAGAACAAAGGATAGCTTTATTCTGCAGTGGACGAGGAAAGTGACACGTGTACATCTGTTCGATTCCGATGACATGAAAATTTGCTTAATCTGACGCCATTCTCTCTCTTTCACATTCCCTCAATCAGAGAGCTGTCACTTTCTCCTCTTTCTCATGCCGACTTTCCTTATAAATCATCACGAGTTTTTAAAATTAAGTGGCAAAAAAACATTTATTATGGAAATAACTGTACTTTCTCTTTTTTTTTCTGTTTATTAGTAGTAACTATTCTTTTTTAAACAAAAAATATAATAATAGTACTAAATAAAACTGATGATATCATGAGTAGGTTTGGAAACCAAAGGTTGGGTAATGCTGAGACATTTATAGTTTTCGATCAATAGCCGTTAAAATGATTAGAAATATAACACACGTTAGTTATGTTGGTTCGTAACTTTTTAGTACTTTTGTTCTTTTTGCTAAGATTGTAATTATTCTTTAAAATGAAAGTTTAGATATATATTACAAGATCTATCTATGAGCAATGTTCCTTGGCCCCAAAAAAAACAAAAAAATAACGAATCAGATTTTTACAGGATCGTAGATTTAAAGAGCATGAGCATCTCTCGTGAAACCACAAGGCCATTAGATTACTGAATTTCCTTTGGGCTGTGATTGTGTTGATGATTTGCCTGTCAATGATTTTGGAGATAGTACGTAAGCTGCAGTATAATAACTTGGTTGTGAATCAAATTCTTTCTTTTCCTCCAAATGTTTTTTTTTTTTGGTTTTGCTACGCATTTGAATTTCATTAATAATGATAAAGTTTGTAAAATATAATTACAAAACAAGATAGTTTGACCCTTGGCAAATTAAAAAAGATTTGCCTTTGCCTCCAAATATTGTAAACCACAGCTTGAGCCACCAATTTCCAGAGAAAAATGTGGTGACCTATCATTCCTCACTGTTGTCCAAGTGATCATTGAGACCTAACCTGACTTTTACCATTCATACAATGTCTTTAGTTGATAACTTGCTTGATACAATTTTATTATTTGCAACATTTTGCATTTAAAATTTTGATATAGAAAAACAATAATGTAGAAGCAAATATTTACATAGCGTAAAGTCAAATATGTACATAGCCTAACCATTTTGTTTACACATATATGTGAATATATAAGACAGCATATTAAATTATTTTTTGCTTTGGATCTCCCATAGTATAGGAGCGTCTGTCGGCAGATATAGATTAATTGTTCATTACTTCTGACTGAAAACATTAATTTATATTGTTCAATACATTTAAATAGGATAATACCAAAAAACTGTTTTTGAAGATTCAAAGTCATCTTGAGACTCTGTCTTCATTTTTACTTATAAAATTTTAAGACATGCCTGTTTTTTTATATGTATATTACAAAATAGAAACAACAGATAACTTATAAGTTCTGGTCGTAATGTTGATGATGACTTACTATTCCTTCCTTCGACATCGTGTCACTGTTTTTAAGTTCAAAACAAATATTTACATAGCCTAAAGTCAAAAGAGATTTAATAAAAAATAATCAATTACTAATTTTCTTAAATATGAGTCAAGTAAATTAACGTCATAAAATCTCTCAACGTACGTCTTTAGTTTTGTTGGTTACATAGCCTCAATATTATGAATTTGAAGTTTAACAATAGAGCGAGTAATACTCCATACGTTTCACTCTTAAGTTATCCAATCTAAAAATTATTAATAACTGTAACTTTCTCGCATTAGAAAAACGACGAAAACATTATGTATTGAATCTTTCTAACCACCGAAAAATAGTATTTTATTGGAACCCAATCGATTGTTTTTCTTAGCTGTTGAAATAATCGATTGGGTTCTATTTTTTTTTGGTTCTCGAGAACCATATGTAGTATGTTTTTACCCCAAAAAAAAGTAGTATGTAATGGAGACCACGGCCTTTACTATGATTCTATGATTATATATTCTGTCTGGCACGCTGCCCTAAAGTATTTTATAATTATACGTTAAATAATTCCCGCTTATGTCACGAGTGATCCACTTCATCTTGTCGTTACATGTTTCTCCTTAAAAACAGATTCTTTAAGTCAAGATATGCTGAATCGTGGCCGTCCATTCTCCTTTCAAGATTCGGATTCTCTATCAAGATTCCTGAGCCCCACACGTGGAATCTTCCACAATATACAAAGATCTACGTCTCTTGTAGGACTATGCTAGTTCCCCTATTTGCTGTAAAATCTTTTTGATTCTAAACTAATATTTATATTTTATTAGCGTGATTAGTGTTTTCCATTAATTATGTGGTGTAGTCATCACAAATCACAGTACATAACTCGTTTACTGTTGTGTCGGCACGTACCTCGAATAAATAATATTCTAACTTCGAATCCAATTTATGCCAAATGCAAATTAAAAAGTCGAAATTCAAATATCTCCACACTAAACTATAATATGAATTGCTCACCCGTTGGATCGGTCTGCCTGACATCTCACCGGGCTGATATTTCTTCCTCGTTGTGATTTTGCTCTGCTTTAATATCGTTTTATGAATAATTGAACATACCTTAACATCGTTCTCTGTTTCATTGTTTTACCCCTTCTTTCTGCAAATAACAATTATTTTGTTGGTTTAATAATAACCATCACATTTCTATTAAAAAAAAAACTCTACATTATTTTGTAAAATATATGATTTCTAGTTTTTTTGTCAACAATACAGTGTACGTACGATTTCTGTTTATCATGCTATTTTTGCTGTCGTTGATAAAATATTTTCTATTCAAATGCTTAATGTAATTTAAATTACAAACACTATGTTTTTAAAAGTCATACAGTTTGATAGAGAACTTTTGAGCAGTAAGATAAAGCGTACACTTAGATTAGAAGTATATCATTTGAAATACAAGAGAGAGCAAAGAAATATCTAGAGAAAGAATTCACAAAAGATCTATAGTTGATAGTTATTCGTCTGCCATAGCATTTACGACCTCGGCTCCTTCAATTACTCACCAATTACCATAGTCTCTTGCATTTTTTTCATAGGTCTTGAGATAGTTATATAGCTAATTTTTACAAGAAAACTAATGTTTGTATACGTATATATACACATATATATATATATACAAACACACGTAAATAATAAAGCTACAATTAAAAAAGAGTTTGTCAATATGCTCAATTAATTTAATTGTTTTTTTTTTTCTACAATTTTAAACTGTTTCAATACTTGTATTAACACGAGATAGGGTTGAAACGGTCCACTCCAAAATTACACTATTAATGTAATTGTCTGAGATGTTTTTTGGTTAACGTATTTTGTATAAATTGAAGTATTTTACCATATCTAGAAAAGGGTCTTTATCGACCAAATGAGAAAGTTTCTAGTCTATATATGTTCGATGTTAAGGTATTTCAATTATTCATATCATGTCACCCTTAGAACAGGTGTACCATTTTCCTTCTTATATGTATAGAATCAAGTTCTATCGTCAATCGTTACATAGCCATAAATAAAAATAAGTTATAAAATACAGATATTTTATCGCAGTAAGTTATCTTTAATTTAATGAAGTTAGAATTGTCATTATCAAATGTTTGGGTCGAAGGAGACGATTTCCAATGATTCTTTTTTTATGTAATGTCAACTTGTGACGTTGGTCGCTTTCTAACATCAAATGATAGATATTTGTTAGAAGTTCTTTAGTATTTAATCAATTTATTTTATACTGAGAATAATACATAATCGATGGTTCAGTGGCTTGCCATCTGTGTTATATTGGGTCACCACCCAATGTTCAACTAGTTTCTTATATATGATTGGTAGGCTACGAAGATTATTAGATTGCCATTAAAAGAAAAACATTCAAGCTCACTTTTTATTGGATTTTGTTTGTTCGGAGATCGATATACAATGATACCCGAGATGTATAGAGGACGTATAAGTGTTTTCTTGTAATATCAATTGAAAATGCTAAAGTACGTAATTAAACAAAATAAACTAATGAACTAACAAGTTTCTATGATAAAAAATAGTATGGAAAACTTTTTCAAAAGATTTACTGTGATTTTAACGTATAGTATACATATACTCAAAATCATGGATTCAAATAAAAAATTATAGCTTTTAAAAAGTTGTAAATGAAATATATCGTCGTTGTAGTCCTGCTCGTAAGTTACAAATTAGATCCAAATGGTAGCAAAAACAAAAGTTAAAGAAAATAGTTTCCTTGTGTGGACTGTTTAACATACATTTTGATTAACTGGTAGACATCATGAGTTTCCTCCTCTAAACGTGAAAGAGATAGCTTCGAAGTCCAGCATGATAGGTTTCAGGGATAGCCATGGATCTTCTAGGGATATTGGACCACATTTTAAGAATCAATTCCAGTATAACATCGACCGTCAATCTTAGTCATTCTGATTTTGAAATTGAAGAATGATCATTAATTTTAGTAAGCGAAATAGGGTCAGGCTGATCAGTCCATATTAGTGAATTAGGCTCTGCATCAGGAGAGTTTGAGTTGGGCTTTCTTAGATAAAACCCAAACAGGTCCATCTAGGCCCAAATTTGGATCCTTTTAGGCCGTTTATGTAATAATATCAGAAATTTTGACATTGTCTTCGCCAACTAATCTCCAATTTTTTGGCAATTTATCATTGACATTACGGACTAGTTAGTATCAGTGCCACTATCACACTTGAGTGCAAACTATATAAGCCAATTTTTGTTTTCTTAAATCATGGACTGTAATTGACTAAATGAAATGTCAGCCTAAATAAAAAAGGAAGGGAGAAACTTTGGCGAAAAGGAGAGCAAAAGCAAAAGGTAGGAGAGAGACTAGAAAAGAAACGGAGAAAGACTTTCCGTAGAAGGAAAATGGCGATCGGAGAAGAACTCCCTCCATGAACATTTGACAGGTTCTCTCTCTGGTCGTCTTTGGATCATGAATTTTTTATAGTCACACTAAGTTTTTGACAAATTTTAAGGTAAATCGTTTTCTTTTTGATGGAATATAATATTTTCATAACTAGGTGTACAAAGTCCATCGGAGGCTTAGTAACTTGGTCATGAGCAATTTGTAAAACAAGAACACGGTAACGAGAAACAAGCTGATCGTGGGGAGGATGTATACCACAAGATTCACAACCCGTGCTACTTATTCATCTCCAAAACCATAGAGAATCTCAGCAACTTTATTTATTTTTCACAACATTGCCAATTTTAAAGTAATGAGTAATGATACTAATGATGGATTTTAGATGTTTTCTTCGAGAAAAGCTTTACTTCTACGAACAAAATATATATATAAAAAAAAACAAGTTAAAAATGACAATTTCCTTGTCTAGCATCTATGTAATAAATAAATGTAGCTAGCTTTGGATATTCCTAGTTAATTTTTTGAAAAAATGGCAGGCATCAACGTCAGAGCGATGTCACCGTAGGGTTGGTCTTGTTGCACATTTATAAGTCCTCTAGACTTCAATACCTGTAATCCAAAAACAACCCGTCTCAGTTAGAGGCAATGCAGAGAGAGAGAAAAAAAAAGTAAAGAATCTGTGTTGAGAATCAATTACCAGTGTCTCGAAGAACATTCGAGCAGCTAGCTTCCTTGTCTTTCCTGCCAAGATCTTGCTCAAACTTAGATCTCCAGAAGAATATCTTGAACTGGGACTACCTGAAGAACGTTCTTTAAGAAACTGAGCCAAGGCTCTGCAATGATCAAATGAATGTGTTACAAGTTAGTAGAGAAACAGTAGGTTCTTAAAGAAGCTACATGGTTTTTGGAATCTTTATACCTCGTTCTCCCTGTCAAAGCATCAGAATCTTGACTATCTGGTGATCTCAATGGGGTATTGCCACCTACCTCCAAGAAAGAAAGTTCCTGTATAACACAGGCAAAATGGTATTGCTATCAATGTTAGAAAAAGCACCTAAGAATGGTAAAAACAAAACATTCGAAAACGTGAGAACAAACCTCGTCCGCCATTTCAGGAATAGCTGAAATCCCCGAGCTCCTTAGTCCAGTCTGATCCTCTGGATATGTGGAAGTCGAAGGCTCTGTCCTATAAGACTCTGGCTCCAGAATTTCAGGCTGAGTGGCGAAGTCATCGATTCTCGAAGGTGAAAATCTTGGAGGTGGAGACGGCATGAACTCAGGGTAACCACCATCCCTTAAATGTTCGACTCCCATGTCATCATTGTTAAATGTCTGAGGAGATTGTGCTTCTGGTGCCACAGATTCTGCCTGTGCAGATTGAGGATTTGCAAATTCTTGGACATCTTCAGTTTGCTGACCTGGAGACAGATGAACTGTAGTGTCTGGAATAGTAGAAACAGGAACCGTAGATTGTGGAATTGGAGAGGTCGGGTTATCTTCTGTTTCACCTTCTCGAGTCGGAGATGATACATTTGCAGGTTCTGGAACAGCTTCATCAGAAACAGCAAGATATGGCTTTGAAGCTACACAGTCCTTTTCAAAGACGCTGCGTAAAGCATCTGACATGCCTGCGGATAGACATAGATAAGTAATAAACGTTCTTCAAAAAACAAATGGCAAAAGAAGGTAAAACCGTCGAAAACAAAGGAAAGAATCACTGCAAAATTACCAGTATACAAGGGCTCATTGAAAATTTGATCTTTCTTCGATTGATTATTCATTCTCCAGATATTCAAATTAGATAAAGGCATCTTCTTTCTCTTACGAAGAGTATCACTAGGATCCTCAAGCCTTGCTCTCATGTTCCTGTCCAAATTCTTTGATCAGTATACAACAGGTAATGAAATAGCCAAAGTCACAGGAATCAATGGAAAAGTTACTACCTGTTGGTTAAAACTGTGACTTTATCAAAATACTTCCTCTTCCTTGGCCTTGATTGTGGTTGGGGAGGAGGAGTTGGCTGAAGAGCCAGTTGAGGTGATGGATGCACTTACAACCATTAAAAAAAAAAAAAACAAATAACAAAAGCATTTTAGATAAGTGATAAAAAGTAATACAGTGGTCAATCATAAAATTATCAGACTATGTTGTTTACTCACAAAAACTTTCACGTTCTTCCTCCGAACCAGCAAAACCTGGAGATCCTGAGCGAAGCTCAAACGTCGTATGTCCTCTAGAATCCAACACTTCTTCATCAATATTAGGCATAGTGGTTTCCTTCTCATTCAAAGTTTCATCTAAAGGTTCAGTCTGTTGTTCTGCAGCAAATGGTGGATGGGACGCAGGGCTTAAATCATGCGCAGCATCACGTCTTATCTCAATCTCGGGAACACTTCCAGGAGAAATGGCATTGCCTCTCTCCGGACTGGCATTGAGCGCTTCTGTCAAGTTACTTGGTCTAGGATCCTGGAACTCAGGGATTTCCTCTGTGTCGTTACGAGGACCATAGGTTCCAGTGTCTAGACCAACATTGATGTCTCCTGGCTCATTGTTTGGTTCTGCCTCATAAGCCATTTCAACATCAGTATCTCCAGGAAGCGCACTCGCAGGTACTGTGGATTGGCTGCTTAAATTAAAAAGATGTAACCACATTATAAAAAAAATATATCCTTGAACAGATAAGGAAGAGAAACAAATAAGTGTAGTAACTCTATGAAGAGACTCACTCAACATCCATCGGGCTAGATTGTGGAATGATGTCCTGTAAGAAAGATATACAAACTTTCCTTCAATAACAAGTTCTTGGAGACATGAAAACCGCTAGTCAAAATCAACTTCAAAGTCATAAAGACAAAAGCAGGAAACTCACCTCATCGAATGTTATAGCAACATAAGGATCAATTCCAGTAGGAATTTGACCTGCAAAATCAGTATCGGCATCATAAACACTTCGAATCATGGTATGATGCATCTACAACAAAATAAAATAAAAAAACGTGCAAAAGGGTACCTGTGAGGGTGATTTCTTCCTCACTCCGAAGATGATTATCAAATTCCCTAGGATTGACAAGAACAGATATTATATAATGTTAAGACCTCTCAAGCTTTATTAAAGATCAAAATCCAGCAAAAAGTGAAAAAGATAGATACCCCTCAAGTCTGTAATCCTCCAAGTCGAAGTCGTCTAGGTTTAGTGCTTGAGGCAAAGTCACTGACTCAACCGGCGCCTGCCTCGCATCCTCAGGCAAGTCAACTTGAGTGGAGAGGAAAGCCTTAGCTAACCAAGTGCTAAAGAGATTACAGTCACGGAAAAGATAATCTACTTGCTTTGAATATATTCGCACAACCCCAAGTAGAAGGACGCCTGACAATCTCAATGCCAGTGGTACCTCTGGAAACATTATAAGATCTGCAAAGACATTTACATACTGATTAATCAACAATCCTGCATATGATCAATCATTTCAAACCCAACCAAAACCAGAGAGAGAGAGAGAGAGAGAGAGAGAGAGAGAGACAGAGCGAGTGTTCAATAAACAAAAACTATCGAAAAGTCGAAACTTTTACACAAAACAGTAGTTTTTATGATTGCCCATTTCAAGAATAATCATAATTGAGCGGAATTAATGTTGAATTTTCAAATTGGAATTACAAATCAAAAGAGATTGGAAATAAAAAAGCGAACTTTGATCAAAAAGCAAAAACGAAGAGGAAAGACGAACCAACTGTTTTGGGGATGTTAGTGGCAGTGTAGTGAGACTTCTTGAGGCGATGTTGCAAGTGAGCAGCGCACCATACCGTGCCCAATGGACCCTTTCGAGCCAAATGAGTCTGCGAATAAAACATTTTTCTTCCTTCAAATATACTCCGATGGAGAAATCAAGCAAACAAGCAGAGAGCAAAGTTCTGCCGAATCGCGTTGAGAGAGTATAATTATCGAAGGTTAGAGAAAACTAGTCAGTTTCGAAGACAGGGACGAGGAGGTTAGGGTTTATTAATGTGATTTTGGAGAAGATGAAGAGATTTTGGTGGCGCGGGAAAATATTTGGTGGCGCGATGTTGAATTGTAGGAAAAAGTTACGTGACAAGTTTCGCTGATAATAAAGGGGTAAAATTCGGGTGGTTAATTTGGGCCATTAAACCCAATAGCCAAATTTTCGGATTATTGGGCTAAGGGGGTATATTTGGAAATTTGGGTATATGACACACCTAGGGTTTTCTTCTTAAACACAGAATATTTAGGGTTCTCTGTTTTCTTTCCCGAAGGTGGTGTTCTCTTACTGGAAGAAAGTTGCAGCCACAAAATCAGATCCGAGAATGGTAATTTCTTCGTCCTCTCTTAATTCTCACCCTTCATTGAAGCTTATGTATTTGAATTTGTATTTCATTTCTGCGTTTTAGGTCATTAGTGTGTTCGTAATGCGACTAGGATTTTGGTGAAGCTGTTTTAGATGAAAGTAATCTCTTTTCATGGGTTATCGTGTTTAATTTCGAATAATCTAGTAGATTAAGAATATTCCTCGTCATTGATTTATTGGGTTTAAGTTTCTTTTGAATGTTTAGCAGTACATCATGCACAAACATTTTGCTTACTCTTCTCGTTTGTTTTCAATTGAATTTTCTGATCCAATTCGAGACTATGAGTTTGTATTGAATAAAAGTGGCGTTTTTGAATTGATATGTGTAGCCTAAGCAAATCCACGAAATCAAGGACTTCCTTCTGACGGCGAGAAGGAAGGATGCTAGGTCTGTGAAGATTAAGAGAAGCAAAGACATTGTGAAATTTAAGGTCAGGTGCTCAAGGTACCTCTACACACTATGCGTCTTCGACCAAGAGAAGGCTGATAAGCTTAAGCAGTCACTTCCACCAGGTTTACAATCTCTTCTCTCTCTCACCCTCTTGTTTAAGTGTGTGTGATACATGTATCAAATCAATTGAAACCTCTTCGATCAAAACATTGTTCGATTTTACTAGGGTTTCATTAATTTCAATACTTGGAAACTTCTTCAATTATAACTGTATTAGATTGTATGAAATATGGGACATATGCACTTGTGTATGTATATCATTTTAGTCTTTAGATTTTAGCATCTGTGAGTGTCCTATACTTGTAAGCAAGCATGTGTATATGTATGTTCCTCCGTGTGAACGTCAGTTTGACATAAGTATGTTGGAAAATTAAAATGTTGGGAGTTTATTGACATATCTTTATTTTCAGGTTTGAGTGTGCAAGACCTTTGAAGATCTTTTAAAATCGGGGCATGTCGATCCTATGCGTTGAATTTGATACTCCGATCTCATGGGTGGTTGATTTTGTCTTTTGCTTTTGGTGCTGTCTTTTGATTCAGACTTTCCTTCTTCTTTGTTAACTCGAAAACATTAATGCGTTGGAATTGTATTTTGCTATATTTTTTTGGCTATTATAGTTATCTGCTTATTGATAGCGTCATTGCATCACGTTTCCTACAGCGCTAACTTCATTGCTAATCTTAGAATCTCTGAATCGCTCGTAACGAATTGATTGGACGCCCAATTTTGTCAAAAAAAAGCAAACAAAATCATACTATTATTTCTGATCACATATGCGCTGCTATGCCTTAATCAAAATGTAACACTAGCATTTTGCAAAGAGTTATAACTGATTTATATATTACGTAAGCATTTTGTTACCAACTCCTACATGTTTGTAACTTTTCCATTCATTTTGATCAGCCAAATAATTTTATTTTGGAAAACAAAAAAAAATTGTGTTTTTTCTTGATTGTTTGCGTACACTATTCAATGACTGAAAAAAAAGACACAACTTGAAGGGCAATCTATGCATCAGTTCACATAACATAAACAAAAAGGCAAACAACAGTCCAATGGACTCCAATCAAAACGGAGAGACGTGAGTTACAAGGAGATGATTTGGTCTAATCATCATTTGTTATATATATTGTTTCTTCATCCTCATGAATGTTGAATAAAGAAGATATTACTTCCAGGAGCTAACAACTACAGATCAAAGTTGTTTATTAATTCATTTTGTTAATGGATAAGGCAAAGTGGCAATATGGTTATGAGCCACTGTTCCAATCCAAAGCTTCCCTTCAACCTCCCTCACTTCACTCACCAGCTTCATTACCTTGCCTTGTCTATCCTCAAACACCTCCAAGACCTTACCTTCCTCGTCGAATTTTGATATCACAGTGTACATTCTCATCCCCATCGCTTTCGCCAGCAGCTTCATAGGTATTGGCAACCGAAAATAGATGTTCTTTATCCAAGGGTTGTTGGTAAGAATCTCTTGTGCCGGTGTTCTGCAACAGTCTATTGCAACCCAAAACTGACCCTTGTCGTTTATTCTTACATTATCTGGGAATCCCGGTAGATCTGCCACCACCTCGACTTCACCAGTCTTTGAACCTTCCAGCCAGTATTTTACCAACCTGTCAAATACATATTGAAAAAAGAGAATCAGAAGATGCAGCGTTTAGGGAGAGAAAGATCGAGTCTTTCTTGAATGTGAAGGGTTGTTTATATGGTTATACCTGCAATTAGTTGTTTCTGTGAAGAGAAGGAAAGATTGGTCTTTAGAGAGCTGAATACCATTGGGGAATGCCAGACCATCGAGCACAATGTGTGTTGTTTTGGTAGGTGGGTCATATCTTAGAAGCCTTCCTGTTGATTCTCCTTCGAGTAATATGAAGAAATGATTCCTACAAATCACAAAGTCTAATTCTTTATATGATACAATTTTACCCCCAAAAAGCAAGAAAAACAGAGTAATTTTGCTTTATGAAAACTTACGCTCTGTCGTATCTTTTGCTTGTGTCGGTAAAGAAGATGGAGCCATTTCTATGGATGTCAAGATCGTTGGCAAAGAGTATAGGTTTTCCTTCCACATGAGTAGCTAAAGGCGTAGCCACCCCTCCTTCAGGACCAACCACTAGTAGTCCGTAGTAAGCGTCTGCAATGTACAAATTTCCTGTCTCCTTATGAAATCTCAGACCAAGAGGTCGGCCACACAGCTTCTCGTGCTTCCATTGCTTGTTTGTTGTTGAATCCACACCTCTTACGCAAGCCTTCTCTGACCTAACTCTCATGAACACAACAACATCCATAAGAGAAACTGAAACAATCATTAAAGTGATGAATATATAGATATATAATAAGCTTTACCATTTTGATGTTACAACGGAAAATGTCTCCCATCCGATTGCTTCACCCATCCATCTAACCACCCTTCCATCAGCCAAACCTGTGTATGGACCACGACCTAAACTATCAAACTCTAATGACTCTGGACCAAATACTTGGTCCACAAACTCCAGTTTCCCATGATGACCCAGTTGGCTAAGGTTGTCTCTTGGCCAGTTTTCCATGACTTGCTTGTATGGAGCAACCTCATGCTTCACGGGTTTGAACTCACGACCTCCGATTGGACTTATGTGAAAGGGGTCGATCGCTATGAAAATTACAGACAAAGCAATGATACAGAGAATCGGGTGATGAGTCAGCAAGGAGTCATATGTTGTACCATGCTGACCTTTCTTCTCCATCTGAAGTGCACAAAAATCAAGATCAGATTCCCCTGATCAATGTACAGCTTATATAAGAAATATAAAGAATTGTGGTTGTGGAGAAGTAGGGGGTAATAATGCAGATCTTGTGAATGAAAATTGGGTTGAAAGTAGGTTCAATGGAAATGAACAACTAGTCAAATGTGGATCTAAGTTAGACTACTCTGATACCAAATACAATTGTCGTGACTCTATTTGAGCTGTAAATCATCCAACCTACAACTTCTCATAAATAAAAACTTGAAATGTGAATCCGCGACTGTTCTACTCTACCCTTTTCTTACCTTCTTTTCTGCAGAAAACTTCATCTAGTAACCTTGTGAAATTGCAAGAGTGCAAATGATAAAACAGATACATTATATCAAAGAGGAACGAGTAAAACAAGAATATTTGGTAGCATGCTTTCATTATGAAATAAATATCAAGGTCACAAATGAGGAAACATGTCTAGTGGATGGAATCTTTAGGTAAGACATGTGACATTTTCGCAACTATACATGACAAAATAATTGACTGTCCTATTCATCTGTCATGTTGCCTAAACAACACTAACTTGATTAGACGAGGAAGCCTTCTCTCAATCACCACATTATGCAGGACGCATTCCATCAAACAGTTCAAGCAAGCCTTAATGATCTGTTAAACGCAATTGGAACTGCAGAAGCTTGGTTACCAACTCTCGGTCTTCATCTACTACCTCGATGACAAGAACGTTGTTCCCAAACACAATATTGACCTTGAAACTGAAATCAGACAACTTCCACTCCACTAAGAGGAACTGCACTGGCTTGCAAGGTCCGGCCGTTTCCAATAAACCTCACCGAGGGTAAAGAAGCATCAGTAAGCGATTCAATCTCAAGAAAACTGAAATCATAAGCACCAGACTTCTTTAGACTGAAAACAAACACAACAATTATCCAACCAAGCATAGTAAGAGCCCAGTAGTTGTTCATTCCGCCAATCAGACCCCACGAAATGGCGTAGCCAACCAAGATTCCCGACAGATGTCCCAGAAAACTAGCTTGCGGAACAATGATAGAAGTGAAAATGAGAGACTCGAAAGGCGCAAAACTAATGGGAAGAGACAAAAGCCCAAACAGATCAAGCTTTGAAGAAGGTTGCTTCACAGAGAGAATCGTCATCCAACCAAACACAACGCAAGAGTACCCAACAGCTGTAACTCTCCGGAAATAATCGACCTTGAATCTAGCAATCAGCAAATGGTAGATCCCAATAACCAAAACACCAGAGAACACGACAAGAACAAGAGTGTAGTGGAGGTAATAAGCCGTTCCAAGACCTAAATGCCCTAGCTGTTCCACAACACCGAGACTCCAAAGAGCACTCATGTTAAAAACGAGATGCAAGACGCTAATATGTGAGAAAGCAGAGGTAATCATCCTCCAGTAATGCCCTTCAATCGCAGTGTCGTAACTCAATCCAACTTGCGAGTACCCAATACTCTTCTTCTGGATCACAAACCAGATTAGACTACATATCGTCACGATGCAGCTTGTTGCGGGTTTCTCGATGATATCATAAAACAAAGGTCTTCCCATTCTATAAAACTTGAAATCGAGATCGCAAGTAAGCGATAATAAACCCGATGCTGAATTCACTCCTCCAAATCAACAGAATCAACAAGGAGCTTGAAGCGATGAGGAATAAATCTGTCTGGATAGAAGCAGATCAATACACAGATCTGAAATTAAGGACTTTTTTCCGAAAAGCAGTGACCTTTTAGCTACTCCCGGCGAGCAAACTCTGTATTCTCCAGAAGGATAAAGAGAGATCTTTTATTTTCTTCCTTGGGAATTGATTCGATTCCTGGCGTTCGCGCTAACTTGTTCCAGATAGATCTTCTCAGGAGAAATCGAATCAGAAAATTTCTGTCTTTGTCGCCTTGACTTATGGTCCTGGGCCTAAGTATGGGCCTCGGCCTCTCACCGTCAACTTTTGATCCGGATATCATAAAATGTCCAAGTTTTATGGGAAGAGGAAAATGTTATTCTCAAATCTCAATGTTATTATACTAACTAAATAGACAAGAAGTTAAAATCCCAAAAGACACTATAATACTATATATTTAGGAGGTTAGAATCCCAAATCCAAAACAAAGTGTTAAGAAAAAGACAAATGAGAATCTGTGGATGTGAAAAACATGTGGGCTAATGATCCCACCTCTGTTTCCTTTCCATCAAGTCAAGATTCCGATCGTCTTCTTAAATGTGAGATTCAGAGTAAATGGCCATTAGAACCAAACTTAAGGTTTTGATTAGTGGTGAGAGTTAGGTCATTCCAAAAAAGAGAGAATTCTGGCTCCTAAGTTGTTCATTTTAATCCCTATGATTTTAAGATGATATTTCACGTCAATATATTATATATCACTCAATTTGGACAATATTTTAAAAAATTAAAACAGATTTTAAGATGATGTTGCTAGACATATCACTTGCTATGGGATATAAAATTGGGTGCATTCTACCTCGCTTTGTTGTTATCCATCACTGAAGTTACAACGAAACAAAAACCACAATCGCGTAACACTTGATAGTAATATTAATATTGGGATATTTTTTTGATCCTCTTAAAAATTTACAAACTAAAAACAAAACAAAATATATGTATATATAGAATGTGAACATTGAGTTTTCAATTTCTAGAGAGATTATAAAATAAACCCCTGTCTATGAAATATGAAACTAATACATTTCATTCACATATAAAATTCTGTAAAACATTATTTATAAGTAATCCATCCATAACTAAACAGATAGGAGGATAAAAAAATGATATATAGATATAATAAAACATTCGTTTAGCTTGAAGCTCCTCGTTGAAGGAACCATTTATTTTCTCATAAACTTTATGAGCCATCGATTTAGAAAAATAAAAACTTTTGCCCTGGAGGCGGCTTGACCTTGACATGATTCCTGGCCTCGACTTCTGTCACGATCATCGTTACCATCATCATTACGATGATGAAGGATGCAATCAGGGTTTTCTTTTCGATAGCCATTGTTTATTAAGCTCTTAAATGGTTCTTGTTCTTGTTTTTTGTTTTTTAAATGTTTTTAACAGTTTTAGATTAACTGACCGACGTATTTATATGTAAAACCAATCTTCTATATATAGTGAACTCCTAATTTTAAAATTTCGTGGAATGTTTCAATTGTCTTTTCTTAGATATTGCTCAAATGATTCACTAACCTTTTTTGAGATCGAAATCCAAAATAGTATTGGATAATAATGTCTTCTAATTTTGTCATGTAAATTTTACAATAACGGGAGAAAATAGTAAAAAATAATAATAACCACTAATTGTTTTTTTTCCATAGAAATTGCGTTTTTAGTTTAGACACATGATCACACACAAAATTAAGAAAATTATAATAATACAAATATAATCGTATTTAGTATGCAAATGAGATAATGACTTAAATTTCAAGATAGCATTGGGCAAAGGGGAAAATGATTTCAAACTAATTATGAGGTCGGTCCATATTTGGTTTACATGTAGATTATTATTAATAGGCGCTACAAAGATGTGAATCTCACCAATAACATACCAAAAAATCTTTGAAGCATGTTAGATCCCAATTAGGTTCAACACGAAGACCTTCTTCTTCTTCTTACAAGACCACTCTCTTAAAAAGAAAAGGTTCCATCTTCCATTCACGTTAAAGAAGAACCATAACAATGGCTGCCAAAACACAACCATCTTCTTCTTCCTTACTACTCATGTCCTTGTGCTTGCTACTTGTTTCAACCATTGTCCCTTCATCAGTTCTCTCAGCCACTCTTCGTTCCGACATTCAAGCTCTAGAGTCTATCATACGCAGCATTGATCCAAGTTCCATCTCCCCTTCCTCTTACCTCAGCACATGGGACTTCTCTGAAGACCCCTGTGAAGGCGCAGGGACGTTCTTGGGAGTTATGTGTTCTTTCGACCCTCTTGAGAACACGACGAGCCGAGTCACAGAGATCGATCTTGATGATGACGGTTATGACGGTTTCCTCTCTGATGCAACAGGAAACTTAACCGAGCTCACTGTCCTTAGCCTCAACAGGAACAGATTCCGTGGTCCAATACCAGAAACTGTGTTCCAACTCAGGAAACTCACCAAACTCTCTCTCTCTGGAAACTTCTTCACGGGAGACATATCCCCAGGAATCACGCGGCTCAAGCAGCTCAAAACCATAGACCTGTCAAGAAACAGCATCGCCGGTGAAATCCCTCCAAGAATCTCAGCCTTGAGAAGTTTGACTCACCTGATCCTTTCAAACAACCATCTCGATGGAAGAATACCTGCGCTCAACGGCTTGTGGAAGCTACAAGTGTTAGAACTCGGTAACAATCATCTTTTCGGGATGCTTCCTAAGCTTCCCCCAAGTCTAAGAACTCTATCCATCTGTTTCAACAGCCTTGCAGGACGTATCTCGCCTCTGCATAGGCTGAAACAGCTTGTGTCACTAGATGTGAGCCAGAACAGATTTTCAGGCACCATTGGCCATGAAATCCTTACATTTCCAGAGATTTCACGCATCAACGTGTCATTTAACCAGTTCATATCCATAGAGGTTATTAAGGTTACAGGCATGGAATCCCGCCTGCGCATACTTGACGCTGAAGGAAACCATTTACAGGGTCACCTTCCACTGAACCTGGCAACTTATGGGAACTTGAAGGATATCAATCTACGGAGCAACATGTTCTCCGGGGATATTCCAAGGATCTATGGGAAAAGACTTGAGAACTCATGGAGAAGCTTATACTTGGAGAACAACTATCTGACAGGATCACTTCCTGAGGAGTTTCAAAGGATCTCTAAACAGATCAGAGGAAGCCTTTCGAATAACTGTCTGCAGTGTCCGAAGAATGTTCCAATCTGCCAAGGAGTACAAAAGCCAAAATCACAATGCACCAATGCAATGCAGGAGGAATTGGAGTAGAGATCATGCGCATGGGAAGCAGATTCTATTAGAAAGCATAATTCTCACAGCTAAGTTCATGTCCTTGTTTGGTTTTAATCAATGGTAGAAATGTAGTCTATGAAAAAAAAATGAGATTCAAAACAGAAGATAAAAAGAGAGATGTGTATTTGAGATAACATTTTCTTTCACCATATTATCTTTAACAGACGTCTAAAAATCCAAAAAAACCCCTCAACTACCATACCTCCATCAGGAGTGTATTCCAGCTACATAACATCAGTGGTGTTTTTTCACAACATTGTAAACATAATGCATTTTCAAAAGAGCCAATTTACACTAATGTTACCCAGCCAGATCAAAAGAGGAAACTGCGCTAAAGCTACAAATATCAAGAGGTAGTGATGCCTGCTTGAGTCATAACTCCTAGCTTCCGCAAAGAGAACTCGCTTCATTGTCTTCACCAAGAAAACCCCGGTGCATAAGCAGGTCCACGGAATCAAAACATAGTAAGAGTACCCCCAGATTATCTTGCCAAGAACAGCTAGACAGAGTCCCGTGAAAGTATAGCCTGCATATGCCACAATGTCCAAGAGGGGTGCTTCGCCGCTACCCAATGAAAGCAATGTTATCTTCAGTAGCATGACTTGCAAAAACCAGCCAACCATTCCTTTCACAAAAAGCCAATTCAGAGCTTCCGGAGTAAACCTAGAAGATTTGGATTCACCATAAGGAGTTGAAAAAAATACAGTCTAACATACATATAAATGAACAGATATAAAATAAATAAATAAAGAACTTACTTCCCATAGAGTCCCAGTGACAAACCAGCAAGAACAACATAAGTGCCAAAGGCCATAAGCGGAATGTATAAGTCTGGTGCATTTATATCATATATCGGGGGCTTGTATGAAAGTCTACCCCCAACTGGTTCTGAGATTCTAGTCCAGTGCCCCTGATGTTGCAGCCAAACTCATATGAGAAAGACCCAAAATACGAAAAAAAAAAACATTTCAAAAAAAAAAAAGATGATCCTTATTTACCCTGTGAAGGAATGGAAATAGAACAATCTTCAACTTGTTCCTCACATATTGGTCATTCACTTGAAAATAGTATTGGGGATCGGAGAAGTAACGAGTAATCTGTTTATACCAACCAGTTAACAAAAAAACGAAAGGCCAAGTTCTGAACACATGGGAAAAAGCTAGAGACACAGGGTTTACTTACGTTGCTCTGCACATACTCAGAGCTAGATCCGAAAATTTTCTCCCCGTAAGCTCCCAAGCCACTTCGGATAAGTCCAGAGCCAGGTCCAGAGAAGGCATTCCCAAACGGGTTAGGCTGAGGATTTGCCTGAGGCATTGGCATCCCAGGCTGAGGTCCCATGTTATTATACATCTCTGCAATTCAAACCAAAACCAGCACAAAGAGCTTACATTAGGTAATTGATTAATTCCAAAGTTCATCTCCAAAACTTCTTTGCATCTCTGATTCTTGTTTAAGAGCTTTCATAGCTTAACGATCCAACCATCAAATGCCCGAAATCCCAGAAAAGAAAAAAAAAAACCATAACCAGTATATATATTGCTCAATCCAAACAATTTGTTCTTCTATTTTCTATAATTTACTTCAAATGGTCCGAGCCTAGAATCAGAATTCACCAAGCAAACCAGAAAATACGACATTGCTAGTCTAGGTTTTGCGACTAAACGTGCAAGGGAGCCTAGATTTCGGCAACAGAAAAGAGCATTTGTTCAACAAAAAAACGCAAGAAAACCCCAATAATTTGAACCGAAACAGAAAGAAAAACGAAGATAAACACAACGAGAATCGAAAATTGCTAACAAGGAAGAGCAATCAGAATCGAATGACGAAGAATAAAGGCAGACCTGGAGGAAGCTGTGAAGGAGATAATAGATCTAGAGCTTTGATTTGATTAGTGCGCCGGCTAAGTTCCTGTGGAACGAAGTGAAGAATACCATAGATCCGAGGTGGAAATTGGCAAATAACGAAAGCAAGGTCGTGTGAAGCCTCTTGTTCGCACGTGTGAGAATAGGTTGCTCTTCTAGTCTTCTTCATCACCAGGCCAATGACAATCCGACACGTTTGTCTCATTATACGTTTTTTTCATTTTCGAGTAGTAGTTGTATAATTCTCTTAGATCATATTATTAAATTTGGAAATAGTCACATGAATATTTTGCAACCCAAAAACTTTATACTAACTATTCTTTTTCCAACATTTCGATTTTACATTTTTGTTATCACACCACATTGTTAAATTTGAATCCCTACGCATTATAACAGAACAATAACATAGATACAATACACTAAAGACTAAACTATATACTCACTCTTAATCTAAAAGTGAGATTTAGATAGTTTATACTACTAATTACCTTTTTTAATTTCTTTAATATTAAGAAAGCTTAAGGTTCTAAAATTAGAAAAAATAAGTTCAGGGTTCTTAATGCAAAAACATAAAAGTTCAGGATTTGTATTGAAATTTTTTCGTTATGAAAAAAGCGTCCAAGCCATGAGAAGTGAAAACGAAGCAGGAAGTGATTCTCGCTTGAGAAGAGAGAAAGTTTCAGTCTTTTTTGGCGAGATGGAGGTTCCAAGCTCTGAGGAAATACTTCAGTTTCTGAGCTCTTGTCTCTCTCAGATCAAATGGCGACTCAAGCCCACTTCCAAACGCCGCCTCGAAATAGGTTTCCTTCTTCCCCGCGCATTGATTCCTCTTTCTTTTTTTTTCTTTTTTTTTTCCTTTTGTTCTTCTACTGTTCGAGTCTTGTGATTCAGTTAAATTTGTCTGATATCGTACCTTTTTTAATTTCTAAAGGAGCGAAACAAAATGATTCTTTAGATTTCATTTACTATCTGATCAAAGTTTTGTTTGAGATCCTAAAAAATAATGCCAATTTTGCATTTGGCTTGCTGGGTTCGTCATATCCACTCCATATTAGAGATAAATCACCAGAAAGTTTGAACTTTTGGCATCATAGATAGTTCAAATATCAATACTAGACTCTAGTATGATCTCAATTTTCCATATGCTTGAATCTGTAAGCGATGCTTAAACGGGTTTCTTGGATCAGATGTTCTTGCATTGTGCACGGGAATGAGACCTGTCGTGATGATTGACTATGGTGGAAAGATGCCTGAGCTACAAGATCGCTTGCTTTCGCTCCTTGCACTTATCCAGGAGGTTAGACTCTACTTCTTCTTCAAGCACATTAGTACTTGGGTATGTCTGTAGCTGATCTTATTACTCTGCTTGTGTCCTCTGTGTTGGCATTTCTCTAGGGTTTACCAGTTTTCAAAGATCTGAGGGTTATGGTTATAGAGGATATGATTTACCTGATAAATGTAAGAAGACTGCCCAAGTTTGTAAGTTCCAGCTTGGATTCAGAACCCGAATTGTTCTTCGTCGACCTGGAACAAGATCCTCCAAAGGTTGTTCCTTTTATAAAGCTTCCGTGTTTTTTTTCAGTGGTTTTTCTTTTTATGTTCCATCTCTAATTGGTCAGTCTTGCTTTTGTTTGTTCAAGATGGTAGAACAAAGCAAGGAAAGCAATCTAGTGATGCAGCTTAGATCGATTCAGAAGCTATTCTCCTCGACATTTTCTTTAGATGGGAGCACTAATAATAATATCCCAGCACTTGATGATGCCAACTCTTCTCAGTCTTCTTTATGCATTGATCTTAGTTGTTGTTTACAAGACACTAAGGTTACAATCCCAACCTTAAACGGGTAGTTCTCAAATCTAACTCTTCATTCATTTACCATATATTATCTTAGTTTATCAAGCCGTGAAGTTTGGAGTTCAATCTCTGTTTGCAGATGGCTCCTGGACTATCCGGTTGTGTATTTATTCGGCACAGATCACATAGAAGATGCAATCTACAACCTCTCAACCAAGTCTCTCCGCATCTTCAAAGTTCTAGTACAAAGGTTAGATATTGTATATTTGTAACTTTTCTGATCAATGTTTTGATGCCTAACTCAAAGATCTTCCAGGAACGACACCACCGGGAAGGACTCTCAGTTAGAAGAGCTAACAAGGTAAGAACTTCAAAAACTAGATGGTGCGTAACAACAATGCACCTGTTGAAAAATAACTGTGTATTGGAAATTGAGTGGCAGTTTTTCGGTGCCATATGATCTGAGTATGGGAGGTAGCAAGGAAGTGTGGGCTGAAACATTTCTGGAGAGGATGAGTGCAAGGTGGGGAGATTGCAAACACATTTGGAGATCATTGGATTTGCAAGTTTCTGAATGTTATCCTCAAGCAATTGTTCTTTAAGGCTTTCACTACTTAAAACAGTTGTTTACTAAACTTGGTACTGAGTTTATTCATTAAAGTGACCCAAAAGACAAACTCTTGAAAGTTCAATAAAAAGACACTCCTAACAGAATACTCCTGGAACGGTTCTCTGATGGGTTCTACAAGAACACAGCGAAAAGCTTGAAAAAAACAGAAAAAAAGGCAAAAGACAACGTGAAATCCTAAAAATCCAGACTTTTTGTAGATCAGTTTCCTTTCAGAAGACCCTGAACCTCAGACTCTGTGGGTAGAGCTGGAATTGCTCCTTTCTTCGTAGTTGTAATGGCTCCACATGCATTCGCAAACCTAAGTACTTCTCGTAGACGAGCTTCGTCCTGTAGTTAAAGACAGAAGAACACGGTCAATAATGGAAGCAAAGATTCCAGACAAATCTGATATGTTTATTTACTGATATTTTTTACCTCGAGAACAGCACGGTCATCAACAATATTGCAAAGCAAGGCACCCACATATGAATCACCAGCACCAGTTGTATCCACTGTGTTCACACGGAAAGGATCAACAGATCCACGGAAGCCCTGCAATCATACAAGCACAAGAACACAACTTGAGTTTACATAAATGGTAATTGGTAAAATTCAGATCCGCAAGAAAGAAACCCTTTAGAAACTATATATTTACCTTGGTGTAATATCTACAACCCTTTTCACCCAAAGTGACCAAGAGAAGTTTCAGATTAGAGTGCCACAGTGACAAAGCAGTCTCATCATCAACCTTATCAGATCCAGTCAAGAACATGAGCTCTTCGTCGCTGACTTTGATCACTTCAGCTTTGTCCCAGATGCTAAGAATCTGCTTCTTAGCCTCCTCCTTCGAGGGCCACAAAGGCAGCCTCAAGTTTGGGTCATACGAGAGCAACGCACCCGCTTCTTTAGCCACCTCCATGGCCTTCAAGTGAGCAGATCGACATGGCTCAACGATGAGGCTTATTGATCCATAGTGGAACACCTTAGCCTGTAAAAACAAAACAAAACGAAACAGAGCACTTCGTTAACCTAACTTGTTATCTACGTTACGTTTACCAAAATCCGTTGCGATGACTTCTAAATAATCACGGGACCCATCAAGATTTGCTTACGTGTCGTCTATATCAATTATATAAAATTTTAATAAATGGTTAATCAAATGTCAAAATAACGTACAGATCTGATGAGATCGAGATTAAGCTCATCGGGACGGAGAAGCATATCGGCGCTAGGGTTCCGGTAGAACATGAATTCACGTTCTCCGTCGGCTCTTAGGGTGACAAATGCGAGCGCCGTCCTGGCTCCGGTGTCGAAATTGATACCTTCGGCAGAGACGCCGTTTTGTTTCAAGATTCCGGCGAGCATGTGACCAAACTCGTCGTCACCGAGTTTTCCGACGAAAGCAGAGCGACCGCCGAGTCGGGAGATGGCGATCGCGACGTTGGCAGGTGCGCCGCCGGGTGCCTTGATGAAGCCAGGAGCCTCAGCGAGGGATACGCCGGAGACGGTGGGAACGAAATCGATGAGCATCTCACCGAAGCTCACGATCAAGCTTTTCTCGCCGTTGGATGTAGCCATTTGTGGTCTGAGAGTGTTTATCGGACGGTAGTGAATGTAGGTTATGAGAGATTTTGGATGTGAGAGTCATTAGGGAACGAAAACGGTTTATATAGAAGTACCAGGATCACAGATTCTGTCAAAATCCACAAGATTTTTTAATTAATTTCAATGAAAAATATATGGATTTATCCAGTTAGGATTTTGTTATTATCAAAAATTAAGTTTGGTAACTAATATATATCGTTACTTGTAATTACGATTTATGAGATTTGTGATTGGTGCCGTTGACCGGATATTTTGCTTGTTTATGAGACCATATGACGTTTTTTGCAAGGTTATTTTATTACCTGATGGATAAAGATATTTAATCCTTTCTTTTGATTCCCTTGATTATCTCATTTGTTAGGATAAACTTTCATTTTCGATAACACAGTACCCTAGGAAATTATCTCATGTAAATTTACTAAATCAAAAAAATAAATAGTAATTTTTTGGATTAGCTTTGACTTTTAATTCTTTTTATCAACGGAGAGAAATTTACCAATTTTATTTGTTTTCCTATTTCCCAAGTAATAAAATGTTTTTTTGTATTCGTCAGTAATTACTAATCTCATAACATCATAAATACTAAATCAAAAAAAAATATTGATCTCTTAGCTTTAACTTTTAATTATTTTATGGAAGAGTGAGAGATCTACCAATTCTATTTGTTTTCTTATTTCTCAAGTAATAAAATGTATTTTTTTTGTATATGTCACTAATTACTAATCTCATAAAATCATAAGTACATGTAACGGACCAATAAGGATATTATGAATATATAGTTGGATGGAAGGTGAATAACAATTGGGAGGAGATGTTTAGTTTTTAATTATATTTCAACTTAGATTTATGTGGATTCTCTATAGAAAGTTCAATGTGGATTCTCTATAGAAAGTTCGACCAAAAAAAGTTTTATTGGATGTAGATAAAAAATATTAAAAATAGAGATAAAGAGCTGTTTATCTAAAATGGGTTATTAATTTTTTATGAAATCAGAAAATCTCAGATAAAATTACAATTTTAAGGAGAAATTTTTGCATGATAATTGCTCCACTCATAAATAGTCTAGTGAAACACACAAAAATATGATTAAGGAACGAAAAGGGTTTTATATAGAAGTACAAAGATCACAGGTTCAGTCAAATCCACGAGATTTTTTAATTAATTTCAATGAAAATTTATGGCTTTTTCCAGTTAGGATTTTGTTATTATCTTTGCTAAGTAATATATATCGTAATATCTATAATAATCTTATGAGATTAGTGATTGGTGCTTTTGACTTGAAATTTTACATGTTATGGGACCCACAATGACGTATTTTGCAAGGTTAAATAAATTACATGTTAATAGATAAATATATTTAATCATCTTTTGATTCCCAATTATTTCATTTGTTAGGATAAACTTTCATTTTTGATAACACATGGGCTCTTGGAAATCATCTCAGCTGTTTGTCTAGTGTAAACACTGTATCAGACTGGAGTGATTCTCCAATCTTAAAAGTTTGAGTTCAAATCTGAAAAATGTCATTTTAAGATTAAAACAAAGAACTATTTGTCTAGAATGTGTTATTATTTTTTATAAAATTGGAAAAATCTTAGATAAACTTACAATTTTAAATAGAAGTTTTTGCACAGCAATTGCTCTGCTCATAAATAGTTTAATGAGTGACTGATAAAATTATTAAAGAATCTTATTATTTCATGAATTATCTACCTAAGATTCATATTATCATTGATAATCTTTAAAAAACAGATTCGTAACTCAAATTACCAAAAAATCAACAGAAATGTAGATATATAAAATTTAAAATATTAAAAAAACATCATAAATGAAAACTAAACAGAAACCACTGATAAATTGATGAGTGAAACACACAAAAGTGTGTGATAGAATTATAAAAAATAGTTGTACATTATTTTATATAAAAATGTAACTATCCTTATTTGAGTTTTTATAAAATAAACTTGCCAAACTAAATTATTAAACAGTCCTCAAAATATCTTTTATCGTCTGATATATTCAAACTTGTCGATCTTCCCATAACAAAAAAAAAATCAAAACATTTAAATCATAAATGAAAATTAGAGAGATAAATTCATTTAATCCATATCAAACAACATATAAACTTTGATAGCCATGTTTGAAGTTAAATTTATAAGTTTACATATATGTTTTTAGCATCTTCAATTCATAAGAAACTAATAAATAAGTGAGACACAAGGCGTATCCGTCTAGAAATTGGGATGAGTTCATATCAAAAACTTGTTAGACCAAAAGATGTGAATCAATGATTAATTGAATGCGACCATGAAATATATTTCAGACCGGTTTGGACTCCAACCGGTTGGACTCGTCACGAAAAATGAAGGCTAGAAAATTAGAGAATTTGTTAGTATAAAGGGTGCTTTTGTAAATGAAGATAGTAAAGGGGTCAATCTGTACAATTATTAAAATTAGTGGACAAACCAGTCTAACGGTGCGTCGGTCGACGAGAATTACGCTGTGAAAATCTAAAAAGGAAAAAAACTGAAACGTCGAAGGAGAAAAAAAATCAGAGTAATTATCAGAAGAGGAGAAGCGCACCTGACGAACATAGAGTCGATAAACCCAAAGCTTAGATGAACGGTAAGTTGACTTCGTTCCGAAATTGACCCAATAATCTCTTGACACGTCAAAGGTTACTGCATCCGTGTAATCCATACCCTGAACCGGCACCTTCTCTGTCTCCCCCCCTCATCGAAAACCTAAATCGATCGTCACCGCCTCCGACCAACATCTCCCGGCGGCGAACACTCCCCGGAAAAACATCGACAGTAAGATTTGTTAATTCCTTCACTGGTATCTGGCTCCTTTAGTTGAAATTCGCTATTACGGATTTGAGATTTTGATTGGTATTTATCGCTTAAGCTGTTTAGTCTCTGCGAGAAAATGAGACGGCGAAGTTGGACGTCTCAATTTTTGGAAACCCGATTTGATGATTAAAAGAACCCTCCATTGTTTTTTCTTTTCCAACGAGTGATGCTAAAGCCATGAAAAGGTGAATCTGAATAGATTCTTCCGGGTTTCATATAAGCTTTTGTTTTGTATTGTTGAGGTGTAGACTGTAAGAAAACACTTGTAGCTGAGCTTTGTTCTCATTTCTTGAATTGGATCATGGAAACAGTGGAGGAGAATCCCTTCATTTTACAAAGGAGGATACTTGTTCTTGGTAGATATCTGATGTGTGTCAAAAATGTGTATTTGCCCACCTGTTGATGACACTCTTTGTGCAGTTGTTGTGTCTATCTTCTTGAAATCTTTGTAAATCCCTTCCTTTATTTTAATTGCAGTGGATTTCAGGATTGATAATGGCGTAGCTTCTGAGATGATGATGGGGGATCCAGTCGAGCTAGAGGTTACCACGGTCGAGAACCATAATGAAATGGGCGAGAGCTCTGGTCAAGCAATGATTGAGCAAGATGATGAAAACCATAATGAAGTAGGTGAGAATTCTGGTCATCAAGAAATGCTTGAACAAGATGAGAAGGTAGATCCGGATTCTATCTCTCTGGCAGCTCCAGATATGGTGGAGGTTCAAGCGGATGAGCCTTATGTTGGGCAGGAGTTTGAGTCTGAAGCAGCAGCACATGGGTTTTATAATGCTTATGCTACAAAAGTAGGGTTCGTTATCCGTGTTAGCAAACTGTCACGGTCAAGGCATGATGGATCTCCCATAGGGAGGCAACTTGTTTGTAACAAGGAAGGCTACAGGTTGCCTAGCAAGCGAGACAAGGTTATTAGACAAAGAGCGGAGACAAGGGTTGGATGTAGAGCAATGATCTTGATTCGAAAAGAAAACTCTGGTAAATGGGTTATTACAAAGTTTGTCAAGGAGCACAATCATCCCTTGATGCCTGGAAGGGTTCGAAGGGGTTGCATCTATGATCAATATCCGGTCAGTTTGTTGCTCTTGTCGTTGATTAATGTGATAATGCTTCTTTCTCATTTGGTACTGCTACAAGTTTGAAAATTCTAAGAGTTTTGTTTCTCTTCATTTGCAGAACGAGCATGACAAAATCCAGGAGCTGATGCAGCAGCTAGCTGCAGAGAAAAAGAGAGCCGCTACTTACAAAAAGCACCTGGAGTTGCTCTTTGAACAGATTGAACAGCACAACGAAAGCCTTACTAAGAGAATCCAACACATAGTAGACAATGTGAGGGATCTGGAACAGAGAGATCATCAACAGAACCCAGTATAGTCTTTTTCTTTTCTTTTTTTTTGTCTCAGGTTTTTCCTTGTTCATTTTTCACCAGTTTGATTTAGGAGATAGATCTTCTCTTCTTTATTCCCATTTTCTCTCTTTTAATAAAGATTTTTCTTGTCTAAAAACAAAAGAGCTTGCAATTGCCTTTAACAGAGTTTACACATTCACGATCTTTCTGACAAAATTGAATAATTCAAAATCTATCTATTAATTTCCAAGACTAAAAAACAAAAAAATGGCTAACCAGAAAGACTCTAAAAAACTTTAAAAGTGTCAATGATTAGTTGTTAACTTCTGTTAAAATGTCGTGAATGTTAAATTCTAGATCAATAACTTTTTTCTTTTCGTTTGTTTGGGGTTAAGGTTCCATCACTTTGTTAACGACACATATCTTTCTAAAATCAAATTCTAATTTTCGAGACTTTAGCTACATCCTTAGACTCATAGTTGTCCCACATCATTGAAACTTTGTTTGCCTGTGAGATTTTCGTTAGATATATCAAAATAGATTTTTAGGCATGAAGAGACTTTGTGGTTATAAGAACAAGGCCAGAGATGGAGCAAAGACTTCAATTATTTGAAGAAAGAAGACAGCTTGAGATAAAGCAGAGGCTTTGGTTTATTTGAAGAAAGAAGAAGACTTTACATCACGCAGGCAAGCAGAAGCTTTGGTTTTTGAAGCATGAGAAAAAGACTCTAAAACACTTGGGACTTGGGAGTGTTCACAACACTTGAAAGTTTAAAGCTTTATTGCGGCAACTCTATGTCTTCACTACTTCTCCAAACTTAATATCCATAAATGGTGTTTAGAAAGAAAAAAAGGATCCATAAATGGAAATTTAATAAACATTAATTTATAAGGTTAGTAACTTCAACCTCGCGATAACTGAGGTTTATTGAATCGCCATTTTGTAAACACTACAGATCACAATGTTAGAAAGAGATACTGAAGCATTTGCGGACCGGAGTTTCTAGTTTCTACCACGGAAGCTAAGCAGAATTGGATGAATTTGACATATATTGAGATGTAATTATCCTGATTTTTATCTCTCATTAGCAATTGAAAAAAAAGGCCAAGATCTTATATCTAATTATTTTAAACAATTCAGTTCAAGATTACAAAGCATAAAATGTAATTATTTACAGAGAAAAAAAAAGATCAGATCAGCTTAATTTGATGATGATCTATTATTGCTAAAGCCACCACTTTTCATCATCTGAAGAAACTCCTTGTAATTGACTCTACCATCTCCATCTTCATCCACTTGCGTAATCATATCTTTACAACACTCTAGGGTTTTACCTTGCTTGAGTCCCAAGGAAGCCATTACAGACTTCAACTCCTCAACGGTAATATACCCATCACCGTCTTGATCAAACACATTGAACGCATCTCTCATATCCTCGTCCACTTTTTCTTCGACAATCGAACTGTAAAGAGACTCAAACTCGTGTATGTCTACACATCCATCTCCATTTGCATCCATCTTCTGGATCATCTGGATCAGATCTTTTTCTGGCATGAAGATTCCTAGATTCTCTAAGGAATCGTTTAGCTCTTCCTTTGTAATGCGTCCGTCTCCGTTCTTGTCGAACATCTGAAACACTCGTTTTAGATCCACCGGGTCCGTTCTCGCCGGAGATTCGGATTTCGACGGTGGTGGGTTCTTGTCATCGATGATCCAAGAATGAGGGAAAAGAACTCTTAGCTTCTTGGGGACCAAACAGAGAAGAATGGAGTTGAAGAGATTGTAGAGAAGAAAGACTCTCACCATAACTATTGGCTTTGTTAAGAACAGAGATAGAAAGAAAACAGAGCTTTGATCTTCTTTTACACAGAGAAACTTGAAATGAAAATTGTCTCATATTATTTTTTATAGAGGGGAAGAGAGAGGGGGATGGATTAAATATTAATAATTGTTATGGGGAAAGATCTTGCTTCAAAATCTTTTTTGGTACAACTGTAGATTCCATTAATTAACCTAGAAGTTACCTCTTTGCTTAGTAGTCTTAACTTCTTCTTTTTTTTCTTCTGGAGTTTAGTAAAAAAGAACTAAAAACTGAATAAGTACAAGTGATCAAAATACATTTTCATACAATATCCAAGAACTATCATAAAGTTAGCTAAGAGTATTTGTAACTTTAACACTAGAGAGTAAAGAGTAAGACTCTAAAGTCCTTTTTTCGGTTAAAGTCGATAGTCTTTCTAAATAAAACACAACACTTAATATTATAAGGAACTTGTATATAATAATACTATTCCACCTTATATTTGAGACGATATTTGTAATATTATTTAGTATCAATAGAAAGTTACAAAGTAGATCTAGGTGTAACCAATAATAAAAGAGTTAAAAACACAAGGTAAGTAGTTGGGAAATATTAATTTCTCAAAAATGGAGGAATGGATACGCGTGAAGAAGGTAGAGAGGGTTTAAAAAATGAATGGTATTCAACTATTCATTTTTGTTTTCTTTAATAGAATAAATGAAAATGAAAAATATTCATTTAACAAAACGCGTTCTGATAGATGATTATCAATGTTTGATTCTTGTCCCCATTTATTGATCATTACGTTAAAACATGAATATTAGTGCATAATCACATGTCACCAACGAGAGACGCCCGTTTGAATAAGACCGTTAAGTCGTATGAATATTGAACCAGGTAAAATACATACTATTGTACAAAGTTAACGTAGTCGGCCGGACGATAGTGGATTCGGATCAATGAAATGAGAAAAAAGAACATATTTTTGGTCATTCATTTTTTTATTGGAATGATTTAATTTCCCAAAAAATGGCATCTTATTGTATGGATGGATCTACTTGTGCCACAACAAAAGAATGGCAAGTATTTATATGCACAAAATAGTGGAAAACAATCAATATAACATTCTAAAAATTAAAAATAAGAAAATACGAGAGACAAATTTCCACAAACTTTGTATATATAAGTAGGTATTCGATGATTTATACAATTTTATAGAATAAAGTATAGTATACATTATAAATACTGTGTAGATTCTGACGGGTGTGTAAACCTGTAAGGGGATCCAATACTGCTGTTATAGTTGTCTTCCAGCTCATCCAGAGTCACTACTACTCATGCATGATCCTTAATTCGAATTATTGTTTATTTATTCTAACAGTTACACGTCAAATAGCTAGTTAATTAAGTATCACAACATCATCAAGCAATTATGATTTATTTTTGTTTCAAAATATAAGTTATTCTCAGTTTTTGATACAAATATTTGATAAAATTTTTTATTTTTTATCTTTTTAGCTTATTAATTATTGTGAACACATTATACAGTATATTAATGAAAGATAAAACAGAAAATTAAAATGTTTTTTTAATATATGTGAAAAAACCTAGAACAACCTATTAAAATAGAGGGAGTAACACTTTTACAATTTTTTTTTTTTTTTCAATATCTTGGTTATCAATACAGTTGTTGTAATCGTGATTCGTGATGCCCAAGCTTCCCTATACTTGTCAGGGGAAAACATGGCAGAGAAGAAACAAGAGAATAAAAAATGGGCTTAAAGTAGGCCCATATAGGCATAAGTCACAGAATTTGAGTTTTAATTTGAGGTCACAGAATTTGAGTTTTTAATTTGAGGTCACATTTTGAAGAAGACATAAGTGGGCTCTTTTGAGTGGGCTCTTTTGAGTGGGCTCTTTCTGTCTGCTTCGTACCTGCAGATTTCGAAATCGTACCTCATTTTTTTCCAGAAATCTTCTCACACTTTCTCGGCAAAATTCCCGGAAAAGCGCCCCCCTCGATCAGGACTTCAGCAGGTTTCTCTACGAATAATTTGACTATCTCTTTTCTCTTTTTTTATTTTCTTTCAAAAATTCCGTGTTCTTTCGATCTAAATGGGATTTAACTCTTATCATTCTTTAGTCAGTGTTAGTCTCTTAGGTTTTGATGTTCTGTAACTGGAGGAAGCATTCTCTTTGCATAAATTTTCTGTCTTTTCTATCTCTTTAATCTATTCCCTTTGCAGCTGAATTTAGTTTTATATTTTTTTCGTCATTCCGATTATGTTGTAACTTCTATTCATTGTCCACTTGGGGAAAATCGTTTTATATTGCTTCAAATTTGTGACCGTTAGGGAAAATCTTGAAGGTTGTATTTGCAAATGTCTCTACTTTGGTCTTTCTTTGTTTCATTTTCCTAAAAAGTGTATTACTTTTTGAAATGCTGTAACTATAACAGATGGTCAGGAAAGAGGATGTGGATTTCTATTGCGGATTATCGAGAAAAGAGCTTCAGAGTTTGTGCAAGAAATATAATTTGCCGGCTAATAGATCAAGCTCGGATATGGCTGAATCATTGGCTTCTTATTTCGAGGTATTCGTTTTCTTTTTCTTGGTTCTTCAATATTTTTCAGAGAGAAAACTAAATATGGCCGAGGAAGAAAGAAAGTCCTTAGCTTGGAAATAACCTGATATCATCATTAATATGCATCTTCATGCCTTGTTGGTTTGATATTTAATGTGGCCACATGCCCTGTTCTTTCTCCTAAGGATTTTCCTTGTTTGGCACCTAATCATGTGTTGTTGTATCTAACAGTTGCAGAAAAATAGTTGGAACTCGGTAGGCTTTGGGGTCGCTGGGAATCAAGTTAGTTCAGCTACAACTTCTAGAGCACCAGCAAGTAGAACATGTGATGCGAAAAGAGGTTTGGCGAATTTACCTATGTTGCATTTCTCTTGTTTCATGTTATCAAGCTATTTATGAAGACTGGTTAAAATGTTATTGCAGATTCTTATGGTAATGAATTGGATATAAGCCGAGGAGGTTGTTTTCAAGGTACTGTGGCTAGAGAACCAGGCTTTATCCTTGGGGAAAGTACACAGTATCAGGTTCGATTTAATTTCTTTTGAAAAATGTCCATTTGCATGAAACTGAGGTCCGCTTACAGTCGCTTGCATGAGTTAGCAGTAGTTTACACTTGTTGGTTACCATCAAAAGACTTGATAAAAGGCGCCACTTTTCCACTTAATGGAAATGGTACAAGAGTCATATCAATTATAATTTCAAGGAACTTTGTAGATATAGTTGCATATATTTTTTTGTCCTTTCTAGTATCTATGGTTACTTCTGCGTTTCTGGCCAAAAGTTCCAATGTCTCTTAAACTTCTCTGTGGAAATGCAGGAGCGAAATGGTGGTTTGATTGATTCTGAATGTGCCCCTCCATATATGAAGAAATTGAATGGAAACGGCCCAACGGATTCTCGGCTGGAAAATAGAATGAAAGAGGTAGACAGTGGTGGTAGTCATAGTTCGTCTTCGTTTGAGTTTCATGTCAGTTTGGAAGAGGGTATTAGCCTTTCCGTTGATCTAAATTTCAATCCATCAGACTGGATTAATAGCATGAGAGACGAGGTCAATGTATGTGATAGCATGCGTCGCAGAAAATCTCCACATCCTGATCTTGGCATTGATAATGCTACAAAGTGTAAGAAACAGAAGAGTTCAGGGCAAGACAAAGATGGGCATGTAAGGAAAGAATCATCTATAAGTCCGGAAATAAAAGACAATACTCAAGTACCCTCTGATCATCATTCCAATGGTGAACGGTCTCTAGCATCATCTGCTGCTATACAACCATGCAGCAGAAGCAGTGCGGGCTCAGACACTTGCAAGGAAAAAGATGGGCTTAACTTGTCCATTCCTGATTCTGCAGGACCTGGCCAGATTGTATCATCTTGTGTCGAGTCGTATAACAAAAGCTGCTGTGTAAATCCAGGTGACTTGGACTGTGTTAATCTTCCTGGGAAGAAGTTGTCAAGTGAATCTGTTATGGTTGCCACAGAGCAGAATCATCCAGCTGGTGATATCCTTATTGAAATTCCGGAAAATCCATCCATGGAAAGATTTCAAAAGGTCGTAAACTCAAGTACTGCAATTTGTCCACGGGGAGCTGGTTCTGAACTATCATCATCAGAAGCAGAGGCGTTTTCACCTCGCAAGACCAGTAGATCCTCAAATATCTCTTCTTCAGAGCTAATCGTCGATAGAGAGTCTAATAGCTATTCTGAATCATTCAAGTTCCTGTATAATGGAGGCAAGAACAGTCTGCCACCAAATACTGAAGAGCAGGTAGAACACCATAGTTGCAAGCAATAAACACCTGATTTAAGTGAAGTCTTAAGTGAACTTTTACACATTCACAGGAAAAGAGCGAAGTTTTAAGTGAGCAGGACTTTGTTTTGATGGTGAAGCATCCGCTATATTGTAAGATAGTGTTCAAGTGATAGGAGAACTGCTATTATACCTGATGTAGTGATAGTCAAGAAATGGCCTTTCCTCTGATCAAGAGGTTTTTACTGCTGTTTTTTTTTTTTTTTGAGGTGTGATTTTGTGCTCTCTATATATCCATATCATAGAGAATGATAAACCAAAAAATCATGAAGTATTTATTTTTCGTTGCTGGCTTGCACTTAGGCCATCTGAGTAAATGGAGATTCTTTCGAGAGCATCTGTGTGTATCCAATGTGTGTATATATGATCTTGTTCCTTAGAATGTGAGTAGCACGTGACTGGCAGATTCTCATCCGTTGGATCTGAACCAAATAGTTAGTTGAGTTTATGATCTTTAGAATCAGTAAAGGTATCACGTCAACTTCAAAAAATTCAGCTTTGAGAAGGAAAAACATATGAATCCAGCAACTTAAGAGAGAGAGAGAGTCTTCTTTTGCGTGTTTGAAGTATTGAGTCTGAAGAGGACAAAACATTTCTTTTGGGAGGCACAAGGAGATTAGGAGGAAGAAGACAAAAGAGGATGTTTGTGACTCGCGTCTCGAGAGACAAGAGTTAAACAAAAATATGTGCATGAAACCTCATAGAAAGTAGAACCCCCCCCCCCCCATTACTATTTGTATATAATAGTATAAAGTTTAGAGATTCATCTATGTTTCGGTTTGCACGAAACCAAACACGAACGGCAACGGCGCAAGTAAACTAACAAAAGTAAACCCATTTAAAAACGTTATTTTTTCGATTTGTAAACAAAAAAGTGTTTTAGAGGAAATAGTTAATGTCTCATTGATTCGTGTGTTAGTCAACTCCAATGTGCATAGAGATGGAAACTTGATATAAAACGTTTGGGTTTGATTGCACAAATTTGGGAAGAATTGGGGGAAATCAGAATAAAAAAAGAAAAACGAGAAAGCAGAAGAGAAAATTTGGTAACAATAACTCACATATTAAATAGCTTCACCTACATTTGCCATTACTGAGAAGCAGCAGTTTTGGTCGCATTTAATGCCCCTCAGTACTACAGGACACTATGACAAGCTCCATGACTCTCTCTCTCTTCCTCTCTCTCTCTTCCTATCTGGGTTTCTCAAGATTTCCATGAGCTAATGCTGAATGTATAACTCTAGCTCTTACTTTCATCACTCAATTTCTCTCTCTACACTTCTTTTTTAGTCGGCTAAAAAAAATCCAGTTCACGAATTACTTGGAGGTGCTTCTTTCTTGGGTTGGGAATTTCGGATAAGCTTTAAGCTTTCAAGGGCCTTTTTAAGGATGTTATGATGTTATTGCCTTGCGCTCTGGGATCTGAAAGGGGTAAGTGTTTTTGTTTTAGTTGCAGAAGAATAGAGAGACAAGAGGTCCTTCTTTGACATTGTTGTCTGAATTAGAATAAGAATTTTTCCGCTTCAAGATTGTTTCCTGAATCTTCGGAGGCTTGTCTTCTCATGGTTCCTTTGTTTCTTCGACACTAATTCAGCTCTCATTGCCTGGAATTTTCAATTCTTTTAGATGTTGCATGCCCTTGGTTGCAGTAAAGAAAAAGGTTTGAGTTATGTGGAACTTCTTGTGACTTTTTTGCTAACTACCCAATCTATGGAATGTCTCAGAGAGTGAAGAGAGTAACTAAGAAGCGTGTGGGTTGACTTTGAAAAGAAGTATTTGGTTTGTGTGTATAGAAAGAGAATGTTTGAAAGGAGAGCAAGGGAATGGAATCTCCTTGCAAAGCTTGTGCTTTTCACTAGTCTATGGCAGCTTGCTTCTGCTCTTGGCTCGATGTCTTCAATTGCAATATCCTACGGAGAGGGTGGCTCTGTGTTCTGTGGTCTGAAATCTGATGGTTCTCATCTTGTGGTTTGCTATGGATCGAATGCAGCGATCCTCTATGGAACTCCTGCTCATTTCCAGTTCATCGGTTTGACGGGTGGAGATGGTTTTATGTGTGGGCTTCTGATGCAATCTCATCAGCCATATTGTTGGGGAAACAGTGGATTTATTCAAATGGGAGTTCCACAACCAATGATCAAAGGAGCTGAGTACTTAGAAGTTAGTGCTGGAGATTACCATCTCTGCGGTTTGAGGAAACCGTTAATGGGAAGACGAAAGAGCGTTTCTTCTTCTTCTTCTTCTTCCCTTGTTGATTGTTGGGGATACAATATGACCAGAAACTTTGTCTTTGATAAGGAGATACATTCACTCTCGGCTGGCTCTGAGTTCAACTGTGGGCTGTCTTCAAAAGACAAATCTGTTTTCTGTTGGGGAGACGAGAATAGCAGTCAAGTAATCACTTTGAGCCCAAAGGAAACAAAGTTTCAGAAGATTGCAGCTGGTGGATACCATGTATGTGGCATTCTTGACGGGTTGAGTTCTCGAGTGCTCTGTTGGGGAAAGAGCTTAGAGTTCGAAGCTGAGATCTCCGGGACCTCCACGCCTGAACAGATTCTTGATCTTCCACCAAAAGAGCCACTCTTAACAGTGGTCGGTGGCAAGTTTTACGCTTGTGGAATCAAAAGCTTTGATCACAGTGCGGTTTGTTGGGGCTTTTTCGTGAATAGGAGTACACCTGCTCCTAAAGGTGTCGACTTTTATGATCTTGCTGCAGGGGATTACTTCACTTGCGGAGTTCTCTCAGGGAGTTCTATGTCCCCGGTTTGTTGGGGTCTTGGTTTCCCTGCTTCTATCCCTTTAGCTGTCTCACCAGGACTCTGTATAGACACTCCTTGCCCGCCGGGAAGTCATGTACTCGGAAACCGAGACAACTCGCCTTGCAAATCTCCTGGCTCTCACATTTGCTTGCCCTGTAGTACCAGTTGCCCTCCTGAGATGTACCGGAGAAGTGAATGCACAGAGAGTTCTGATCAGGTTTGTGTTTATAACTGCTCCAGTTGCATCTCCCCTGACTGTTCCTCCAACTGTTCGTCTTCTTTGACCGGTGAGGGCAAATCAAGAGAAAAGTTTTGGTCACTGCAGTTACCTATTGCAACTGCAGAGATTGGCTTTGCTCTGCTTTTGATAGCGGTTGTGTCCATAACAGCGGTTTTATACATTAGGTACAGATTGAGGCATTGTAGGTGCTCAGGAAGTGATGCAAGGTCTTCTAAAGATTCAGCTTTCACGAAAGATAATGGCAAAATCCGTCCTGATCTTGATGAGCTGCAAAAGCGCAGGAGGGCTCGTGTGTTCACTTACGAGGAGCTTGAAAAAGCCGCGGAAGGATTCAAAGAAGAGTCAATAGTAGGGAAAGGGAGTTTCTCATGTGTGTACAAAGGCGTGCTGAGAGATGGAACCACTGTAGCTGTGAAGAAGGCGATAATGTCATCTGATAAACAGAAGAATTCAAATGAGTTTCGCACGGAGCTTGATCTGTTATCAAGACTCAACCATGCTCATCTGCTTAGCCTTCTTGGCTACTGCGAAGAAGGAGGAGAAAGGCTCCTGGTTTACGAGTTTATGGCACACGGCTCGCTGCACAACCATCTCCATGGAAAGAACAAGGCCTTGAAAGAGCAACTAGATTGGGTCAAACGAGTAACTATTGCTGTTCAAGCTGCAAGAGGAATCGAATACTTGCACGGATACGCTTGCCCTCCTGTCATTCACCGTGATATTAAGTCATCAAACATTCTTATAGACGAAGAACACAATGCTCGAGTAGCTGATTTCGGTCTCTCCTTACTCGGACCTGTCGATAGTGGCTCTCCTTTAGCAGAACTACCAGCAGGCACTCTCGGTTACCTTGATCCTGAGTACTATCGACTACACTATCTCACAACCAAATCCGATGTCTACAGCTTCGGAGTCTTGCTTCTCGAGATCCTAAGTGGAAGGAAAGCCATTGACATGCACTACGAAGAAGGAAACATAGTAGAATGGGCGGTTCCTTTGATCAAAGCAGGAGATATAACAGCAATCTTGGACCCGGTCTTGAAACAACCATCTGAGATTGAAGCTCTGAGAAGAATCGTGAGCGTGGCCTGCAAATGCGTGAGGATGAGAGGGAAAGATAGACCATCAATGGATAAAGTGACAACAGCATTGGAACGAGCGCTCGCACAGCTAATGGGGAATCCGAGCAGCGAGCAGCCAATATTACCAACAGAAGTAGTTCTTGGTAGCAGCAGAATGCACAAGAAGTCATGGAGGATCGGTTCCAAAAGGTCGGGTTCAGAGAACACGGAGTTTAGAGGCGGGTCGTGGATAACTTTCCCGAGCGTGACATCATCGCAGAGGAGGAAATCATCGGCGTCTGAAGGAGATGTGGCGGAGGAGGATGAGGACGAAGGAAGGAAACAACAAGAGGCGTTGAGGAGTCTTGAAGAGGAGATAGGACCAGCTTCTCCTGGACAAAGCTTGTTCTTGCATCATAATTTCTGAAACGAAGTGTTTTTTCTCCAGCTTTTAGCGACGATGACATATATATAAAATATTTACTCTGATGTAAAATGTGTTTGCAAAGCATGAATGTAACAAAGAAAGACACAGAGAGAGAGACTCTTCGAGGAAGAATGTATCAAGGTTCTTTTACTAATTATTACCAAGTTCTTTTGTGATCTTCCCTAAAGAGTGAAGACGTTCTCAAGAGTCTATTTCCTCTGATATTTTTCTACAGTGAATACGTAATAAATTACTAAAAGGAGAAGAAAAATTAAAAAATGCCCACACGCAGGATCGAACTACGGACCTTCAGTTTACAAGACTGACGCTCTACCACTGAGCTATACGGGCTTTTCGTTTCACAAGATTATGTAGCATTTAAATAGTATAATACAGTTTTGTTTTTGCTTGTTTTAAAAATCTATCAACTTGTGACATATTATTCATAATGATCAAATTTGGGCAAACAAATATAACCAACCGACACCAATATCGGTTTTTTAATTTATCTCCAATTTATCACTATACTGGCTCCAGACATAATGTTGTATTTAATTACAAAGGCTACGTACCAAAACTGAAAGTGTCGGTATTTCAAATACCATATTTGTTTACCTCATCATTATGGAAGACTTTTGATATAGAATGAATTTTTATTGTATGAAAAAAGAAAGGCGAGAATATATGAACCAGCTATTGTATATTTTCCTTGATAGTATCACATATTTGATATACAAATTGATTGTCAATATACATGTGTCAAACAAATCTATAAACTTTCCAATTTTTGTGTGTTTTTTATATTATGAATTAACGCATATTCTATGAAACCTGCTCAATAGAAAGAGTTAATCTACACTTTCCTTGATAGTATGACGTAATTAATACAAAAATTGATTGTAGATATGCCGTATGCGTATGGGTCAAACAAATATTTTAAACTTTCCAATTTTTTTGAACTTTCTACTATAGTCAAATTCACACATCTTCTATATATATATATATATATAGCTTTTTCTGTTTATAAGTTCTCATTAGTTCTACACAATCAAAATCTACAAAACAGTTTTTTCTTTTCTTTCATATCCTCAACAATGAATCAAAAACAAACCACAGTGATGTTTTTCTTGTTAGCCTTAATTTCAGCATTGGTTTTCAGACAATCTAAAGCATTAGTGGGACATGAAAATTGTGAAACAACTGCCATAGATAACGTGCCGGGATGTTATGATGCACTAAGATTAGCATCAGATTCAGATTTCAGATGGCTATCAAAAGATTGTTGTCAAGCAGTGAGCACATTTCTTGATCCTTGCTTTTTAGTTTGTTATCCTGGCAAATCTTATCCTATTCATTTCTTTCAATCTGCTTGTTCTCTTAAGTTTCCTGGATCAAATTAATGATCCATTTTCGTGTACTTTTCACGATATAATGAAATCAATAATATTTAGTTTTTAGTTTTTTTCTTTTAGTTATTTTCATTATGGTATTGATTCATATGTTAACTATGCAAATGAAGAATTCTGAAGAAGACAATAATAATCTAGTCAAAAATTATCTTAATTCTTGATAATAATCTCGTAAAAAAATTATCTTAATTCTTAGCAGTGTCATATTCAAAATTGAATTCAACAAAATTAAAAATTCATCAGTCATGTACACAGAGAGAGTGGCGTATAATTATCGTGATTTTGAGTGACGTATAATAATTTCTCATAGTCGAACAAAAATAAAAAGTTGCTCTTTTTTTTTTTTTTAACTCTATTTAGCTCCAAACAGAGGGGTTTCTAAATTGAACAGCCATTGCAGCCAGCAGAAATCTGACAAGTTCTTCTCTTTGCACCACTTTCTCCCTCTTCAATTCAAGGTGCCGAACCTGCAAAACGCAAATTTCCGGGTCATTTTCACAGTTTTCTTCTTAGAGAATTAGGCAGATTTTTGACTAATAAGGCTTAATCACAGGTCGTATTATTACCTTAACAAACTCTATCTGATTTTGAGTCACACCAGACTCTGTGATAATCAGTAGACATTTGATATCATGTTCGTTTGCATATTCATACTGCTCTGTAAGACTTGGATCAGGTGTTGGAACAAACTCAGCCTGCCAAAACATTGAGGCGCGTTATTAGATGTTTAACACAAATGATATTTTCAAACAAATTTAATGAAAAAGATACATTCAAGCTTTCACCTTTATACTTCTTTCCCATAGTTCTGCAACTAGTTCCATGCGCTGCACCAGTAAACCGCCACCTCCTCTTGAACAAACAAGTACAATGGTGTTGACTTCATTTCTGCAGCTCAATACAGATTATGGAGGAGTCAGGTGTTTCTATTTTATATTATGAAAAAGGTTGCAGAAAGTAACAACGCACCTAATAGGCCTTAGATCCATAGGAAGATGCTGAAATATTGTCTCCAGTGCAAGACTGACGCCAACAGCACCAGGGAGATTCATTTTCTGGATGCAGTAACAGAAAGAAAAAAAACCAGTCAATAACCTGTTTTACCATTTCACAGTGACACCAATGTAACTCCTCTTCATGCAAGATGGATGTATATAGAAAGAACTTACATGTTCACGATCACACACTTGATGAACCAAATAATCATAACGACCACCAACAGCAAGTAAAACGCCATCATTAGATGTCCCAGTGCTATTCTCTTTTGTTAAGAATACCTGGAAAAACATTGTATTAGCTTGGGAGTTGGCAGCAATTAGAAGGATACTAAATTTCATGTACCAAATCTTCAAACGTCTTCACTAACTCTGATACTGATAAACAGGGTTTTGCTCATATAAGAGCTAATTATATGAGAATAAATTTCTTACTTTTTAGATCTTCATCTTGTAATGAAATACGATTTTCCGTCAGACTTTAACCAGACTCAATCAACACGCTAACGTTGTCATTAACTAATCATCTATGAAAAACCCATCTCTTCTCTTGATACCAGAGTAGGGATATCAATCATTATAAACGACATTAAAAATAGAAGATCCAAAAGCCTATGAAATACGCAAAAGAAGCTACATTGACTTGTACCTGAAAAAACAAATTCCGGTGATAACTTTCAGTAGGTGGCATCAGAGGATCAATATGAACATGCTCTTCTATTCTCCAGACTCTCAAGTAGGTTAATAGGTTTGACAACTCATCAAGTGCCTTGCGTGTAGGTCTATCTGCAGCCAAGTGAAACCAATAACAATCTGGTACATGATTTAGGGGGAGCAAAGGTTAGGTCGTACCAGCACGAAGAGCACCCCTTAAACGAGGAAGAGCTTGATCTGCAGCTCCACAAAACCTTGAAGCAACAGTCTGCAGCCTATTGACAACAGCTTCAGGTAACTTCAACTCCTGGTAAGCACGAGATTTCGAGTAAGACATAGAAAACTATCAATATTGATATGGCAACCATGTAAAAAGGTTACTGGCCTCAAACCTGCAGAAGTTGACGCCTTATGAAAACCCATTTTAGCTTCCGCTCAGATGACTGAGGACGCAAGGATCCCATCATGGAAAGAAGCTTCCAAGTGGAAAGCAGGAAAATGAAATAGTCAAGGTACTGATAAAAAAATAAAATAATAATACAATGACCTTTAAGTGACAGTAACCATACCTCTGCAACCTTTCGCCTATGCTCGGCCTTAATTCCTGCCCAGGACCAAATCGCATCCAGCAAATCTCCATGATTCAAATGAATGTCACAAGATCCGCGATGAAAGATGTGGTTCGTGATGTCCACGATCACCTGCCAAGTTGGTGGATTAAGGAAAGTGCATAAGGCAGGATGCCCATTTAAACTAAAGATGAAAAGATCTTAATAATAATAAGGAAATTCGACTAGGCACCTTGAGAACTTCTGCCTCTGTCAGGGATGTTGTACCTCCAACAATGTCAAAGTCCGCCTATTGGCAATCAAAACATTTATAAACAGAGAAACTAAAAGAATGCCAGCATTCATTAGAAGGAATGGTGGGGGGAAGTATAACAGCAGTGTCTGAGCCCAGTACCTGAAGACACGGATTTGGTGGAGAGTGACCAATTGCTCTTCTGTACACATGAGATATTTCATATCGCTTGAATGAGGATTTCTGCTTTGCAAAATTGAAGTGTGCCAAATTAGATAAATAAAGCAAAACAGGAAAACCACAAAAAAGAAAGAAAAAAAACAATCTCAAGGGAAGCTATGACTTTCTCAGAATAAAGATCGAATTAAACTTTAATTTGAATGAGTTAACAGTACGCTATATGTGTAATTAGCAAAACATAGTCTCTTGAAAACTTAAGCATTCTTGATTCAAACAACTTGAATTTTTGTGAATTAGAAAATTTCCCCTGGCATCTTACCAGTTGGTTCAAGATTAAACCTAAGCATCAACCGAACCTAAACGAACTAGAGAAGATCTCAAATAGAAAGTAGTACCAATTACAACGTAAGATGATGTCAACTCGCGATTTCACTAAATATTGTTGCGAATTTTCCATTGCCAATTTTACACTTTGTATAATTGTCCTATGTACATAAAAAGCAGAGCAATATAAGACAGTTTTTGGTCCGTTTTAGTTAAACTTCACATTCGATTTGGATTTAATCTTATAGAGAAAAGGAATATATAAGCACTTCTTTGTTCAACATACAACACACAGAATAACCACATAAAGAATAGAATGGGACCTGATTTACGCTAATCCAATGCACAAAAGGCAGTCGTAGCTCATAGCATAGTTCAAGCATGTCTCCTCCATTGGTCAAAAGTTTTACAGTTTTCCTTTAAAGGGAAGATAAAATTAGATCAAAATTTAGTATGCATGAAAAATGATGGACAGTAATAAGTAAAGAAGTATACCTGCTAAACTGGGGACAATCGCCAAGCAAACGCATCGGGATGACCTCTAGATGCTTCGCACAATGCTGCCTAAAGACTTCCTTTGTGATTTCAATAACGTAATCACGAAGCTCAGTTTCCATCTCTGTGTATTGAGCATAACTATCATCTGCGCAGACTCTTGATCTGCTAGACTGATGGCTTTTCATCTCTAATACTTCTTCATCAAATATCACTTTTACTACTCTATCATAAACACTTGAATCCTCAGAAGTTTGCATTATTCTTAGAATATCTGAAATTCAGAAAAGAAAAGTTACTCGATGCCATCCGAAAGAAGACCAAATAGAGGATGCTAACTGAGAGAATAATTAACATGACATCAAATAAAAGATAACACACACACACACACACACACACACACACACACACACACACTACTAACAATAACTTGAACTTTATAAGTTATGAGCGAAAGACTAGACAGATGAAAATACGAATGAACAGAAATTATAAACCTCCAGTTTACGAATTGTAACTTCAGCTGAATAGAGACAGAACAAGACAGGTGGTAGTAGAGAACTTACTATCCAGTATCTCAGATTCCATTCTGGGAGGAAATGCGTGCTGAAGAAGTTCTGTGGCAGAGGGGCGATCAGATGGGTTTTGAGACAATAAACGCCGCAGTAGAGAAGCCTGTTCAGGAAATTCATTCACCCAATTGACAGGTAGTTCTCCTTTCAGCTTCAGATTGGTTAAAATGATGTGTCTTTCCATGGCGGTTCCAAAAGGGTGCCAAAGTTCAAAGAATACAACCCCTAAGCTATACATGTCAGCCTGCAATTTAAAGCATCATTTAGAAATACAAGGAAATAAGAAGAAAGTATATATTCAAGCATTTTTTGGATAAAAATCAGTTAATGCGCTAACAGCTACTAACCTTTTCATCAATCTTAGGCCAACCTTGCTCAATTTCAGGAGCTGTGTAAAAGTAAGTGCCCGCTTGACCAGTACTTTCAACTCCGCTTCCACCCACATCCATAGAGAAACCCCCATCTTGATCCAACTGTTCCAGCTTCAAGAACTTTGCTGATAACGTAGAAAAAATGCATGTATAATTAGTTTTTGGTTTCCATATAATAGCCACATAATCATAGTATAATGAGATGACTAGGTTGATTCTTTAATTCCAAGACTTGAACAACATAGTCGGTACAATTCATACGTCATAGTTGGATGATCAAACGCAAGAATCCAGCATGGAATCTACCTTCGTTACATTATTAGAGAGCTTAAAACCTAACACAGAGAGTCATGTGAACACATAACATACCAAGAAATTTAAGCAAGGAAAAGGATTAAGTAGGGAAGCCTACCGAGACCAAAATCCCCAATTTTGACATCATTCCGGGCGTCAAAGAAAATATTGTTAGGTGTAAAATCCCGGTGAATTATTCCTTGTCCATGGATATGTGCTAAGCCTTCCACAATTTGCCGAATTAAATGCCATGCAAAATCTTTGTCGAAGTGATTATATGATTCAAAAACCTGACGGAGAGTCCTTGAATATAATACGAACAGACAAAGTAAGAAGAGGAAAGACAAGATAGGAACCAAAGCTTAGACTACAGAAAATAACAGAGTTATACAGATCAAGGATAAAATGTACAGATCCGCAAATATCAGTCATTTTAAAACAAATTACTGTTCCTAAATTTGTCTTGTACCACTAGAGTATGTGAGTGAGTAGGCATAGGACACTAAGGAACTTAGAAATAACTTAGATAACTCCCGCTGTCAAAAATCAATATGTTTCGAGAAAAACCAATGGTTATATATATGTGTTTCAAAAGCCCAGGAGATGGGTGCAGTCAAAGCATAAGAGTTAAGATTGGGCTTTTAAACCCTTTACCTGGGACAGTACTCCATTTGAATATATAGATAAGTAGACTCCAGCTTATTGTCCTGCTCAGGAATTTCAGTTGACACAGCACCCGAGTAGCTGAACATTGAACTCCCTGCAGTTTTTGATCCCCAATTTGCTCCAGCATAAGGATCAGCAACTCCAGTTTCGAACCACGCCTAAAATAGGATCGTTAACAAACACTTAACAGTCAAAAGACAGAAGCAGAAATTGGGTGCTTGATAAGGACTTGATAGAAATAACAATATATACTAAATAGGTACAACATGGCTGGTATCCAATATGACATATCTCACTGAATGTACTCAGTAATCAGTAGAAATCTCAGAATAGCGGAAAGGAACTTTACCTGATAGTAACGTACAACATGCTGATGCTGCAAGCGGGACAGTGTTGCTACTTCTCTGAGTAGCTCCAACAAGCAGGAACAGTTTTAGCATCATACTAGATACAGAGTATAATATGCTCACTACATACATCTTGCAGGCATACCATTTAGCTAATATTAACAGGTATCTCACTTACCGAACTATCCGGTTGTTGACAGGTATCTCTTTGTCCTTCAGTCGAATCTTCTTCACTGCATATTGTCTTCCATCCAGTTTATTTTTGCACAACACAACGTGACCGAAACCACCTTGGCCTGCCAACAAATATTTCAGCAGACAGCAAGAAGGAAAACTACTTTACACTCTAATTAAAATCGCAGAACAAATAGAAAAAGGTTGAGAGAGTGAACATAACTTATGCAAAGACAATTTGGAAAAGAAGTTAATACGTAAATAAATAATTAATGAATAATATCTCATCAGTCCTTGTGCAAAGAGGCCACTAAATTTGATCAAGTTCACACCATATCTCTCACTGACATAAATCCACATTGACACAAGAAAGAGAAAGAAAAGCATAATGGAAAATATACCAAGGGGTTTCAACTCTTCAAAGTCATTGAGATATCGTGAGCTTGGGAGTGACGCATTTGGCTCGCCAAAATCAGAAGTTGGCTCCCAAAACTGAGGAAATCTGGTTGAGGCCTAAAGATAATATCAATAGGATTCATTATTTGAAACTCAAATAAATAATTAATAACCATTAAGTGTGCCAAGGTATACGTACCATGTTTTGATTAAATACATCTTCGAAAGTTCTATTGAAGTCTGGAGATGATTTGGAAGCTAAATCTAACACCCCTTCAGACAATATCTGAAGTAGTTTAAGAAAGAATACTACCATTTAACAGGGTTTTGGGAAAAAAGGAAAAAAAAAATCTTTTAATATGATGAAACAATTATTGAGAACTGATAAATGAAAATTCAGATCAGGTAAAAGACGTACGCCAAGCTGATACAGTTCATCAGTTATCCGTGGCAATGCATCAGCCAAATGCCCTTTGGAAGAGCACACAACTCGAAGTAAATGGACCTGTTAGAGTAAAAATAAGGTGCTTAGATAGAGCTACATTAATCTTTCATACATGTAGAAAGAAAATAAGGAGATTACCATTAGTAGATCCATCTTGCTAATCTGAGGCACTTGATCTTGAGCTGACGGAACAGAAGACCATGACCCCAGCGACTCACTCTCTGAGTGATTGTTGTCATCTTCAGTTGTATCAACTTGAAGACTTGATTCCTGCTAAAAGAAACAAGAATTCTAAAATATGTAGCACTTCCCATTATACCAAATTTTAAGTAGTGTCTCATATGTAAAGGATCACCTGCTGATTTTTTTGTGCACATATACAGTTTAAAAGGGGAGTGATTGAGATAAAACAGATAGACATACCCTCACCTTCTTCTCATTTTCGGTAAATTCAGATTCAACACCTTCAATGGAGTTACTTGAGTCAAAGGAAGAGGTATCATCAACATTACCCCCTTGAAGAGTATTTTGTTTGGCAATGGGAGAAGGCAAGGGAACTTCTTCTTTAGCGTTGTCTTCAAATCGCTTCAGATTCTTGTCCAGCTTCTCATGCGAAATTCTTGCAGTGTCTACTGTGTGGGATTGTACTGTAGAAACGATTCCCCTACTTTCATCTGGATTCAGACTCCAATTTGTTGAATCTTCTAATCCGCTAAATAAGTCTATAAAACCATATACAAAAGGTCCAACAGAACAGGATTTTGCTTTATTTGAAGGCATAGCTTCCTCGATGAACTGAGCGCTATGATGTTCAGTCGAGCATGGAACCTTCAGAAGAAATAATGACATAATGTATTTACAGAAAGAAAGACCAATGCCAACACATAAGAGATGCAGTATAATCAGACACAAGGATAAAGTTGATAAATTGAAAAGATTACAAAACAGTAATTTGGGTGAATATACTTACAGATTCTTCAGCAAGACTGTCAGGAATTATCTCCGATAAAAACTCTTGAGCAGCCTCCACCAAGTTGAATATCATAACCCGACCTTCACGAGCATTGGAATTTGCCTGCGTAAAATATAATATTTTTTTAAGTACCTTATGTCAGCATAGAGCACTTCTGAATTCTTACAGACCACAGAGTATATCAGTATGAAAATCATTTCTAATAGTCCAAATTTTGAACTGCTATGTTTAATAAGAAAGAAAAGGTGGGCAAGAATACAAAAAAAAAATGAAAATGTCATGGAATGCATCAATACAATACCTGGTCCTGGAGAAGGGATAAAAGCTTGTCAGCATCAGCAGTTGCCAACCCTTGTTCTGGAGTAATCTGCAGCTTAGGGCACTTGTAAGGATATCCTGGTAAGCATCTAGAAGGAAAACTTAGTTAGAAGGAGTAATGAAATATCAACATGTTAACTATGTATAGATACAGAGAGAAATATACTCACCTAACAATAAGAGTAGCAGAAATGTTTGTGTCCTCATATCCCATATCTTTTGAGTAAGGCCTGCTCGAATTACAAAGAGCAAGGTGAATCAGAAGCATTTCATGCGTAAACCAGAAACATCACAGCGGGTAAACCTGAATGCAAACACACGGTTGATCAGAAGAAAACCTGAGTTTAATAACTATTTGAGGAGGCGAGCGCGAATTCGAAACAATATTGCAGTCCTCTTGAAATATAGCAGAGCTGAAAACATGGAAACAAAAAAAACGATCCTCATTATTAGAACATTAACATAACACATCTTCCATGGCAACTTTTTCTCCCAAAAAAAGAAAAACTAATTCTCACATTGCCTCGATAACCAATTTTCACACAAATCGAACCAATAAACAGTTCCGACTTACAGAGCAGTGATCTCCTCGGAGAGCAGTTCGTTCTCTTCATCATCATTAGATCCATGGTCCTTTAGCTGACCTCTTCTTCCGTTATTACCTCCTCGTTTCTTCTTCTTCTTCGAACTGCGACCCATTCCCTTCAGCCCAAATCAATCAGAAACAATTTCTCCGATCCTCACTCGAATCACCACTACCAAAAACCCCAACTCCCGTCTAATTCGTCTCTCGCCTTCGTCTCTCACAACTCCCGCCAAACAATCTCGATCTAAAAATTTCAAAAACCTACCGATTAGCTTCCTTTATACATATATATTCCCCCCAATACGGAAAATTTGCTCTTGGCGGATCGTTTATATAAGTCTCAATAACCAAAAACCTTCGACTGCTCTTCAAAGATGGCGCCAGCAGGACCAAAAAAGTAGACACTCTGATTCCAGTCCAGCAAAGACGTCTAAACGGCGTCGCATTCAGTATCAATCGAATAATGGGCATATCGATACCCAATTATCTATAAACCCATTAAAGGCTCGTGATGATAATTCTTTTGTCCAATTTTTTTTCTTTTCCTAACAATAACCATATATATTTAAAAATCTTACATTAGCGAGATTACTTTCATAGTTTCATTCAATAAAGAAAACGAGAGAAATGACGTAGACATAAGTCAATCATCAAAAACAATATAGTACTTGTATACATTAATATTCTTAGAAATTAGTGAGAGAAAAAAAAAAAAAAGCAGGAAAAAAAGTCTTAGAAATCTTTTTCCTTTGAAATAAAAAATGGAAAGAAAGTATAGAAAAAGAGAATCAAACCTGACCCTTAAGTGACCAATCAGAATCGACCCCGCCTAGTCCTTCCTGATTTTCCACACCTTATCTCTCTCTCTCACTCTCTCTTCTTCTTTAAACTCTCCAACTTCACTCTCTCTCTATCTTCCTGACGTGACCTCTCTCTCTCTTCCTCCATCAATGGCGACCACAAACTCTCTCCACCACCACCACCATTCCTCATCTTACCAACACCACCGCCACAATCTCCATTGCCAATCTCACTTCGGACCAACTTCTCTCTCCCTCAAACAACCCACTTCCGCCGCCACTTTCTCTCTCATCTGCTCCTCTTCTTCCTCCTCCGTCTCCGTCGTATCCGCCGCAACCACCACAAACGCCTCCGCCTCAACCGCCGTCACCGCCGAAACCGCGACCAAATTCGATGTCCTAGCGACCCATCTGATCAACCAGGATTTCAGGAAAGCCGACGAGGAAACTCGGAGATTACTCATCCAAATAGCCGGAGAAGCCGCCGTGAAACGCGGATACGTTTTCTTCTCCGAAGTGAAATCAATTTCGACCGAAGATCTCCAGGCAATTGACAATCTATGGACTAAACACAGCGACGGGAGATTCGGATACAGCGTGCAACGCAAAATCTGGTTAAAGGTCAAGAAAGATTTCTCTAGATTCTTCATCAAAGTTGAATGGATGAAGCTCCTTGATACAGAGGTTGTGCAATACAACTACAGAGCGTTTCCTGACGAATTCAAGTGGGAGCTCAACGATGAAACGCCTTTAGGACACTTACCGCTCACAAACGCGTTGAGAGGAACGCAGCTTCTGAAATGCGTTTTGAGCCATCCCGCGTTTGTGATAGCTGGTGATGATAATGAAGAAGCAGACGAAGCTGAAAATAGAGTTGGGCCTAAGGAACCTAAGAAAGATACGAGAATGTTTAAAACAGATTACAGTTTCTGATGTCTTTTTTAATTTATTTTTTTCCGATAATTTGAAAGTATAAACGAATCTCTGTAATCAATCATCAATTAAGTGGATTTTCTTTCTCTTCAATGACGGTTTCATTGGGATTATGAATGTGTGAACACAGTCAGATCATTAGTTAATGAATAAAAAACCATCAGTCTTTTCTTGGTTGATCAATGTGTGAAATTTACAAGTTCTGCAGATATTAAGATCACGAAACTAATGAATTCATTCTCAGACAGATCAAAACTGAAACAACTTTAAACTCCAGCGGTCCAAAAAAGCCCTTCTCTTGTTCGTGTCATCTGTTTTGATTTGATGAAAGAAACCAAAGTTGTGATTTTGGCTCTGTTCAAGAAAGCTGCACCTCAATGTGTGAAAAAGAACTAAAGGATACGTTGTTGCTTCTGTAGCCTCGTAGTTAATTCTCAACGTAGGCCACACAAGTCACAGTTGATGTGGACAGATGCTTCCTATCATTGTGCGGTTTTAAATGAGTGAACGTTTAGTCATATGCATAAATATAGATATATCAAAAATATATGTTTTCTTCCACCCATGTGAAAACATGTCATGATCAGCAAAGGAATCAGAGTTTTGAAGTAGCATTCCAAAACCGTTGCGAGAGGGAGAAATTTATTGATATAATCGATTCTTGCGCCTTCTTCAGACTATTTGAGCTAGAGTCTGGGGAAAAAGAGGGATCTTTAATCACTTCCCTTGGAAAAAAAAAACTCTAAAACTTAATTCCATTAATATCTGTTTTGGGGTACATGCATGTGTATATAAGAAGGGGAAAATAAATGCACAAGTCTCAACAATACTGACTAGTGTCTAGGCACATGGACAGAGTCTTCGGGTATATTGGTGTGAACCGTCACAAGAAAGCATTGATTGTGTCCGGGTATACAAGCACGCCCCTGGATACTGAAAACCAAGAAAATAAACACACACATATAGAATCACTTAGTTTATGATCAAGATTTAAAGGTTAAGTCAGGAGAAGCAATGTGAATGAGATGTTTCACTGAGGATTCAGAAACCTAAAGCGCACATAAGAGAAGATAGAAGATGGAATACCAAATCTCTGGGCGCATCTTCGACAACTTCAGCAGGCTGGTCAGCCCCGGCACTTGCTAAACAGGAGCCCTTGCAGGTCATGTATCTTTGCATACTGAGTAAACAAAAAACAGGTGAACATCAGACTGTGAGATTTGAATCTCTAAAATATGCCTTGATGGTTGGCTTAAAAGATGACTCTGGTAACTTACACGTCACATTGGTTTAGAAGTGAGAGTTTATTCATCACACACAATTGTCCACGTGACTTGCAAACTGCATCGCATGAATCTCCTTGACTATGAACCCAAGTCAATAAAAAGAGTCTAAGAATATGGTATCCACAAATCATCCTGGTAAAGAAGTGAGTGTGTTTACCTTCCGACAATAACGTCAATGCCAAGAAGTCTTGTCTCAATTTGTGTAAGATTAGCCCCTGTTTCAGTTATATAATGAAAATGAAAGGTACAGTATTTTGACATTTAAACGATATCTGAAAGAAAAAAGCAAGCTAACCTGACGCATTTGATGTCAGAGAAAAACAATGGTGAAACTTGCTGTGGTATGCATTTTCATGAACCTGGAAGTTTCAGGGAAGAAAGATTTACGTCTTTACATTTTCATGAGCAATTCCATCATTTTCAGATAAAATTTCAATTCCACACTAAATTGCTCCACTTCATGACATAACATCAAGAAACTTGCCAAGATAGGAACAAGAAACCAATTCTAACAGAAAGAAAAACAGTAAATCGCTTACCACACTCTCAGAATTATGGCGGCATCTCCCGGCACAAAAGTCAAATACAGACCTGTATGTCCCTGCTAAAGAGGAAAAATTAGTGACCTTTCAAATTCAAAATACATCTATGCGGTTTTAGAACCGGAGCTGCTGTACAACGACAAGTTACCTGCTGTAGCCGGCTTTGCAACTTTTATCTTAACCGCCTTCTCAAGCAGCGTCTGCAGAAGATAGAATATCCGTGAGCAAATAATAATGAAGCGAGAACAGAGAATAATCTGAAAAGAGTAACCGAAAAGAAAAAGAAGAAACGATTCCATAGAATACCCGGTTCGGATTCAAGCAGCAAGAAACGCAAAACTCATAAGAGCTGCAGCATTGTGAAAGTAGGTTGCATCCACTTCAATTCAAGCCAAACAACAAAACAAAGAAGTCTGATTAAGAACACATTAGTCTAAAAACCGATACTTTCTCAACTAAAGGCTATAATTATCCTCTTAAAATGACTCACTGACAAGAGAATCGTTCTCCTTTCCAAGGACAACAACGTGTTCGAGAATCCAGTGACAGAGCATCACACACATTGCCTGCAACAATAACCAGTCATGCTTTAAAAAACCAGTCTTTCTCGCAAAGACTCATGTCCATAGAGATTAAATGGTGTAAAATGAATGTTTAAAGAGTGAATTGGAAGGGCAATTGCTGACCTTCATCATCGGAGATCAAATACCTTCCTTGGACAGTTGTTCTGCAACTCCGCTCTTCTAAAAATCCGATATCCTTCCTTCAAAAAATTCAATCGAGATCTAAAGGAAATGAAAATCAAGCGAGACAAACAGGGGTACGCAATTCATAGAAACAAAGATGTTACACAAAACTAATCACCTGATTGCGGAAACTCTCAACGGAAATAAGAAACCCACGAGTTGTAAAAGAGCGAGGAACAAACTAAATGTCGACATTCTTGTCGGAGAAAGAGCGAATCTTTGGACCCAAAATTACATTCCGACTAAGAGCACTTTAACGCCTTCGGTATAAATGCAATTTGATTTGGGTGTTTTTCTTTTAATCAGATCGAATTGTTTTTTTTTTCCGGAATTGAGGAAATTCCCAAGCCAAAACCCGGTTCCGGTTCTATTCCGGTTATCTTCGATAAAGCTCTAATACCCCAAAAGAATCTCTGAATATCAGAAGATGGAGAAACCGAAAAAAATCGAGATTATTTGTTTTAATGCAAATCAAGTTAATATTACAAGGAACCAACTAGGATAAATAAAAACTTGCATTATCTTCTTCTACGTTGCGAAATCACCATCGCTCATCACCACATAGACATAATATTTTCTCATTCTAATAGTAAGAAAATGAAGAAATTTTAAGTATATCATGGATTAAAACCTAATTTTTTCCCATCATAATTTAAGATTGTAATATTTTGATACAAAATAAGTTATTCTTTTATTTTTGATATTTTTATTTTGAACATAAATAATCATTATGCATAAGTTGTTCAAAAAATACTTTATTTTTTGAGTCAGATATATTTAATCCCAAACATTTTGTGTTATGATACAATATAATATACTATCTTATTTTTGGTGTCTTTCAGTCGAATCTAAACAATTGATCATTACATGTGCATCAATTGTTCAGATATGAAACTAATGTTTGGTCTCAATCGTCAGATAGCATAGCAACTAAGTTATGAATTTACATTAACATTATGTATGAGTTGTTTACTCTTCTTCTTCATTTAGACTTAATAAATAGTCTACATGAACACATTTTTGTGTGAGCTGAGACTTTTTTTCATTTGGACTGAGTTAAAATTTTCATCTTCATGAATTGGATTAAGATAAGAGCAAAAAGTTGAAAAAGACTATCATACCAAATATGTTGTCAAAAAAAAAGACTATTATACCAAATATAGAACTACTTAAAATATTGTTAAGACGATTGAGAGGCATAATAAATCAAACATGGAAGCTGCTCTCCGCTATCTAAGGTTGAAAACTATTCCGAAGACACACCTAAAAAACATTGTGAAACAGATTATTTCTGTAGAAAGCCAGCGATGTACGGTCCACATAAACGAAATAATAAGTTTGTCAAGGTAATGCGAGAAACGCACTGGCCACAAAACACCCATGTCTTTTGTTTCTGTCAGGAGGTTAACCGAGTTGGTGAGAGAGAAAAAAATGAAATGTAGATCGAAGATGATGAGGAGGTAATTATTTCTTGCATTGGCAAAAAAACACAAAAAAATTATGGAGATGTTGTCAAAAAATAAAATAGAGGTAAATCAAAAGTGCAGATGCTGCCATGTTGATGAATGAGTCATTAAGAAATACACAGAGAATGAAACAGAATAATATGAAGAATGTATCTGTTACATTGACTTAGTGATTGATAAAGAAGTGTTTATATTGACACTACCCTGTGGTATTCTTTGCTTTGCCTAATTCTAGGCTCCAATTCTGCTGTTGAAGGCAAAAAAAAAAAAAATCATTTTATGCTTAGTAATCCTGAACAAATTGTTAAAAATAATTAGATAAATGATTAGCAAGGTCTATTGTATTCCAATTTTTGTGCTCTCAATATCCGAGAAGGCAATGCGTTTAGTACACGCGCGCACTACATAAGTACATAGTACATACATTATGACGCGAGTTATGCAAAAATATTTTTTGAGAAGAATCTCTGAATATCATAAGAAGGGGGAACCGAAGAAATCGAGATTGTTTTAATGCAAATCAAGTTAATTTATGCGAGGATAAAGAAAAACCATCGCTCATCGTTTCAAACTCTAATTGAATTATCAGCCCTATATAGATAGAGAGAGATACAAAAACAACTTGATACTACTAGATGAAGAAGCAAAGCTTCGTCTTTTGTGTGGTGAAATCTCCGTATTGCAATGCTTCAATCTCTTTTTCCATGAGTTTTTCGATCGTATCCAACTGTTTCACAAAAAGGTGATTGTCAAACGTTCAGTTATTAATCTCTTCAATGTAAGCAAACTTTTTATTTATTTATTTATTTTGAATCGAATTGAATGTAAGAAAACTTATACTAATAAAATGCTTTCAAAAACTGAATAAGAAAAAAACCTCACTTCATAAAGAAGAGGCAGCCGCAAACTCGCCCAGTAGTTGGCAAATTCATCATGCATCTCTTTCCGTTCCATATGTACTGAAGCAGCAGTTAGATGAAAATTAGAAGAGTTAAGCCAAACATAAGGTCAAAATTGCTGCAGCAAGTAAAAAAACAAATGGTCATACTCGATTCGTAAATCCCCCCGTATTCGCCTGCTTGCTCAAGCTCACTGGCAGCCTCTTCAATGCATTCTTTCTCAGCTTTTAAGATCATCTCAAGCGGCTGAGATGAACGTACAATGAGAAAAGAACAATATACCAACACTAATATATACTTTGCTATGAAAATGGATTCAAATCATGCAGCCATCTTCAATTATTTCCAAAAAATACAATTCCTACAATTATCAAATCTAACAGAGAATCATACCTTGTTTAGATCGTCTATTACTTTTTGAAGAATACGAATCCTCTTCTTCAGGGACCTCTTGGCGAGCCAGTTCCCCAAAACAGAACCGGCGATTGAGAAACCCATTCTGATCTCCTTTACCAAAATCCCAACAACTAAACATCGCCTCGAAAGATCAAAACTTTAATCAAGGGACTCTCATAAACGTGGTAATTTTTGGGTAAGGTTCCTGGCTAATCTAACAAAAGTTTCTACAATATATAAATTACGGTTTATAAATTCCTGACACGAACAAGTAATTCGAGATGGAGACAAACCTGACGGATACGAAGCAATATAGATCGGACTGGACAATCAAAGGACTCTGCGTGGATGGGGTTAACAGAGCGCAGAGGAAAGAAGAACAATCAAAGTGCAAACCTTAATGATGTATATACACCGGAACTGTTTTTAGCCCGTACATATATATGGGAAACTGCCATATATTTTTTTCGGCGGGAAACTACCATATTTATGTTTTTTTTTTTTTACATTAATATTAACAAAATTGAAAAATATTTTCCGTTTCCTTATTTCTAAACCAACTTTTTTTTTTTTAACATCTTTTTATATTAATTATTCCGTAAACGGATAATACAAATAGTTCAGTAGCTATATAGGCGGACAATAATAAATATTATATGAATTACTACTTTCATATGATTTCTTTGCTAATATATCTGCTGCTTGATTGCGCTCTCTATTGACATAATCAATGGAACATAGAGGGAGCTTTCTGATTCACCATCTTATGTGATACAACATTTTTTCCTTATTTAAAAATTAAGTATTTTTCCAATTGAGTAGACGGGTTCTCCGTACATATATTTTTTAAAATTAAAATTTCCAAATAACAAATTATGTAGTTTCCTCTTACCAAAAAGTAATTCTAAAAAAAACAACTGCATATCTTGTTATATGTGAATGCTGCCTTTTTGGTAGCTTCTGCCTCTGGTTTCCACTTTTTGATTTATAGAATATTCCCCGGATACAAATACATATCTTATTGTCTTCACGTTGATCCTTTTCCCTGTTCTTCAAAGTTCTAACTGAATCATCTATCGTTGTTATGGCTGCTTGAATTCTGTTTTCTTTGGTTCCACAAAAGCAATTTCTTACAAACTCGAACATATTTCCTGCACTGAAAAAAAAACACGAAAACTCAGAGACAAGTAAAGCTCAGATGTAGACAATGTTGTATCTTCCTGAGTTTTCAAGAGGACGATAACTATGGTGATTCAAAATTGATTTCAAACAAATGCCAGGAAATGAAGAAAAGCGGAAAATCAGACAGAAAAAAATCGAGCAATCCTAAATCTCTGAGCAAAGCAATCAACATTTCACACCAAATACTCAAAACTGGATCAGTACAATTAAATCTAGGGTTACTGTCAAGGAACGGAGAAGAAATTAGGGGACCGACTCACAGAGATTAGACGGAAGAGACGATCGGAGATAATGCGAAATCGAGCAAGCTTACAGTGTCTGTAGAAGATGAAAAGAGAGAACGCAAGTGTCTGCAGAATTTGCAGGTCCGTCTTCGTTGCTCTTCTCCCTTTCTCTTCAACCGTTTTTGGGTGCCTTTTCTGGCTTCCTGCATGAATAAATTTTGATTTATACTCCCTCTCGCTGTTTGGAGGAACATCTCTATCTTCTGTCCAGGGATAATTTTTATTAAGTTTGAACGATTTTTGAAATTTATTTTGTTTAAGTATATAATAGAAAAAAATTAATTTAGCCATTTTATTTATAATGCTTGGTCTACATTATTTATGTTATTCAATTCGAGTTTCACAAAAAAAAAATCGTTATATTACAGTCAATGTAATTAACCAAAATCAAGGCTTAATTCGCGAAAGAAACATGTGACCGAAACACAAAAGACTTGTGGGCCTATATATTACCGTATTACGGTAACCATTGAGCAATGTCAAACCAAAACTAAAACCGGATTTCAAAATGGTCAATTAGTATCAACTATAATTGTCTATTACTAGTATATATTAATGACTTAATGATACTATGTTATCATCAACCAAACTAAGAATTGTCACTAGATATATTTCTCAAGAAGTGCTGTCTCAATAGAAACAAATAGAAAGTCCACTTTATTTGATATATCTAATTAAAATTTATACCAATACTAAAATCAGGTTTTCAAAATGGTCTATTAGTATCCACTACAATTGTCTATCACTAGTACCTAATAATGTTATTATGTTATTGTCAACATTTATAAGCTAAAAAAATCAAGAAGTTTCTATTCATTATAATCAATCAAACTAAAGCATTGTCACTAGATTTATTTCTCAAAAATTGCTGTCTTTAACATTGTTAATCAATTATAGTTTTGACATACAAAAAATCATATTTTTGTTAAAATAAATGGTTTATAATAAATAGATACAGCAGGAAATCTATTATATAAAGACTCAATTGAGTCTCACAAGCTTGACACATAAACACTCCATCTTTTGACACATCAGCTTTTGA